AGATCATGTCCGACACTTTAAAACGGTAATCGACTTACTTCGGAAAGAATCGTTCTACCTGAGTGAACGAAAGATCAACATCTTGCCAGAGGAAATGAAGGTCCTCGGGCGAGTCGTCGACCGTGATGGAATTCGCATGGACCCCGACAAGGTCGATGCGCTTGCGAAGTGGAAAACGCCCACTAACCGCGAGTTGTTGCGCGGGTTTCTAGGCGCTGCAGGGTACCTGGCGGACGACATCGATCGCGTTAGAATCCCTATGGGTGTGCTAACGACTCTAACCAGTGATAACGTACCATTTCGATGGACTCATACGCACCAGCGCGCGTTCGAGGAAATTAAAGATCTGGCCTGCCGTTTTAAGGATCATCATCGAGTGCCTTTGAATTATAGTCCCGACGCACCTTCAATTAATATGGTGACTGATGCTTGCATCACAGGTGTAGCCGGCGTCATCAGTCAAGGTGATGACTGGAAGGACGCCAAGGTGGCAGCCTTTTACTCTGCGAAATTAAACCCCGCGCAAACAAACTACCCTGTTCATGAGTTGGAACTATTAGCGGGTGTGGAAACGATGTTACGAAATCGTGACTTACTTCAAGGTGTCCACTTCAAGTGGTACACGGATCATAAGGGCTTAATCTATTTGCTGAAACAGGAGAAGCTGTCCAGAAGACAAGTCAGGTGGATGGAAAAGATATCCGACTTTGACTTTGAAGTGATTTACGTACCAGGTACCGAAAATATCCTATCGGATGCGCTGTCGCGCATCTATTCTAACGACGCGCCTGGAACTGTTCGCTCACCGTCGGAATACGTACAATTCGACGACTCGGCTGACGACTCACTCTTCTTTGGTGGAATCGCGCCAAAGTCTACACCTGCCCCTGTCTACGTTGGAAAGGAAGCGTTGTCAGTTGTCGGACCGGGCGCCAAGCGGAGGGCGAGCCCGAGAAAGAAACCTGACCCACCTTTACCTGCTGACACCGGTCGACCAGAAACGACCAAGGAGTGGGCGGCCAGAATGGCAGCTACGAGGAACTTCGTACTCAGAGGCCCCAGAGTACGAAGGGAGGGCGGGATGTCAGAGCAAAATGAAAACGAACCCCCTAAGTCAACGCCAGCCAAGGAAAAGCTTGTCATTAGAATTCCCGCGCGAAGGAAAAGTGCCGAAGCGGAGGCAAAAAGTCAATCACGCCAAGAACCGGCGGTACCTACCGATCAAGCAGTCCCGAACGTTGGTGAGAATGTTCTACTGAGAGCCCCAGAGGCAAACCCTCAAGGGATCGACATACCGCGGGCAATCAAAGGAAAGTATGTGCACTGTCCATTCTTCAAGATACTTATTGAAAACCCAAAACACTACAAGAACTTTGAAGTGGAACAAGACTTAATATACATGAGGCTTGAGGATGGAGGGCGGGTGCTATGCATCCCCTCCGGTGCCTTTTACGCCGGTAGAAGCGTACGAGAAATAGTAATCTCAGAAGCCCATGGGCTATTAGCCCACCTCGGGCCCAAGCGAACGCTTGAGTATCTCAAACAACATGTCTGGTGGAAGGAAATGGTGCGCGATGTAACTCTATTCTGCGAATCGTGCCCTACATGCAAAAGAAGCAAGCCTAGCAACCATAAGCCTTACGGCCTCCTGAATCCTTTGCAAATACCAGGCGCACCATGGGAATCCATCGGGATTGACTTTGTCGGACCTCTCCCGGTCTCGAAGGACCGAGATGCTGAATACGACGCGATTACTGTGATTATTGACAGGTTCTCGGGCATGGTACATCTGGTTCCCAGTAGGCAAGATTACAAGGCCAAAGAAGTAGCTGAACTGATATTCTCGGAAGTCTATAAACACCACGGGTTACCTAGATCAATAGTCAGTGATCGTGACAAGTGGTTTACATCTGTCTTTTGGGAACACCTACACAAACTAACCGGGGTCAAGTTGAAAATGTCCAGCGCTTACCACCCACAAACGGACGGCGCCACCGAACGCGCAAATCGGACCATAACCCAGTTGATCAGGCAGTGTATTGGCCCGAAACAACGGGACTGGGTAGCGAGATTACCTGGCATCGAATTCGCGATTAATCTCGCCCGATCGGAAACCACGGGGTACTCACCTTTCTTCTTGAATAACGGCCGGCTACCCAGAACGTTCATCTGGGATTGGGCGAGTAAGGAAGAGTTCCCCGGAGTGAGAACATTCGCGCATAAGCTTAAAATCGCCGTTATGGGCGCGCACGATGCTATCATTGGTGCGCGAGTTAAACAGACCCGCGATGCCAACAGAAAGCGAATTGTCAGTCCATTCAAAGCCAACGACTTAGTTTATCTGTCAACAGAGAACATAACATTCCCGAAGGGACTTACCCGAAAATTCCTACCCAAGTTCATCGGACCGTACAAGATCGTCGAAGATTTCGGCAACAACTCCTACCGAATAGAGTTACCTGCTAGAATGAAGCAGCGCGGAGTGTCAGATGTATTCCACGCGTCAAAACTAAGGATACACGTACCGAACGACGACCGCCTATTTCCCGGGCGGGTGGATAACCAGATTTGGGAGTACGACGACGAGGAATTCGAAACAGAGTGGGCCGTAAGCCGCATCACAAATCACGCGGGCGCTAAGTCCAGCGCCAAGTTCGAGATCCTGTGGGAGTCAGGCGACAAAACCTGGCTCCCTTACAGTAGGGTTGCTGACTTGGTCGCACTGCAGGACTACCTGGACGCGCTGGGCGTCGAAAAAATTTCGGACTTACCTGAAAAAGCTGTACCTGCGCGCATGGACGAACAGATTGAGCTGGGGTATTTAGCTGGTATGGAATTGGAACTCGCACCTTCCTACCCACCTGTGTCGAGCCCCCCCTGCTCCACTTCCGTTTCCCCTGTCAGCATGACTTCCCGTCCTGTCAACCGTCCTGTCACCCTGTTCCCTGGCATATCCCGCGATCTCGACGCCGCCTCGAGATTCACCAGTGCCCCCTTCCGTAACCGATACTTCACTCACGTCGCTTACGACACCCACACTCGAGAAGTGGTCACCCGAGTTCCCCTGGGCACCGAACGCAGGTTTGCCGTCGACCATTTTATCTCCTGCGTCCACCATGCGATCTACCTCGCATCTATCACCACTCCCGACCCCTCGGTTCCAGCACCCGCCGGCTACGAGGAGGTAGCGCGATCATTTAACGACTCCACCTATTGTCGAGCCAAGTTCCCGGTTGTCGAATCTGGTGCGCCTTTCGTCCATCCCTCCTGCCGACCCATCAAAGAGTTCGACTTCGACTTCTCCTTGGTTCGACTCAACCCCCTCGGCGTTCACGGAAGCGCCCTTAGCATGTTGGGGTTAGTTAATAACAATCAGCTCGACATTGCGCGCATCCGAACTATGTACGAGCGCAACGATCGAATGCTCGACTTCGCTTTGGAGGCACTTACCACAGGCCGTTCCCCTTTTTCGAACTCACGTAACGCCTTCCATAACGAGGCCTTCCAAAACCGACGTTTCCAAAACCGTAACCGCGCCCGCAATAGCCGCCCTTACGATGACGGCCCCAGTAACCGTGGTGGCCGTGGCCGACCCATCTTCCGTGGCGGTGCCCGAGGTGGTCCTTCCCTGGGAAGGAACGGCACCTTCAGGCACGTCTGGCGTCGAAGGGAGCAGCTCGACTCGGCCTCCTCGAGCGACTATACGCTTCCCGCCTATCGGACCGATGAGTCCAGCGCCTACACTTCCCCTCGATCAGCCAACGCGTACAGCAACTTACCCGTGGTCCCCCCGGCGGTTCGCTCCACCACTACCAGTGACCCTCGCGTCACCGAGAACCGACGACTCCTCTCGGAGTTACCCACTGGAGGCTCTCCCCCCAGCTCCGACGGCTCGTCCGCCGACCCTTCGACCGCCTCTGACCCCGATCAAGCGGAGGACCCGAACCAAGGCGTTGAAGAGCGACAACAGTCCCCTTCGTGGGATGACGACACACCCATGGATGACGATGACGTCTCCGTTATCGTCGCGTCCGAAGACTCCATCAACTACGAGCCAGCCAGTCCCAACGCCGGCTCTGGAACCGTCACTCCCCCTTGGCCCGCCGGTACCGCGCCCACCGACTTCGCCGCCTCCCCTCCTGGTTCCCCTATGGCTGAAGATACCGATTTGGACGCCGAAGGAGAACCCGACGACTCGGCTACCGAAGACGCCGGTCTCGCGGCTCGCCAGGCTCGCGAACGCGAAATGCTCGATAAGTTCCACCAGAAGTTAGTTGATCATGTTAACAAAGATTTGGTTATTACCCCAGAGACTACTGATGCTGTAGACACTCCTACCGATACCGCTTCGACTAGTACTTAACTTTTCCAGAGTCTCTTCGATACTCTGGGAGGGCGTATGTAGGGATTTGTTTCCCTTGGCTTCCTAATTCGTCTTATCACTTACTGATCTCGTTTGTTATCTTATCTATGTCACTCCTTCCCCATTCCTCATTCCCCTATGATTCCCCGTATGTTCCCATTAGCTTATGTAACTTACTACCTAGGTATATATAGAGTAGTTCTCATCTGTACGTAGGTAGTTCTCCTTCCAACACGAAGCTTACACCACTCAAGCCCAGTGTCCACTGTGAGAATTCCGTGTGCCGAGCCCAACGACTCGTCACAGGATGACGGTTTAATATTTCGGATACCAATAGATAGGCATATGGCAATTGTCTTTTAAAAATTTGGGGGAGCTCCGCCCAGTCGATCCCCTGATAATGCGAATGTTTTCCAGGCCCGACAAATGGAAAGATGTCAGACACTATCCCAATCGGGAAAGGCGGGAATGATGCACTCCGTCGGTCAAGAAGCTCGATACCATGCTTCTGACTTCCCTGATGGACAGGGAAGCTGATTGAGCACCCCATTTGGACTGGGGTTTTTATGAATAACTAGGTAGGGCTCAAGATCCACGTTTTTATGAATAATTCATTCACGGATAAACCAGGTAATTATCAATAATTTCTACGTATACCCCTCTTGTCAGTGTAGCAGATCTCGTACCGGAGTCCTTCAAGATCCCATAGACTGATAGGAAAGTTCTGCTTTCGCGGGAGAGTTACGACGATTTGATGAAGAGGGACAACTCGCCAGTCGTGATAGTAAGACTGGCCCGATCGGCTTCGCATGAACTCGAGCAGCGCACGGTCGGAAATGTCAGTGGAATCGCCGCAGTCCCATCGGAAATACTGTAGCTTGGGCCACAAGGCGTAACGCATAATGCAGCGCAAAAGGTCGTCGAAGTTGGTGGCGGTGTTTGGCTTGCTATCACCGCCAGTTAGGAATGCAATGACTGCCTCGAGCTCGCTGTCCTTTGATAAGGCATGTCTCTTCGCGTAGAACTGGACGAGATTCGGAGTCTGGTGTGCCACAGCCTGAAGTGCCTGCAGGGAGAGAATCTCTGGCGAGTGACCGTCCAATTCCTGCAGGGATAGATAAGCTAAAGTGTGTCTGAAAGGCGCAATGAAGCTCGAAAGGAAGGCGTCTGCTGGTGCCTTAGACTGGTACGTCACAGGGGATGTCGTCGTTATTATCAAAATAGGGAGGATGTATCCAAGTGATTCCTTTTGAAAATGGGAGGAAGTAACCATAGGGTCCCATTATAAAAACGCATCGAAGCCATTATAAAAAAACGCAACAACGATTTTAAAAACACGTTCACACATCACCACGACAGGACCCGCAACAGACATCACGCTTCTGAGGATGACAAGTCCCGCCATCACAGCGCCCCCCAGCGCTCGCGCCCTTATTGATCATTCTCAGCGCGCACGATGGCCAGGGGCAAGCGCAGACATATTCCCCTTTGGGTGAACCCCTTTGGGGTGTGCGCGCGGACGAGCTCTCGTTTGTTCGACAATCAAGGAAAGAGTTCGACAATCGAGGAAAAGGAATTCGCCGATCAAGGAACTTTCACGCGTTTTGATGGGAAGGTTGATGCGACTAGGCGTGGGGCGCCTCAGCGTACCCCTTTGGGGCAGGGGGCGGAGTCCGCGACGTGGCTGTCATGGCTGGTACCCCTTTGGGTGCGGGTTCGGGACATAGGGCGGGCATCACCTTCCACGAACCCTGCGTTGACAGGCTTCCCGCGCCCCCTCGCTCATTTGGGAAGGTCGCAGCGCGCGTGAGAGAAAGGAGACCTGTTATTATAACGGAGAACCCCGTTTTGGGAAGGGACCAGAGCACGTGGAACAAAGGAGGACTGTTTTAAAAACGATGGAAACACTGACCCTACCATTATAAGAATGAAACTCAGGATACATCCCTCCCATTTTGATAACAGCTACAATATCTAGTGTACGTCAATGGAACTGGGCTGTCGATACCTTGTCCTCCATGCTTGAAGCTGATGTCAAGCGACGTCAAGTTCGGAAAGCTTGCCAGTCGAGTAAACGTCAATGCCTCTGCGTGTGGGCCCGACTCGAAGACGATATGGAGTGCTTGGAGACGGTCATGCTGGATTCTGGTGCATGTGTTTAGAGTGTCAGTTGTGTCGCTGGCTGTGAAGCTGAGAAAGAGCAACTTAGGCGCACTCAACAAAACCTGATATTGACACCAATCATAAATTCTGACTCTTCCACCAACGGGTTAAGCACGCAACACTTTGATTTTTTCTCCCTCGAGGTCGCTGGGACCTTCACGAGGCGACGGACAAGGGCACTTACCTTCCGTATCCGTGTGCCAAGACCACCCGTGGTTGGAGCCGCTTGGACGCGGTGGAGGGGCGTCCAAGACTTCCAGTTCTATCATTACAAGTGGCCGCATAAACGAGACGCTGATTGGTGGAGGGGGGAGGGGGGGGGGGGCGCAAATCCGCAGCCTCTCTGGTCCAGGGAGAGAAACAGCGCAAGAGCCCATCAAAGAGGAGTCACGCTACCACGCTCTTTTCATTGGCACTCGAGACGTTTGACCGACCTTGGAGGCACGCTGTACCTCTGACCTCGGTATGGAGGCGCTCACCGAACAATTCCTTCGCCATCTGAGGCCATCAATTGAAACGAGCCAAGTCAATTCGTAAGTCTTGCCGACACCACCATTTTCGAAATCAAGCTTGTCAATCACTGAGTGTACACTGTACCATAGCCGAAAACTTAGGCGTCGTGATTAGGGTTAGTCTGATTTTTTCCGAGTTGTGGGCCCGAACAAATCGTTCACCGATTTCCAAATCAGTCCCGAGGCCTTCCTGAAGGGGTACTCACCCTCGACGCGTTCTTCGGGTCCAGCCTTCTGCAGTACGTGATGACAGGCTAAGCGTAGGGTCCTCTTGTTGAGTTCGATGTGTCAATTGCCTAGACCCTGGGGCCAGAAACTAATATAAACCCTTCCAGCACGGCTCTCAATTCCTCAGAACCCAGTTCGCCTCTCTCCACTCCACAACAGCCTTCTCTACTTTCCACTCTCGACTCTCATCCAACACAATGTTCGCCCGCCTCACCTCTGCCCTCCTCGCCTTCACCCTCGTCTCCGCCGTCGTCGCCGGTGGGCACAAGAACGTCGACTACCAGCAATGCAACGGCGGTGAAATCCAATGCTGCAACAGCGTCCAGGACTCCAAGTCGCTCGACCAGTCCCTGACCAAGCTCCTCGGCCTCCTCAAGGTCGACGTCAAGCAGATCACTGGCCAAGTCGGTATGGGATGCACCAGCCTTAACGTCCTCGGTGTCGGAGGTGGCTCGTCGTGCACTCAGCAGAAGGTTTGCTGCACCAACAACAGCTTCAGTGAGTACCCGTTCATCTCCCGATTGTATCTTCCACTCATCTCTCCCTTTTAGACGGTGTCGTTGCTCTCGGATGCAGCCCCATCAACGTCTCCGTCTAAACATGGACCAATCGTACGTTTCTGTTGCACCATATTTCTTCATGATTATATCTGACCCAGGGGGATAGATCGACAACCCGTCAATAGACAAATAGAATTAGATTAGTAGACGTAGCGTTATAGAATCTGAATATACCCCGGTGACACCTCACCGACCATTGTGAGAAATAGAATGTGGATGAAGCCCTTTTGCTCGAACTGAGCCAAACTGTCCCAGAAATTCCAAAATGTCAGGATTGAATTTGCAGGTGATTTGCGAAGCTCGTACTGGCCTCTCAAGCATAGTCGGAAAGAAGCTGGCGTCTTCGAGGTGACAGACAGTGCAGCTGCGGCCATCGAATGGGTCCTGGCAGCCTTTCCGTTCCGTGCCGGGAGAGAAGGTTGAAGAGGGTAAATACCTCGTCAGTGACATGACGAGCTCGATTGGTAGCTGGAAAATGTAGGCAGCCGGAGCTTTCTCCATGAAAACCTGAGCATCGTTTCGACCTCCTCGTTGGGTTGGCCTCGAACCCGTTTAATTCCAGGGGAAAGATGCCGCAACGGGACTGATCGAATGTGGAAGTGACCGTTCAACCTGGGTTCGCAAACGATAAGTGCCCGCGAAAGGAGAAGTAAACAAGAAGCGCCCGGACACACCGGAAGACGTCGTTGAGAAGTCAGAACCTTACCGTCACTCTGTGGCCTCCACATTCACTGGAAAGAATTTCTGAATCACATATGGTTTATATCAAGAAAAGCGTTGCAAGCAGCCATTATACTGATACAAAGAGGTCAAATACACCTGGGATTTTGATTAACATAATCTCGCAGACCGCAGTAAATCAGTCAACTCACGAAAACAAGTAAAACGACACCGTCAATCAAGCCTCAAGCTCAAGGTCGTGGTTCCTGGAAAGGATCGCCAATTTCTGCAGTGAAACTGTAAGTTCATCCTCATCGCCAACGCCCAACGACCTGACGACGCACCTTTCCTCAGATAATCAACCAAACCCTGATCCAACAACTCGTCTTTCTCCCTCTTGCCTCCCTGCCCTTTCATCAAGTCCCACTCGCCCGTATTCATTCTAGATGAATTCTCCCTTCTCCTAGACTTCAAATCCCTACTGGACGACGAGCCGCCATACGATCCGCCTCCACCAGGCAATCGCCTCTTGGACGACCCGCTGGTAAACAATTGGCTGGTCAAGGACGCAACAAATCCTTTATCCGATTGACTTGGTGGCTGGTAGTTGATTTCTTCGTTGGGCGGCGTCGAGGACGGAGACGTGTCCACTGGAGACATGAGTTCGGGCGAGTTCATTCTGGCGGTGGTGGTTTGGGATCAAGCTTTGCAACGAGGATCTGCTGTGCTCGACGTCGCTCGACGTTCTCGAGGACCGTGACTCGGTCACATCATCACGTGAAGATGTCACAAATGAGCGCGTCGCGTCTAATTAGGAGCAGCTGTAGCCTCACCCAGGAAGTACGTACTGAAAAGATAGATTGTCCTACGTACATGTCACGCAAGGGGGAAAGAGCCAGAAAACCATTAATGCTAAAGGTAGATATCTGATGATACACACGACTTGGAATGTCATGAAGCTGAGAAAAGCGTAAAAACTGAGCCCGTAACCAAAATAAAAATAGAGAAAGTCTATAATCGGGACAGATCGTGAAAGATGCAACATAGCAGCAGGGAAGCGGGGGCAGCATGGGGGAAAAAGCAACAGGGTTCGTCATAAGAATCATGAAGGATTGGGAGGGCTTGGAGACCGAGGCGGTTCAGAACCCTTCGTAGGAGAGAATATAGTCCCAAGACTCGGCTCCTTTACCTTCCCCCTCCCAAGTGTAAACACCCTCCTAAACGTACCCTTGCCCTTATGCCCTGGCGGACTTTCAGGCGGACTACCCACAGCCACCTGGCTCCCAAACCTCCTCTCTGAGATATTCGTCTGTATCCTTTGCAAATGGACTCCGCCTTCCTCCGTCGCGAAATCAAACCCACGATCCACCGACACCAACCCAGTCGCCATGTCCGTCCTGCTACCACTAGCCATCCGGATATCCATGGAAGGCCGTCCGTAAAAAGATGTCCTCGAGGCGCTTCTTGAAACGTCGTGCTGAGCATGCGACTTGAGCTGCGCGAGCTCCGACTCTTGCTTCCCGGAATATCGTTTCCAGTCTTGGTGGGGGTTTTGCGACTGGGCAGTGAGGAGAACCTCAATATCACCTGGAGTGATAGAGAACTTCCAGGCTTTGGCCAGGTATCGCGGCAAAAGAGGTAGGGCGATCGTGATAGGTAGACAGAGCCAGAACGTAGCGGAGGTGAAGAGGACGTTCATGTTGCCATATAGTTGCGTCACCGCGAATTCAGGCGATATCACCGAATAGACGATCTGAAAATCATGAACTCAGATGTTCCACGGTTGATAACGAAAAAAACTTACGGTGAAGAGCCAGACAGCAACATTGCCAAGCATCACTGCGAAGACGAGCCACCACGTCCAAGCAGTAGCGTTCATCCCGACGAAGAAATTAGCAACCATAACGTTGACGATCGCCATTGTCTGTCGAATGACTGGTCAGTACATGATCCGTCCTGAATGAAAGTCGAAACCGTACCGTCGAAAATTCCACTTGTCGGATGTCGTAGCCATCATCTCGCGTAGTAGTGTTGACATAGGTGAAATGAATGAGGAAGTAGATGATCACAGACTGTGCTAGTAGTTAGTACCCCGACCGGACGAACATCAAACTCCTGCTCACCTGAAGAACACCGTCGAATAAATAGACAAAGAATGAACGCAAAGTGAACCAATGCCCTTCCCGACCATAGTGGTACAGTTCCGGTACATCCATCAAAATGTGGTAGTCTGAGAATCCACATTAGCTTTGACCCCAAATCTACCTTGAAGAGCCAAGACGCACCCATGATACGATCAAACAACCCAATACCAACGACAGGCGCAATAGTCCATATCGAATTCCAGAACAGAACATAAATATAATCGTACACACTAGGACCACGTTAGTCTCGAAAGAATCACAACTAGAAAGAGAAACGACTCACAATGCTGCACTCCATCCACAATAGATCTGGAACCAAAACTTGACACCGACAGCGATGATATTCTTGTAGAAGAAATTCGCAATCCTACACAGCCAGAGTTAGATCGCGATGGAAGGGGGAGAGTGGAACAATACGCACATGGTGCCATTACGAGCATAAGACCAATGTCCATGAACGAGGAGCAATTTCTTCAAGAACCGGAATTGGGCGATGGCATAGTCGGAAGAGTTGACGGCTTGTACGCCCTCTTCACCCGAGATACCAATACCAACATCGGCGGCCTAGTAAGACAATGAATAAGAACACCAATCAGTGACTCGCGGAAAGGACATACCTGGATCATGCTAACGTCGTTGGCACCATCGCCAATAGCCAAAGTCATCGCCCCAATACCTTCCTTGACGAGGTTGACAATGAGAGCCTTCTGGAGGGGAGAAACACGGCAGCAGATGACACCCTCGCAAAGTTGTGAAAGCTTGAGCAAAAGTCCCTTGTTCTCATCCGTCGCAAATGCCTGGACATCCCATCAGCCCAAAAGCCTCACAGCAGGACGGAGAAACGCACCTCGAGCAGCGCTGATCCATCAACAACCAGCACAAACCCACCAGGTCTCTCGCCATTCTCAGCTCCAACAATAGAAGTCACGCCGGTGTTCACCCGCCTAAGAGGTAAGATGGGTCGTTCCGAAAGGTCGAATCGAGAATGCCTTGACGACATCGATGGTCGGGGTTTGTTCTCAATCATCTCCTCCTCAGGGAAGAACTGCTCGAAAGACGAGATCATCTGGTCATACACCGACCTCCGACTGCTTCCACGAATGATGATGATGTTCGAATCTGGATTGACGAGGTTGGTGCTGCGACCGATGGCTATACAAGAATAGACAGTCAGTATAGCCCATGATTAGAGTGGAGCGAACACACCAATAGCAGTCTCCATTTTGTCACCCGTCGCCACCCAAATCTTAATGCCTGCCTTCTTGAGATCAGCGATGGTCTCTGGAACACCATCTTGCAGCCGATCCTCGATGGCAGTAGCACCCAGCAACCGAAGGTCCCGCTCCAATTCATCACAAACTTCCTCTATCCGCGCCTCCCTATCGTGCATCGCGAGCGTAGCTTGGTGGTATCGATTACACCATGCCTGATATTCCTCCTCTGTGCAAGCGACAAAAGAACGTTAAATCGGGTTAAAGGAAGAGGACCAAAACAAGACGCACCGGGTATCACCTTATAAGCCAAAGTCAAAGTCCGCAACCCGCTATTCGCGAATTCGCTCAGATGGTGCTCCGTCTCCTCCTTCAACGCATCCTTCCCAGGTCTCAGCCTCTCGAAAATGACGTTGTCCGCGCCCTTCACAAGCAAGATGGGCCGCTGATCCTGCTGATTGTCGTCCAACTTGCGCACTACCACGCTCATCCGCTTCCTCGCGCTCGTAAATTCGAGAATGTTAAGGAGTTCGTATCGCTCGACCTCTGGAGAAGCCGGTGTCTTGAGGAAGAGAGTCTCCTTGTCTCGCCCCATAAACTTGTACCCAACGTCGGCAGCAGCTTGAACGAGCGCGGCCTCATCGGGCGACTGGGCCTTGTAAGAAACTTCGCGGGTGTTCGGATCGACGGCTGCCAGCACGGTGTGGCACAATGACAGGACAGTGAAGAATCCGTTGAGGTTCCGGGCATGCGATGCATTTGGCGATCCTTCGGCCGCGGAAAGGGCTGCTTCCAGGTCGTATTGAAGCTGATAATCGTAGAAGCGATCAGGGTCCCGGTGTTCCGATCGCGAAGAAGAGCCGCTGCACGAGGAATTTGATTTGTGTTGGTTGTCGGTCAGGTCGACGGGAGTGAGTTCGGTCTGGGAGCTGCTGGCGACGAGGGCGACCCGAACGGACTTGGATTCCTTGTCGAGAAGGGGTTCCTCAAGGATGGCCACCGACGCATCGTCCTTCTCTTCTATGAGCATCTTTCCGTCGGCTGATGGCCCGTCTTCCTCTGTATCGCCTCTGTAGGCAACACCTCCGATAGAGCATTGGCGGAAGATCATTTGATTCTTAGCTCTAGTCAGTACGACGTTCGCCTAAGAGGAACAATCCGGTGATAAATACCTGGGTGAGAGTTCCAGTCTTGTCCGAGAAAATGTATTCGATTTGGCCAAGGTCATCGGACAAGTTCCAGCTTCTGGCGATAGTTGCTTGATTAGTCTTGCGATACCAGATGTCATAGTCGAAATAGATGAAGGCGGCCTGAAGTGTTCGAACGACCTCAATAGAGATGTATAGTGAGATAGGCACGATGTCTTGGAAGCTGCGAACAGTCTGAGCGGCGAGTCAAAGGCGATGAAGAGTACAACTTACGTTAGGAGAGCAAACGCCCAAGTGATCAGACCGTTGATTTTGGGGTTGTTATCGGGTAAGGAGGCACCAAATAGCCAAGGAGCGCCGAGGGGGTAATAATGTTGTTGCAGCAGCGAGTCAGCGATACCGCAAACCACGGCAAGAGCAAACAGGATAGCGAGATTGATAACGCTGGGGTATCAAATTAGTGTACGTGTCAAGACGGCATTCGAAGGAGATGCTTACACCTGTGGGTTCATCTGCCGCTCGACCTTGCTTCTCTTGCTCGGGGTCTCGCCAGCATTGAGCATGATCTTGGTATCCACACCCGTGAATAGAACTACGCCGATGACCCAACTGGTGTTTCTGAGTACGGTCCCGCGTAACAACACCATGCTCGCATCCACCGCCGACTCCTGCCCGCTTATATCCACCACTGCATTGAGCCTATACATGTCGACGTCCGGCCTATCACATCTAACCTGAAATGCATTCTGCGGGTCCATGCAAGCGCGGGATCCATTGAACCGAGTAAGGCAGTCGATCGCACGGCGAGACTTGAGGTTGGTTTCTCCGTCGAGGTTCTTGGTCTCCACGAATGCGACGTTGTCTTCTTCAGAGGTAGCACAAATGAGGATGTCGGCAGGAATGGGTTCGTTGTCGGCGATCTTGACAAAGTCGCCCACAGAGATGTCTTCCCATAAGGTTTCTCTCCACTGAGACGGGTCGTCGTCATGAGCGTCATTGGAGGCGACTGCGGAAAGCTCGACGGAGCGCTGTTTCGTCAACCTAGCTGGCATGATCTTGCGCATAAACGTCTTGCTCTTCGGCTTCATCCTACTCGAGTCCGAAAAGCCGGAGAGGACCCTCGCCTTGCTGTAGTTGACCTTCTGGTCGGCCTGGTGTCGCTGATAGTCTTCATAGCCGTCCTTGAGCGCAGTGGCCGCCACGATGAACAACAGCGGGAGGATGACCACACCAGGCGCTACCGTCGTAAACATGGGAAAGAACTGCAGAATACATAGCGCCAGAAAATACCTGTAAGACAAACCCGCAGTTCAGTACCAGCGCGCACACAAGCCGCCTCCGTCGCACACGACCAAGAACAGCACTTACACATTGGCAATGCGCCTAAACTGCTCCAGCAAGTTCCTGGGTATGAAGGTAATAATCGTATACTTTGAGGTTACGACTTGGTTAGGGTTGAATAGCAACTCCTTTCGAAGCTTTCCCTTGTGATCATAGTAGCTTCCCGGGAGCTTCTGGTGGATGAATACCGTCCTCGCTGGTCCTGGCTCCGATTTTTGGGAGAAGAGGTCGCCGACGCTGAAGGAAGCAAGCCTGGCCCTCCAGTGCGAGATTCTGGCCGTTAGCGGCAATTTCTTGCTGCTCGACATGCCCTACCCATGGGGGTTGAAGAGAAAAGCGGACTAGCGGTTGCGATCATAATCCTGCTCTGGTGGAATGCCCGGGGTTAAAGTTCTTGACTAATTCCGATGAATCAGCACTTCTGATGTCAGCGACTTTGTCTTGGCCGGCCCAAAGCTCGGAGAATTCGCTGAAAGTCGGTCTTGTGGTGGGAGTTTCGAGGAAGAAATACGTGGAAGTTGTACAGAGGGTAAAGAAGACCTTAGCACGACTTGGTAGTATAGAATGAAGCAGAATGTAGCCCTACGAACTGTAATGTTCTAAATTTCTGCAATGCTATTTATAAAACATCCGAAGCGGGAGGAAAATGACAAATTGATGATTATGGGGTACTATGGCTCACCAGTACATCGAATCCACCACTGAATTGAATCTCGTCTTCCACTGGCCCAATCGACCTGAAAATTGGAACAACGATTCCAGATGACTATTAAATGAAGATGGTGCACTTTTTTTTGAAGAAAACGGATGGGATTTGGAGGTAGGATGGTTTGAAGGAAGGCGGGGGCATCAGTAATTTGTAGTGCCATCGGCGAAATTATTGATCGAATTGATGAATGGTTACGATTTTGTAATCAAAATTCGATTCAGTGGTGGATTCGATGTACTGGTGAGCCATAGTATGGAGTATGGCGGGAAGCCTAAAATACATAGTGCCTCGTACAAACCAGAGAGCTCATGGTAAAGGAGAAAATGAACGTGGTGAAAGGGTGGTAACTGTGCAAATCTAAGTGCCCGAAAGTGCTATGTCACAGCCGACGAAACCTGCGTTGGTATTGGGGGCAGCGGTGCTCTGTTCGAGAGCGTCGGTTGCGCTCGAGGAGTATACCCCGGTGGTGGGTCATCTGTCAGTCCTTCGGCCCAGTCAGACCGCTGATTCGCTCGAAGAATCTCGATTTGTTGCTGCATCAACTCCATCTGCGCTCGCATTTCTTCTACCGTCATCTCCTCCCCACCCGTGGCCCTCGGCTCCGTCCTACGTCGCAACGACCTCCCTCGCTTCAAGTCTTGCCCCAACTCGTCCATCTCCTGTTCGACGGTTCGTAATTGCTGGTCAAGCTCCTGCTGCCGGGCCCGGCGGATAGCTTCCTGTTGAGAGCTGAGAGGGATTAGGGCGTGATTCGAGGTCGAAGTCGTGGACGTTTGTTGGTTGGAAGAGTTGGAAGGACTGGTAGGAGCAATTCCTCCGTAGGCGGAGGAGTATACACTTCCGTCTGTTGTGGAGCCTTGAGGAATATAGCGTTGTGGCTGAAGTTTTGGAGGATAGAACGTCGGGGGCCCGCCGACAGGGTTCCCACCCATGGATGAAGGACCACCCATAGCCGAAGGGCCACCCGATGCCTGCGCATTGCCCGTGCTACCATTGGGGCTCTTTATGTATGGACCATTCACAGAGCCCTGATAGAACCCCTGTGCATTTCCACTCCCACTGGGTGCCACGGAATCGTTTCCAGTCGCCCCGTCAGGGATCGACGACTCTACAGGAGAGTAGAACTGGATAGGAGGGTTGCCGCCTGTGGGGGGCGACGGGTACGGTCGGGCCTGGGTCATATCAGGATCCATTGAAATCGCTCCATATCTTTTCCGTCGCCGCAAGCAGAATACGAGGAAGGCGATCAGACCGAGAGCCGCTAGGCCTCCCACGACTCCGCCAGCGATGGCCCCCACTGGTGCGGAAGATGTAGCGGCAGACTCTGAATCGTCGTCTGTGCCTTCGGCAGATCCTCCTGGTACTGTATCTCCAGGATTAGTGGAAGGGTCTGGGAGGGGTGCGCCGCCAGTTGAGGATCCCGAAGCTGAAGGAGAACGAGATGTTGAACCCGAATTGGATGCTGAGGGTGATTGGGAAGCTGAACTCGAAAGGGATTCTGAGGCCGAGGCTGAAGATGACAAACCTTGCGATGATGGTCTTGGGCGACTGGACGATACTCCTGCTGGGTCGTCGACATGGCTAGAAACAGGAAGCTCAGCCTCGGTCAACGAAACAAATACAGCGTAAAAGACATACGTATAAATAGCATAATCAAAATTCACATAGACATTGTGATCAACACCTTCAGTCCTAATAAGGAGGGTATGGTTGCCATTGGGCAGGTCATTTCTGGAAAACACCAGCTGGTTGTAGAGAATGTCTGTCGATGTGAGGTCGGGCGCATGTCTGAAATTGACGGGGGGTTCGTCGTCCAGGATGAAGTCGCAGTCGGTAATGGTGGTTATTCCAGTGCCCTGGTCATTGGCAAGGATGAAAAAGACGTGAATGGCAATACCTGGAAGCAGTGAATAGCGATGGTTAGTTCCCATTCCAACGAGTGTAGTGGCAGCACGCACCTTCGAAGGACATTTCAATGCTCATCGACCCAAGCTCGGGGCTATACGTCGCAGCATGGTAGGTTCCACGGAATGCGCGGCTTGTGTCCGGGTTAATCGCACAATCCCTACACGTCTCATCCTTCCATACACCAGTGGTTGTCGGCAGAAACCGTGGTCGAACATTCGTCTGTGAGTCCCCGAACCAATCGTCAATCGTTCTGTTCACAATCTGAGCATCCGCGACCCCTAAACTCGAAAAGATCACTAGAAAAAGAGAAAGGAACTGAAAGCATGGCCCCAGAACCATGCTGGGGGAAAAGACTGTTAGCAGTGGTCACACTGCCCAGTGGAGGTACAGTAGTGGGAGGGCATCAACAAGAGACGTTAACGTTCACGGCGCCGTCGCCAGCGAGCTCTTGCAACCCCGAAACACAATCAATCAAACATGCCGAGGAGCCACATTACGACCGAAAGGCCTCGCTATCGGGTTGGGCGGTCCCGGTTGTCATGATCATTGATGAGCGCTCGAGGCAATGTCACGGTCCTACATAACGTCTGTAAGTAGTACTGAGGCTAAGTTGAGGCGCCTGCACGGTACATGCAAGGTTATTCCATCCTGGAGGTCGGGGACGGGGACTCGTATGACTTAGAGAAAGAAACTCCTGAGTGCTTAGCTCGATCGCCCGCACAGTCTGAATGCTAACACGAAGTCAGTTCCCGTCTCAGTTCCCAGAACTGCCAGACAAACTCACCGTTACAACCCATACCGCCGCATTGTGCATAAATATGCAACCTCCTGGATGTGTTCCATAACCATTCTGTCCTAATTCACAGCAGAATTTGACCGACAGACGAAAGAGGGCGAAAGCACAGAATCAAAGAACAACTGGAAGGACAACGGACGGAAACAAAAAGCGGTCCCGGAACTTGCCCGGAACGTAGGAAGCTCGTCGTGAGAAACCCGGGCCGAGCCACTCCGTGAGCGCTTATTACACAACCGCTGTTATCTGGGCGCGTTGAGCAGGCTAAAGGCTTAACAGACAGTTAGAGATAGCATCAGTGTATTAGATGGATGTGGTACTAGCAGAAAACAAAAACAGGCAACCTGGGACTCAACGCGGACTGTAACCGGGAGGTGGATCATCCGTCAATTCCTCCACCCGATTTCGCCTTAAAAAGTTGATCTCTTGCTGCATCAGGTCCATCTGCCTCCTCATCTCCTCCAACGCTGCCTCCCCCTCCTGGGCAGTCGACGTCGACTCCCCAACTCGAAGAGAAGTTCCTCTCTTCAAATCCTGGCCCAGCTGGGTCATATCCTGCTCTACCGCCCGAAGTTGTTGCTGCAACTCTTGTTGTCTCTCCCGACGGGTGGTCTCTTGTTGAGGCGATGACGATCCTGCGGGAAATATACTTCCCTTCAATCCCTTCTGTGAACTGGGGCCGCCAGGGGAAGAGGGAAAGATGAAAGTAGCCGGTTCGGGGACCAAGGTCACGGCGATGGTTTCTTCACGCTTCTGCCTCTGCCTCTGCCTCAAGCAGAAACACAAAGCAAGACAGGCAAACAGAGCTAAAGCTGCTGCTCCGCCAACAGCTCCTCCAACGATGGCCCCAACCGGTGTTGAACGTGATGCACTGTCGCTTGACACATTGGACTCGGCGGAAGGGCCAGGAAGGGCTGGGCCGTCAGTTTGGCCGTTTGTTGATGTTGAAAGTGAGTGAGTTGGTGTTGGCGGTGACGGAGTTGATGTTGGTGATGACTCGGAAGGAGTTGATGCTGACGGTGTTGATGCTGACGGTGAGGGAGTGTTGCTTGGCTCATTGGAAACAGAAGGGAGTGGACGGGTTGGATCGTCAGTTGACGTCGGTTCTGGAAGAGACTGACTTGACTGCTGTATCGGGCCATCCTCCAGATGTCTAAAGAGAGCTAGCGTGAGCGCTTGAGCTGAGGCGACAGGATTAAGTCCCAACGCACGTATAGATCGCATAGTCAAAGTTGACATAGACATCGATGTCAGGACTAGTCGCCACTATCCGAAGTGTATGGTCCCCCGCAGGCAGGTTGGTTCGAGAAAATACGCATAAAGTATTGCTTGGGTCGTGAGGTCGGGTGTGTGTTTGTAAATCACTGGCGGATTGTCATCGAGGATGAATTCGCACTCTGTTGCGGTGGTCACCAAGGGTCCCTGATCGTCGGCATTGGCAAGGATGAAGAACACCCATATAGCAATGCCTAAGAACGTTTGCAAGGTCGACTAATCAGCGTCGACGGTGGGGTGGAAACGTACAACTTCAGGCTACTACACACCGTCAAAGGACATCTCAACGCTCCTGAGACCCTCCCCAATATGCCACGTAGTTTCGCTATACGTTCCCCGAAAAACGCGCGAGCGGTCTGGCTGAACGGCACAGCCTAGACAGGTCTCGTTATTCCAGCCAGGCCCAGGACGACGAGGTACATAGCGGGGTCGAGCTCCCGTTTCAGAGTCACCCAGCTGGTCGTCTATCGTCCTGTTGACCCGGCGCTGGGCCCTTACCAGTTCCAGTGGGACGACGATGAGCAAAAAGAGCAGAGCGCTCAGCCGTCGCAGTATCATGTTGGGGTAAGCTTAAAGGTTGAAGGAGAAAGCTTTTAAACACGGGTAGCGATGGCCATTGGGCGCGATCAATGCTGTAAGAATCATAGCCGTCGAGGCAATTAATAGTTCAAGAGCTGGACTTCCGGAAATCGGGGAAGCTTGTTGAACTTGGCGTGTTCCAAAACTGACAGATGGCAGATCAGGAGGCTAGGGCGCTTAAGTTGAATCTTCAACGGGTGTTGGCGTTTTCCTGATGCTTGGCCAAGTTTATGATTTGTCTGCATAATATAGCCTACTATTGGCGATAGAGGAAGAGGCAGAGTCAAGACTGAATCCAGTCTGAGTTGCACCTCTGGCTCAGCCTTTGGGCGCTTATGAGCTTAAGTTATCCACTCCGATCTGCCAAGACCCAATGCTGACATGGGCGCTGCCACCGTAACTGCCCCATCCGCTAACGCCGAAAATGTCAGAATGCTAGGAAATCCCAGGATTGTATGTCTCGAAGGCATGCAGACCGAGGATGGCCTTTTGACAATGAGCTCTAGTTTCGCAAGACGACGGGCCCAGGACGTACAAACATACAAGTAGCTACATCTCGTACACGTTACAGATCGTACCCAAACATTAGTCATACAACAAAGTAGTCGGAAACAACAACGGGGATAGTCTATACATACAGTCCATGCCAGTGGCTCATCAAACCCAACGCGTGAAATCGTGAGTTCGTCATAACATCCCCCGTCTCAAGCGCTCATTCTCCTCCCTCAATCTTCGATTCTCCTCCCTCAAATCATTCAGATCACCAACATACTCTTCCATCAGCTCCCTTAGCTCCGCCTTCCAACTTCTCCCAACCCTCAACAAATCCAAATGCAACCCCTCGATATCCGCTTTGGTCTGCTTCTGATAATCGTACATCACATCCTGGACAATCGACTTGAGGAGATCGTGTGCTGCAGCACCGGGAGGCGGCTGCGCCGACGGTCGAACGGGGGACGTCCACGAGTTCATCGTCGCGCCGGAGGTATTGGTGGCCATTGGCCGGCGGACAGGGGACACTTGCAAGGTCAGCCTCGTCGAGTCTCTGAGGGGAAGAATGGTCGGACCGCGGTTCTCTTTATCTTCATCTTCTTCCTCCTCGTCATCATCGAAGGCATTGTGGAATTCCACCGATCTACCCTTGCCTTTACTCCTGGTAAGGTACTCGTCCTCTTCGTCAGGTGTTCCGAGGAGGCCAAGAGCAGGATGCTTGGCACGCAATGGTGTGATAGGAGCGGTGTCGACGACCACGTTGGCGAAATCAGGCGTCGTCGCACGAGTGGAAGGAGACACTTTGTCGGAGGTGGATGAACTACTAGGTCGGGAGGAGGATGAGGTGACTCGGTGGGACGTCGCCGAGCTGCTGGGACGGGAAGAGCTTGCAATCGGCTTTCCGCTCCCTGAAGGTGCGCGAGGGCGTGAACTTGCTGCTGCTGAGGGGTTTGGCCCGACACCAGCAGCGGATGAGATTGTGGATGCCCTTGTTGGTCTCGAGAGCACCGGAGAAGTTCTTGCGGCGAAGGCAGAGGAGATGGAGATGGTCGATGAGCGTGTCGGTCTGGAGAGTACTGGAGAACTGCGTGATGTGGGAGACCGTGAAGGAGCCACCTTGAGAGGGGATTTAGCAACGGCGAGGTGGCGGGTACCGATCGTGTCCAGCTCAACTGAGCCAAAGTCAGTACAAGTAGAGATGAAATTAGTGCCTACTCACCTGAGATTTCATCAGTCGAGGTAGGGGATTGGGATTTCGTGGCGGGTGATTTGGCAGATCCAGTTTCCCTGAGCGGCCGCCTCCGTGCGACTGAGCTTGTCGAAGCTGGCGCAGCACTTCTCGTGGTTTGGATCGGCGAGAGTGCAGGTTTACGCGAAAGCAACGCTCGGCGATCGGATGTGGTCCGTGGGGTGGGCTCCGACTTGGTCACGGCCTTTCTCTGATGAGCAGAATGTCAACACCTTGAAATGCCGAAGATGTTTCAACACTTACCTGAACCGAGATCGTCTCAATACGACTGGTACCGACAGAGATCACACGAGGGGGTTTATCCAGCGTTCTAAGCTGGAGGACAACCAAATTTCCGGTCTGCGTACCGACGAAAATGGCTGCCCCTTCAGGGGAGAAATCCATTGACGTCACTGGGAGCTTTAGGTTAATCGTCCGAGAGATACTGCAATGCAGCGTTAGCCCATGGGCGACGTGAACAGAGTGGGGTCGACTCACGATTTCTCCTTCTCGAGATCCAAAAGAACAACAAACCCTTCCGAAGTCGCGGCCGCAATCAAAGTCTTGCTAAATGGACTAGAGGAGACTGAGACCACATCTCCCAGCACAGCGTCTGGCAAGGAGATTGACTTTGCTGGCCCAGAAGAGCGAATTGTATCATAGACGATTACACTCTTCTTTGTGCCCACAAGCAGCCTTGTCCGAGTATGCGGATGGAACGAACAGGTCGTTACTCGTTGACCATTCGGATTGACCCCACGAAGCGCCGTATGCGAGCCGGTGCTCAGGTTGTGGATATAGACTGCCGTTGGAGACGCTGAGGCGAGTATTGATGCGTCATTATTGAGCGATAGACTGTGTATAGGCGATTTGTGATTGCTGAATGTTGAAGTTACTCTCGCTTTTCCGTCGCTGCAGTCCAAAACTTGGACGACGTTCCCTTCCCCGATGAATGTGGTGGTTTTGTCCTTGGTTGCCAGACATGATAGGGTGTTCTGCGACGTATACATGTCCTTTACCACGTTCGAAACTGGACTATATCTGTAAAGGGTCGTGGAAGAACACAAGTCCAAAGCGGTATTGTCGGGGCGCCAACATGTCGCGACCGCTTTGTCGATGAGGTCGAAACAAGGCGATATTGAGCTCGCTGTTCTGCGCAGCGCGTCGGGGTCGTCAATGTACAGCGCGTCCGTCGTTGTCGTCGCGAGCATCGTCGCCGATGTTGTGGAAAAGGGAAAACCGAGAACTGAACAATGAACAAGAAGATTGGTTTGCTTGGCGACGGGCGTCGCGGTCAACGGAACGATCACGTGGACCGTCATCAATCCTCGGTCCGCCACCGGGCTTTGGGCGCTTAATGCCCCCCACCGCGTGACTACAGTAGCCGCCTCGATCCCGAGCCCCGAGATCATGGACAACTGAGTAACGTACATAGAGCCAATGCGCTGCTGATGACTCCGAGAGAGCATCCGTGCTTTTCATTTCGCTTCACGAATCACCAGGGCCGAAAGTGATACTTACCAAGGGGCGTTGATGCTTATCACCCTGATATAAAGAACCGCGAATGCTGTGAAGCGAATCGTCGAGGAGGCCAGCGCCTTCATCTCGTTGCACACACAAGAATAGCAGAACTGTCCAAGATGTCTCCGAACCTCCAGCCCGGTATCAAGGACACTTCAATCTCAGTCCGCGATAGTAAGCAGACAACTTGAATCCCCCATGATCGACTTCAAAGTGTAACAACGCGTCACAACTTCTAGCCGCCGCTTTTGTGGACAGGTACATGCCCAAGGATGTGGCCGAAGGGTACATCACACGAGAACTCAAAGCCTTTACCTGGCGAATCAACCAGTGGAGCGCGCTTGAACCGGGGGAGGCTCGGAGCCCAGAATTCACCTGCGCTGGCTTCAAATGGCGAGTCTATCCAAGCCGTGCCTGCTTCGACTACTGTCCTAACACTCCTAATTACCTCATCAGGCGAATCTACCTGGTAAATCGAGCCGCCGATGGCAGATATCCATCCAGGGTGTCCCTGTATCTCGAGTGCATGGGGCCCGCCGGCGGCGCCTCCTCCACTCAAGAATGGTCCGTGCCCGCTCAAGGCCTCTTCGCAATCTCCAATGCGGTAGATCCAACCATCCATCACTCCAATGGTGCGTTCACAGCAGATATAGTTCTTTGTAAGAGGAAAACTCAAGCCATGCCGCAGCGATTCATCATCGATTTAACCCAGACGAACACGATTGGGGATTCAACCAATTTCTGGATACAGAGCTGTTGGCATCCACCGCCACCAGACCCAGACCGTTCGTTGAGAACGACCAGGTCGATATCACGGCGTTCGTTCACGTTGTTCAAGATCCGACTGGCGTCTTATGGCGTACCTTCTTTGGGTGAGTCACCCTTCCTCGGTCTGTTATCAATGAGTTGTAACAGCGACATCCGAAGTGACTATGACTCCAAGAAGACTACAGGCCATGTCGGGATCAAGAACCTGGGGAGCACGGGTTACATGAACGTGCTCCTTCAGGCGTTGTACTTTACGAATGCATTTCCAAAGGTGAGTCAACAAATATCGAGCCGGAAAGGCCGATAGCTGAAAGCGAACGAAAGATCATATTCCAAATTCCAACGGAAGGACGCCGCTGGCCGGAAAGAAACACGCCATTGGCACTTCAAAGGTTACTCTACAGCTTGATGACCTCCGAAGAAGCCGTCTGTGAGTCCCTCCTCGCCTCCATTCACTCCTCGAACTCACTCAATGCACCCTGAGATAGCTACACTGGAGCTGACAAAATCGTTCGGATGGAAACCAATCGATTGTTTAATAGCCCACGACGTTCTCGAATTCTACAGAGTGTTCATTGACAATCTCGATACTAAAATCAAGGTACGAGTTACATATATCCTGGCCATGGCACCTGAATTAAAACGTCCTGCAGGGCACCCCGGCTGGCGACAGCCTACGGAACATGATATCCGGGAAGATGAAGTCCTTCCTCAGGCCTATAAACATGCCCGACCAGGAGTCGTCCCGCATCGAGACATTCACAGGTACGTTACACAAACTACCAGACAGCTCTCAGCCCGACGAGGCTGCTCACAGGTTGATCGACAGACCTCCAACTCAACGTAAAGAACCTCAAAGACCTGAACGCCTCCTTGCGAGACTACACCTCCACCGAAACCATCGAAGACTACCCCTTCCAGGACCTAGGAAACCAGAACGTATTGAAAGGAATAACATTCGAATCGTTCCCTCCTTTCCTCCTCCTCTCCCTCAAACGCTTCGAGTACGACATCGCAACAGACAGCATGGTCAAACTGCACGACCGATTCGAGTACCCAGCCCGTATAGACCTCGCCGAATTCCTGAGCGAGACCGTCGCCGCACAATCCAAGTCCGAACCTTGGGTGTACCGCCTCCACGCAGTCATCTCCCACGACGGCGGCATACACGGTGGGCAGTACCTCGCCTACGTCCAACCCGACCGCCAAAGATGGTTGAAATTCGACGACGACCGTGTCACACCCGTCATCGAACGCGAGGTCTTCGAGGGGAACTTTGGTGGATACCCGTCGGGGCCGAACAGCGGCAAGAGCGCGTATGTGCTCGTTTACATCCGTGAATCTGCGCGAGAGTTTTGGGAAGCGCCTATGGAATTGGATGTGCCTGCTCATATCAGTAAGCGCCCGTGTATGTCCTTGGGCTATCCGTACAGAACTGATGTTATACAGGAAACCCACCGCCTACAGAAAGCAAAGTGGTGAAACCAGAAGACGAACGTCAGAAGAATAGCAAGTTTATGACCGTAAAGGTAAGATCTTTCCCCCATGTTACCACTCAACCCATCTACAACCCACACCGGCCATAACCCAGCTCGTCACAGAACAATCCTTCACTTTCCACCAAGGCTTCGACCTCGCACAATTCGATGGCCCCAAGGACGAGGAGTCCCGCTCGCCATCAGCTCCCACCAGCTTCCGCATCCTCAAAACCGAAACGCTCGAAACCTTCAAGAGCAGAGTCTCCGACCACTTTGACGAGTTACCAGAGGACTCGTTCATGTTCTGGAGCGTCATCCTTCGGCAAAACCAGACTATCCGAGCGCACGCCCCACTCCATGGTTCAATACCAGGTCGCACACCCGATGATCTAATTATACAAAGTGCGTGCTAATACATCGCCCCTCGATGCCTCAGTCGAGTTTTACTGACGAACCAAAACTAAAGCAATGGACGCCATCCGATCAAGCACCTCCCCCGAAACCCACGTACTCCGCCTTTACCTCGACCGCATCCCACCCGGACTCCAAGGCTCCCCATTCCCACCACCAGGATGCATCCTCGTATTCCTCAAATACTTCGACGCCTCACAACAGAGTTTAATCGGTCTCTCGAAAATCTACGCCCCAAGAACCGAGAAAATCGGTGTTGTGTTAGCGCCCGTCCTGCAGAAAGCGTTGGGTTGGCCGTTGGACGAAGCGTTCAGAGTCTACGAGGTACGTACTGCGAAGAGAGTTATCTTCAGGGGTATTCTACGGTACTGATAACGATAATTGAAGGAAATAAAACCAACGATGATCGAACGTATCAACAACCTGAAGCGGACCTTCGAGCAATCAGAACTCATAGATGGAGACATTCTATGCATCCAGTCGGAGATTTCCTCCCAGGAGTAAGCAACATTACCTTGAACCTATTAAAACATTGTAACCGACCTTTGCTAGGACAAGCGACCTCAAAGCTCGAGGACTTGCAACCGACCCGGTAGAGTTCTACGAACGCATGCGTCTCGCTCCAACTCAAGGCCAAACATTACCTGGAGCCAATCTACCCTCCTCTACCGGTCCCAAAGCACCTGTTGTCCCCTCTCCCAAGCACACTAGCCAACTGGGCGTGGTAGTCTTAGGAGAGAAAGAGAAGTAGTAGCACCATTCATTGTATCTATAAAATAGTAACGCTTCGAATATACATACATACACCCACCGCGGATCGAACATTGATCCTCTCCATACAATAAGCGCCCGGAAAACTCACAGCACCCATTCTCCCCTTTCCCCCTTGTTCCCGACGACGCCCAACTAATGAGCAAAAAGATAACAAAAACTCGACGCCAGCAGGATTCGAACCTGCGCCCTCAAAGAGGAACAGATAGCAAGCTTATCCTCGGAAGAGGATGTCATTCGAATCTGTCGCCGTAACCACTTGGCTATAGCGCCTTATGCATCGGCTTGGTTGGGGCTAGTCAGGAGTACTTACTCACTGCCATGAGGCTCTGCGCTAGCGCTGCAGTTGGGGCTCATTCGGTTTGAACATTAAGGCAGGCTAGGCTGTAAGGATATAGCTGAAGGAAGACATCTATGATAACACACCCTGTGATGCAGCTGCGTGACTTGTTAGGAGCCTCGGAAGAGCATGGACTGCTGACTGACGTTCGAACCCTTGAATTAAAACGTGGTGGACCCCATATCTCGCCAGCTGCTCGAGGCCTGAGAGAATGGAGTTTATGGAAAGGCCCTTCACTGGCGATACTTATCCAACAACGCTACACCCTTCTCACCAAGGGCAATGGGCCTCGAGGAACCCAGCTCGAGTCTTCGATTCCCCACCTACAAGAGTTCAAGTTCGCTAGCTTGTCCTAAAGACAGGACAGTTCAATTACATACAATTAAACTCGAAAATCAAACAAAAAGTAAGGAACAACAACAAAAAAACTCGTACACCATCACCCCACTCCACACCCACTCAAAACTTGAAATCCTTCCCCTTCCTATCCCGATCCCTCTCCCTATCTCTCTCAGCCTTCGCCTTCTTCTTCGCCATCTCCTTAGCCACCATATCCGAAAAGTCCTCTCCCCGTCCACCAGGCACACCAGCATTACCCCTATTCGCGCTGTCGTATTTCTTGCGGAGGTCTTCCTCGGAGAGACCTTCGAGCTCTGAAGCGTCCAAGGCGACATCCACGCCTCCTTTACGCTGCTACAACCCCAAAAAACACGTCAGGAAAAAGAAAACACCGTAAACGAGGACAGAGGAAACGCACCTTCTGACTCCTCTCATCACCCAACACAGGGATCGCACCACTCGCCGCACCCGAAAGAGCACTAACGTCATACCCCCTCTCACTCCCCATAAGTCCCCGCACACTGGTCTGCTTCTCAGGCACAACCTGGTACAAACTCCTCTGCTGCTGGTCGCCTCTGTCCCTCTCAACCTCGGACACCCGGCTCTTCCGGAGCTCCACAAAGTCGGGCGTCTCGAGCCCACCGGCGACGGTGGACACGACGGAGGTGAGACCAGAGGGTGTTTCGAGCCCGGAGGGTGTTTGCATACCGTCCGCGGGCACAGAGGAGGATGTCTCGCCCATTTCTTCGTCAGAGTCGGATTCTTCTTCGCTGGATTCTTCTTCTTCCTCTGTGGGAGATGGGTGAGAGAGAGGGAGGGGGAAGGGAGGGGGGAGGACGTACCTTCTTCGGGCTCGAGTTCGCCCCAGGGTTCTTTGTTGATGGGTTCGCCGGCCTATGGGGAATTCTGTTAGCGAAACGTTTTCGACAAGAGGTATAAACAATACATACATGGTCGTTTGTCGCCTTTGGTAACACACCGAACACATCGCCGTACAGCGGTCGGTTGTACTCGTCGAGAGGTGGTTTACCCCATCCACCGGGATGGAAGCCCCACTGAGCGCCTTCAGGGATGGGGGCGTTGAGACCGGGTATCCGGAGTGTAGGGTAGCTAGGCGGTGGACCGAATCGTTGCATGCTGATGAGCCATGGCGGAGGCGCAAGAGGAGGAATGGAAAGAGCTTCAACGAGTTCGGGAGAAAGGTCACCCGGTTTCTTCTCCTTCAGCGACGTCTCGAACTCCTTTCCTTCGTAGTACCTGTACAAACCAGTCAACAATGGCTATCGAGGAACAAAATGAACACACACATTTCACCAAAGTCGGTCAAAGGAGGCTTGGTCTGGAATTTGAAAAAGGCATCGTGGAGTTTCTGGTAGTCGATATCGATTTTGCCCATCTTTGGCTGCACACGTTCTCTCGTCTTGGCTTTGAGACTCATATTCGCCTCTTTCTCCTTCACCGCGTCCCGCATCGTCGCAATACCCGTATCCGCGATATACGAGGGAAGCTGGAACGGCGGTTTCTCGATACCCCTCTTGCCCTGCAGATAATCCCGCTTGGCGCTCCAGTGCGCTGGGATGGGGACGGTGTTTCGGTAGGACTTGAGGTGAAGCAGGAGACGCGGGTCAGCGGCGGTCACGTCTGTCCATTCCACGATTTCTGGCTTCTTGACGAGTTGTTTGAGTTCAGCGACGGTTAGACGGTTCATCTTTCGGGCCTTTTTCTTGGAGAGAGGTTTGGGTGCGTCTTCGTCGTCTGAGCCTGCAGAGGCCATGTCGTCGTCGGAATAAATGACTTCGCCCTTTTTGGAGATTCCTCCTTCCTCTTTGACCTGAACATTTATTAGAAAATGAGCCAATTGAAGAGGTGTAGAACTCACCGCGACACTCTCTGCAGGAGCCTGGAACTTTGCAAAGACATCCGCAAAAGCTTCAAATCCAGGCGCCTTGAAGTCATCTTCCTCCACCACAAACTGCTTCACGCTAGCCTTGGAATCTTCATCCACCTCCATCTTCACATCCTCATTCTCCTTCTCCTCCTTCTGCTGCTCTTCCTGCCGCTGTTGGGGCTGCGCAGCCTTCTTCTGTTTCTGCTTTAGCCTACGGAGTTGGTTTTTGGATTTGATGGGTTTACCGCCATTCAGCGCCTTGAGGTCTTCGACGCCATTCGAGGCTTTTGCGACGTCTGCCATCGTGTCCGCTGTCGTGAGTTGTTGGTGTTGATACTGGTAGTCGGCGGGGGTGTGGTGGTGGTCGTGGACGTCGATGAAGCGAGTCCAGCCAGCGGCATTGCCGAGCGTACCTGCCGGATATGGGCTCCGAGGCTGTTGGCAAGCAAAACCAAACATCGTACGCGTCGCGTCAATCAATCTCGGGCACCGTTCACGAACTGAACGCTCACGACGACCCCGACGACTACCTTTTCCTTATCCCTTTTTCTCTTATCCTACTTGAATTGAGAGGATGGTAGCGACGACGACAGAACAAGTAAGTCTTGACAGATATGTTGGTGAATCTATTCTCAAACGATATACTTATTCAAGTTTTTAATTAGTTGACCGCTTTGGCTGGTACCACAGTCAGTACGTCCAATCTACCGCTGCGTAACGTGATAGACGACTGAAGAAACCCTTCTTCTCCTTCTCTGGAACGACAGTCGTACACCCACTAGTTCTACTATCAGTAACAGACCACCACGCCCGGTCAAACCAACGGACATCGAATAAGCGTGTTATCGGTGTCCTTCTGGGTCAGGACAACGGCAAGACCATCAACGTCGCAAACTCCTTTGGCATCCCTTTCGAAGAAGATGAAAAGGACAGCAAGACGTGGTTCTTGGACCACAACTATATCGAAGCCATGTACGACATGTTCAGGAAGGTCAATGGTGCGCTCCCTCCCCTTCTCCTCTTTCACAAAACCCTAAACTTCAGGTTGTGTTATGGATTTTGTAAACAGCAAAGGAACGCTTAATCGGGTGGTACCACACCGGTCCCAAACTGCGCGCCTCGGACCAAGAAATCAACGACCTCTTCAAGCGGTACATCGCCCGCCCCGTGATGGTCATTGTCGACGTCCGCCCAGACACAGTCGGTATCCCCACAGACGCCTACTTTGGCGTCGAAGAAATCAAAGACGACGGAACCGAAACGCGCAAAACCTTCCTCCACGTACCATCCGCGATCGAGGCCGAAGAGGCTGAGGAAATCGGCGTGGAGCACCTCCTCAGGGATATCAAGGATTCTACTACGACGACGCTGGCGACTAGGGTGGCTGAGCAGCTCGCGTCCTTGCAGGGCCTGCAGTCGAGGGTATCGGATATCCAGAAGTACTTGGTGCAGGTGGCCAAGGGTGAGGTACCGATAAACCATCAAGTCATCTACCATCTCCAGGATGCGCTCAACTTGCTGCCGGATTTGGATGGGGACAAGGAACTGACGCAGGGCTTTGCGGCGAGCACGAATGACCAGATGTTGGTGGTTTATTTGAGCAGTTTGTTGAGGGCGGTTATTGCGCTGCATGCGTTGGTGGACAACAAGGAGACGATTGGCAGAGCAGAGTTGGAGGAGGGTGAGGGGAAGAATAAGGATAAGACGAAGGATGGGAAGGAGAAGGAGAAAGAAAAGGGGAAGGACGAGAAGAAGGACGATTCGAAGGAGGGTGAGGCGAAGAAGGATGAAGAGAAGAAGCCTTGATTTGTATAGTGCCCGTTCACACTTTCGATTTCGCAATACCACTTTTTTCGTAAACCGACCAAGTCCAGTGAAATGGGATGTGTTAAACTGGGCTTGATTGCACGGAGGACATGTTATACCCTGATAGACGCCCAACGAGCGCTCACACGCAAGGTATCGTGTGGCCCAAGTATCGATTGGAAGAAGCAAAAGCAGATTTGGTCCCTGGTTTGTCAGGACGCAAACACGGAACAAATAGAGGCACGAAACTGGGCTTTCCAGCACCACAACCGCGACCGCGACCACGACCACGACCACAACAACCACCACATTCGCGGACTGGCGACGCTCTGTGTCTTTCGTCTTGTAATAGAACAATCCATCCCAATGTGGCGATCGATGAGTCATTTCTAGAAGGCTTTGGAAACCAGTTCTATTTCTCGCAACGATAGATACTCAGAGTGGTCGGGGTATATTCAGATTCTATAACGCTACGTGTATTAATCTAATTCTATTTGTCTATTGAAGGGTTGTGCACGTATCCGCTGGATCAGATATAATGAAGAAATGTACTTGCAAAAGAAACGTACGATGGGTCGATGTTTAAGCAGAGACGTTGATGGGGCTGCATCCGAGGGCAACGACACCGTCTACAGGAACGACATTAGAGAACGGTACTAGAACCGGGAAAGGCATGGATACTTACTGAAGCTGTTGTTGTTGCAGCAAACCTTCTGCTGAGTGCAAGAAGAGCCACCTCCGACACCGAGGACGTTAAGGCTGGTGCATCCCATACCGACTTGGCCAGTAATCTGCTTGACGTCGACCTTCAGGAGGCCGAGGAGCTTGGTCAGGGACTGGTCTAGCGACTTGGAGTCCTGGACGCTGTTGCAGCATTGGATTTCGCCGCCGTTGCACTGCTGGTAATCGACATTCTTTTGTCCACCAGCGACGACGGCGGAGACGAGGGTGAAGGCGAGGAGGGCAGAGGTGAGGCGGGCGAACATTGCGTTGTTAGAGTGGGAGGTGGTGAGTGAGGGGGTGGAGAAGGCTGTTGTGGACAGTAGAGTGGAGAGAGGCGAACTGGGTTCTGAGGAACTGAGAGCCGCGCTGGAGGGGTTTATATTGGTTTCTGGACCCGGGGTCTAGGGAATTGACACCTCGAATTCAATAAGAGGACCCTGCGCTTAGGCTGTCATCGCGTACTGGAGAAGGCTGAACCCGAAGAACGCGTCGAGGGTGAGTACATACTCCTTTAGGAAGGACTCGGGATTGATTTGGAAATCGGTAGACCATTTGTTCGGGCCCACAGCTCGGAAAAATTCAGACTAACCCTAATCATGATGCCTAAGTTTTCGGCTATGGTACAGTATACGAGGCTGCGGATTGATTCTCCCCCTCCTCCAATCAGCGTCTCGTGTATGCGGCGACTTGGAATGATAGAACTGGAAGTCTTGGACGCCCCTCCACCATGTCCAAGCGGCTCCAACCACGGGTGGTCTTGGCACACGGATACGGAAGGTAAGTGCCCTTGTCCGTCGCCTCGTGAAGGTCCCAGCAACCTCGAGGGATAAAAATCAAAGCGTTTTGCGCTTAACCCGCTGGTGAAGAGTCAGAATTTATGATTGATGTGAAGGGTGGAAAACTATAAAAACTCGAACGCATGATGATCTGAGTCCTTAGTTGAACTTGCACTTCGGTGACTCCGCCGAAATGACGTTCCAACGCAAAGCATCCTCGTCCAAATCCGACTCCGGTAATACCATAGAAATCGACCCAGAGCCCAACGAGAGAGTCGATCAAGCACTCTCGACCACACCCCAAATCCATTTCGATTTCGACAACATGACGCTCGCGGGAATGTTAGCTCCTCTCTCGACTCTGACTCATCTCCATCTCGGAACGGTTAGCTTTGACGACGTATATCAGGTTTTGTCGAGTGCCCCTCAGTTGCTCTTTCTCAGCTTCACGGCCAGCAACAGATCTGATACTTTAAACACCTGCACCAGAATCCAGCATGACCGTCTCCAAGCTCTCCATATCGTCATCGAGTCGGGGGCACACGCAGAGGCATTGACGTTTACTCGACTGGCAAGCTTTCCGAACTTGACTTCGCTTGACATCAGCTTCAAGCATGGAGGACAAGGTATCGACAGCCCAGTTCCATTGGCGTACCAAGCAAAAGCAGACGCCTTCCTTTCGAGCTTCATTGCGCCTTTCAGACACACTTTAGCTTATCTATCCCTGCAGGAATTGGATGGTCACTCGCCGGAGATTCTCTCCCCGCGGGCGCTTCAGGCTGTGGCACACCAGACTCCAAATCTGGTCCAGTTCTATGCAAAGAGACATGCCTTATCAAAGGACAGCGAATTCGAGGCGGTCATTGCATTCCTAACTGGCGGCGATAGCAAGCCAAACACCGCCACCAACTTCGACGACCTTTTGCGCTGCATTATGCGTTACGCCCTGTGGCCCAAGCTACAGTATTTCCGATGGGACTGCGGCGATTCCACTGACATTTCCGACCGTGCGCTGCTCGAGTTCATGCGAAGCCGATCCGGCCAGTATTACTATCACGACTGGCGAGTTGTCCCTCTTCATCAAATCGTCGTAACTCTCCCGCGAAAGCAGAACTTTCCTATCAGTCTATGGGATCTTGAAGGACTCCGGTACGAGATCGGCTACACTGACAAGTATTATTCGAAGGATGGAACCACACAGTACCTCCCTTTCGGACGATCCGGGACAGCGAGAGGTACGGTGGGATCCAAAATTCGGGAGACGTCCTACAATGCTTCGGGCTCACACAGGCGCTACTCTGCCTGATCTGTGGGGATTATGGACCCTTGGATTCAGGTTAGCAGATTCGCGTAGTGTTGTTCAATAATAGGGGCCCAGACCATTAGAGGCAAGGCCCCCTAATCGTATGGGCACGAGTGCTGACTATCACCAAGGTTACCGTAGATTTTGCGCTCTCAATTTTTTCGTCTCGATTCTCGTCAGATTGTGTCTTAGAGTATATTATCCGTGTTCTAGTATTACAAGTCGACCATCTGGGATCAGTAGATACGACTATCTCATTTACAGGGCCCTACCGTCAATCACAGGTGCCCATGATTTCGGAAGGGGCGCGCCAAATAGAAGATGATGAATTATGGAACACTAAAGGTTAAGTGCTACACTACTAGGGATTATAGTAGTATGAGCAGGCTACAAAAACATAGTCAGACGTCGGCTGCACCGTGATGACTGGGCAACCTACCATCCCGACGATGGAGAAGTTTAAGCAGAGACGTTGATGGGGCTGCATCCAAGGGCAACGACGCCGTCTAAAGGAACGACATGAGTAAACAGTACAGCCACAATATCTGAGCATGTGACATACTGAAGCTGTTGTTGCTGCAGCACACCTTCTGCTGAGTGCACGACGAGCCACCTCCGACACCGAGGACGTTAAGGCTGGTGCATCCCATACCGACTTGGCCCGTGATCTGCTTGACGTCGACCTTCAGGAGGCCGAGGAGCTTGGTCAGGGACTGGTCGAGCGACTTGGAGTCCTGGACGCTGTTGCAGCATTGGATTTCACCGCCGTTGCATTGCTGGTAATCGACATTCTTGTGGCCACCGGCGACGACGGCGGAGACGAGGGTGAAGGCGAGGAGAGCAGAGGTGAGGCGGGCGAACATTGTGTTGGATAAGAGTGGTGAGTGAGAGGCGGAGAAGGCTGTTGTAGAGTGGAGAGAGGCGAACTGGGTTCTGAAGTTTTGGAATTCGAGCTGGAGTGCTTAAATATCTTTGACGTGTCGGAGAGACGGCCCAGGCTTTGCACACGTTGTCCACACACAAGTGGAGGGCCCTGCTTAAAGCCTGTCATCGCGTACGCGACATCGGTGAAGCCGAAGAACACGTCGGGGGCAATCCCCATTTCGGGCAGGATGCGAGACTGATTTGGAAATCGGCGGAGTTCATTGTTCGGGTCCAAGGGCTCGGCGACGAAGAAAGTCAATTAACCCCAGAAGCGAAGTCTAAATTTTCGCTTGTCAGACTACTGTCATTTGTGTGGGTCACATAGTGTGGGTCACATGCATATAAATTTATTTTGAACATGATGCTGCTGGCATTTACTTATGTACCAGTTCTGGGGTAGATCTGGGTCCGTCGTTGCAGCGAAGGCGCTGCATGGTGCACAGTCTTGCGTCGATACCTCAAGAGTATTCGTATTTGTCCAACTTGAAAGGCATGAGACTACTAGGATGGCACGAACATTCGACAATGAGCAGGGAGTAGCAGTTGCGGGTGGCAACCGCTTAGTGACTTGGGTATGCACTCGTCCTGGCTTGGACTTGGTCCGCAACAGAAGGTTTTGAGCGAGCCCTGCAGACACCCCGAATCTCTGGATGGGGCGGTCTAGCGGTCTTAGTGCACTCCGAGAGACGGGGCTACGACCAGTTTTCAGCTTTGGGCATCCATCATAACGCAAGGCGAGTGAGTCAGGTCACCAGAACAGATTTTGCACGTAAGCGCCAATCGTGTATTAAAATGATTCGGGGTACTATAAAATGTATTACAGGTGCGGTATGATAGGGTGAGGAGGGTAGGTGGAGACATTTGGACGTCAGCAAAGGGGAATGGAGAAATAAGAGAGAAACCCACAACTCCAGTGAAAACGCCGCTTAGGCTGAGACGTTGGCGGGGCTGCATCCGAGAGCAACGACACCATCTGGACGAAAGGTATTATGTCAGTAGCTGACGGTCATCGTAGGCAAGCATAACGCACTGAAGCTGTTGTTGGTGCAGCAAACCTTCTGCTCAGTGCTGTAAAGGCTCCATCAATACCTCGACTACCACCCAGCGCAAGCAGTAGCCTACTTACCAAGAAGAACCACCTCCAGCACCGAGGGCATTGAGAGCAGTGCATCCGACACCGACTTGACCAGTGACCTGCTTAGCGTCAATCTTGAGGTGACCGAGGAGCTTGGTGACCTCGTTGTCGAGGGACTTGGAGTCCTGAACGCCGTAGCAGCATTGAATCTCGCCGCCGTTGCACTGCTCGGCCTCGACACGGCTCTTGTGGTGGCTACCGGCGATGGCGGAGGTAACGAGAGTGAGGGCAAGGAGAGCGGTGGAGAGTCGGGCGAACATTGTGCTAAAGGAGAGGCGGTGGTGAGAGGTTGAGAAAGCTGTTCTGGGGAGGGAGTGGGTGAAGGCGAACTGAGTTCTAAGGCGAGTGAATGACGGGCTGGAGGGGTTTATATGTAAGCCGTCGGCTGCTGTCGTAAAGGTGGAGTCTGGGCAATTGGCATTGAGTTGACACGTTGAACACGAAGAGGACCCTGTGTGTACGCTAGTAGAATCGCGTATCTCAAGCTCCAAATTGCTTCGCGCGTCTATCCCTTTTCCGGAAAGACCCAAGACTGATTTGGAGGTCGGCGGACTGGGTCGTTCCGTTGTTCGGGTCCATATCTCGGACTGTGTAATTACCCTCCAGATGGCGGACTGCAAAATTCAACATGTCGCCATGCTACCAGAGTCTCAGCCTGAGGGAGGACAAGTGCCTTGAAGTTCGAGGGAGAAAGTAACATGGCCCTGGTTTGAACCCGCAACCTCATGATGGGATCACGATATCGAAGCCCCATTCAACTTTCCAACTTTCAACCTTTTTCCTCGCCACTGCGATCATCCTGGACTGCGTTGGCATTTCAACTGGGAAGGCGAAAGGAATAAAGGAATGTTGTCATCGCCTTTGGACAAATGACGTTCTGGTTGTCTGTTGCTAGGCCTCCGAACAGGACTCTGTCTCGAACTTCGTGCCTTCGCCCGTCTCTATCCTAGTGTGTCAATGCCACAGTCTTTTTGGCCACCCTAGTGTCTCGAGCTCCTTTTCATATCCATGCCACAGTGTCTCTTCAGGAATGTATATAATGTCTCCCTCTCTGGGTCCTCAGCGGCCAGAAAACTTTCCCTTTTTCCCTGACAGTAGCAGCCAGCGATGGAGCCCCAGTCTCCGAACGAAAACCCGACTCTTGAATGCTCCGGGATATCTCAACTTCCAAACGAACTTCTCTCAGAGATCTTGGAGCCCTTCTTCTGCGTTCCAGACGACAAATTCTCCAGCACCGAGCCTGTGTCACCGTTCTCGAACTACGGTCTTCCATCGTTACCTCCTCTCATGGTTTGTAAATTGTGGTATCAAATCGGGATCCCCTTGCTCTACGAGACTGTGGTGATACGGTCTCCGGGTCAAGCGTACGCTCTCTCACAGACGCTGGAGGGCAAGAGGGGGATTTGGAAGAATCGGAGGGGTAGAAGAGCGGCTAGACATGGTGGCAATTCCAACAAACGCGAACTGGGGCATGCGAAGTACATCAAGAAACTCAGACTCGAAGGGTGGTACGGCTCTTACTCTGCATCGATACTGGAACTCTGCGGGACGGGGCTGGAGGTACTGTGGATGACTACTTCGCTGGGCAGCAGGGAGGCACCGACGAATTACGACCGGGGTCTGAAAGCGGTTGACCCGGTGAGGGCCATACTGTATAATAGCCAGTTGAAGACCGGAACGTCCAAGCTTCAGAAGGATGCGACTTCCTTCTTGAAGGATGCTTTGGAAAGCTGGAGCAGGATGGTGAGTACCTCCGTTCCGGTTATTGCTGTCCATAAACTAACGTCCGCTGGTGTGGCAGGATTCACTCGTCGTTGTCAGCCACGAGAACTTCGAGAATCTCTCAGAGTTGATTTCCGCAATCCCTGATACGTCCCGTCTACGGCACCTTACTCTGGGCGATAGATACTCGTGTCAAACTTATGGCTCTCTCTGGACACTTCTGCACTACTACGACATATCGAAACAGCTGAAGAGGCTTACGACGCTTCGTGTTGTCGACAATCAGCGTACGGCTATTCCAGATGACTGGGCCAGTCATAAGGAGGCGAGATACGTTGAGCTGGCTCGCGATACCGCGTTTGTGAAGAAGATTGAGTGGGTTAAGCCGCCATCCAAGGAGTAAGTGGGCCTGAGCTTCTCCTACGTCGTATGTCGCTAATCGTCGAGATGAACACTACAGCCCCTGGGATTGTACCCTTCCCTTACCGAAGACCTGGATCAACACGATGCTAGCCGAGCCAGAAGTCAAAGAAAGAGGTGGATTCCTTCAGAGGGTCCCCCGGTCTGATTGTGAGGTGAGGATTTGTTGCGACTCTTTTGGTGACACTTGCTCAACGCGGGTTCTTTGGATATCGATGACAGGACGACCCGGACTCGGAATTACTCGTCTGCCACATATCCAAGCCAAAGGCTTTCCGGCGTTTCTTCTCCGCGGGAAGGCTTCATTACATGTCCCGTCTATGCCTTGACTTCTCCAGTCTTCCACTGGTTTCCGATCAGAAACTGGCAGAGACGCTCGAGCTATCGTTTCGGCGATGCGTTAACCTCGAGGAATTTATTGCGCTGGAATACTGGGAGTTGAACAATCGGTATTCACCTCGCTACTATCCAGCGAGGGAGACGGAACACCATCCAGTACCTCGTCCTGGTATCCGCTGGTACACGTTTAGGACATTGGCGGAGGGTGTAGGTCGGCGATTGACGCGCTTGCAAGTTCCTGTCGTTGTTAACGATGCGGACGAGCTTCTTCAAGCGGAAGGCAATTTCTTCTACCTGCTCAGGCAACTTGGAGAGCTAAAGATATTGGTCGTCGACGTTCAGCTTCCGAGGATGTCTGGTGTGGAACGGGTGCCACTGCGAACGGGACCCGTTATAGTCTGGCCGGATGCACTCCCGAACCTCGAGCATCTTACGTTCGTCTCCTGGCCCCGTGCCTACACCACTCGTTTCCTTGAAACGTTCAGTTATATGAGGTCAGTCATTACACTAATTGAATCCCATATTCTCACTGAATCACTTTTTACTGTGGTAGTCTACCATCTCTCCGACGTCTCGAGTTTCCAATTTGCGGTCGGGAATCATTCGCCCGCACCGACATACAATGCTTCTTGGCAGTTCACGGTCACAAGATTGTGATGCTGGAAATTGACCCGATTATTCCTGGTCTCATTCCAGATTATTGTCCCAACGTTGTGACCTGGAGAATACCTACAGGCGTTCTTGGCACGGTGGCCGGGTTCGACCCGAGGTGCCTCGAGTCATCGAGTGAAGGTTTCGTGGATATGAAGCTGGAGATTATTCGGCTTGGGACGATCGATATCAGGTGAGTCATCTCGATTACCCCGGGGACAACTGCTTTGGGTATACTAACTGGAACTGACAGCCAAGAGGCGCTCGACGCGCTTATGGGTCATGATTTCTCGATGATGTTCCGGTTGTTGGAAATTCGTGTCGAGGATCCAGCTTTTTCGTGGCCTCGTAATCAGTGAGTCAATGTACAAAGTGTTAGATTTAATTGAGACTCAATATATACCCTGCCACAGACGAGACATCGACAAGTCAAAATGGGTGCCCTTAGCGGAGCGGTTGTTCGACATAGGAATCAGACTTACAGACGTTCACGGTACTGGGTGGAGGCCGCGGTTGAAGAATCCTACGGCAACTAAAAGATCAAAGAAAAAGAAAGCTATTACTACTATTGCGAGTCAGTAGATACCAATGGGCTTCGTCATGTCCATATCCTAGAAATAAAGTCTTCTCTGGGAATCGAACCCTGGGCCGCAAACAAGCGCCCAAGAAGCCGGATCGCCCCGGGCGTTTTGGCGGAGCGGTCTTGGCCGTGGCTGTGCGCGCACCAATGACGCGAAACATTTGGCTGGTTCAAGGTTGTCCTCGTTCCGCGATCTCCAATGGCCTCCCTTTTGCGACGGCAGCCATGTAGGCTACCACAGTACACGGTCCTTCGACAATACCTCTCGACAAATGCTCAAAGACCAGCCCCACCGTCACAAGAAAGTCCGGAAGTCACGACGTTCTCTGATACTTCACGACCTCGACCGTATTATGCGAAGCACCCGCCGACGAGAGAGTTGCCTAGGATCAAGGTGCGCAGCCTTCTATTATCACGATGAAATGTAAAGCAAGAACTAAGTCTGTAAATCAACAGTCCAAATGGCCAGGAGCATTGGCAACGTTGGCTGTAGCCGCATGCGGCGGCGCGCTGTTCATGACATACGCGACGAACCAAGAGAAGCTGTCGAGTTCGGTGTTTAGGAGTATCATAAGGTCGCTGAGGGCGGATCCTCAGATGCATGAAGCACTGGGAGATGCTATTAGACCGCAGCCGGAGTGGTGGCTGAATGGAGACCCGAGAGTCATTGGCCGGGTGAGTGTCGGTTATTTTCTTATTTTCAGAGACTTTTTTGTGGGCTTTTTGAGCATGGGTGACTCTGTAGAGTGCCTGGCTGCTGCATGAAGTCTCTTTTGTGTCGGATCCAAGCTGTACGTGCGTCGGAGCTAACCTTATTGCGTTTTTCAGATCAGCGTACTGCAAGGGAACATTGACGTCAGTTTTAGAGTGAAGGGTTCGAAAGGCACGTACTTTACCCATTGGATCAGGCTCAAGATTTTTATGACATCTTTTTCAGGCTCTGGCACCGTCTACTTCACGAGTATAAGAAAAGAGAAGGGTGCACCTTTCACTGTCTGTGCGTACCTTTCTTCACATCTTCCCTGACATACAAATTGACCACAACCTCCCAATACAACAAATAGTGCGTTTCAAAGTCATCTGTGACGATGGAACTGTTGTCAACATTTCCGACACTCTTCCAATGGAACAACCATAATATTATCCCACCTAATTTGCAATCTATTCATCGTTAACCACTCCTCCAATCGCCCCTTGTCGCGTTGCAATCGTCGCCTAGCTGGAGGGAGCTAAGAGCTGAGGTTGCATCACATCTCTCACCTAGACCCTACGGAGGTGCTCTGCCTTCCGTGTTGCATTCCTCGCGCTATTCTTACCGGCTGCTGCGACATTCCATCGAACACAGTCCGTCCCTCCTTTACACCCCTTTCGTTGACGACTGGTGTCCAGACTTTTCAACAACTGTACCCGCGAGCCAAGATAATAAACTGACTTCCGCGCGCGACGTCAACCTATGTCCCAGGAATCCATCCCCCATCCCAGCAATACATCCAAACCTGTGGTGACTGTTGCTGTGGTCATGGTCTTACAGCCATTCCGTCCTTGGGCACAGGAATTCTCGAAATTCTGGATGATGGACTTGTTCTGGCTAACGAAACTCACTCGGGAGGTCATCTCGTCAAAAAGTCTTCTGTGCGTCCAGCAACCAGCCTTCGCTTTCCTCGATTGAGGTACTAAGCCTGGTCTGGATCTCCTTCAATTCTGATGGTCACTTCAAGGTCATCATGTTCTCGAAATCTGCTTTTCTGGGATCAGGTACCAGGAAACGATAGATGGATGAAATTTTCGCGTTCGTCAGTCCTATTTTTAGGACAAGGATGGACAGCGTTGGGATTCATCGACTCGTCTGATCGTGTTCTAACCGCCATGAACTGTTTCGAGATAAGCCTCGCTCACGACGAAGACAGAAACATACCGTTTGCCACATGCGTGCGTGGCTACACGCACTGGCTGGCACTCGTGTATTTACACCCGTACGTTATTGCCGTTAACCTGCAAGTCAGCATGTAGCACATGACACATTACAGTATTCAGAACCTGTCAGCCAAAGCAACGAGGTAAACGTAGGCACCGGTGAGGGTACGATCGAGTCCCGTTGGTTTGGCCTGGTCTGTACATACAATTTCTCCTGCCTCCGCCGAGAGTTGACAGACCTGTCTGCCTACCCTCAAAATAAGCGCCGGGGTTTATCGCCACGTCCGTCCACCGGTTCAAGGCGTGTCCAGGAATAGCTAGGTTCTCCGTCTCGTGTCAGTGTCGCGGAACATGCATGGACTCATGAATTGTTCCAACTTCTCGTTAACGATAACGTTGGAGGCGTCTCGACTGCCCCTTCGTGAAATATACACACGCTCAAGCCGGCAGCACGGAATTGAGCTGGAGATCTTGTGGAGATCTTCCGTGGACTATGTGACAATAGAATTCAGAAGCTCAGCGCTCAGGTTTCCGTGTTTGCGTCTTCTGTTCTGTCGGTTCCTTGGTTTCTTAAAAATATGCCATTCTAAATCGAGAAAAATATCCAAATATAACGAGGTCCCAAGAAAGAAGGAATTCGAACAGGGGAAACTAGAGCCAAGGGAATAAAATTAGGTTTGCAAGCGCTCGTGGTTAAGAGGTTTTTGTTCAGGCGAGATATACTACGGTAGTTGGAATGTATAGTGTACATGCAGCAGCAAAGCGAGAAAGCGGGGAGAATGCCAATGCGGAACATGCGCAGCGTAGAACGAAGGAAGGATAAGATAGTAAAGCTAGCTTGAGTGGAAAAAAAAAAATGTCCAGTGTCGTATCGAAAGAAAGAAAAAAGCGAAAGCAAGGAACCAAGCCCTCACCAACCCTCTACGCCGGCGCCTTACAATGCTTCCACATCTTCACATAATCAACCACCATCGCTCTCTGGTTCACATCCGTGCCCCACGTAGGATACCACTGTTCAATCGCACTAAGGAAATCCCTTTGGGGGTTCCCAGCGCTATTCAACCACGGCTTATCCCCCTGCGCTTCGGGGAACCAACCGTTCGTCCCTCCGACAGCGACGTTGAGAATTAAGAAGAATTCTTGGTCGAAGGGTGTGGCATTGGTACCGTTGGCCCAGGGGTTGTGCAGGGGTGCGAGGGAGTTGCCGTCGAAGACTGTGGCTGGCCATTCGGCGCGCTCGAAGAAGGGCTTGTTGAAGCGCAGGTCGAGGAGGGTGTGCAGGCGGGAGTCGACGTAGATTCGGCTGAAAAATGAGTAATGAGCAATCAGTAAAGGATGAGGGAGGAGGGACACGTACAGGAACTTGGGCGTCCACTCCAAAGCATACGTATGGAACTCGTCGGCGAACGACTTGCGCTTATCGCTCCACCAGCTGTAGGTCTTGTCGACGCCGTTAAGACCAGGTGCGGGTCCCCAGTTCAGCGAGCCTTGGACGTAGTTCGATCCATGTGCCGTATAGCGCAGACCGTTACCGCGGGACTCGACGATATCGATTTCGCCACTCATAGGCCACGGGCCGTACACGCTGTCCTTGGGCAACATCCAAATGGCGGGCCAGAGCCAGTCACTAATCATACCAGGCTATTAGCCGAGTGTCAAGGCGAGATGGGAAGGGAGCGTACCCATGAGGCATCTTGGCCCGAATCTCCACCCGTCCATACCGAATACTCGCACTCTTGATAGTCGTCAACCGGGCACTCTGCACGGGGTTAATAATAGCCCCGCTTGTGGCGTTGGAAACTTTGCTGCACGCGTTGGTATAGCCTTCGATGTCGAATACCTGGCTGCCGTCGGGTTGCAGGATGAAGCCTCCGTCAGGCCGTGTTTCGTTGAAGGTGCAGCCGGTGATGTTGTAGATGGTGCCGTCGAGGACGGCGTCCATGCCGATGTTGTCAGCGGTGAGTGTGGGGACGATGTAGAGCTTGCCGTCTTGGACGAATGAGTTGTTCGATGAGGCCGTCGTCATCTCGAATTGACCGTTGCTGCAAACCTCGGGTGTCAACAAACCAGAACCCCACTGAAGAAAGAAGAGACGCACCCAAAGCCATCCATAGTAACTTCCCTAAAGAAAGTGCCTCCCTCTCCAAACACAGTATCCGGATTGCTAAAATCCTCGTCCAACACAATACACAACGGCTCCTTGTCCAACTGCACATTCTTAACAGTGAAGAAACACTGCACAGCGCCACCCGCAAAGCCCAACAGCGCAAGCGCATAAACGATCCAATACGACACCACCTTCCTCGCACTCTTCTTCTCCTCCTCCTTCCACGGCTTCGGCACAACCACATCATCAGGCAACTTGTGGCTTTTCATCCTCGTGCCTTTATGCCTCAACGCCGCCGTGCTCCCATCGGGGTTTGGGGTCGACGGTGTGGGCAGCACGCCATAAAGACTGTTCGCGCTCGTGAAATGCGGGATGCGCTGGGAGGAGGAGCGGGCGGAGCTGTACCCGTAGGTCGGCGGGCCACCGAGGCCGCTGCTGGACAGGTGGCTGTCTCTGTCTCTGATATCCTTCGACGAAGACTGATGGAGGATCGAGCGGGGAACGTGGTTCGGAGCGTTGGAGAGGCCGAAGGGGAAGCTGAACGTCGAGCCGGACGGGCTCAGTGCCGGCCTGATGGACGGAGGGCGGCTCGAGTCGGGCGAGGCAAAGGGGTCGCTGAACGTTGACGACGCCGTGTTCGGCCTGGTGGCTGATGAATATGCGTTTTTCGAGTTGGAGTGGGTGTTGGTGTTGGAGTGTGTTGGTGCGTTATTGTTGGAGGAGGAGGAAGAGGCGTTGTGGGGTGTGTCATCGCTGGTGACCGCTATGCCAATCGACCCCGAAGATGCCGTTGACAGCTGGTCCTTGTCCTTGTCGCCGCCGCCAATCTGGAACGACATCGTGCAGTGCGAGGCAAGTCGGAGAGGGGGGTGGAGGGAACGTCAACGAGGGAGTGGGGTCAACGCAAAGGAAAGGAGGTCGGTTGAAAGGAACGTGGGGGCGAGCAAAAGCCGAGAGCCCAACAAGGGGTAGCTTTAGCTTTGCACGAACGAGGAAATAAGAAGCGCAGGGGCGATCTTATCGAAAAAAGAAGCGGCGGGTGTAAAGAAGGGATCCCCAAGGGGCGGCGCGGATTAGACGGGGAAGTCTTCGTTTATAGGACAGATTTTGATGGAAGGAGGGGCACAAGGTAAACTCGAGAGATTCTTGCACTCGGAAGATGTGTCGCTGGGTTGTTCGTGTTATCCCAGCGAATGGCTAAAACGCCGATGCCAAAATGATTGTGCTATTGATAGAACCAGTTGAAATTTGAAAGGTCTTTGAAGTGACTTTGTTGTTCGACCTGATTTCGTGACAGAGTCGTAGACGGTGAGAAAAACGGTAACGGAACAGAAAAGCATCTAGAACAGACGAACCTGGAATCTTGTTGGGCGTCTAGTAATGTTATGTCAAGCCAGGGGTGCAATCCGGTCCTCGATAACAAAAATAGCTATAGATTGCACACAGATGCCCAAGTTGGACGTTCGTCTCGCTGTCGTTGTTCGTAAATTGTTGGGTTGTCGCAAGGGGCGGAAGTATATGTCACTGTCGGGTCGGATTTGAATTACTTGAAAGAGCCCAAGCTAAATCAAAGACGAAAGGAGATTCCAAACATGAATGAATGAATGACTGTACGACGGAGGCAAGGCAGGAGCGGAAAAACTCACAAGCAATGATTGAGCTGCTCGAGTACCAAGATCTGGATGGAGCTGTCAAGCAAAGACTTCGGCGGTGTGTGGTCAGCGAAATAGGAATGTTAGTGACGATGATGGAATTGTTGTGGTACAAAGACGGCGATAGGATTCGAGGAAATGGAACTTGGCACTGGCTCGGTGACCCGTCGATAGATGGATGGGGTTGGATGGATGGATGAGCAGATCCCAGCAGGCGAAGAAGAGGATGGACGGAAGAGGGAAACAAGAAAGGGAATCTGACCCGCCTGGGAAGGTGAACCTAATGAACAAGCGTGCTTCTGGTGTTCGAGGCACAGCTTCACGTTCGGAACGGGGAGGAAGGAACGACAGGTTGGATAGAACAGACCGCGTTACGTTGTACCGATTTCTCAGGGACAAGAGGGAGCGAGATTAGAGAACTCCTTACCCAACCCCAACTCTATTTCCCAACGCCCATAAACAAGGGCTGATAAGTAGGAGAATCCACGAAGGAGAAACAGCGGAATCCTCCCAGGACTGAATCCAGATTTCACATACTGACCCTAGGGTTGACAGATAGTATCAGCTCGGAGGGTTTCAGCACTCCTTCCTCCGTGACAAGAAGAAACTTCGAAGAGAAATGGACGTCCCAAGCCGCACAGCCGAAAAACGCTGCATACAGCCCACAGCCCACAGCCCACTGCACCCTACGCCAGATTGACACCAGATTCCGAATTCCAGCCCAAGTTGGGCCCTTGGAACCAATCATTGTCAAGCATCGTGCTGCATCGTGGGGGGTCGACGTTAACGTTAGACAGGCAGTCAGTCAGAATGAGTAAACTGCCGTTCCATGCGTGCGTGCGGTTTGACATGGTGGGAAACCCGAGAGGAGAGTTAACTGTTAAGAACAGAAAAGAAGCAGGGGTTTGTCTTGAGCGTCCCGGTAGGCGGGAGGCGTGCGGTCAATATGATGTGGTAAGTGTCAGAGAGAAAGGTGTGTGGGTTAATTTCGTTGATTGATCCCGGAGAAAATATGTGGGATCTTCTCTCCTTATGGAGGACTTAGCGAGAACTTATCAGAATTATGATTTTCCTTGTTTTTTAGGGCTTTAACTCCTTTTGGACAGTCGGGTTGGCGGAGGCAGTTTTCGACGGGCGGCAATTTGGGCTGCTGAGAAACAAAGCTCGTTTTGGGATTTGGAAAGGTTATTATTACTGGACTCGTCCTTGAAGTTGCAGATCTCCTGGTACGAATCTATCTGTACACTCAACGTTAATGAACTCGTCGTTGCAGTGCTTCTCATATGGTGACTGACCCTTGCAGATCGGGCGCTTCCTTGCAGCGAAGGAGGATATCTGTAGACTGCCGGTCGGCTGTTGAGATATACTTATCTTTGTAAGGACGAACTCAATTTGAAGGGTGATTGAAGCTTCGTGACAGTGTGGGTGGAGGCTGGGCGAGATGAGGCCTTTTAGGAGGTTTGATAGGGAGTGCAGTGCAGTGGTAAGTATAGGCTGAGAACTTGAAGCAGCGGCGGTGTGTACCCTCCACCGAGGCGTTCGTATCAGGAACGGTCGCCCGGGATCATACGCTCAACTTGAAAGGGATCCATACCAGAAGTCAAATTTGAACACTACTTACAGAGCACGCTGTGCATCCGACTCTCCTCTCGCCCCTGGTCGACCATTCTCGACGTCGTTTCCCGAGAGCCAACTTGAAAGGCCCACCCCATGTACCTGGTAAGATCAAGCAGCAGTAGATGGCGTTGAAGTATGATTAAGCAGTAGCAGATGGCGTTGAAGTATGCACTATGGCTCACATCTTGAAGGCCGTGCGCGCAAATGAAAGCTTGACAATGTTGATCAGAGTTCCAACTTTAACGTGTAGGCTTATTGACACCCGATGACTAAACGCCGGTGCCAGCCACCACTCGTACTAGCGCTAGCAAGTGGAGCGGGTAGTTTTTGTACTCCTACATGGGTCCTACATATCAGCCCGCGGGACTGGTTAGCAGCACCTGAAAATCACTTACTGATGAGGGTTCTGTTCGGCGTCAAGCGTCAAGGGAGCGTAAACAGTCTACAAGTACGCATGTGTGTGACGGGCGGCCTACTCTGGCCATACCTCGTAACAAAAGTCGAATTTCTTCGCCTAGAAATCCCTTCTAGTTAAGTATCTCATCCACCTCGGAATGCTTAACGCACCCGACTCCTCACTCACTGGCAGTATCTTGAGGCAATCATATAAGGAAATTCTTCCTCATTCGACAACTTTCTGCCAGTGAACTGATTGATTCAGAGGAGATCTTTATCCCTCCCCGGAGGCCTGGGAATCACCTGGCAGCACATGTCCCAACGACTCGCGTTCTCGAGTCCGTCTTTCGGTGCGGCTGCCAAGTCCAGAGGTGGCCGGGATATGGGTGGTGTTAGACGGCTGTTTCATGAGTGTTCGTTGTGCGCGAAGTTTCTGTACCTTTACAAGTTACAGCTGACTGACTGATGGTGTTGAGACTCGGAGGACGGAGGACCTGATGGGCTGCTTACTTACTTGCGCGTTTTCCGCGATTTAGAGCCGCGGCTTGAACTTGGGGGAGGAATAATTGCTCGATGGTTCAAGTACGCCGAGGGATGGTCAGTTGAATCTAAAGTTGAAAATTGACGAGAAAGCTACTTCGCGGGTAGGCTAATGTAGTTGTGGGCTACCATGACCGATCGCGGCCACGGGCGCTTAGCGCTTAGCGTCAGTACCACCCATCGCTCTCGAGCTTAAGCCCTGATATGCGATCTACCAGTGCAAGACGGAGTCAGACACTAGCCTTGACCTTACCTGATACGCAGAAAACAAAAGGAAGTTCGTCGGAACACGCCAGCGATCATATGCTTTCCAGGAGGGATGATAGACATCGCGACAAGTGATTCAGAGTCCGAGTCCTAGATAGGCAAAACATTCCTTTTGCTCTATGATACTTCCCTCAGGCTCCTTTTGTTCTCTGACCTGAGTGATGGCTATATACTTACACAGTTGTAAGTACTTCTTCTTTTTCTGATCAAGGATCTGCCAGATGTTAATGTTATACTTAGACGTGGTTGGATGTCTTTCAAACGCTTCGGAACAAGAACTTCAACAGGGCTCAGCCTGTTGGTACTGCCCCGTGGCCTGCACGGATCTGCCAGTGCCATCTCATGTTCTCGAATAGGTTCTTTGACGGTGCGAGTCCGTCGGCCCCCAGGAGAACCAAGGCTCACTCCACGAGGACAAGGTAGTAGTTGAGTATGTAGTACCCTCAGCCGGGCAGCTCCACGAGCACGACTGCCTATCACCTCGAGCTCCACTTCATGACCTGAAGTCGATAACATAACAGTGGATTGGATGCGTACCTCGAGGTACTTATGTCCATACGATCCAGGCACGAGAAGCACCAAGCGTGCTTCTTTCAATTTTCCGGGTTCACGTTCCAGCTTTCGGAGACATGTATTTATATGTGCCGAGCTATAATTGAATGGAAGGAAGGAAGTCTTCTCGCTCGACGGGGCTGTGTAAGTACATGTGTGCCGGACGACGTCCCTTTCTCTTGGTGTTGTTGTTTGGATTGTATGTTAGCATTGTGCGCTGGGATTCGGGATTTAAGATTCGAGATTTGAGTGAGGCGAGGGTACTTAAGGTGGGTTTGAGATATCTAGGCGAGACTCCCTCTACTACATACGGACATCGATGAACTCTAGCGCCCGAGTCCAACTTAAAAGCCCCCTCCCCTCCTCTCCAGTTCGTAATATTTCTCCGACGGCACTAAGTTAATGTCGAGCTCGCCTCCTCTCGTCTCGTACATGTAATATTCCGGTCCTGGTCACAAGTCCTCTGCGGTCAGTGGGGATGCAGAGGGAATAGAAAGGCCTCCTCGCCCCAGTAGGCTTGTCAAGTGATATCGTCGGATACAAGGTGCTGATCACTAACGATTCATGCACATGAGTGATGAAGGTCCTGGGATTCCATCAAACACAAGGTTCGAGCATTTTTTGTTGGCTCGACTCTCAGACTCTTACTCTGGTCCGCCGCTTTCCATCTTCGAATTCGACTGAGAGTCTAGAGATGAGGGTGGGTTATTTTCGGAATCCGGGTTCCGTGCCTTTTTGTCGCTGAATAATGAATTTTCTGTTGATCTTCTCCTGATGGAGTTGTTTACAGGGATTGAGAACGGTAGGAGAGGGGAAGTGAAAGGTGGAATTGAGAGCTGTGAAGTTGTGACTTTTAGATGTGCGGGCAGTGGGATGGGGTAACTTAAGGCACTGAGTTGGGTGCGTGCAGTAATTTTTCGTTGTGTGGTCTAAAGATAAGTCTAAAGATAGAGAAGCATGTCCTCACCGCACCCATGGTGGGTGGGGGCAATAATACAGTGGCATAAGGACTGTAGGTTCACCGGCGCCGGTTTGATTGTACGAGAATCGCGGAAGTGTGTGCGAAATGAGGCCCATGTTGTTCATTGTGTGCGGGAGGTAGACGCATACTACTATGTATACACTGACAGACAGCCCATGGTGTAATTCGAGCGGACGGAGAGTCGTCCCGAGTAGTTATTCTTAGATTGTTGAAATCCTCGACAGACAAGACGGCTGTTGTTCATCTTGAACGTCGAGGTTCAAGGGGAAATCACCTGCGAGGGACAATGAAACATCAACAGATAAAGGCAAATGATACGACTAGCTTTCACCTAGCCTCGAGGTTTGGCGTTCACGTTAAAGGTACACAGCCGGAAGTCTAAACTCGCCGGGTGCGCACCAACTTCAAGTTGAAGGTTATCATCAATTGACAAGCACGAGAAGTTCTAGTTAGTATACGTAGTAGACATAAACGAGATGTTCAATTCAATCGAGTGCGGAATGTCCAGGCACGAGTACGTTGTCTTGACAGATACTAGCATGAACGACATCCTGGAAAACCTTCAAGAACAGAACAGCGTGGGCGCCTATTCCAAGGAACATAAAATATCCAGGGTTAGCAAATTACGTAATTTACGACATCAGGATTTTGGGCTGACAGCGTCAAAGCAGAATCCCGCTCTTCTGCGAATCGCGATGATGTGTATCTGCATCTGGATGGACGGAATCTCATCTTGTTCAGTTCTGAACCAAGATGTGAGAAGAAAGAAGCGATCAATGTATAAAGCTGCGTTTGGGCTGTCTGGCCGTGCCCTGGCCCCGCTCTGCTCCCCTCGTTCGGTCGTAAAGTAGTAGTCCTTGGTGGTAATTGGGAAGGGTCTACCCCTCTCCTCCGACACCGACACCCTCGTCCCTCCCCTTCCCTTGGCTGGCGGTTCTCCCCTCGACGACGCTCGCTCGATTTCCTGGATTGTGGCTCATAGACTGACTATCGTATAGCTTGCTTCTTTATTACCTACAAACGCCCCTCCTCGCGGCCGCAAGTTGTTTGCAACTCCCCTTCGATTCGAATTCTCGTGTCCCCACGCAACAGCTCGCTCGCACCACACCGCCGACTACATACTTATTCTAATCACCATCCCAACCTTGGTTTGCAGCCATGTCTTCCTCAGCAGCGGTATCGTCCGTCAACGTCTCTTCTCATCACCCCCACCAGGGCCACCACTCCTCTGCGCCCTCCATGTCCTCCGCTGCGGTCACGTTTCATAATAGTGATTATGATTTATGGGATGCTTGGCTACACAAGATTTGTGAGTGTTCATTGCCCTTTATTTTATCGTAGAGCTAACGGTGATGCGATTGTAGACGAGAGCACGCAGCAAGACAACTGGTTCATGCCCTCTGAAGAGATCATCTCAACAGGCGTGGCCATGCGAGTTGAGGACGGCTTCTTCCGGGTGTTCCCCTATGAAAACCCTGCCCTCGTACCGTTCGAAGCCGCGGTTCGAAAGTTGAATCCCGTTGTGGCGGTCAAGATTCGCAGTGCGGCTGTACATGCTGCTCTTCGTAAAGTGTATGTCTTTTACTCCTCTCTCCTTTTCTTTTCGTCGGTTTTGGTTTTGGGCTTTGGTTGACTGGCGGCGGTTGCCAAGTGGAAGCTGTCAAAGTCGTAGAAGCTTTGCGGTGATTTGGGGTTGGCGTAGGACTGATAGACAGGATTTGTGTCTGTTGGGCGGTTACGAACCTTCTTATCTGTTCACTCGGCTGGGACACAGGCGCCTTGTAACGGAACTAACGAACTTGTTCTTCCAGAGGACCTGAAGATACCTCAGTCTACATCGACCAAAACACACGGATCCAAATCATTGAAACGATCGACCACCTCCCCAAAGCCGAGAAAGACCAATGCGGTGCCTTCATTGTATGTTCCCCTTGCTCTCGAACCCAAAACCTTACTCACACTCGCCTCCTACAGCGCGACGAACGCTCCGTAGTCCTCTGGTCCTACCACCTCGAGCACATCATCCCCCTCTGCAAAGACTTTGAAGAAAAGCTGATCAAGCACATCTGGCGAACACGCAACATCGGCCGCAAACCCCTCGAGTCGTCCATCAACACCACCTCCCTCTACGGCGGGCATTCGCGTCAAGATTCCGGTGCTGACCTCAACGAGAAGGGCGAGCACGGCTCTAGTGCAGATGAGGTTGTGGCGGATAAGGAGGCGAAGGAACTCGAGGAGCAGCAGCAAGCTTCGGCGGCTCAGACGAAGAAAAAGTCGGGCTTGTGGAGTTGGTGGCGGCTTGGACCGAGGAATGTGAATCCGTCGCCTGATGAGACTGATGCGGAGAAGAGGAAGAGGAAGGAGAGGAAGTTGATTTTGATTGGGCCTGTTTATGCTGGGTTGGGAGCGGGTCTTGCTGGGTGTAAGTGGCATCTTTGTCTGGGGATGGATACATGCTGATTTGGTTGGGATTGGATAGATTTCTGCACGGCGGGTGTGTCCAACTTGCTCTACCAGTGGGCTCTTGATGGCGATTTTACGCGGTTTGCGCTGGTGGTGACGCTGCCTGTTATCTTCTGCGTTTCAATCGTGCGTTACCATCTCTCTTTTCTCTCTTTTCGCAATCCTAACCCCGATGTATAGTTCTTCTGCCTCCAACTTATCGGAAACATCTGCCTCATTTTCGGACCCGTCGCTCAGTACCACGAAAACTCGGCATACTACTCTGCGGTCAAACCTGAACCTAACCCGGAGATCGATAATAATCTCCCGCATATTACGATTCAGTTGCCGGTCTATAAGGAGTCTTTGGAAGCTGTCATGTACGTGTTTCATTCTCGTCTATTCAACTCTATTCTACTTTATTTTGCTCTTGTGCTCGCTCGATACTTCTCTTTGTTCTTTGCGCTCTTCCTTGTCCATGCGTTCGCCTGTTCCTTTGCATTCTCGTTTTCCTTTGGATGGGTGGATGGTGGATGGGCGGGTGGCTGGTGGCGTATGCAGTACCCCTGAAGCCGAGGCGCAGCGTTCCCTTCGGACGTTCTCATCGCCAGGATGCGTTTCTTACGCGAGTCTTACGACAACGCCTTGTCCTATTTTTACCTTTTCACTTCCCCGTCTAATTTTATCCTTTCACTTCCCTACCTCGTGGGACGCCGTTTTGTCTTTTTGGTTGATTGCGGCGGACAGTGGACAGGAGGTAGATGGATTTTCGAATGGGTTGGATTGTTCTGATGGTGTAAGGTTCGGCGGTGAGGGTATGGTGGTGAGGGTCTGGTCCAGCGATGGACTGCGCGACCTCTGCCTCTGCCGACATTCCCCATGTCTTCCAAGTCTATTCAATCCCTCCGTAGACCATCCCTCCAAGATGAACATCCCAATCTAACCTAACTAAACCCCCTCCAGTGCTCCCTCCGTCTTCTCCGTCAAAAAAGCCATGCAAACCTACGCCCGCCAGGGCGGCACCTCCGCCATCTTCATCTGCGACGACGGTTTGCAACTCATCCCCGAAGACCAACGCCAGGAACGTATTGCGTTTTATGCGAACCATAATATTGGGTGGGTTGCGAGACCGGGACATTCGAGTGAACCGGATGGGTTCAAGCGGGCGGGAAAGTTTAAGAAGGCTTCAAAGTGCGTATCCTCTTTTCCCCTCTCTCTCTCTCTCTCTCTATACTGTGTTACTAACCTAATATGTAACGCAAAAGCATGAACTACGGCCTCGAACTCTCCCTCAAACTCGAGAAATTCCTCGCGCAACTCGAGGCCGAAGGTGCGGAAGACGATGGCGAGGAGTGTCTTGAGGATCGGGCGATGAAGATGGCTGCGGAGGAGATGTATGAGGAGAGTGGGAGGCGGTGGAAGCCTTGGTGTGCGAATGGGAAGAGTATTCGGGTTGGGGAGATTATTTTGATTATTGATGCTGATACGATTATACCTGAGGTGAGTGGGTCGTCGTTTCCTTTTCTTTTTGTTTTTGCTTCCTTTGTGGTCGCGTTTGTTTTGTTTTTGGGTCTTTGGGATGGGGGTTTTGGCAGTGCCTTGGGTACGAGCAGGTCGGGGTTAGTTTTTGATGGATTATTTTGGGGTTTTTGAGTTGCTAAGCTCTGTGGGGATAACCTCTGGGACTTAGCAGACGGCTTGGAATCTCGACACTCGATAGCCCCTCCTCGTGCCCTGTTTCCATTCAACCTCTTCTGTTCAAATTCGCTTTTTCATTTTGCTTGGCTATTTCCGTTGTCATCGCTGCCACAGCCTGTCACCACCAACACGATGTCCTGTGTTGACATCGAGGTTATGTGGTAACGCACGCCAAAAGCATGGCTACCCGATAGCAAACCCTTCATTCATTCATCGCCATCTCTACGAGGACTTTAGTGTCATTTGACATGGTTTTCATTCATCATTATACCTTGGACTTTATCATTATACCTTGGACTAACGCACACCTCTTATCACAGGATTGCTTCAGAGATGCTGCTCGCGAGATGGGCGAATCCCCGGACGTTGCTATTATCCAACACGAATCTGGTAAGATTTCGATTCTTGTCTGTCATATCTTGTCACGTTGTGCATTTTCCGTGTCTTCGGGAGTCGATGAGAGGACATGAGGGGTTGGGTGGAGGTTACTCGGGTGGCGTTGCGCCACCAATTTGACGATCGTCCCCGTGTCGGGGATCGACCCTTCCTCACCTTCACTTCCCATTGGCGGTCTCCCCACCCACCCATGCACCATACACCGGCTAACCCACCCCCCTCCCACCCACAGACGTCATGCAAGTCGCACACCACTACTTCGAAAACGGTATCACCCACTTCACACGGCGCATCAACAAATGTATCTCCCTCGGCTGCGCCAACGGCGAAGTCGCGCCTTTCGTCGGGCACAACGCTTTCCTGCGGTGGTCTGCAGTCCAGGACGCCTCCTTCATCGACACGGACGGCAAGAGGAAGCAGTGGTCGGAGAATAACGTGTCGGAGGATTTCGATATGGCGTTGAGGCTTTTGTTGAAGGGGTATAATTTGCGGTGGGCTACGTATTCGAATGGAGGATTTAAGGAGGGTGTGTCGCTTACGATTGTGGATGAGTTGGCGAGGTGGCAGAAGTATGCGTATGGTGAGTCCCTTTGATTTGTTGGTGTATTCGTTGGCGTCCTCTGGCGTGCAGGAGTGTTGATTATGGGATTTTTTTAGGATGTAACGAGATTATTTTCAACCCCATGGTTCGGTGGTGGCGTCAAGGCCCTATCAGCAAGCAGTTGCGAGGTTTCGTGTGGTCGGCTGCTCCTCTCCACTACAAGATTGGTATGATGTCTTGTGAGTACACGCATTTCCTCCAAGGATTGCCTACCAGGTAGCTGACGATTTTGATTTAGATATGTTCTCATATTGTAAGTCTCGATTCTGGTTATTTTCTGTCCCCTTCTTGTCTCTTCCTCGTGGGTTGGAAGGCCCGTGGGTTGGTAGGATTCGATGAGAATCCCCGCCGAAATCCCGGGTACGGATACCACCCTCGAGTCTCTTAGACAATCCGCGGCTTGATCGCACCCAGTGCGACACGAACTTTTCATTTCACTTCGAAGAGTTCTCGCCCCTGTCGATGCACATCATGGAAGCACGAGGTAGGGGACGGAGGACTTTGTGCCGATGTCGGAAGGGGTTGTCTGCCAGTCGACTTCCCGTGTTCTTCGACATGGTTGGCATATACCCCATCCTCCTCCTATCAGTGCCGACGCTTCGTTCCATGATCGCCAATCGCCTCTCTCCTTGTTCTGTTTCTCTTCACATATCTCTCTATCGCCTTTTCGTGAACCTGTGAACTTACACGCGCACAGATGGTATCGCCGCGGCAACGATGGGTTCAATCCTCAACTACCTCCTGCTCGGTCTCGCACCCAACATCGATCGGTTCTACCTCAAGAGTTTCGAAATCTTGCTGGCGTGCGCGGTCGTGTTCCCTGGTATCGGTAATGTGGGATACACACTCCTCGAGTACCGACTTGGCCACAAGAATTTCTTTGCTGCGCTGTTTGAGAACTTGAGGTGGATTCCGTTCTTGTGAGTATCACTCACTATCTTTCCAGGTTGGCTTCGTGAAATCTGTCGGATCTGTTGGCTGATTGGGCTATCCTCATTTTTACAGCTTGTTCTTCTTTGGTGGGATGAGTATCCATCTGTCGACTGCCATCTTGGCGCATATGTTCTCGTATAACATGTACGTTCCGTTTTTGTTCCATCTGTCGTCTGGATGGTCTTCTGGGTTCTCGACGTTGTTGTGCTGACGGGATTGTTCCTATCTTATAGGACTTGGGGCTCTACTGGAAAGGAAGTCGAACGCTCTTCGTTCTGGGTTGAAGGTGAGGATTCTGCGCTATTCAAATCTTAAGTTTGCCCCTATGCCTTCCGATCCTATTCAATTCTGTTCTATCTGTTGAGCTCGCTTCGAGGGGTCGAGACCTGGACGATGTCAAATGTCACGTCCCCACTTCGACAGCGAAGCTCTTCGAAGTCCCGCATGTTCCTTTCATCGCTCCACAACCCCGAATTCTTTCCCTCGATACCCCAGTCGGTGCACTGTAACAGATTACTGATGACCCCCATTCTTCTTTCTACCCACCTCAGTGCCGAGAATCTGGCAAAACTTCAAGTTGACGTTTATCATCTGCTTCTTGTGCATTGCGATGATGATTGTCTTCACGACGCCTGCTATCCCTTACGAGTGGCGAATCTTCGGATGGGAGTGGGCGTTGATTATCCCTCTTTCGTTGAATGTTGGGTGTCATATCTTGCTTCCAGTGAGTTCTGCTCTAGTCTTGGAGGGTTGTAGTTGTTTGTCGGATCGGCTTGCTGACCAAGTGCTCGCGTTACAGATCGTCCTCAACCCCTGGTTGATGATCTTCTCTTACTGAACGGGAATCTCGCGAACCCTCGTCGACATCATCATCACACCGCTACCTATCTGCCTATCTTACTATTACTATTCCTCCGGGCTACCACCACCATATCGCCACACTTGCACTACATCATCATCTTCACCATCCATCCATCTATCATCATCATCAGCATCATCGACACTCTTCTATCATTTTATTTCTTTTTTTGCGAATGGCGAATGGACAGACATCCCTTGGGCCTTGCTTCCTGTTCTCGTATCTTTTCGAACCCGCAAACCGCATCGTTCGACTCTCACATTCGTTTTTTGGTTGTCTCTGCTGACAGGTTATCACATACATACTAGCAACTCGACTCTGGTCCGTATAACCTACAGGACCTCATCTCACACTCGTTTTATTGGTTTTGTTGGGGGAGCTATCACGCTCACTTCTGGGCGCTGCGTCTACAGGTGTGCGAAGCCCTCCGTCCGCTCCTTGTTTCTTGGACATTGGATTCTTGGTTGGACGATTGCGGTTTAAGGACTCTATACTTAGTGTACATACCTAACATATTATTTTTTTGCTTTCGATAGTTATTGTTATTATACCTAGTACCTAGAGGGACCCCGATTCAGAGGTGAACGGTGATCTCTTGATACCAGCCTCCCGCCATAGGCCTACATACTGCCAAAGTGGCATCGCACACAAACGTCTTGCACGCTCGGTCGTTCTGGGGAGCGCTTTTTTCTTTCATGCTTTCGTTATCGTTGTAAAGTTATTTTGCGTCTTGTACTTTGTTATTGCTTAAGAATTCATGTCATCCTAGCCTAGTTCGTCGCCTAGATATCTTAATTGTGACCAGAAATTGGACTCTTCTTCTAATACGTCTAGAAATGCAGAGATGGTGAGTAGGTAAGTCGAAACGCGGTGTAAATCTCAGTCACTAGACATAGATGTCAGCCCTCCCGGAGACGGTGTTGGCGCCCATTCACCAACACGTCGGTGGGACAAGCTTGAGCTCATAGTTTAGCCCTTGGCTGCGAGTCATGTCGAACTTTGATGACCACTTTGCCAAACTGGTCTCCTCGGTTGATAAGGTCGAATCCCTGCTCTGCCAATTCGAATCCATCGAGGACGTGTGAGACGATAGGAACGATTTGGTGCTTCTCGAGGAAAGCGGTGGCGTCTTCGAGGTCTTTGTGCGAGCCCATTGTGGAGCCTGTGTTGCAGCGAATGGGCGGTGAGTTTGGAATTTTGTGGATGAAAGAGAAAGGAAGGAGAAGGAAGACACGAAGGAGGGGGAAATGCAACGAGAAGGGTGAGAAGAGGCTCCGAGGTGGAGTGCGCGCAAATTTGGAAATGGAAAAGTGGGGAGGGAAGTGGGTGGCTTACCGATGAGTTGTTGGTTCTGAAGGACCTCTCGCATTGTCATTGTGATCGTGGGCCCCGCCGTCCTGTATCATGATCCACACCGATGAGATCAGCCTGAGCTGTACTCCAACCAGAAAGTCAAGGGAAAGGGGACGATGCGCACATTCCGTAACACACAACCTTTCCACCCGGCTTGAGAAGTTTGACCTTCGTCACTTGTGTGAGGATGTCGGCTCCCCCGGAATCAATGACAGAATCAAGCAGAGCGCCCTTCTTCTGCTTCTGAATTAACTCTCGAAGCTTTGCTGGCCAGTTCTCTGCGGGGTTGGTAGGGGAAGGTATGACGTAGGTGCGTGAGCAGGTGGGCGAGAAAACCCCTGAGCGCGTACTCACTATCTTTATAGTTCACTCCGCCCTTCGCACCGAGCGAGATTGCCTTCTGGATTTTCTCGGGATTACCGCTGGTGACGTAGACAGAGGCTCCAGCTGCTACTGCGAGCTGGAGAGCGATGAGGGCTACTCCGCCTCCGATACCGGTGATGAGGACGTTCTGTCCTGCTTTAACCTGGGCGTTGACCATGGTTGCTCTGGGATACATAGTGAGACGAGGTAACGCAAAGGGTAGGTTAGGATCATACCTCCATGCTGTCACACCACCGAGGGGCCATGCTGCTGCGTGAATGTCGTCGAGGTGTTTCGGTGTGGGGATGAGGTGCTGTCGTTCGAGTACGATGTATTCGGAGAAGGTTCCTCCTAGCTTCGTCACAGCCCCACCAAGAGGATAGAACCTGAAAGGATGCGGGTTCAGATCATTTCTTCTGCTACCAGCCAAAGTCAAAGGGACTAACTTCGGGTCTTCTGGTGCAATGGGATCAGACCACCAGCCTCGGCTGGGAGTCATGATAACTCGTTTCCCAACGAGCGGGTCATTGGGGTTACCAGAGGCAATTACCTCTCCTGAAGGAGGAGTGAGACTACAGTGAGTCTAGAATGTAGATTGTGCTTGCATACCTGCACCATCGCCTCCATAGAAGCTCCCTGGCGTGATCCCGGGGTAGAGCCCCTTTCTAATCCAAACCTAGCCAATACTACGGCGTCAGTTTCGCCCGACCTCGACCGAGATAGCGTGACGCACGTGCTTACATCTTTGTGGTTAAACGCGACTGCGTTTATCTTTACCAGCACTTGTCCAGGCTCCAAGCGCTCCGGGAGGGGGTATTCGATGAGAGCTGCATCATTTATGAATTTGGGGTTCGCAGGGTTCGTTGCTTTTTGGACTACAATGGCTTTGGAAACCTTGGGTAGGGAACGCGACATTGTTCAGATGGCTCTGGTGAAACGTATACGCCGTGTACTAGTCGTGGTGGAGGGATGAAGACAACCTGCTCACATAGCTCAACGCGGTCCAGTGCCGTTCGGTAACGCGGCAATCTCATAGCCGGAACCAATTGACAGCGGCCATCAATACACGCTTCGGCCAAATAAGCGCTCGCTACGAAGCTACGACGAACTGCTTCACGAGGGTGACTTCGAGTCAAAGGCTTCCTGAACCAGGAAAACTATCAATTGCAAAAGGACTAGCATATTTGACCTTCTTGTCTACTTTTATAGATGATCTCCAGATTTCCGCCGTCGACATTGATGCTGACATCTAGGTTCGATGGTCCTTTCTTCGCTTGATGTCGGACGTGTAACACCAGTCGGTTTGATAGTGTACTGTGGATAGTACTCTGTAGCCTGAGTTGTCCTTTAGCACAAGAGACATTGATTTCAAGGTTCGAAATCAAGGCTCACATTATGAGAAGGTGGTGATAGCGCCCCTGCAGAATCCCGAGGTCAGTTGGCACTCTAGCTCCGTCTGGATACTCGTCCACAGCCCACCCACCGGCGCAAGGATGTTATACGCTAGGCTAGCCGCCGATATCGCTAGTTATTAACGTATGAGCTTCGACAAGGAATTGCATTCTGCTTGTTTGCATACCTGAAAGGGCAATGAAATAATACGTTCCGTCGCGACAAAAGGTCCGCACTATACGATTCTTTGCGAACCAGAAACTTGGTAGGCCCAGGTATATGCACAAGGACATGACAGCTGTAAACTGACTGAGTTCTAAGAAGATAGTGGATATTTAAGTTCTGGACATACTCATTTTCTCAACCAGAATCAGTACGAAAGGAAGGGTCAACACGACTGGGTCTTTTAAGGGGATTGGAAGGCAAGCCTTCCCTGGCAAGCGAAGAGGCGAGACTGGAGATGTCGTATGAGCGATAACTCAGAACAGAAGAAGCAGCTTACACTGGAGTAACTCGGATCCTTTCGCATGAATGGCGAACAGCGATGTAGATAACGCCTGGTTAAATTTAGAACGATAGCCACGGTTTGGGTGGAGAACAAGACTCACTGCCCACAGAAGCAATAAGTAGATTCCCAGAATTCGACTCCGGTTTGCCAGGGCATAAACACGAATGGATAGGATTACTACCAATGCTGTTAACGGGCGGTGTACCTGATCGTCGGTGCGATGTCGTACCTTCTGATATTGTTATGTTGATCAAGAGAAAGCCTGGGCGCATATTCCTTTGAGCCAATTCTGCGAAGACAGGAGATGACTGTGGTTACTGACGAGCGGGAAGAACAAACGCGACCTTGCAGATCTGGAGGAAAGGTCAGTTTGAAAACGACATCATGGAAGTCAGTGTCCTAGCCTTTTCTGAGGCGCTCAGTGCGACCATCTCGACTTGTATAAGCAGTAAGCCGTTGGAGCTTGAGGAAGGAAAGAAGCTGATCGGGCGTACATAGAGCGCCAAACGTCGTGAGAAGCAACGATCCATATCTATTCAGAAGGAATATACCCTTGAGGGCAGTCCATTCGTCTAGCCAAATGAGCTCAACCTGCATAAGAACATTGTAACGTTAGAACATTGGAGATCACGACTAAGCGCTTACCTCACACGGGAGGGTTTCAAAATAGTCGGCTATCTGGTTGATAGCTATCAGCTCGGTCCACACAGTGGATCGTCCAGTCCTGGAGTAGTATTACTCACAAGGGCTGTAACGCAGCCAGCTGGTATTGAAATGGGCAGACGTCGACTCCATTCAGCCTGGCTATTGATTTACCGTAGAGAAACTAAAGAAGGGATTAGTAACACTGGGCAACCTTGATTGGGATTGGGCTCACCGAGACATATTGCACCCCCCTCCATAGCTCAGTCACACTAGCCTCTGGGTCCATGATAGAGAGGAAGGGCGGTAAAGTAAACAAGTCCGCGGATGACAGGCTACAGCAACCAGCGACTTTATAAACCCTGTCACTGTATCTGTCAACTCGATTCGGACGGCCATACCCCATCCCACACCGAAGCGGTCCGTGCCCCAATGAGCTTCTCTGGCTCTGTTTATATCTGTCCAACGTATCCTGATGATTCTTTACCCGTTTCCAAGTCCTTCGTTGAGCGTCTAATTGACCGCCCAGCACCTAATATTTAATATTGAAATTATGCCGGCCCGTGGTAGGGAGAACTAGTAGGTCGCATATAAAGCATCTGGATTTTATCCTCTACCGTACTACTGCTAAGGATACGACATGTTATCTCTCGACTCGATGGTTGTACTACTTGTATTATCGGCCGGTTTTGGCTCCGTCTCCGAGTCGGGATCGATTTGAGCGGTGAAGAACGAGATCAGAGGGTCGGGTTCCCCTGGGGAGAATTCTCCCGGAGAATTCGGCGAGAAATCGGCTTGATGGCGATTCCGTCTCCGCCTCTGCGAGTTTCCGCTCATATTGTCCTTTACCGAATACCACACTCCTGTTCAGGCAATCGATGTTATTTTTATCAAAGAGAAATAAAGCAGAATTTTCGTCTACTTTTCTTGCTCGTCTAAGGCGCCGTCAACAATCGCTACTGTCCCAACCTTGAATACCACCATATCAGACGGAGCTCGCTGTGCCGATTTGTCCCGCGGCTTCGGCTGACCAAGAGTCCGCCTCAAGTTTGACGCTCGAGATTGATTTGCCTTCTCGTATGCACACCAAAGCAGAATATAACAATCCCAATTATTCCCAGAGAATTAGGTGCAACGTTGTCTAGCTCCTCGTGTATAGATTCAATATTGGCTTTAACTTGAGGAACTTGGAAAACGGATTCTCGCTCGATGAGGGTGCTACGTAAATGTGCAGAGATAAATTACCGAAGTTGGAACTTCCTACAGAAGCGCATGCTGCCCTATGAGTATAAGGACTAAATCCAAGACTCATTACAAAGGATATGCGAGGTACTAATAAAATCTGAGTGGCCACCGGGTTAGAACTTTGCGGAAGCAAATCCGCTGCCCTTGGCTTCGACTCCGGGTGGCCCGGATGTCTCCTCGCCATCATTTTCCCCCCATGCCGAATTCTCGCCGAAATCTCTGGAGAATTCTCCCCAAGAAACCTCGATGCCCTCAACGAGATTGAGATATCTTCGCGAGCCTTCTTCCGAAGATGGAGGACTAATTGGTTGGAGAGGATAGTGTGAATAACTCCCTGCAACCTTCAATGCTAGTCAGTGGGCTGCGCTGCTCGGATTCACGTCCCCTCACGTTGACAAGTAATGGTGCTTTTGCCCCTGGTTTCAAATCAGCGGAGAAAACAAGGACATTCTCAGTGTTACACTCACCCTAAAGATGATGCTGAAGACCACGTTAAAGATAGACACGACTAAGAATCCAATCAGTCACGAATTCCATGGTCCTAGATCCAGCCATCCAACCCACTCGAAAAGACGATGAAGTAGTATGCTCCGTCTCGGGAGAACGTGCGTGTTAAGCGATTCTTCGAAAACCAGAATTTCGACAATCCAAAGTAGAGACAAAGTAGCATGACCACTGAGCCAATATCAGAACTTTTATGGCCGAAAAAAAGCATTGGAGAAAAGACTATACCTAGTTGCTCGAGCAGAATGAGGAGAAAAGGTAGACAAAGAAAGATGGTGGTCTCGATCGGCTTGGGAAGGCAATAGACTCCCTCAATGGGATTCGATATAACTGAGAATAGTCGGAATGTATGTTCTTGAAAGCTTTAAGAGACCTTTACTCACACTCGTAAATATCGGCAGCTTTAAGCCAGTTGCCGAAGACCGAGATGTGAATCGACTGTGCGATGAAATGCCACCTCGAATCATCAAGAGGCGTTTGGGAAGAAACTGGACCACGTACCAGCCAGAACAGTATCAAGAAAGCAGCCGTAAGGCGACTTTGGTTTGAAAGGGCGTACACACGAATGAAAAGCACAACTGTAGGCGTGAACTTTTGGAATTCCAGGGTGGACACCGCTCAGCTACGTACCTTCCGAGAGAGCTGTCGTAAAGAGGACAACACCTGAGATGGCCTATTAAACAGATATTGGCAGTAAGATACGTGAACGGTGCCCACCGCTTGGTGTGACAAAACCAGCTCTACAATGCTGATTGGGAGATTAGAGACGAATGATCAGAGGTGCGCAGGGAAATTAACCTTCTCGGAGGTGTGTAGGCTGGCAAACTCGACTAACATCAAGAAATGAGTCTGGCGAGAGCGCAATGGATGGTGCAGTTGTACTTACATGCCACAGCAGCGACGATTGATAGTGGAGGTATGTAACGGTTAAGAAGGAAGGTAACCTTCATTGCGCTCCACCTGTCAGGCCAGACCAGAGAAACCTATGATTGTTAAGGTAAAGGAGAGTTGAGAGTGGACAAGTCGCACCTCGTCGGGAAGTCCGTGTAGGTAGTCAAGTATCTGGCCGAGATTAAGCTCAGTCCCTTCGGCGACATAAACTAAAGAGAGCCTCACCAATAATGTGATGCAAGCAACTGCTCAGTGCGTAGTAGCTCACAAGTTCTCCTTGGCACAATTGTAGACAAGACTCACGTTCAACCTTCTTCATTTTTACTGTAAATGAGTCCAACTTCAACCTTGCTATCTAGAAGGGCAGGGGACCTACAAGCAATGTTTGCACACCTAGCCATATATCGTGGACGTTATGATTATCCATTTGAATATTCGAAGCGTGAAGAACGGAGGGTGCCAGGAAGAACCCTTTCAAATACCAAATACTTTATATGACTTTGAAGCCTTCGCGGCTTCTCCAAGATCGCTTACATTAGTCTGACTGAACATGTCGATACGGTTATGCCTTCGCATTGCAGACCAACTCGGAAGAATTTGCCAGGGGTGGTAAGGATTTACTCTGACCCAGTAAGGCGTTTCAAATATACCGATCGAGGAATGCCGCTCCTCACGATGACCGAAGGGACCAGGGTTTGTGATCATCGTTAGCGACAGTTGGATTGTGCGAAGAAAATCGAGACACGCGGTTGGGAAAGTACACACATTCGACAAGGTAATAGGAATAAGCGCCCGTGAAAGGCTATATAATACAGTTAGTATATGTCCTATAATTCAACGACTTGGCGTATCGTGCCAACTAATAGTCCGTTCGCCCGAGTCGTCGCAAGTATCGAGGCCCAGCGTTGATCGACCATTATCTCCCGACTTCCTTCTGCTAATGGTCGCATGGAACCCGTAGCTATGGTTGACCACATCGGAGCTGAAGCCCATCTCTGATCGCGCCGTCTCGCGAAGGTGGAGAATCATGCGAGTGGCGAGGATGTTGTGCATCACAGCTTGGGGGCTGTTCATAATGGATCGATATGTCAAAGTTGCCCATTAACTTTCACAGGAAGTGACACTTACACGGCGAGTAAAAACCGGTATCGTGCCTATCCCACCCGCGTCAAAACTTGGTGCGAAAAGAAGCGGAGAGAGGACCTACAGGAGCACCAATTGAGAAGATACCGTTCGCGATTGACATCACTGGATGACGATGATCAGTGCCTGATTGCGTTCATGTACAGGAGTAAACATACCTGCAATCGTGATGAAGTAAAATGCCCCGTCTCGGTATAGAACTTTGATCAAGTGGCTCTCCCGTGAAGACCAGTACATCTTAAGTCCGTACCAGATGGACAGTCCCATTGTCACTGAGGAATCCCGTTATCTCAGAGTCAGGACAAGAAGGAATCGTTTACGTACCGATAGCGCTGTAGAGGAGGGTCGCGTAGCATATCATCACGTACTTTCCAGCACCTGAGGTAGCGCCAAAGCACCCAGCTAATTCTGGCGCCGGAGATTGGATAACTGATAATGAGAAGCGCGGGTTTGAACTCGACCGACATGCAAAAGAGAGACGAGAGCGCTCACATCTACCCGCCGCCAAGTACAATGCAAAGAATGTCAAGGCGACAACCACAACTAACTGGAATTACGGAAGAGCTAGTGAGCAGGCAGTCCGTCGAGGGCAAGGGGCGACGTACCGTAACGTTCGCGAGCAAAAAGAATTTGACAGGGCGCGTTCGTCCCGAGAGAGCATATAGTCGAATGTAAAGCAGCGCTTGTAGCTAATGGTTAGGAACACGCATGATCTTCTCTGAATCGAGCGAGCCACCCTTACCATCAGCTATGAGTATACACACGGCGATTCCCACTGGAAAGGTTGCTGAGATACGACGCACGGATAGCACGTAATGTACTTACTGCTGGGGACAGAGAAGAGGTATTTGCATGCCTGGTCTTGTTGATAAGATTTTGTCTCCGAAGGAATCGCATTGCACTCACTCGTTCGGAGAAGATGGGCGGTGCGACGTTGTCTGGTATCAAAACCGTTTAGTCGAACGCCGACAAGGGAAATGGAATACTCACAGTACACTAGGGCCACTACAACCGGGAAGGGGAGATAACGGTTGATAACATAGATAAGCTTGACATGATTCCACTTGATGGGCCAGATTAAGGACCTCTATAGATTGGTGAGCGTTCTGAAGCTTGATGCACGAGGATCCATAGCTGCAAGTACCTCGAGATCAAACGTCTGCATATACTCCAGAATCTGTAGCAATGTGGGTGAGCCTTGCGCACGGCCGTCAATGGGGTGAGCTACTCACCAACACCGTCAGGCTCGCCACTGCGAAAAAATGCATGAACACGGGGCTACCCATATCCACAACGAAGTTCGAGTCTCACCATTGCAATACTACGGTCAATTTGTCAGAAAGCGCTGGTTGAGAAGAGGAAAAAGCGACTCACGTTGGTATATCGCGAACTTACGACCTGTGCAACTAGTCTCTGGTAGACATAGTCATCCATTGCACCTTCCACTACCTCGGTAAGTATCAACCGCTGTCACCGCCCAGCGTCTTCAGCGTCTAGCGTTGTGGCCTGTCGTGGATGTTCTGGAGCAAGGGTGGGTGGCGAGTGGGCCCATAACCGATGGGAAGGAATGGGCACAGCGGGCAGCGAGGGCGAGTGATATGTATCACCTACATTCCCGGATTCCACGGCAGTTTTGGTGCTTGCACGGTGTGTTGCGAAGCTTGGCGGGTGGGCTTCCGTGCGCAGCGTGGTGATTGCCTCCAGCGCCGTTTGGCCATTGGAGTAAGGTTGAATGGGATGGGGAACGAACCTGATTGCAAAGCGGATAATCTCTGTTCGGAGGGAATAGCCACGAGACATCGGCCCCGGCACGATGATGATTGGTTGGCATGACTAAATTCCTAAGAAGCCGAATTTTAGCGCCCATACAAATGTGGAAATTGACTTCATTTGGAAAAGCCGTCCCTATTCCAGAGACTCGTACAGCAAGGAAGGCCCTGGAGCGAATTTGGGCAGGCTGAGTGGTATTGGAACGCAATTTGCTTTGCAAAAGTCGAGAGAGCTATATAAGTAGTCAATGAGCGAATCTGAAATGGATTCAGAACCAATACATGTCGCCGCACAGCCTGAGCGCTGAGCGTGTGCGACCCATACGGCCAATCACATGGATTCTTCCCATTCCGAATATTTGGCGTATTGGAATTGGGAAATGCTGTATGGAGTATGTAGTTCACCCTCTAGTTCACCCCAGGGAAGTTCGTCATTTGAATGATTAGTGGTTGTGAGAGCTGCTAACTAGGAATGTCGAATACTGCAAATTCAGATAGATTTAGCACAACAGATGGAAGGCGAGGATGCTGATTGCTATGTGGCCAAAAAACAAATTACTAATGAGTGCCAACGACTCCGACGGGAGCGGGACTCGCCTGATCAAGGTCAGTACGAACACAGTATTTAATGCAGCTGTATGAGAAGTGGCCGACTTGGTTGTTGGCTAGCATTATCAGATAGTGGATAAACTATGACCGCGCGTTCGCGAACGAGAAATCGAGGTGCAGGCGAGGACAGAGGAGCTTGGAGCGAAGGCGTTACTTCCAGGGTCGGTTCTGGCATTATTCACGACGAAGTAGGAACCCCAACAGCAGGCAGAGTACCATGGTCACTGGGAGCGTACCGAGAGACGTCACCCACTTCTAGATCGAGTGTCTGAATGTATTCCGCTACCTGAAATCACGCTCCGCTCAACCACGCAGGGGAATGGAAGAAGCTACTTACCAGCAATGTTTTACTTTTGGCTCACAAAGCTCAGTCAAGGATCACCAATACCAGTGGGTGTCCTCACCTGCGACTCCCTGGAGAGAGGAAAGGCAGTTTTGATATCAAGAACTTGAGAGAGCTTACATTGTTGAGACTGAGAGGCAGGGAGACTGATGAGAGATAGAGAAAGCGTTGCTATTCCTTGTGCGTATGTCGCAACGATACGTACTGGAGGGTTCTATGTAAAGGCTACGGAATTTGGTCTGTTTTCTACTTGTTTGCGTCGGCTTGGTTTCGGGGTTGGCGCCTGTGACATTGTTGAGATACATGGACATGTGCTGAAGCTGCGGGTTTTCATGCTTGAAATCGTCACCGCGGAGTACAGAAGGAACTGTGTATCAGAGAGTGTGTTGGGCAGAACCGTAACGGTCGTTTTCAGTCTACTCGTAGTCGTCGTCATGGAGTCGGGCAAGTGGTTGAGCGGCCCCTTGTAAATCAGGGACGATCACTTTACCAGTTCATCGGCGTGTACCGCGGCGGCGAGTGGGCCCCTGTGGACCCCTCCACGAGGCAACGGGAGACGCCACGAGAATATGGACGTGATTGATTTACACCCTGGCGTCACATCTGTGCGCTCATCGCACTGGAGATAAATAGGTCGGCTCTCGAGTGAATAGTCCAGTAAAACAAGCGCCCACCTTGGAGGGTCAGCGTTCACAGATTAGATGGAGTTAAAACAACTTCGAAAGCAACATACAAAAGCCAGGAAACTACATACAAAGATACCAAACAGAAATACTAATATACAAGTGAGGTTCAGAGAAAGTAGGGGTCATTTCTAATGCAGGCTGGGAAACGTCAGTCATCGTGACAACAATCGAGGTGAGGGTGAAGTTGGCTACCATGGCCACATTAATTCTTCTAGGCTCGTGGACGGTAAGGCGTGGCCATAAATGGTTGACTCGTCGTAGTACCACTCCACTCCCAGGTCATAGTAGCCCTAGGCTCATTCGTGCCAAAGCCCATCTGCTTTCGGGCTCCTTCTCTGAGATGGAGAATCATTCGAATAGATAAAGTGCTGTGCGCGACTGCTTGAGGTCTAAGCCAGGAGGTGAGAGTTCTGGCTTTGGGACTGCAAAGAGGTGAACGATGGAACGCACGGTGCTAATAGGAAACGATATCTTGACTGGAAAGGTGACCGGTCAGCTAGCTCTCCCTGGTCGGATTCGAAGGTCCTACTCACTGGAAGGAACAGGGCTGCGACAGCATTTGCTATGGACATGGCTAGAAAAGCCGTTATTCCGAGGTGCCAGACGAGAGAACAGAGCAGACTCGTACCTGACAGTATTACAAAATAGATCGCACCATCGCGATAGAAGATCTTGATCAGGCGTCCCGTCTCCCTTTCAGTCCAGTACATCCGGAACCCATAGTACAAGCAGAGAATCATAGTCACTGGGGACCTCGAGGTTAGCAGGTCCTTCCCAGCAGCACCAAAAGCAAAGGACCGCTTACTGAAGCCGCTGTACAGAACGAGTACATAGGCAATCATGATAAGCTGGCCTTCAGGAAGCGATGAGAAGCATCCTGGAGGAGTGGGCTGCGTTGTGACTTCCCCTAAATTCGGTCGTGAGCTTTGATTAAGGTTCCAATGGTAGGGAGGGAGACGCACAGGTTCCGAGAAAGACGTATCGACCCAAGAGGGTCATGGAACCCACAAAAACGGCCTAAAGATCATAAATCCTTCGTCCTAGCGGAGAAGAGAGGACCTACCAAACCGTTAAAGACAATGAACGTCAGGATCCATGGACTCTGCCCCGAGAGAGCGTAAACCCGAATGTACAGGACGCCTAAGGAATTTTTCCTGTGAGCACTGGGATTCGTTGTCGAGGTAGCGAGTAATGTGACGACTCTCACCCTCGGCAAGCCACATGCACGTCAGAACACCCACTGCAAACAGGCCTCAGGAACGCAATCCACATCGTTAAGACGGAACTAAACGCACTGCACAGAACGGCGAACGTGATTCGGCATACCTATTCTCCACCTCCCGCGTCACTTCTAACCCTCCACGCCGAAAACATGTTCACTCACTTCAGGTGCAGGATCTTCGACCAGATTATCTGAGTCCCAATTCAATGACGACAGCACGGAGGACGATAGCAACAGCGACACTCACAGTAAAGAGAGAATGGAATGATAAGAAAAGGAAATATCCGGTTGACGAGATATAGGATCTTCACAAACCCCCACCGCACTGGCCAGACCAAGGAGACCTGCGAAATCGCCCGAGGATATCAATGATGCTGATAGTCAAATTCGAAGGAAACATGGAACCACCTCCAGATCCAGCGTTTGAAGGTATTCTGCGAACTGCAGTTTCAAATAGGAAATGGGATATGAGAACGGAGAGGCGGCGGACAAGTGGGACGGTGAACGGGTACTCACCAACAACGTCAAGCTCGCCACTAGTGTCGAGAATTGCCATTCATTAGACTCCAGCGGCCCAGTTTGCACATATCGTTCAGTACTACCCACCAGCGACGACCTATGGGGATAATACTTGTCGGTCAGAGTTTCAGAAGCCATGCAGAAGGTAAGAACACCAAGAACTGCAAAAACTCACAACGTTCAGATACATGCTCTTATAACGAGCTTTAAGCTCTTCAAACGGATCTAGCACATCCATGGCATCTAATCCAGGAGGGTTGGGGGGTTGGAAAGGCTGCGTTCAGCGGAACGAACCACGTCGAGAGGGGAGAGGATGGGAGTTGAAGGTGAGAAAGAAAGACCGACGACGAATCCATCCAACCAACGGAAATAAGTGCTTAGAGGGTTGCCATTATGCTTTTCGAAACCGCGCCCCTTTTGATCCACTACATCGGGTCGCGACTCTGAAAATTGTGGGAAGGCTCTCGTACGCGTTAAGAAACCAAAGAGGGCGCTTGATATCTCTGGGCAACGAATTGGCGGTGGCACCACTCTTAATCCGACATTCGCCCGCAGCGCTTGACCTTTGAAATTGGAACCGCACCGCATTCCTGCACCCCTGGTCGATCGGTCCATGGCGAGGAAGGGGAAGGAGGAGAGCAGGACGCATCGCTATAACGAATTAAGTGTGACTGACCGCGAAATGCGCGAATTGGCTCTGAGGAATCATTTTGAATCCGCTTGGTGTCGATGTGAAGCGCTCTCGAGCGCTCTCAGGCTGTTGGCTTCACGACCCCTATATTGACTCCTAAGTTGCGCTCCCAGGGCGCCCCGATTGTACCAAACGCGGATCATTTGACCTATATTAGTCGTATCGTAGCATGGCATAGCAATAGAGTTTGTCAGTGAGAGATTCGAATGGCAAGAGTCAAGAGGGGTGGAAAGAAGTCAGAACTACTGAATGAACAGAACACTCCCTCCTCAGGACCCCACCACGATGGAAAATCAACTCGAGCTTAAAAGTTCGGTGTTTTCCGCGATTCGCTCGGGACTATCCACGGTCGTCGGTCAAACCCGCTACTTTGATAGCCTTTGATAGCCGGAATGAATGCGGCGATCGTTCTGCTCCGTTTGCTCCTTGGCCAGGCCACTGAGGACGCATTCCTCCAAAGTTGCCTTCACGTAACCAGCTGTGAGCAGGTGCTCAAGGTTATGTACTGTATGTATTCCCTTTCGCACCCAATAGGAAATCACGCACTTAAAAAAAACATCCATATTGACATCCGATTCAGATGTCATTTGTCAGACTCAATACTGTCGGCGTTTGCCTTCGCGTATCCAATCCTCAAGCTCAACACCTCGAGACAGTTGTGGGGTGCCCAAGCCTGAGTATATATACTCCTCCAGTGACAGGCGAGGAACCCGCATCAACTAAACCTAAAGCAGACCAAAACTCGCATTCTCGAGAAATTGAGGGGGCACCACAATCCTGATTGCCGTAATGCACTGTCATTGGCACGGTTCACACCGACGAGCACCAGGCACAGGCTGGAAGTATACATAGTCAAAGTAAGGGTCGACTGGGGCGGGTCCGCATCTTGGTCATCACCTCCACCTCTCACAACACCTCGTCGAGGGGCATTGACTGCCCTCAGTCCAAGGCTCAACTGTGCTCGAGTCAGGCTCAGGCTACAAGTGTGCCCCACTTGCCCGCCATGGCCTCAGGCCTTCCACCCAACTTTCTCTACAGCACCGTCGGAGCGGTCTCAATTGGGTCACAAGTCTCGATGTTCCTCTTCGGCATCGCGTCACTGCAAACATACATGTATTATCAGCGCTTTCGGGACGACAAGTGGTATCTCAGGCTGACGGTGCGTCGGGACAGTCACACTTGATTGTTTTTATCCAGACGACTGACTGCCATCGTCCTTTCCAGGTGGCTGCATTGTGGTGCGTTCATACAGGGAACTTGGGTACTTCAGCAAGGAACTCAACTGCTATCGCCGCGCGTCTTCAGGGTCCTTCAGCTCGGCCATTCAGTATGCGTCGTCGGAGAGGTTTACAAAGCAACGGTAGTGGACTGGGGGGATCGCACCGCGCTCTCCCGTTTACCCTCACCCTTCCTCAAATCAGCTATCGCCGCCGCCGCAACCATCACCTGGATAGCGCACGTAAGTCCTCGTTTGTCAAGGCCCGCTCGACTAATAACCCACTCACACTTTCACCCTCCAAGACCTTCTACGCCTGGCGCGCATGGTGCCTACTCCCCGGCCTCTGGCGGTACCTCGGTCCCTTCGCCGTCCTGGTAACGACTCTGCGGTTTGCAGGGTCGACAGTCGTAGCCGTCAAGTACTTCCAATCGAGAAGTCACTTTGAGGCGATGGCGGCGTGGGGGTGGCTGGTCAAGACTATCATCGCCGCTGGAGCAGTTATTGATCTCATGCTCGCCGTTGCGATGGTGTACTTCCTGCATCTGCAGCGTAGGAGGATTTTGAAGAGGTAAGTCACCTCGCTTTAGTAAAGGGCGACATGGCTCATTCATTCACCCTTGCTCATCTACCTGTAACCTTACCTCAGGTCGATGCGGTTCATCACTCGGCTGATGCACTATACGATAGGTAAGTCCAACACTCTCCACGCTGGACTCTTGATAACCCCCATGACTCATATTTGAATCAAAGGAACCGGTCTATTGACGAGGTATGTTCAATCGCGATTCCAAGGAGCGACACGCAAGTACTGAAAGGTACTCGAGCATGGCTGCAATTGCGTTTGTTATTGGGGTAAGCAAGGCTCCTTATAAAGGTCTATCATATTTCGGGCGAATGGCGCACTGACACGACCCATCCACTGGCAGATGAGTATCGAGAAACGGACGAGTGAGTTGCAGTAAATTCATACTTGGAGTATGAGGCACAACTCGAACCATCATTATAGCATACTGGGTGGCCATCTTCACCTGCCATGCGAAACGTACGTGTCTCATAAGTTCATACCTTGTATATTGCGCCGCCAGTGCTGACACTCGGACTGCTGCTGCTCTTCAGTGTACTCTAACAGCGTCCTCGCATCGTAAGACTCAACCTATGCTCGCAAATCATCTTTCACTGACCTGACCGACTTTCTTCATTCCTCTCAGACTCAACTCCCGCGAAGCCCTTCGCGCGATGTGGAGGGAATGGGAAACCATGGGCGACCTCTCAGCCACTCCCGGGGTAATCTCCGAGACACAACTGCAAGCCGTAGCGCCCAGGAAGAGCATCAGCAACGATGTTACCTTCATCACGACGGCGATGAAGACGTCGTCTAGGACTAGTAATTCGAACGTCGATGATCGCGCTAGTATGGTGAGTCCAACTTCCATGTTTCGGGGCGTTACTCTTTTTTCATAAGTTCCTGAATCTTCGATGCGTTATGTTCAGGGATACCAAGATGAATTTGGCGACCTCGATACGAAACCACCGACTATGCGGGGCGGAGATGATTGATTGATCCAACTTGTATCATATATCGTAGCGTTGTGTACTGTGAACTTTTATACTACTACTTACTACTACTACTATGCCATCTCGAGCGCGTCCCCGGGAAACTACTGTGTACCCCTTCCAATGGGACCACTTTCAGGAGTCCTTTCCTTTCCTTTCTCATCACGCCATTGAACGCCCTTTCTAATATAGTTTTCGCTCGTTTGTACGGTAGTACGTATACCTTATATGCTGTCTTTTGGTTTCGAATCTTGGCTCACGAAGCTGGGTTGGATTTCGCAGTTGTACAGAGTAAATATTACCCTTCGAGTTTGATTTCTCCCTGGCCGGACCTTCGAACAGCCTACATAAACAGGATACAACTCCCACAGCCTAAGTAGGATACGACCCCAACGTAAACAACATCTGCTTCTGCTTGCCCTTCTTCTTACCCTTCCCTCCCCCTCCTCCGCCAGCCTGGGGTGTAACATTCTCGTTCGTCTCGGCTTCCGCACTCGCACCCGCGCCGGTCCCTTCTCCCGCGCCAGGACCACTATTCCCATTCCCATTCCCATTTGAAGTATTGACGTTGCCATTACCCCCACCGTTGCCGTTACCACTGCTAGCCTGAGACCCCTCCCCGGTGCCCCACGCAGGAGCAACAGGCGCAGCAGGCACACCCAAAATATTCCTCAACGACACATTCCCACTAACAACCGGTTTAGCCCGCGTGTTCGTACTGGTCGGTACGAGTTCTGGGAAGGCCGATTTTGAGAGTGCGGGTGGAGCTCTTGCTCTACTTCCACCTGCTGTTCCTCCTCCTCCTCCACCTATTCCCCCAGCACCACCGATCCCAGACCCAGATCTGGCACCCCGACTCCCGCTAGCAGCAGCAGACGCCGTAGCAGACCACGGCGTCGTCCTCTGCCCACCTCCTCCACCAGGGCGGTACCCCGCCCCACTCGACGAAGACGAAGCAGCGCCGAGCGGCGGGAACCGGTCAGGCGGGCGCGGGGCGGGTGTGAGAGACGGGAAGGCAGAGGTGGAGCTCGTGCTCGGGGGTGGTGCCCAGCCTGGAGGACCTGCATAACCAAACCCCATCCAAATCCATTTTTTTAAAAAACTCCAATAAGGAACTAATGATTTAAACATGACGTACCTGAACCTGAAGGCTGCGACGAAGAAGAAGACCCAGCAGCACGAGCCACACGGTCCCACACCTGTCTCGAGGACTGGTGCGACGTACGCGCCGCAGTCGAGTTTTTGGCGTTGAGGACGCGGCCAGAGGTTATACCCGCCCACCCACTTCCTACTGCATTAGGTACTAGGTCGGGAAATTGGCGACGTTGCTGTAGGCGACAAGAGACGGGGTGTATCAGTAAAAATCGTCCAATATATACCCTTGGTTGAAGAGACGAAAAAACGCTCGAAACAACCGACACAAAAAAACAAAGCCCCCAAAACCCCAAAATCCAAATCAAATCACCCACCTCAACAGCAAACCCCCTCCACTCCCTCAACACCTCAACCCTCCTCTCCTCCTCCCCCTCATCCAACAAATCAACAAACGCATTCACAATAGACGCCGTCGAATCTAAATTCCTCTCCAACACATTCCAAATGGTCAAAATAAAATCTTTGGCGGTGGATTCGTTGGTCATGTAGGATCGAGAGGCGGATTTGACGGCGGGGATCGCGGTGGTGGGGTTCTTGGAGAGGTGGTGCAGGCGGTCGAGGAAGGCGGCGTGGCGTCTGTGGGAGGAGAGAGAGGGGGGTTAGATTTGGAGAGAGAGAGAGACATGGAAGGATAGACGGCGGAGAAGGCGAAGAAAGAAAACGAAAGAAAAGACAGGAAGACGTACTCAGCAGTAGCAGGATCAACATTCCTCTCCGGCGGCGAAGCAGGCCGACTCACAGCAGGACTATTCCTATTCGGCGTCGCACCCTGCGACCCACCCTGCTCGCTCGCACCACCCGTAGTCAAACTACCGCCAAACGCCGCCCTCCGCGCGTTCGCGCCGCGTACTGGGCCAGCCTGCGCCTGCGCGGGTGTGGGAGCAGACGCCGAAGTCGAGGCTTGAGGAGGAGGAGGAACAGAGCGTGATTGGTGTTCGTCTCTAGCTGCCCGATGATCTTGCTGCTGTTGTTGCCTCCCATACCGCCTCCCAGCATCCTCAAACGTAAACTCGGCCTGCACGCGCTGTGCGTTCTTCCGATCCCGCGCACTCATATCCGCTCCGTGCTCCTCGACCATATGCGCTTGCAGATCGAGCGGGGTGTTGAACACTACGAATTTTTGCGCGAGACATTCTTTGTGTTGGCAGGGGTAGTGGGCGGTGTTGAAGTGCCGTTCCTATAGGGGAGGTGGGTGGGTGGTTAGTTCGAGGTTGGTGGGAGGGAGGTGGAGAAGGGAAGACGTACCAAACTTTCATAATTCTGGAAACTACACAAAACAATTCGCACTAATCAACACCTTCCCCCAAAAACTGCAAGATAAACAGAGAAAAGACACGCACTACTGATCCCTAACTTCATTCCTCTTACAAATGAAGCACTCTTCATGGCGTTCGCGCATGTGCGGGTAGAGTTCATCGCTGCTGAAGAAGCATTCTCGGCAGAACTCGCATAGAGGGTGCACGCCGCCCTCGATTTGGTCGGGTGGTACATCCTTTTTGGAGCCCCGTTGGTACATGGAGGGGAGGTGCAGTGGGAGGAGGGAGGGTGGGTACAACGCGAGTTCGTGCGCGAAGACTTTTTTGTGTCTGATACATAGATCACTACAGTCCTAGTTAGCTATCGTATCCCATTATTGAAACAGAAGAGGAGTACGACGCACCAAAGCAACTTGCCATGCGACGCCCTAATATGCAACTTCAAATCCGCCCACCCATTCCCGATATAATCGCAATCGGGGTCGGGACAGTTGAATCGGAGGAGGATGAGCGTTTCTTCCATCATCTCGCGGCTTTCAAAGTAGATTTGGAGTTTGGCGTCGGTGAAGGGTGTGGATTCGGGTGGGAAGGCGTCGAAGGGTTGCGAGGGAGAGGTGGTGAAGATTACTTTTGGTTGGGGTTCCTAATGGTGGGTTCATTGTTAGTGTCAGGTGGTGGGTGGGTATTGATTGGGAGGAGGGAGGGTGAGGGTAATGGAATACGAATACGATAAGCGAAAACCCATTCAAAAGATTAGATGGATCCACGATCAAACAAAAACTAGATAACACACACCTTACAAAAAGTACAATCCGTCTTCTTATACAACGCGCGCAGGCGTAGAGCACAGACATGGCATGTCCGGTGGTTGCACGCCGATACCGAGTAGTATTTGACGGATTCAGCGCAGATCCAGCAGACGTCTTGGTCGCCGCCTTCTGAGGGTTCTAACCCGGCTCCACTGACGGCTGTTTGGGATTGCGCTTGAGGATCAGTCGTCGCTTCGTCTACGGGATTGTTTGATTGCAAGGGATCCTTTGGAGTAGAGGAGTCTTGTGCTTGGGCTTGAGGAGCAGGAGTAGAACGCGACCCTCGACCACCACGATGGCTCCCGCCTCGACCACCACCGCCTCCGCCTCCTCCACCGCGCTGACCCCTCCCCCTCTGCCCGCGTCGTCCCGTTCCTCTCGATTCGCCGCTTCCTCCTCGCGCTTGGGTAGTCGGTGTCGCTGAAGAAGACATTGTCGGAGTGTATCCTAGGTGTGTGGATGTGAGGGATCTCGAGAGTGTGAGGAAACGGGGTTTGTTTTTGGTTTGGCGGTACAGGAGGTTTTCTGAGTCCTACTATTCTCGTCGGGACCGCCGGTGTGCCGTGATCGGCCATGGTAAGGGTTGAAACTCAGATGGTCGGAGGTTGTTGATGATCGGGGTGGGCCGCAGCCGGGATCGGCAGGTGTGAGGCGCGGGTTCGAACCTCGGTGAGAGCGATTGCTTTAGTATGCCTCGATTGGAGTTGCGTAGCTTACAGGGTCGGTTCAAAGCTCGTTCCATCTCAGAAAACATATCATGTCGCTCAAGGGTCCCATTAGGCGGTTCACAGCTCAGCTCAGCGATGATTCGGGGTTCATCCTACGCTCGGAGGATGGAGTACATAGTCGTGGACCGCGCGTTGGGACCCGCATTGCATGATTGAGATTGGCAGCTCCCAGTGGGCAAGCGACGCTCGCGCCGCATGGTTGCGCGTGGAGAGGAAGACCCTGGGCATGATATACGTCAGGGCTGCGTGCGTATACATCGCCATGCGCAATGGGCACCCCTCTGCCTGCTTCCACCTCAACAACGGAATCCTTTCCTTCAGCACAAGATTTGTCACTCTTATTCAAGTCTCTCCTCAGCCTGTCCGCGTCTCCACTGAGAGTACCAACCACTCCCGGCCCCGCACAAGCATTGACCCGGCAACTGAAAATGTATCCATATTCGAGGACTGAAAGAGTGTATTGTCTGTCGCTGCTGCTTCTATAGAAAAAAAGGAACACGCTATCTCTTCGGGGCGCTACGCTTCTAGTGGTGGGCCTCCTTGGCGATTTGGGCAGCGTAGGGGTTGCGGGGGTCCTGGCGCCATTCAGCGGCTACAAAAATGCGTGTGTGTCAGTAAAGCCGTCACATCACATAAAATCTCAGAGAAGAACGGACGACCGGGGGGGGGGGGGGGAGCAGAATAATGGGCGATGGGCGGAATGGGGGAGAAGTAACCCAGTAAAGAGAGGAAACGAAACTCACAGCGAACACCGGATTGCTGAGCACCATAGACGAGGTACATGGTAATGCTTCCAGCGACCATGAAAGGCCAGAGGGGCTTAGCGATCTACACCACCCAATACACCACCAACCACCGCCACCAAAAATAACACAACACGAGACAAGACAAGACCAACCCGTCAGCACCTCCAACAACACAAACACATTTTTCGTCAACGGAATACACGTACGGGAGTAGGCCACTTGCGGAGTCCGAGGAAAGCCATTATTCCAACTTTTGGATATCTATAACACCGAGAAAGAGATTAGGTTTGAATGAGTTGATTTGCAGAGAGAGAGGAGGAAGGAAAGCGTACCGGGTGGTTATAGAGGGAAGGTGGTGGTGAGCAGCAGGTTACGAACGTCGGGCGAGACCGCCACGCTGGGTGATTTGAACGCGTGGGAAGGGGGTGCTGTATTTGGTAGGTGCCTTGATGGCTGCCGCCGCAGTGAAGCCCAGGGTGAGCTGACCGTGAGCTTGGAACGCGACGTCCACGACTTCTGGGACGGCTTTCTGCGACTGCGACAACGACGACTGGAGGGAGGCTCTGGCATTGCATGAAGGAGAAGGAGAGATTCTCTTGATATACATAGGACCAGCGGAGAGAGTATCTGGATACTGGATACGATGTCAACGACGAACGCAACGACGAGCAATGTAGCTCCTGCCGTACGTCCTCTGGCCGCTGCTCCAAATCCAGACTTATGAATCGGTTCCATAGTGGAGGCAATTCTCCTTCTTCGACGTCGTACCCGTCAAAGACCCACACGACCTCGACAGTTCACCTTACATCTTCAAGGTACGCACCCTCCCAATCCTAGATCACAAGCCTCCAACTTGGGCTCACCACCGACATCCTATTGCCCTCAACACATATCGCTCCCAACACATAACACATTCACCATCTATGTGCATACCAATCACCCTATTCTCGATGATCTAGGTTGCAACCGAAATCTCCACCATCGCGCCCTCCTCAGCGGGGATGCTCGTAGCCGACATCCACGGCAGCGTGCACCTGCTGAACCGGGACTTTGAAACACTCAGCAGCTGGGTCGCGCATACCGGCGGACGCGTTACGCATATGGTTGAGCAGAATGGTATTCTTGTTACTCTCGGGGTGCGTTGTGTTCTTGTTTTTGTTCTTGTGGTTATGGTTATGGCTATACCTATAATACTGGCATTATGTTTGAGAATGAGGCTAATCAAGTCTAGGAAGAAGACACCGTCAAATCGCCCCTACTCAAGATCTGGGATTTGGATAATAGGGATAAGAAGAACGGCGCGCCTATCCTCCTGCGTTCCGCCAAGGTGCAGCAAAGTAACCGGCCGCATCCTGTACGTCCTTCCCTATTCCTAACACACCCCAAATAACCAACCCAAATCCCTTGCTACTAGGTGACTACAGTAGCATCCTCCTCCGGCCTAACCCACCTGGCCATCGGCCTCGGCGACGGCACCGTCATCCTCTACCGCCACCTCGACCAATCCCTCTCCTCCTCCTCCTCCCTCACCGCCCTCCCCAAAGCCCGCACGATCCACGAATCCCCCACCGAGCCCATCACCGGCCTCGGCTTCAAAGAGCCCACCGACGACACGCCCTCCACCCACCTCTTCATCGTCACCACCAACCGCGTCCTGACGTACCAGGTCTCTGGCCGGGGGAGCGGCGGTTCGCCCGTCACCGTGGACGAGATCGGTTGTGGCCTGGGGTGCGCGACGATGGATTGGCGCGCGAGGGATATCGTCGTCGCGCGCGACGAAGCGATATATCTGTGTGGAACAGACGGCCGAGGCGCGTGTTATGCCTACGAAGGCGTGAAATCCTCCGTCCACACGCACCTAAGCTACCTCGTCATCGTCTCCCCGCCGTTCTTCCCCAGCGCCTCTGCCGCCTCTGCGACCGTGCGCAATTACGTCGCTCGGTCGGGGAGTAATGCGAATGAGACGGATATCACAAAGGTTACTGTGTTTGATTTGGAGAACAAGTTGGTGGCGTATTCGGGGACGTTTAGGCAGGGTGTGAGGGAGGTGGTGTCGCAGTGGGGGAAGGTTTATGTTCTTTCGACTGATGGGAAGGTACGTTCTCCTCCTCCTTTACCACCTCTTTGAAAACCCATCTAACCACCGAACCCCCACCCCCACCCACAGCTCCTCTCCCTAGAAGAAAAATCCACCGCCTCTAAACTCGAAATGCTCTACCACAAATCCCTCTACGTCGTCGCCCTCAACCTCGCCAAGACGCAAAACCTCGACGAGACCAGCGTCGCGGATATACACAAGCAATTCGGTGACCACCTATATGCGAAGGGTGATTATGATAATGCGATGCAGCAGTATATTCAGACTATTGGGGTTGTGCAGCCTAGTTATGTTATTCGGAAGGTGCGTTGCTTTGGGCTGTACTACTGTATACGCATATGCCTGTGTTGGGGTGTTTGGCGGATGCTTCCAGGGATACTTACTGATTGACCCTTGGTTTATGGTGGTGGCGGTGTGTAGTTCCTAGATTCGCAAAGGATCCATAACCTGGTGACATACCTCCAAGAACTGCACACCCTCGGACTCGCGAATTCGGATCACACAACGCTCCTGCTCAATACCTACACCAAGCTTAAAGACGTCGCCCGACTTGATAGTTTTATCAAGGCCGAATCTCGTCGGTACGTCTCTTCTCTTTTATCTTACAGCTCTCTTTATCTGACAGTGCCTGGTAATGTGCTAACGACCTTTGACATCGACCATAATAACCTACGACATCGACCTAATGACCCTTTATCATCAACCTAACGACCTTTCGGCATCGACCATGTAGATCTGACACCGGCCACGGCGAAGAAGAGCTCCCGTTCGACTTGGACACTGCGATCCGCGTGTGCAGGCAGGCGGGGTACTTTGAGCACGCGTCCTACCTCGCTCGGAAGTACGAGAGGCATGAGGATTATTTGAGGATCCAGGTTGAGGATGCGGGGAATGTGAAGGATGCGTTGGAGTATTTGAGGAAGTTAGGGCCTGAAGCTGTACGTTCTGTTTTCTTTTGCCTTTACTCTCGCCCTCTCTATCTCGCTCGGAGAAAGAGAATGAGAAAAGCAAAGCAAGATGCTTATTTCACTTTTTGTTGATGATAGGCGGAAAGCAATTTAGCAAGATACGGCCGCGCGATGCTCGAAGCTCTCCCAGAAGAAACAACACAGCTTTTAATCGATTTATGCACCAAATCCCCTTCCTCCCTCGACCCGGACGCCGCCGCCAACGCGCCTTTGGCGATCAAACAGCCTACACCGACCACCGCAACCACAACCACCTCCTACCTATCGTACCTAGCCCTGAATAGGAGCACAACGGTACCGACTGTGGTGTCGTCTTCGGAGACGCAGACGGTAGCGGCTCCGCCTTCTCCGTCGATTAAGACGCTTAGGGCGGAGGGTGCGTCGGGTAGGAGGGATGGGTCGGTGGATGGTGCGACGCCTCCGCCTTCGGGTTCTGCTTTTGGTGTCTCGACTGCAGTCGTAGGCGCCAATGTCGACGTGGGCACCGCCCTCGCTCACGGTGCCGGTGCGGGCGCAGTCAGCGGCCTCCCACCCCGATCCTCCACTGCCCCTCCCGAACCACCCGCTGGCCCCCCACCAGTCCAGCGGCTTTCGCCTAGCCTTTACTTTTCGCATTTTGTGGACCATATGCAGCAGTTTGTTGTGTTTTTGGAGACGGTTGCTGTTAGGCGGTGGGGCCAGAGTGTGGATGATCGGGATAACAGTGGGGAGGTGGGGGTTTGGTCTGAGAAAGGACAGGGGCAGGGACCACAGGAGAACGAGAACCAGGGCGCTGAGGATACCCACCACCTCGACGACATCGCACAAGCGCAAGACCGACAAGACCAAATCGCCGTCTGGAACACCCTACTCGAGCTGTACCTCACCCTCCCCGCCAAAGACAACGAGAGCGATCGGGCGGTATTCGATGAGTCCAAGATGCGCGAGAAGGCGTTGCGCGTTTTGCGGAGTCGGGAGATCCCGTACGACACGACGCACGCGTTGATACTCTGTTCCACGCACGCGTTTACAGACGGGCTCGTCCTTCTCTGGGAGAAACTCGGTATGGTGGAGGACGTGTTGCGGTTCTGGATTGACAGGCACAACTCGGATCCCCTCTCCTACCCCAACGCTTCCAACAAGGTGGTGGAGAATTTGATGCTCTATGGACCGCAACATCCGAATCTTTATCCGCTTGTGCTGAGGTTCCTTACGTCTACGGAGGAGTTGTTGAGGAAGCATGAGGAGGATGTGAGGGGTGTGTTGGAGGTTGTTGGGGAGGAGGGGGTTATGCCGCCTTTGGCTGTTGTGCAGGTACTTGGGAGGAATGGTGTTGCGAGTGTGGGTCTTGTGAGGGAGTGGTTGGTTAGTAGGATTAGGGGGATGAGGGGGGAGGTGCAGAATGTGAGTGATCGTTTTATAGACTTATTGTTTCCTACCCGGCTTGACTAATTACTTGGCTAACTAACTACTTTTTGTTTGCACCCTGCAGGACCAAGAACTAACCCACTCGTACCGCCTCGAAACCGAGTCCAAGCTTAAACTTGTCAAGGAACTGTCGGATCCTGACCAACCACGCGTGTTCCATGTGACGAGGTGTTCAGTGTGTCATGCGCAGTTGGATTTGCCGAGTATACATTTTATGTGTGGACATAGTTATCATCAGCGGTGCGTTGCTTTCTTACGTATATTTTCTCTTTTCCTCTTTTTCGTTCTGGGCAAGACAGGGCTGATATGCTGATCCACCATACCTTGACTTGAATTCCTTTCCAAAACAGATGCCTAGGCGACAACGAAACCGAATGCCCAACCTGCATCCAAGAACAAAGCGTTATCCGCGAGATTCGGCGTAATAATGAAAGGTTGGCGGATTTGCATGATGTGTTTTTGTCCGAGGTGAGGGAGAGTGGGTTTGAGGCTGTTGCGGAGGCGTTTAGTAGGGGGATGTTTGGGAGGGGTGGGTCGGAGGGGGAGGGGGTGCCTGTTGTTGTTGGTTAGGGTTGGATTTAGGTTCAGGTGAGGGAGGATGGGGGATGGTTGGGAGAGTGGAGGCCTGGGGGATGGTTTTAGAGCTGGCGTATGGGTGGTTGGTGGGTGCTAAGGGGGACGAGGGAGATGGAGAGGTCAAACGGTTTTGATTAATTACTTACCTCGCTTAATTGGTGGAACTCGGGCTTTAGGCTATCAGTGCGGGGTATGAGTGGTCTTGCGAGTGTCGGAGTGTGGAATATATTCGACCGTTTTCTTTTTGCATGGATGGTTGCTCGTGTGGGTGCCCTGATCGTAGGATGGGATTCAGACTTGCTCTGGTGGACGTCTTGTGTGCTTGATCAACGTGTTGGTGGATTCGATGGATAACAACTATCATGATATTTCATTGACGCCCATCGAGTCAGGAAGGGAAGATGGGTATGATATGTACTACTACAACTACTGTACAACGAACACCATGTGGTGCGCGAAGGGAGAAGAACGAAGAACAAGAATGTCCCAAATGAGTGGCGAAGAAGAACGAAGGAGGTCCATGATGCCGTGATCAACAGATGCAATTCCCCAGTAATTGCCTATCCCTGCGAACTAGTATCTAGGCTGCAAACCCGCCACAGACGGGACATTCGCTGGTACGCGAATGGAATACTGATACGCAGCGGTAAGGTCCCTCGCCATTGGCTTCTCCGACCTACGATAACCTGGCTCTTCCAAACCCACACTCACTTCACTCTTGGGGGTAGCAGCAGCAGGCGTCTTGGGCGTGCGCATATTAGCCAGATGCAGCCCCAAAGAATCAAGCCGGTTATCAGAGTGCCTCCTTCTGCCCTCCAATTCTGATGAAGCTTGCGTCGTACCGAAGGATGTGATAAGATGCCGCTGGGGTTGAGCGGGCGAGTTGGTGTTGGAGGCGGCGAGCGAGGTGAGGTCCTCCCAGTTCTCCGCGTTCCCGAATTCTTGGTACATAGGCTGTTTGGAGGAGAGGGAGCTGGTGGTTGAATACCGCGGGTTTCCGGGCGTCTCGTGGATGATGGAGACGGGCGGTGCATGGGACGAGGTTTCCGGCCTTCGACCGAAAGAAATTAAACCGCGTTTGAATGACCATCCTTTGAAACTTGAACTTTGGCTGCCTCCTGCCTCGGGATCGGTGGAGCGGGAGATGTCGACCTTGGAGTGGACGGAGGACGAGGCTGCGCGCATGCGCGATCGAGAGCGGAAGTAGAAGACGAGGATGATGGCTGCGATGATGATGCTCCCTCCGATGCTCCCGCTGATTATGGCGGCGAGTTCTGCGCCGCCTCGTTGTCTCTCTGCGGGTACGCCCTCTGCATCGTATGACATGCGATTGCCCTGTCCCCGACTGAATACAGATTCCAACTTGGTGAGGAAAACATCGGCGTCCTCGGAGTCATATCTTGGGTGTATGTAGTCAGCACCGCTGGTAGTACGGTTTCAAAAAGGGAGGGCGGTGGTTCACGTACGTGTATTCGGCGTAATCAAAGTTGACGTAGTTCTTTCGCTCCTGGGTGAACGGGAGGACTTTGATTTCCAAGCGATGGAAACTAGGGGACAGGTTCTGGTATGTGATAAGAGGGACCTGGTAGGAGAAATCATCGTCGCGGCTCCCCGCAGCATGCCTCAGTCGGTACTCCAGTGCCCCGTCGAGGGTGACGTCGCACTCGGTCACTAAATCGTTGGCCAGGGTGAAGAAGGCGGTGATAGAGGTACCTTCGAGAGTGTGTATTTGTCGGCGATTCTAAGGAAGATAAAGGTGATGGGATGGGACGCACCGAAGAAGTCGATGACGATTGACCTTGGGGTGTTACCCCCGAACTCCATGTTGTTGCCGGTGTAGGTACCTTTGAAGGCTTTAACAGATTCAGGCTGCTTCTCTGGCGTGTCCCCTCCGTTTTGGCTGTTCCAGTTTCCGTTGTTGGGAGGATAGAATGCGATACGAGCAAGCGCGGACTGGCCGAAGAATGGAAAAGGATTTATATCTGTGTCTGCGTCGTCGATCTGCCCTGTAACGTTCCTGCCGAGGGTTCCAGTGAAAAAGAAGATGAAAGAAAGAAACACGATCAACGCGAGGGAGGCCATGGTCCCGGATCGAGTAAAGAATGGAGAAAAAGAGAGAAAGAGAAAGAGAGAAAGAAGGGTAAAAGAGAAATGACCGGCAAGATGAGAAAGACGAAGGAATGGGGGGGAAAGCTATTCCATAAGGCAGAAGTCGGGGATTTATACCCTTGTTGAGCAGAATGTCATGCTCTGGATGATCAGTTACCTTCATCAAGAGATTTAACGCCTCCAACAGCAGGATGTCACGAGAAGCACCGCACTCCATTCCTCGACCAGCCAAAGAAGATACGAAGCGGGTAATCAAATCAGTGCAGATGGGCTTTGGACGGTGGAAACACCTTGGTTGGTGATTCGCTGATGATCAAGCTCATTAATAGCGTTATCAGAGCGGTGCAAAGAGGATAATAGGCGGGAACGTACCTCGAGTAATGCCCGTGGCTGGGAGAGTTACTCCGGCTGATCACAGCACCGACGAGTTCAGCGGGGCAATTGAACGGTAGCCACGACTCATTAACTCGCCCGGGGTCTATGCTCGCTGGAGGTATGGGAGAGTTACCTGTTTGTTTAACTATGGCTTTTGACATGGGTACTAGTAGAGAAACGAAGCAGAACACCGCAGGTAATGTCGACAACTGATCCCACACGGGTTGTAGACAGCTCACGAGTCATGTCATGTTCGATCAAGCTGAATTGAGAAGGGGACATCCTCTCGATAGGTTTGGGAGATTACCAAGTGCCAGTAGGGATGGGGACCGAGAGAGCGCCCAAGCGCGCCCACTACACAACGGTGGGGCTGAGGTCAAGTAGGACTTTGCTTACGAACGCCATGAATGGACCTCGAACATATTTCACGTGTATTCCCATCGCTCACGTGGAACGGGCGCCAATCAAATCCACAAGGAGCGCTCAGTAGTAGCAGCGTCGGCCTGTGTCGAGGAACTCGAAGAATCCAGGTCCTGTGTAGGTCAGTCAGCTGACTCTGTCCAAGACAAAAGAGAAACGGACACCCTCATTCAGGCACTCAGGCTTATTCCAGTGGCTGAGGGATAACGATCGGGTTTCGTGGGTACCAGGGACGAGTGATTGCAAACGCTGAGGATTTTACGGTAGAGGTCGTCACCAAGTGAGCAAAGAGTAAGGGAAAAGCATACATGCACAGTTCTGGGCTTCTCCAATATCAGCCCTGGATGGGTATCATTACGAGACATGGTTTGACAGTCACTCAGTACAGAACATACTGAGTAGGCGGATAACGGTCGCTTCCTTTTTACCTCTGCAACTTGAGGGAGCACGCATGTACATAGATACAGACCTCTGCCTCTTCTTCTTCTCTTGGAAAGGTGTTCATAAATAACCTCACCACGGAAGGAAAACGATTGCGGTCTTCTCGGATGGCCATTGACTCCGTGGGACAGCATTACTACGCGACTACCCCAATTCACGAAAGGTTATGAAACCACTTTCTCAGAATGCTATGCGCAAAAACATAGTCACTACATCTGCAAATACGAGCCAAACTACTCTCAGAAGGTATAAATACTTAGCAGCTCTAGCACGTTAACCTCCAGAACTCAAACACCTTTGCAATCACTTCGGCTACTTCACAATGCTCACTAAACTCGTTCTCGTCATCTCAGCTGCAGTCACCGCTGCCCTCGCTGGACCTCCTCTCGTCACTACCATCCGGTACGATGGCGCCTACTGCAACGCTGGTGCCAGTCTCCACACTACCGCGTGTTCCACCGGTTCCAACGGCTTGATCACCAAGGGCTACTCGACCTTTGGCAGCCTCCCCACCTTCCCCAGGATTGCCGGTTCCATCCTCGTCGAGGGTTGGAACTCGACCAACTGCGGGGGCTGCTACGAGCTCTACTATGAGCCTACCAATGGCGCCGGCGGTCGATCTATCTATGTCACCGCTGTCAACTCTGCGCCGGAAGGCTTTGTCCTTTGCACGGACACCTTCCTCGACTTCACCGAGGAGGAGATGGGCACCGTTCCCGAATCCATCACTGTCGAGGCTAGGGCCGTCCCTGCCTATGACTGTGGCTTTGAGTGAGCTTGATGTGCTTACGGTACGTTCTGGACGCCCTTTACAGGCGCTATGATTCTGATCAAAGAAATCTATAGCCCAGCGGATGGGACGCTTCTGTGTACATGTAATGGTTTCTGTCCACACTGTCTTGCCAACGGAACTTAGTGCTGTATACGAGATACCTCACATACGACTGACGCACTACCTGTACATTCTTTGTGAATTGAATGGAGCCTTTAACGCTTCGTATCCTCTTTTTTGTCAAAACATCCCCGTTTGGCTATGCCCGAGCAACTTGGAAGTACGAGTCCTTTAAACCAGCAGTTACATACGCGGAGCCGCTGGAGATGTCAACGCCTAACGAGAGAGTGTAACGGCACGTCTATCTCAAGACACCGCAGACTGCCTCTTTTCCGTGTTCCAGAGCTATTCTTGCCCCTGAGATCAGCGCGAAGTTCAAGGTCGCCGATCACAATGCGTATATGGGTCCGTGTTGGAGTACTTGATTGGCACTCCCTCTCCGCTCGGAGGGTCTGTATGATTGAAGAGAAGTCGACAAGACCACAAGGCCCCCTCGAGCATGCCCGATAAGGTGGTTTGGAGACGTTCCTTACCTTACTTCTTCCCAGAACTGCGGCGGCCCTTGACATGGGCGCATCTCAATTCATTCCTACCGCGGAAGAATATCGGGTACTTTTCGGAATCACATAAGTTAGATAAAAGGACGGTCAGAAATAGCCTTTCGTTGAGTTTTTGGCTGCTTAAACAGTGCGACTAACATCATCTGTGCGTAAGGCGGCGTCTGGACTGAGAAACCTCACAGCAAGGCCTGTCATTAGATTCTTATCTAGTCTTCGTCTCACTTTCCCTCCGCCGATCACAAAATATGCAACCAAGCACGCTGCGCAAGCATAGTGATGCAGTACCGAGCAACGCATCACTCTTTCGGAGAGGATAACATGATTCATTGAGCCCATCCTACCCGATCCATTGGCCGTCCGTTTCTGTTCACCGTGAGTCCCCCTCATGCCAGAGCCTATTCAATTTGTACCTGGATAGCATCTGGGACGGCGGGGATTCCAGCCCAACGATCTTTCACCCAGACTAAGAACGAGTCATTCGTCAATTTATCATCTTTCCCACTGACGAGATGAGAACTTGGAACTCACTCTCTTTCGTGATTGGCTTCGAGGCGAAGTCCCTGAAGTTTCCTGTTTGAACCGCCTGGGACTCGCCAAACGCAACCGAGAAGTGGGAGAGGGCGCTTCCGCAAGTCCCGCAGAAGACGCGAGTGACTGGACAAGATGAAGATTTAAATAAGTTCCCTTGAAGTCCTCTTGGGGAATGCTTACCAATATTTCCACTAGGAACCTTCGCCTTGAACTCTTTGATACTAGGCCCCTCAATTTTCACGTCCTTTCTGAGGGCAATGACGTTCGTTGCAAAGGCACTACCTGAGGTCTGCTTACAGTCCCAGCAATGGCAAAGAAGCTAGGATGGTGTAATATTATTTAATAACGCGACGCATGCGACGAACAACTCAGACCAAAGAGATTTTTTACCTGGTCCTTATAGTTCTCCCCGTTCTCGATGGTGACCGTAGACTGTCCACACAGGCACTGTCCTTTAAGAGCTGACATTTTCGTGCGATAGATTGAGGCTGTTTGAAGTCAAGTTGTGGCGTAAATAAGAGCCTGGTCTGCGAGCACCGAATGAAACGTCGAACGGGAGGGATTCTGCTTGATATTTATACCTTTATCTGCCGCTGCCTTCTCCTGTCAGAAACGGAGTCACGAGTTCTACTCGTGAAGATTATTAGTTACCCTTTAGGATAGAACAGCGTACGCACTGTGCTGGAAGCGGGTCACGCTTTCCAGCTCATAGATATCCGTAAGCACCACCTAGGAAAAATCAATTGATTTAGGCTCAAGTACAGCACGTTAGTGCCCCGTGGGCTTCTGTACAGTTATTTCGATGCTTCTGCTGACAAACGACTCACGATATAAGTTGTAACACAGCACAACCGTGTCCTATTCCGTTGTGAACATGCCAAAGAAGCTTCTCCTTCAGCTCAGTCCCGACTCCCCGTCCGCGACTAATCCGCCATGAGGCGTTCACTCCCTTCTCTGGGCCTAAGGCAAGGGTTGCAGCAGGCCCGTATCAATCCATTGTTAATAGTAAAATATTTGAAGGGTCGAAGGCCATCCACTGGGAAGTGAGAAATATCTAGTAAGCCGCACGGTGACGGTGTTGGTGTAGAAGCCACTTTGATCATGTGCTCGAGTCACGAGACATATTCGACATACTAAAGGAAATATATGACTCTGTAAATTGTGCATCTACTGCCGACGGCAATCGACGATAAAGTAACACAAGCTAAGCAGACTCAACGGCCTCGTACCCGGCCAACACATCCCATCTCTTGGCATCGTAATGTCCAAACGCCACCGCTGTCGCATTCTCCACCTTGGGAAGCTTCACCGTGCGCCTGACGCCGTCTGCGTCCTCGTATGCGAAGGCGTCAGGGAACGCACTGGTCTCGCAACTTCCTCCAACAACATCGCCCCCGTCCTCGTCGTTATTGATGTAGATGGTGCGTCCTCCTTCCTGAACTTCGGTAACGTTGCCTCCTGGTCCGCTGACTACGCGACCGTTCCCTGCCACCCACATGGCCCCGCTGTAGGTCTGGCCCCAGGCAGGCATACAGACGTCACCTGGCCCATAAGAGAGGGCCCAATCGGTGGTACATCCGCCGTTTTTGTAACCTCGGGCTGATGATCCGTTTGGGAGTCCGTCGAACGCGAGTGACCATCCGTATACAGTAGTATCGTAGTGGGCGAGGCAGACCCCGGACGGGGGGTTGTACCAGATGACCCCCACGCCAGCGCAGGTCTGCTCGCTCCTGAAGGCCCAAACATCTACCGCCGCGACTTGTGCGGTGAGTGTAAGAAGGAGAGCGAAGATAGAGAGGAAGGTTGATTGTTTAAGAGAGTAGATCATGGTGTTGATCGGGAAGGCTGTTGAGAGTAGTGGTCTAGCTCTGGTTTAGCTGCTGGGGCCTGTATCTTGAGAGGCTCGATGCTGTAGTCCGACGGTGCTTTCTTCAGGCTTTATACCTCAGTCTACAGCGCTCATAGGAGTATGCTAAATTCCGAATCGTGAAGATCGGGCAAATTCGATATCAGAAAACTCGTACTATTGTCCGAGGCTAATGAAATTTGTACTTTACACACAGCGCTCACTAGAAACCTATCGTGCAGGCGGTACCTAAGACCTTCATCAGTAGCTTTGATGAGCCAGAACGCTCACCGTTGGTCGACGGCCGGCGTTTGTGGGCACCTTGTCCGAAGCGCCCATAGTAGGAGATTTTGATTCCAGATTAGGTAGCACTACCTCCAGACTGGGATCCGGTGGACATGGAGAAAACTAGGCTTGCCCCACTTGACGAATCAGCTGAAGTCCGATATGATTGGGGAGTAGTATTACATTCGACACCGGTTGGTAGTTCGGGTCTAGGGACCCACTAATACCTGAGGTCGCTGGCGCTTCCTCAATTTTCGCCTTCTGCAAGGAGCTTGCAAGGAGCTTTGAGCTACGATAAGGTTACTCAGCCTCATATGTGATCATACTTGGCACGTCACCCTGACGATGGCGAACTGAAGCCAAAGTGCGGCTCAAGCCGCTTAACCGCCCGGCGCCCGAGGCGACTGCAAGTTTCGGCTACACAGCGAGTTGACACAACCCAGCGCGTATGTAGCTTTCCAGCTCATTGCACTCAATGCGTCCAGGGAGTTCTTGAGGCATGGACACGGGAAACGAGAAGCCTTTCCGCGACAATGGGCCAAGGCGCCGGCGCAATCATCCTGCCAGCAAATGCCAGCAAAGCCATATGTATTCAAGTCAAAATGTATTCAAATTGAATCTAGCTTAGCGCATCACCAAGTCGTGTCCGCTCAAGGGTTTGACAGGCAAAGACCTTGACTTGGCCTTGAGGTGAATTGGCTCTCGTCGTCTCCGAAGACTGGGACCCGAATACTGCGAACAGCGAACGCCGCCAACTTCCAAATCAGTCTCGCTTCCTTCCCAAAATGGACATCCCTCGCGATGCGTCCTTCGGCTTGAGCGTTTTCGCGTACGCGTTGACAGCTTGTTTGTGGGATTGGGGCAGGGTCCTCCGCCTCTGTGTGTGACGTGTGCAAGGCCTGGACCACCCTTATGACACATCCCAAAGATATTTAAGGATCCCAGCTCGTCTCCGAAGTCCTCAGAACCCGGTTCGCCTCCACTACACAACACCTCTCTCAACTTCACTCACCACCTCACACCCAGCACAATGTTCGCCCGTCTCACCTCCGCTCTCCTTGCCTTCACCCTCGTCTCCGCCGTCGTCGCCGGCGGCCCTAAGAGCGTCGAGTACGAGCAATGCAACGGCGGTGAAATCCAGTGCTGCAACAGCGTCCAGCAGTCCAACTCGCTCGACAGCTCTCTCACTAAGCTCCTCGGCCTCCTCAAGGTCGACATTAAGCAAATTACTGGCCAAGTCGGTGTTGGCTGCACTGCTGTTAACGTCCTCGGTGTTGGAGGTGGTTCTTCTTGCACTCAGCAGAAGGTGTGCTGCAGCAACAACAGCTTCAGTATGTCACACTTTTACATCTTGTGGTTGTACTCTTTACTCATGTCCTTTCTTTAGACGGCGTCGTTGCCCTCGGATGCAGCCCTATCAACGTTTCTGCTTAAGCAGTTCATGGTTGGGATGGTATGTGACTTCCTATTCACCTGAGGACCACGAAGTTCTGATCGATTGCATATGTAGCCCTCATAGCCTATTGATACATAATTGCCATACACCCCTATATAATCGAGATTTAATGCAATTCTGAACGTCTTTGTGGAACCACCATAAATTGATTTTGTCTTGACACATTAAGACCTCTCTGTGTACCACCGGAGTGAAGTTCTCGCGCCCTCATCGAGCTCGCAAAAAATACTGGACGTTCCTAGCAGTCCTCGAAAAGTGCACAGCTCAACGGAAAGTGAGATTCTGAGGATCGTTTGCCTAGAAGGTGGATTAGCCCCACGCTTGGGGCCACTTCGCCGTAATGAAGCGCACCTACCTTAGGAGTCCCAGACACCTGCGGCAGCCCTCGTTCAACAGCAATCCCTCCACCTCCTACCGCACCGATTTGTCAAGGAACCCCATCCTCCACAGCCGTATCCCCACTCCCACTTCCTACTATCCGACTTCCTACCCCAGTCGAATTACTCATGCCTTTATCCCAACCTACCATTCTATTCACAGTACTGAACCCCATCTCCATCCGCGCTGTTTCTCGTAGGTGGAGGATCATCCGGATTGAGAGTGTGCTGTGCATTACGGCTTGTGGTCTGAGAGTGAGAGTTATTCAAGGACTGTCTGTCAGTGCTCGTTGAGGGGTGGGAGTGGGAGTGGGAGACGTACGGTGCCATGAGGAAACGGTACCTTGCCTGTGATCCCAGCTGTCAGTTACATGATCGAGGGGAGGAGGGCGAGGCCACGTACGGGAAGGAATTGAGCGGAAACCCCATTCGCAATGGACATCACTTTGGCCTCGTCAGTCAGCCTTGGGACTCGGAACGTCAGACAGTGAGAAGTGGTGCTTACCAGCCAGAACGACGAAATAAAACGTCCCATCCCGATAAAAAATCTTGATCAACGGGCTGCGTCTCGACCTCCAGTATATCCGGAGTCCGAAGTACACGCAGAGGATCATCACGACTGCTCATCGATCCAAGTCGCCTCAAACTTTAAACAACTTTCCTCTTTCATCGACGAACGGGGGACTTTGGCTTACCGAATCCGCTGTACAGCAGGACAACGTACGCGATCATGACCAACTCGCCGTTCGTCGTGAATTTACCGACGCAACCCGGGACGATGTCGGCGAACTGGGATTGTCCCCCTGAGTGAATGAAACAGTCGGACAGATTAAAAGCCGAATATGGAGAGTCCAGAGGGCGCTTTGGGGCGCCGAGGTGAAAGATAAACGTACATGAGCCCAGAACGACGTACTTTCCCAACAGGGAAATGCTTGCGACAAAAACGGCCTAGACGATCAAAGGGTGAGTGAAGGAAGGGATGAGGAGGAAGGGACGGAAACATACCAGACCGTGGACGATCATGAAGGTCAGCATCAATCGTCCTCGACCTGCCAATGCGTATACGCGGACGTAGAGGATGACTTTAATCTAGGTCAGCTGCTATATGCCATCCTTCCCGAGCTGAATGGCTTACCTTCTGATATCAGGATGCACATAGCGATTCCAACTGATAGAATTCATGTTTGAGTCACTTCCTTGCCTTCACCCGGGAGAAGAGACGCACTGCATGGAATCGAAAAGATGATTTTGCAAAGCTTCTTCTGGTCAGAACGTTGATAGGGTGCAGCTAAGCGCTCGGGCTCACCAGCGGTGATGGTCGGACCACGAAATTGTCTGCGAGTTGCAACAAGTCAGCGCGGACCGAGAGGGGAGGATGAACGGGCACTCCCAATAAAATGTGAAGGGAATTACAACGAATGGGAGGAATCGGTTGATGAAATATACGATCTTCACGATTCCCCAGTGAACGGACCAGACTAGAGCCACCTGGAAGCAGAATGATTCACGACTCGAACTCAGGAAAGCAATATGAACTTCCGTACCTCTAGCCTTAGTGTTTGAAAGTATTCAGCGAACTAGTTCAAGCGATATGGTGAGCATCTTGTAAGTCTTTACCATGGCAAGTGAACCACCGACCAGCAGTGTCATGCTCGCTACTGCGGAACCAAAAGTGGCGGGTTCAAAACGGATTGGCGGACATGCAAGGAAAAGAAAAACGCACCCGAGACGATCTAAGATGGGATGAGCTCTGTGTGAGAGATCGTATAAGGACTAGATGAGGACGTACAATGTTCAGCTGCGTGCTTTCCAGCTGGGCCTTCATCTTCATGAAATCGTCCTGTTGATCCATACTGTCCAGAAAGTAGTGTCAGCGGTAAGGTCAGAGGGATTCCAGGCGTCGAACAGACTGCGCGAGACATGTTATATGGAGGGCGAGTTATGAAAGTATAAGGATCTCATTCTCAAGGACTCCGCCGGTTGGGGGGCCATAAGCAGCAAGAATTGATATAAATCAGTATCCTTGGTGGCCTTGAGCCTACAGCTCTCGATCCAAGTACCCCGTCATAGTAGGCGACTATGTTAACGAGCGATAACGATCAAGCGCGCAGTGGCTCATCCTTCGACTGGGAGTGATAATCACAGGCTGTGCGTCCTAGTCTGGGATAGTGTCGACAGATAGCTGTAGCAATGGCGTTGGCACGTCAGAGACTAAGTCACGCAGTTCCATCGCGATGAAATTAGAACAAGACAGAGTATCATCCGTTGCCAGAAGACGGTATGTCCGAGCAACCTCCAGGGTGTTGTCCTGATCCTCGTTCGACCAGGGTGGATGACGACATTGCAGCCAGGAACAATAGGTAAGACCAAGTGTAAGAGGCCGTCTATGTCGGCCAGTGAAATCGGTTTGTCAGAAGAATGCTGAGACCCATGAGCGCCTGGTGAAAGGCGAGTCCAGAACGCTGTGCGCGCCTGTGTCAGTCCCTGCGAAGGGCACTCCGGCAACTGCCGAGGATCACGTGCAGATATCGAAGTGAATTGCCGCCGCCCGGCAACAAGGGATCTTGCTCTTGACCACCAATATCGAGGATCGGTGGAGAATCATGGCGACAGACTCACAGATGACGGTAGCCAGAGCTGGAAAGAGTTTGCCTCCAGCGCCGCTGTCCAAGGCGACCAGACAGGTCGTCCCAGCGTTCCTGCAAAAGCTTTACGAGTGCGTTCAACCTTTAGCCGGGGTAAACAGCATTTACTAACGAAAATAGGATGGTCAACGATCCAAAGAACTCAGATCTTATACGCTGGTCAGATACGGGAGACTCGTTTTTCGGTGAGTTTTCGTCGTTGAACAGCTCTCTAGAGGCTAAAACGTGGTACAGTGCTCGACCACGAGCGTTTCGCTCACGACGTCCTGGGCCGTTGGTTCAAACATCGTAATTTCAGCTCCTTCGTTCGCCAATTAAACATGTATGGATTCCATAAGATCCCACACTTACAACAAGGCGTTCTAAAGAGCGATAACGAGACAGAGTTTTGGAACTTTGCTCATCCAAACTTCCACCGCGGCCAGCCTGACCTTCTCTGCCTGATCCAACGGAAAAAAGCCTCGAGCCAACAAGTAAATAACGATGACATCGACCTCCGAGACTCGACTCCTACAGCCAATGGCCAGGTCCTCGATATCCAGTCCGTCATTAATGGCATTACCGCCATCAAGCGACACCAAACCACCATTTCTGCCGAGCTGAACGAGCTGAAGCGCTCGAACCAGCTGCTGTGGCAGGATGCCATGGCTGCCCGCCAAAGATACCAGAAGCAGCAGGACACGATAAACCGGATCGTCAAGTTCCTGGCTGGTGTCTTTGGAAGTACGGTGAATCGGACAAAGGATGGTAGCCCTGAACCTCACGTCGTCATTCCACGGAGGGCTGCCAGGTTCTTGATTGAGGATGCGAAGAGGGAAGGGAAGGGCATTGTGGAACTCGACGACTTATATGCTCCAGAGGACATGGCCACTCCTATATCCATCACCTCAGTCGAAAGCGATAACCATGTCGAGACGACGCCAGTTCCTCAACCAGCCCCAGTACAACCCGAACCTGAACCCAAGCCCACAGACAGAGCCGTGACCCCTCGCCAACCGTCTCCCTCATACGACTTTGACCCTCGCGTTCACGGAATGCTCTCCCAGCTCACCCAATCCCAGATCCAAACCCTCCTCAATACCCTCGCCTCCCAACCATTAGGGGATGCCAACACTGCTTCCTCGAACCCGACTTCCAGCACCCACCTCACTCCTTATCAACCACCCCCATTCGACTTCTCTATGATCCCTTCTACCCCCGGCACTTCGAACGAGAGCCACGTTCCCGTGGTATCTCCGCCTGCCGCACCTCCTACCGAAGGCCTGATCTCATTTAACTCGTTTGATGGATTCCCCACTGAGCGGATGGAGCGACAATGGCAACAAGCGGAGGACATCGACCGGGACGTCAACGCGCTGAACACCAGCATCCACTCCCTCATCCAAACGTTTGGCCTAGACCCCAATATGTTCGACTCCATGGACACCTCCACTGACCCCACCAACCCCACCAACCCCGCTGCTCCCAACCCCTCTGTCTCGATCGACCACAACGCACATCCACCTACCGCCCCCAACGTCTCTGCGCCCTCAGCGGACACCATGGCTGGCCCAAGCGGCGCGCTTTCGAATGATCTCGGGCCGGTGCCTCCCGCTGATTTTGATTTCGATGCCTTCCTCAACACGTTGCCCTCCGCTTCGGCCAACGATGGTATGGATTACACCGATGCTGCATCTACAGCGTTCCTGGACGAAGTACCATCGCCAGCCAGTACGACTACCTCGCCGGTGCAGAATCTCCGCGGCTTATCGCCTGAGATCTCGACGAATGGTGGGTCAGGGCTGGCGGTTCCTCAACCAGTGATCCCGACGGCCAATGCTGGGACTAAGCCTCCCACCGCTTCACCTGGGCTCGGGCGGAAACGAAAATCGGATGTGTCCGAGCTGGATGGCGGGGCGTTGGCTATGCAGTTCCAGACTGTCACGCCCTCCGCCATCCTGCCTGGTGTGACTGGTTCTCCGCACCTCCACTCGGCTTCCTTGTCGACCAACGCGGCTAACAGCAAGTCGAAGAGGAGGAAGGAAAAGTAAATTGTTGTATCGATCGACGGAACAGAAGAAGCCGAAGAAGGGACCAACGATGTACAGTACCAGGCGACTTGACGGACCGGTTTGCTTTCTTTTTCTTCCCCCTGGGTGTCGATGAACGTTTTTTCTACCTTGTATTTTAGCAGCCCCTCCCCTCCCCTTCCTTTCGCACTATCTTATTGGCTATTCAATTGGAAACCACGATGTCTTTCCCCCTCGCTTCCCCTGATTCCCCCGCTTTCTCATACCATGCCTTCACCTTTCCCCCTCAATTTCCCGCCCCACTTCCTTTTCGATATGTCCTCATTATCGTGTTGATGGGAGTTGTCTCTTGTTGTCATGTTTCTCTTTTCCTCTGTTTCCCTCCCTCACTTCCCTATAAATACACGACTAGGGACACTTCCTCCAATTCCCTTTATTCCCTCTGTTTCCTCTCCTCTGATTCTTTCAGGCTTACCTCCCATCCCCTTCCCCTTCACAGCCCCTTCACCCCATGTTAGCTTTTATCTTTCTTCATGGACCGGACTCACCAATTCAATTCAAGCAATTCAAAGCACGAAGTTCCACACGCACGCAACAAAAATAGTGTATCCTTTTTTTCTTGTTCAACTTCACGGTTGTTACTTTTACTCTACGCTATGTACTTATGCTTAGTCCTCCCTCTCTCCCCCTGACTGCTCGTCCGTTATGCATTACAAAGTACTAGTACTTGGAGTGCGACCACTGCGGCATCATGATCCTGCGCACGTTCCTCTTCATCGACTGCCTGGGTTCAAGTTGTCTACACGGCTGCAGTTACACGAGGACGGTTTGGTACTCAGTACTCCCGTTTTACTCCGAGTTCTTTATCCCTGACTTACGATACGATACGAGGGTTGGCTCCGCGGAAAGAAAATTGTTAAACCAGATGTAGCATTAGTTTCGAGTTGTAGCTTGGTACGAATGGCTTCTTGATAGATGTGTGGTGTTTGTTTGGAGATTTTTGTAGCAAATAAAGTTGATTCGATGGTGCGCTTTTTATTGCACTATCAGACTCCTACCCGCCGTAAACGTCTTTATCTTATCTTATCTCTCCTGCCGAACTTTCTCCGAACGTTGGAGGAGCACGTTTACGGGCGACTGGCAACACTTGTTGCTTTGTCCTTGTTTGTCACGGACCTCCCCAGTCTGTCCATCGTCCTTGGAGAGGCTATACTCCGTGTTTCTGGCAATATCGTTGTGTTTGACTATAGCTTAATGGTTCTGAGCACCCGCAAAGCATAAATACACTCATAACCACCGCTGTGACTAGTCCTCCTCATTTGGGACAGTCTTCTAGTGCTTGCCTACAGAATGGGCCATTTGCTGAAGGTGAAGATCTATATTAGTTGAAATTTACAAAAACTGGCTAGTGGCTGGCTAGTGAAACATTTATGACTGTATTACGGAAGAACTAGCCCTCAAACCCCTTGCAGTACATAGCTCTCTGGATTAGCGCTCGTCCAGAGGGTGTTGCCAAACAATACCAAAGTAACAAGTGTTGCCAGTCGTCCGTAAACGCGTAAACGTTGAGCTCCTTGAGTTCGGAGAACGTTCGGCAGCTTACCTAAGAACGTTTACGGCGTCTGGGTAGGAGTCTGTTGCACTATGTCAATTGATGTCCACCCCCAGGACAGGGGCACAGAGTGAGAGCAGAGAGAGAAGAACGATACGGCACCGAGATATAGTTACTCCCAGTACTGTCGTCTGTGATACGCTTCTAACTTGGAATCGACTGGCAGAGAAGGCAATGGGCGTTGCGAGTGGATTAGAGAGGAAATAGTTTCTGGCAGTCCACTTTCCAGTGTCCGACAATTAGGGAAGGACAGGGGTAACCCCCGGGTAGCCGGACACCTACCCTTACCCCCACCCCCCCAAAACCCCTACCCCTGACTGAGGGGTAGGGGTAGTACCCTTACTGTCGCGAAGAGCGAACACTAAACCAAACCAAACCTTGAAACCAGAGCGGAAGTGCCAGAGAGCTGAGAGCGACGAGAGAGGCGAGAGCGATGAGCGACTTGTAAGCCAGAAAGCTATGCAGATGTATTGACGAAGAGGTCAAGCTGAGGAAATACAGAGGAATCTACCTAGCTTATATACCTATTCTACAGTCTTCATAGCCGCGATGAGTCAAGATGACGAACAGATGGTGAAATGCAGAAGAACAATAGGGAGAGTCACAAGGCTGCGCGAAGGCTGCGCAAAGAATAAAGAAGACAATAACAGAGTAACGAGGCAGTGCAAGAATGGAGAGAACAATAAGACGTAGGGCGCAGGGCAGTCAGTATATGGAGACCTAGGAGACAGGCCAGAGTGGTGTGAATTTTGACCTATGTCAAAGGTCTGCAGTGGCCAGCTGGGCTCCAGAGACCCTCTACCAGATAGGCCCAGATGGGTGGGGTGTATTTGATATGGGGTGTACTTGATATGACCACACATGATTTCATTCATGTGTTATAGATAACCTACATCCCATTCATTGTACTGTATGTACTAGCATGCTGCACGTGCATCGACAATCCCAGCTGTGCTCTTGCCCTATCTTGCGCAGGGCTCCCATCCACCTGTGTCTGTGGCCCCAGCTGGGTTCAACGTGCTGGTGGGATTCACAGCTGGGTTGAGCGCGCAACTCGGTTGCCTGGGAGCTGGCACCTTGGTCCAAGCGTAGTAACATGTGGTGGATCTTCGGTTGCGGCTTTCTGTCCAACTGTGTCCATTAACCCATCTGGGTTCCCCTCCCTATTCATGGACCCATCTCGGTCACGCCCGATGTTCCGAAACCCATCTCGGTTCCACCCCCCGGGTTGCAATTCCCAGCTAGGTCGAGCCCATCTGGGTTCCCCTCCCTATTCATGGACCCATCTCGGTCACGCCCGATGTTCCGAAACCCATCTCGGTTACACCCCGGGTTGCAATTCCCAGCTAGGTCGAGCCCATCTGGGTTCCCCTCCCTATTCATGGACCCATCTCGGTCACGCCCCGATGTTCCGAAACCCATCTCGGTTACACCCCGGGTTGCAATTCCCAGCTAGGTCGAGCCCAGCTGGGTTGTGTCCACCTGTATTCAGGAACCCATCTCGGTCACACCCGTTGTTCCGAAACCCATCTCGGCTACACCCCGGTTGCAATTCCCAGCACATGCTTGGCTCTTTTTTTCTAAGTCTACCTGTGTCGTTACTCCAATCTGTGTACCCCGCCCATTAGTTCACCCAACTGGGTCCAGGAACCCACCTAGGTCCTCATCGCAGTTGTGTTTCCCAGCTAGGTTCGGCGCCTGACTCAGCATTGTCTCCGAACATTATGATCGTTCGTCATTTTCTCTCTGCACTTCCTTCCCCCTGTCTGCTCCATGGACGACCATCTCTTTGACTGGAATGTCTTCAGGTGCCACTACGATGTCCCAGAGAACCTTCGAAAGGCGGTCCACTACGGAATGTATGCTATCCACCTTTTCTGCAAATTTTCACTCGACTCCGCCCACGACGTGCCCCCTTTCGGTGACATCAATCTTATTGTCAGGTCAGAAATTCATCAGATCGTCCACGGCGTTCGAATGGCTTTGGATTGTAAAAGTACGTCACAGATTGCTCCTTAACTGTATCTCACATCAAAACACTCCCTCGTAGTCCATCTAGAATGGGCGATTGAAGATTACCTCAAAAGTTTTGACGATGGGACCACCGATGTTGAGCGTAGCCAGCGTTTCCCACCTAACCCTGGCACCCACAAATCTGGCCTCCCTTTCGATGAGGTTCACTACCCGTGTACCTTCGTGGACAAGAACGGCCGCATTGTGTGGTGGTATCTCCCGGCAATCATTCGAGAATCCCGCTGGGTGAGTGCCAAACTCTAGTAGTCGAATTGAATAACCCTCTCATACATCTACCAGGAGAAGATATGCGACACTGTCTTCAGTCTTTCCAGAGCATGCCCCAGAGCGTTTTCGAGGCCTCGGCACATCTCATCGGCCGATTTTCATGCCAGCTTCAAGATAGGAGATCAATTCGCCCAGGGACAAGCAATCATGTATCCGGCTGGGTATTTTGAAGGGGACATGGACTACGTACGTCGCATCCTACGTCGTCTCCACCTTGTCTGTCGACCTTCCTCAGGACATCCCGTTCCCTTCGCGCTCCTTCCGACACGCTGACCGGTATTTCGGGTTTGAGTTCCTCGATATGCTTGAAACGGACACCATGGCAATCATCGGTACAGTCCTCGCACTCACGCAGCCTGTTCTTTTCCATGTCTCCCTGGAAATGTTTGAGAAACTGCACCAAGGCAATGTTTCGGTTGGTCAGCCGTGGGTATTCCACGAGGTGCTGTCCCGTTGGGCTTCGCCCTTTGGCGCATACACCGTCTTCAACAACTGCGATCACCCCCGCCATCGATTCTCATTCAGCCATCCATCCTCATCCACACTTTATCTTTCGATCGGAGACCCTCAGCATAGCCGCTTCGTGAGCAATCTTCTTGCTCGCGACTTTCATTTCGACCCTGGTACCGTATGTATTGGGTTGGCCTCCTGCATTTCTCATGGTTGGTCTTCCTGTGGAGCTGGGGAACAGGCTACTGTCCAGTTCACGACATGTGGACGCCTTCTTGACGAAACAGAACCTTATAGAACTATATTTCCAATGACCTCGGTCGAGCTTGCCGCATATGTAGACTACATTCTATCAGACTGTGAATTCCAAACTTAGTTTTCATTAGAATACATTAGTTCACTCAGAACGCAAATTCGAGTCTCAGGATTTATTCTCGGCTACACGTGAGGGGAAGTATATAGTAACACAACTTGAAATGTAACTCAAACGCGGGTAACTCGAACGCGGCCTTGGAGGCGACGAAACCCAGCTGGGTTTCAATTCCCATCTGGGTTTACTTGGAGGCGCCAATACTGAGATGGGTTCCAGTTCCCATCTCAGTTTACTTGGAGGCGCCAATGCTGAGATGGGTGCATATTCCCATCTGGGTTTTCTTGGAGGCGCAAATACCGACATGGGATTTATCTCCCATCCCCGTCTATGTTTTCCTGGAGGGATGAGATCCCATGGCCAGCTGGGATTTCATCTCCCGGGTTGTTCGTCCTGGATGTTCAAGCGGGGTATACCCACCCAAGGCACATGATTATTCGACTCAAACAACACATCAGCCCGACAATCGCCTCTTACAACTAATAGTCACACCTTTTTTTCACCAACGACTCCTCACCCACCATCCTCGTCCACCCCACCCCCATGCTTCTCACTACGAACCCCCTCCTCCAAGGTCTCACACGTCTTCGAGCGCAAAAGCTCGTCAATTACATCTCCGCCCGTCTACGACACTGCGCAACTCACCTCACGGATCGTGCAGAGGACATCGACCGTGTTCCCGGGCTGTTTGCAGCCTGTTGGCACCAGTTCAAACTCGATTTCGTAAGTCGTCCTGCTACAAATACTTCTGTTTCACAGACTGACCCAGACAGAACCACGGGCTCCTCGTCTATGCGTTGGTGTCCCTCCAATATCCCGAGACCATATCTGCACCCGCATTCCTCAAAAGTCTCCATCGTCTGCTTGTGGAGGGAGGTATTGATTCCTGCGACGCCGTGAAAAGAGAAGCTAACCGACACGATCCACCCTACGATGATTTCGGCGTGCCCACCAGCACTGCATGGTGGGTTGACATCACTGGTAACTCACCTCCCGATACCACACCCCCCAATTTCCCTATCACCCACATCATCGACGCCTTCAATCGCGAGCCTGACGATGCTTGGCCCCCATGGCACCTCCCTGTCATTGTCCCTCAAGGATGGGATTCGACCAAAGCTCGTCCCCTCGCACAATCGTTCGAAGACCTGGAAAAGCGTCTCCTGACCGCCGAGACCGAGTTGCGAAGCGCCATGGAGGCCATCGACGTCTTCAGAGTCGATTGCAGGCGGTTCCCCCCACTCCTAGGACTCTGATGGCACGGAGGTACAAGCCTGCTCTCAGGCCATCGCGGAGTCTGACGAGGTGCCCCAGTCTGACCTCATGGACGTGCGACACTCTGACGATCTGGAGGGGTCCGAGTCTGACCCCATGGACCACACTACCGCGGCTCTCGATCGTTTGGAGGCTTAGCAATCTCATCTTGTATTTCATTTTCTTTGCTTTCGTTAATGTCATCCTCCCCTGCCCGTCCACATTGTCATGATGTCACCTGGCCTCCCAAGGCTTAGTCATCCAGCGTATCGATACGCCTGCTGACCCATGCCAAAACCATGGCCGACCAGTTGCGATGACGTCAGTCAAAGCCGCAGCACCAGCTCTTGCGGTGATGACTGACGTCATTCCTCTGCCGTGACAACGACGACGAAGTCTTTCGACGACCATTCGAACCAGTCCACGGCCAGCTCCGAATCTCCGCCACAACGTTACTTGGCAGAACAAGTGTATTGTTGAAGGTAGTCAATCTATGGTTGTATATCTACGAACTGGTAACCATCACATCATCGCCTAAGCCCTCTTTGACTTTGTTAAACCGCTTCTTCGCATGTGCTCCCATCAGTCTCCACATCTGCTCTTGTCTTTTGGCATACGCGACGTGGCCAGGTGAATGTTGTGTTCCTCTGCCCCATTCCCTGCACTGAGATTCCTTGAAGGCGAAAAAATTGACAACCCAGTCCATCTCGGAGGTCAGCAATGTGTGCTCCTCCCTCCAACGGTCGAGTCTTGACCTCGCTCGAAGCCAGTTAACACGATAGACTAGTAATGACAGGTCAGTCTACCTTAACAGGCGACTTGGGTTTGAGGCTCACTTTCTTCTAGATAGGCCGAGTTGTTTGAATCTTCGGCCACATTCATATTCCAGATCCAGGGAAGCGGTTTGTTTCTTTCCCCCCTGGCGTTTGGTTTGTAGATCGCGGTGACTGCGCGGGTATCCTCCCTTCGAACAGGTCGATATCGATCCCTCGTGTCATCGTCGGCGCCCAACCTCCCCAGAGCCCAGCGGGCCTGGTTGTACACTTTGAGTAAGTTTCGGAGCTCCTTGTCGACACTGTTAACCGCTGCATAGCCCCTCGTCTTCTGCTTCTTCCCTTCCGCAAGGCGAACGTTTGACCTGTAAAGGTAAGATTTATGTGCGATATGAGCCCTGATACCTTCCAGAGTATCCTCCGCTTGAGCGATGCGTAGCTGAAGCTCCTTCGGTCTTGCCCTCAAAATGGAAACCGGGACTTCGTCATCCTCACCAAACGATGATGGGAGAGGTAGCTTGACGTCCTCGATCTCGTTTTGAGAAAGAGAGAAGGGATTGTCAGCTTCATCCTCTACCTCGTCGTCCTCAGCTCCTTCAATGGCCACCAGCTCGAGAGGGGGGGAAGAGTACTTGAGTGCGTCGAAATCAGCGTCCGGGAAGAGGGAGGACGCAGTGTCGTAGAGCTCGTTGACCTCCTGTTGGAGTTGTTCTCGTCGTTTGGCGACCTCGAGGGTTTGTTGGTCGGTTCTGTCCTTCGGTAGACCTCGTATGAACATCTTCAAACCTATCCTGTTCGTAGTTAGATGGTGTATACAGGTGCAGTCTGATCTGGCCTCACTGAGTGTCCTGGAGCCGAAGTCCCCAGGCCAGCCAGGATGTAACCCCGATCCCTTTGTTCATTTGCCGCTCCTTCTCCATAAGTCTACTTCGAGTTTTGGCCAGAGAAGGTGCTGTAGCGCTGTTAGAACATTTTTACGAGCAGAGAAATAGTACCCACCTTTCGTCACTTTTGCATTTAGGATATCCATCGCCTTGACGTCCAAAGCACGTAAGGCGTTCGCCTCATCCAATTGAGCCTGCCACTTGGCCCTTTGTGTCGCTGACGCCGTCTGGTTAAGCAAATCGAAGTCTTCCTGTGCTCGTAGGAGCTCTATTCGACTGTTATTCCAGTTTTTGCATATGGAAGGCACTTGGAATCGACACTTATCAGGAAACCAGTTAATGGAATAGAAATTCGTGAGTACTCACCTAAATTGAGCAGTTTCTTCCAGTTTATATCGCCAAAGATCGCATCTAGAACCTCCACGCGATGCGCCAATGTCATCGTGGAAGTTGCCCGTGCCACCTCGTTCACAATCGCCCAAAGAGACTCGAGAATCTCCCCCGCAGCGATCCCTGCACCTTTGATGTACGTGAGGGAATACCTGGCGTTACAGGCGTCTTGGTGGCCGTGAACGTGGAAAAGACCTATCGCATGCAGGAGTTCTTCGAGATCATCCGGAAGCTCCAGGAAATCGCTTTGATCGAAGCGCTCCAAAAGTCGTTTGCTATACTGACAATTGATGTCGTATGCCAAGATGACCCTTCGAATACTCTTCATGTTAGAGTACTTAAGCGCCTGGGAAAGCGCCCAGTCCATGTTCATTTGACTGCAGTTAGAATGGCATCAGAAAGTGAACGCTCGTTTGGAAAGGCATTACGGATCCACCTACCGCTCTCCTTTCTGGAAATCAACCACACTACCAGGGACAAAAGCACCATGGCGCATACAAGCGATTGCGCCAACACCTGTCACATCGCAACCTTTGTGCACTTTCGATTTTTCCGATACAGCGCGATGTTCATGACATGTGGGCGCCTGGGATGGTTTAGGTCTGCATAGAGTGATATAAGATACAACCATGATAGATAAACTTACCTCTTTCACCTCGGTTGAAACTGCGAGATGCCGAGAATACGATTCCTTCTCCGTCATGTAACCTTCACCATTCTTCAGGTACACCTCTGAATCTTCGTCGTCGAACCGCCCTTTGCGATGTACACACGTGAAGTTCCCATCAGCAACGAAACTCCGGGTATACTTCCAACTCTCGCGGTCATCCTCCCAGTTTTCCGGGAGGTTAATCCCTGGCTGAGGGCAGGCTGCGCAGAACAAGGCAAGATCGCCCTGTTGTGCCTCTCCGCGAGTGTGTCCAAAGCCGTTGCGTTTGAGCTCCTTTAGTTTCCTCCATTGACGCCCAACCCGTCGTAGTTCGCGTACACGATTCTAGTCCATTCACATCAGCAAAGTGTTTCTGTTTTTAAGGTAATGTACGCACTGGGACGGCATGAGGGAATGGCTCATTCGTGAACCTTCTGAGCTTTGAATAGATGTGGTGGGTCGATGCGAACGTTTCCACCGTCTCGATCATATAGTCGTCGAGTAATGCGAAGGTAAAAACAGTTCGAACGTTCTTGGGGGTGGAAGGGTAGAATCCCCTTCTGAGAAGTTGGTATTCCGGGTCTGGGGAATCGAGGCAGTGGCAGAAATGGAATGGCAAGTGATGAACTCCGTTGGTGTGAACGACAACAAGGATTTTCATCCCGTCGAGGGTTCGAGAAGGGGGAGAGTGACCAAATGTGAAGTCATCGTCGTCGCCCAGCCCTGAAAGCTCGGGATTGTCTTGCTCGTCGTCTGCAGCTGTTGGGTGTTCGTCTTCTGCAACTGGGACCAGCAACGGTTGACACGAGCGCACCGAGCAAAGATTGACGGAGACGCCAGCAATCCAGAGCCAAGAGGGAGAGAAAAGGCCGTCCTGGAGTTTGAGCACGCGATGCAAAGGATTGCGAAGGTGTGTCGTCCTAATGCATGTTTCACAGTACACAGGCGAACCACAGCAATCCTTGCACTTCCACCAATACTCGGCAAGGACGCTGCGGCACTCGTCACAGGCCAATGTGGCGCGTGGAAATTCGTTCGCCAGTATCTCTTTGAGATATTGACCTTGCTTTGGTAGCCATTCAGCCATGTAGTCGTTGGGCGTCTATTTATCGGTGGTTGGTCGCCTTCGGCTTGTAGTGATCACGGATGCGCACCTTCGATTTTGATTTCCCTTTCTGGGGACTCATATCCAATTCCGTGAAAGTATAAACGATTCCATTTCCAGGACCCTGTTCTTTGCGAATACGATGTTTGGGAGTCAATCGAGACACCGGCTTTTGAGGTGATGGGGATGATAAAGGAAAGAATTTGACTCTCGAGCCTCTTTTGGTAACGACAAGCTTGCCCTGCAAGGCCTTAACCCCCCCAACCGATGTCGAAGTGACCTTCTGTTTCGTTTTGCCCATGATGGTGGTCTTTACAAGTAGGGCTGGAGGAGGACTGAGGGTGAACTCGCAGATAGAGAAGAAGAGGCGCACCAAAGTTCAACATTTCCTCATTTAGATCAGAGATCTCATCGAGATCTCTGCTCCACAGATCGGCGATACTCGACCAAATAGGGCAACCCGGGGAGTATACTGAAACCTCGATCATAAAAAGCTCGGTTGAATTTCCTCCTCCTCCTTCGTCCACAGTCTCCTTCGTCTGCTACACCACGGTTTCGCCACGCTACCCAAAGATGTCCCCCCCAGTTGATTCGACGGTCACCTTTACGCTACAGCCGTCGCAAGTTGCTTTCCTCACCAACAAACTCGACGAGTATCGCGCAATGGGCGCGGCCGTGAAGAAGCAGGGCTACGCGCACAGGATGGCTCAGCACCTGAAGAAGGAGATGAACGCGATGGGGGCGACTAACATGTCGCAGGCCAGGGAGGATCAACTCAAATTGGTGGGTCAGTTGTCCTGGATCTTGCCCTCGTATGCTAACACGCCATAACCAGGCGGTCGAGCGCTTTTTCGAAGAACGAAAATACGAACGCAGTCCTACAAAACGGAAGTGGGGAATCAAATGGCATGCGAGACTTGTATTCAAGTATGTCCGCACTCGCGCCATCTGGCATCTCGCCAAACTTATTCTCGCCAACCTCCCCCTCCCTGACCTGCGACGCCTTTTGGACGATGAAGACGCGGTTATCAAGGAGGACCTGGGATCTACGCCAGAGGAGAAGATCGAGCTCCCTGAAGACTTCGACGAGGAAGACGACGATCACGAGTCCGAGCCACCTGCTCCTGCCAATGGCAGGGTGCCGACCCCCTTCTGGAAGTTCCCCCACGCTACAACTCTCCTCTGGTCTGTTTTGACCGAGAAGGAGAAGAATCATTACGAGCACCTCGCTGACGAGTGGCGTTCTGAAGGCCCGCCTCAGGAGGAGAAACGAAAGTAAGTACTTGCCAATGCCATCAATTACGGCTGCCTCAACATTTGCTAGACTCGTGCAAACGAAGTTGGGACCGCGTTGCCAAGATTTTGCCACCTCCGTGTACAACGACATGGGGGTCATCGTGTTCTTCCTCCTGGGCTACGAGGACTCGACACTGGAACGCTTCGGCGTCACTTTGGAGTACAACACCGAGCTGACGGGGAAGCAAGCGTTCCTACAGCGCTACCAGAAGCAGTGGGTGGCATCTGGCATCCAGGACAGATGGTGCGAGTATGTCGGCAATGTCCTGGCAAGCGACGACGAGACGGACCCCGCAGCGGCGACCAAGAAGGCTGGGAAACGCGCTCGCAGGCCGCTCCTTCCCATGAAGTCCGACGCGTCTGGCCAGCCCATCCTTCCTCCTCTCTCGGCCATGCCCGAAACTGAGCAGAGGTCTGTCTGGCTGGGTGATGTCCTACGAAGCTTCTTCACCCGCATCTACAGTACGTACTGCTGCATTCGTTTCCGAGAAGGCTAATCACTATGCCAGACCTGGATTTGGGGAACAAGCCCCTCCCCGCGGTCATTTCAGCCGAGAAGGATAGCCTGCGCGTCCGAGTTCCCTGGAAATCCATCAAGGGGCGGGCTCGTTCTTGCGTGACGGCCGAATTCCTCCCCGACGAATTCGTCGAGAAGTTCGAGGATCCCTCCCAGTGGAGCTTGAAGACTCGACGGGCCGTCTACGATTTCTACTACGCTCGCCAAGAAGACCCCAACGTCAAGACGACGTTCCAGTTTACCTCGATCCCCGTGAAAAAGCGCAACCATCTCAACAAGGAGGTTGTCGTGTTCGTCCCCAACCGCAGGCATCTGTGCGAGCTAGTGACATCGGACGACGAGTCCGAAGACGAACAACACCAACGGCGTCCTCCTTCTCCCAAGAAGAAGAAGAAGGCCGTGAGTTTCCGACAAGGTAAGGGGTCCTATTTGTGGTACGAATGTAACCCTTTGCTGACTTTCGTTTAGTGCCTTCTCCTCAAGTGTCTGGTTCGTCCTCCGAATCAGAGTATTCGTTTGGCGAGGATAGCGAACAGGTCCCCGAGACTCAAGTCATTCACCCACCCTCTCCCTCTTCTTCAATTGCTTTGGCCGACACGCTCTCGTCTTCAGATAGTGAATACGACTTTGACGACAGCGCGGACGTTCAACCCCTCGCAACCCTGCATTCCTCATCCGACTCTGAATACGACTTCGATTCCCCCGCGCAGGCTGCGCAACCTTTGCCTTCAGAAACACCTTCGGACTCGGAGGAGTACGATTTCCCTGGGACTCCAGAACCAGAGCTCCCCCCAGCGGCAGAGAGTAGTGATGAGGAGCCCCTACACGTCCAACTCCTCGGTTCGCGTCCTCCGTCACAGCCCCCTCCTCAGACCGAGTTGGAAGAATCGGCCAGCGACACCGAGGATGAACTCCCAACCGTCGACGAGCCCCGGCGCCCGCCGAAACGGAGGCGACTCGAGGTCGACCCTGTGGACGAGGCAACTTTGAAGACGCCTCGTCAGACTCGCTCTGGTGCCGCGAAGAGTGCGGGTGAGAAGGGGAAGGCGGCGGACGCGAAACCTTCGCGGCAAGGTGGTCGAGGTGGAGCTACGCGGGCTCGAAGTGGTGGCGCACGTGGACGTGGTCGTGTTGCCAAGGGTCAGTAAACCGTCGTCGTTGGATCTCCCTCTCTTCGTCTTTCGCCTTTAGTTGTATTTTCCTCTCTTTTTTTTGGGTTTTTGTATTTTTTGTTTTTTCTTTTATCGTTGTTGTATTTGTGTTGTACATACACAACCAAAAATAAACCCGCTCCCTCTTGATGTCGACGTTCGAGCGGTCAAACGCAGTCCACCAGCAATGAAGTCCTGAGAACGGCCAAGTTACCTTTCGTACATATTCTGCATCTGGGAAATCATCTGGGTTCGTGCTTAATCACAACGATCGGAGATGGGAGAAATATCCCATCTTGCATCGTTGGTGCACAAGCGTGACCCATCTGGGATCCACTTCCCAGCTGGGTCATGGGGATTAACCCAAAACCCAGATGGGAAGTAGATCCCAGCTGGGTCATGGGGGATTAACCCCGAACCCAGATGGGAAGTAAATCCCAGCTAGCTTCGTACTTTGCCAAAACACTCAGCTGGGTTGCCCTTCTCAGCTGGGTTTTTGACCCAAGCTCAGGCGAGCTAATCACGGACTGGGTTACATATCTACCACCCAGCTGGGGGTTCGCTTCACACCAGTTACCCATCTGGGAAGAATAACCCATCTGGGTTCGCACCTTACCTCAAATACCCAGCTGGGTTCACGACTTAGAGCTGATAGAGTTACGGAGAGCAGTGCAACCCAATCAATATAACTCACAAAGGGCCATTGAGACGTCGTCACAACTATTCAGTTCAGGTATACACGAAGAGTATAGTTGTAGGTGTATTAGGGTATCATATGATGTCAATACTGTTACATTGTAGAAATGCCTTATGATGGATTATGACTCGTATCGTTGGCTGGCGACGAGGAACTCGATAGGGCTGTCGCTGGTGAAACTGTCTGGCGTCCGTGGGCAGAGATGGTGAGATTCATAGGCTGGGTCAAGTGGGCATTCATCGCCAGAAACTCGTCTATGCCAGGAACGTCGAGAGGATTGTACTGAGGCACAGCAGGGTAGGTCGGATCGGGATGCGCAACATCGACACCTTGCATCGACAGCCCATTTGGGTGATTGAACATGTCGATGATATTGGAAGGTGGATGGGGAGTGTTGACAGGAGGGAAGCTGGGAGGGTTATGGAATTGGTTAAGCTGGGAATTCGATGGCACGTTGGACTGTTGTGGACTCGGTTGAAGGTTTGTCGCGGGACTGGACTGGTCGGGGTGCTGCGCGTCAAGAGGGTTGGCCTGAGAATGATTTTGCACATAAAGGTTTGGGTGTGCGTTCGGGTGTGAATTTGGGGTGGAATGGAGCTGGTTCGCGGTGGCTGAACACGATGGAGCGTTCGATAACGTGTTGGGATGGGGTGGGTGCTGTGCCTTGGAGTTAGCGTTAGTAAGAGGAGGATTTAACGGCGCTGGGACGGAGGGTGAGGGTACTGGAGGCTACGCATGAAAGACATGAATAACCTTGAGGGAATAGAGGGCTGAAGACTTACCTCCTGAACGATATTTCGCGATTTGAGACTCCTGATTTCCGCCTTCAGTTTCTTGATCTCGTCATGCGCCCACTGGGAATGGTCATCAAGACGAGACAGTTTGGAGACAAGCTGCTGGGCAGACTGAAGCTTTTCTTCGAGCTCCTGGTTTTTTTGTCGAGCCTGGTGCATGTTTTCCAATAAGGCGGAGTAGTTCGCGTACACCTCGTTGAGCTTGGTCTCGAACTGCTTATGGGATGCGATTAGCCTCTGGACGTCCTGGGCGATATCGTTGGAAGGCGGTCTTCCTGGCTGTATTTTCGGAATGTTGTTGACGTACGAAGGGGTTGGCCCTTCCGGTGGGTTGTTCTAGGGAATTTCGTACACAATTAATCGCTTGAAGAGGGATTTTGGGAACACACACCGGAACACACACCTGGGAATTGTCACTGACCGGTTCCTCATATACAAGGTCCCCTGAATTCGTTGGGCTTCCTCCCTCTAGAAGCGCCTCAGAAGGTACTTCCGTGGTGTTCTATACGGGTTGGGTTAGTGCTGATTTCCACCGAGCGGTTGGATTACCTTGTCGTCGAGCTTGGGCTTCTTGGTGGAAGGTTTGTCAGGGCGCGGAGGTGCTTCGTCGTCCGGTTGGGGACGAGGGCGCTTGCGTTGTTGTGAAGGTCCCGCTGTCGGTGTGTTCGTCAAGTTCGAGGGCTTCTTGGTTTGTGTAGGAGCTTCGGTGGGGGATATGCCAGGTCTGGCCAGCTTGGGGGCCTTGGTTGGTTTGGCGGGTGCAGCTGAAGCCTTCTTGGAGCCCGATGGACCTGCGACCGAACTTTGGGGGTCTTCGGCGACCCGCTGCTTTCCCTTCTTCGACACCTTCAAGCTTCTCTCCTCGCCCTCGTCGCCGGTGCGGTCGACGTCATTCCTAACCTCTCGTTCCTTTCCCTTTGTCGATACTTTCTCCGAGTCATCAGGACTGTCCTTCGTTTTCTTCGATTTCGAAAGCTTGAACTTGGGCCTGTGCTTCTGCAGCAGAGGGGGTTTCTTGGAGTATTCCGAGGTGAGGGTGAATAAGCTGAGCGGTATGTCTTCGGGGTTCTTCGCGTAGGATCTGGCGTGGTCGTTTATCCATTGGTGTATGATTCCAAGAAAGGCGGGAGTGTTATAGGCTTCCGAACGAGCAGACTTATGCAGTTTTTTCTAGATCCTGCTGCGTCAGGTAAACATATTGCCAAAGGTGAAGAAAGAACTTACACTGTGACGCATGAGGTTAATTTTGTTCGTTTCTTCATCGTCAGTTCCTTCCCAGTCCTTCGCGGTGGCAACAAGCTGATAGACAGAGCTGAGTTTGTCGAGTAGATAGTCTGACGGCGGTTTGGCGGGAGGTTCCATGGTGGGTGGATGAACAGAAATCAACGAGAGAGGACAAGCTGGGTCTTGAGCTCGATATCGAAATTGAGGCCGGGACGAAAACCCAGCTTCCAAGTCCAAGCTGGGCGAATTAGGATTTGTCAGAACCCAGCTGGACTCCAAGTCCAAGCTGGCGAAGTTTGGATTTGTCAGAACCCAGCTCGATCAAGCTGGGATTAGGGGCGATCGGTGAAGCTTCACTACCCACCTCGGTGAAACTTCCCAGCTGGGATTAGATCTGTATTCACACCGAGATTAGCATAATCCGGGATTGGTTTGTAGACGTGCACAGGTATTACAAGCTTCATGGGCGGAGCGATAGCTATTCAAAGTTTACTATTACGTTTGATTTGATGGGGGTGATTTGTACGCCGGAACGCGCATTCGGCTATGCCGAATGAGGTACGGCTTTACAGATGGCGCATAGTGGGTATTCTGAGTAAATGAAAACCTCCAGTTGGTTTTTCCGTTCAAGCTGGGAGGGGAGTAGATGGGTACACATATCCAGCTGGGTTAGTTCCTCAGACATAGCTGGGCTCGTGGCACAGACCACTTGAATTTGTAGTAATGGAATAGTTGTTATGGTAATTCATATGAACGTAATACTGATACTATGTAGATGGGTGGTGACCCATCTGGCTCTATGAGTAAGGTGTAGACAGGATCCTATCTGGCCTCTATGGCTCTAGAAGGTAGGGTAAATTTGCAACCACTCTGTGCTATGTGATAGTAGAGGGGTAGCTGACCATTGTGTAGGGCGAAGGGCATAACGAGGCAGTGTTCCATGGGAGAAAGTGTCCGTGTCGAGAATAAGAGCAAAAATGAGAATAAAGAAAAGGTGATAAGGGCGATGAAAACGATAAGATAAGATAAGGGAAAATAGGGGCTCGTACTTGCTGTTCACGACATTACCCCCCTTCTAAGCTTCATCGTCCTCGATGATCAATGGTAGGCGGCGTCCAAGTTCCCAATCGAAGTCGGTAGGCGGAGCGTCGGTGAAGTTCTCAAGTGGACGCCAGGGCAGGGAGCTGAAGATGGCGGCGGAAATCTGGCGTGGTGCGGAAGGGTGTCGTTGATGGAACTCCTTTACGATCTCCGGCGCATGCTCCAGGTTCCCCTCCGGTTCCCAACTGTCGTCCGTCGACCCGTAGCCTTTCCAACTAACCAAGTACTCCAGTTTGCGATTCTTCCCTCGACCTCTCAACGGCCCCCCCCCCCCCCCCCTAGGGTCGCTGCCGCACCCGCGTGGTATTCCTCCTCTACCTCGAACGCTAATGCGCGCCCGTGCTGTCTCCCCTAGGGTCGCTGCCGCACCCGCGTGGTATTCCTCCTCTACCTCGAACGCTAATGCGCGCCCGTGCTGTCTCCCCTAGGGTCGCTGCCGCCCCCGCGTAGTATTCCTCCTTTACCTCGAACGCTAATGCGCGGCCGTGCCCCTAGCATCCGGCTTAGTGCTCAGCCCAGCCAACCTCGATCGCTGAGTCAAAACTTCACGGCCAACGACCGCACCACTCACCTCCGCAGACATCCTCTGACTGAATGTCCGCCACCGCGATGCTTGACAAGCTTGTACACAAGGTTGACGAACTTTACTCTCTGGTCAACGGCATCTCAGAATGGCCAGAAGGCGAAGAGAATGCCTACAAAGAAAGACTCGTTCGTGTCTCAGTGCGCTAACCCCTCTCTCGTTCACTCGTACACATTGCCCATGCGCTACTCATCGTCTAGCGAAAGATTTTAGGCTACTACCACACCATCGAACAGGACCCTTCCGAGGCTACTCGCGATCCACTAAAAGACTTGGGAACGCCTTACTTTGTCTGGCTCGACAAAACAGTGCATAAGCATGTCTCAGCTCCTTCCAGCGTACCCACCAAAATCTTCAACACCCCCGGCTTTCGCGTTAAGCCCCCAATTCTCAAACAATACTCGAATCTGATTTCGGCTAGGGCCAGTTCTCAACTTCAGGACGTCCCCATCAATGATTCGAAGAAGGCTGGTAAAGCCAAAGCAAAACACGACTACGACGACGCCCGCCAAGCGAAGAAAGTCAAACAAGGTGCCCGCTCCTCGAAAACCCGTTCAGATCTCTCTCCCGTACCCGAAGAAAAGGCCTCTCAACCGGCAAAGCCCTCCAAGAAGCCGAACACTTCCGCCGCCAACACCCAGTCCTACGACAAGCCTCAAGGAGCCAAATCCCACCCGCCCAAAGCGAAGAAACCCCTGGAATTCAAGAGCGACCCCTCCACCCTCCCTTCATCGCGTAAACGACCCAAAGTTCCAGAACCAGACGGCTCCCACAGCCAGGAGGAGACCGACCGACGGCCTGCCAAGAAATCGAAGGTTCCCCCTCATGACCAACCTCCAGTCCAGACGTCTACGAAGCTACCAACGGCGTTACCCCAACCTCGACTCAACGCACAGCTTCAGGTAAGTTAGAATCTTCCCTCATCTTACTGTCCACTCTGACGGCGAGACTATTGCAAGCATCAAGCAACCCCTCAACCAGACGAACAGGTACTGCCCACTACTATGCATTTCGTTCGTTTCTTCTCAATGTCAATCGCGCAGGACCCAGAACAGCTAGACTCGGAGGTTTCGGACACCGAGGGGCAACGAGTGGCCCAACGAGCGGCCTCAACATCGAGGGTAAGTTACCGGCACATTTCACTCAATCCTACTCATCTGCCAAATTATCCAGAGCGAGTCTCCCACCCTCCCAATACGACTTCCTAGTAACGAAGACCTCCCTACCGGGAATGTTTCCGCGGACCTCGCGTCTCTCGTTCAGCTCGTCCTCGCGCAGACTTCAAGACTCAATGAAATCGAAGGTGACCATCGCGTCCTCATGGATAATGCTTCCAACCACACCACCAGCGTCAACAACGGGATCCCAGCCTTCGTAACACAGGAACTTCTGGATTTGCGCAGCCAGGTGTCCGATCTGCAACGCCGGAACACCGCTCTCGAAACAGATCTGCGCAAGCTCAAGACCGCCTTGGAGAGCACGGTCACCCAAGCTAGTAATTTCGATACATTTATACTGCCGAATGCTTCAAATGTGAGTCCCGCCTTGAAGCTCCATTGGTCGATCTGTACTCAGTATAGCCATAAAGGATTGGACTCAATACCTCGCACCATCCGACCAGTCCACCACGTCGGAAGTAGCACCTCACATTAACTCTGTTTCGAATGTGGTGAGTCTATCCCTGCCTGTATAGCCAATCATCTTCATAACCAACCATAGTTCAATAGTCTTCATAACATATAGAATACTGCTACATTTATAATCACATTTCTTTTGTAATACACCAACATATTGTTTACTTCGGTGGCCGCGGCCGGGGTGAGGTTCATGCAAGTTTAAACATCCTAGAGAGCCGCGGCCGTGGTCAGGGTTGAACGTTGAGGGACGAGTTTGGTCCGGCCGCGACTCTATCAACGCGACTCGATCTTCCGCGGCCGTGGTTAGGGCTGTGGGACGCGCCTGAGACTGGTGCGGCCGCGACTGGATGAGATCCAGTGTTTTCACACTTTAACCATGTCCTCAGATATCAGATATAACTCAAACCGTATAATAGGCTTATCATAAACCAACTGTTACCTCCGCGATACTGAAACCATAATGATACCAATCAACAAATTCAAAGTGAACAGTAATGTGATTAATGCATGTATTACCGACGACCTCTACGCTTATTATCCCTCTGCTTGGAACTTCGCGTAACCCTTGCATTATCGCCTCCCCTCATTGTCCTTGATCGTTTTGCCTGGTCTGCCGCATGCTCAGATTCGTTGCGCGCCCGCTTAGCCGCTCTTGTTGTCCTTGGAGCGTCAACCTCGTCCGGAGGAATGGGCGACAACCCTTTAGTCAACATCATACCTCGCCTTGAAGGTGGCCGTACCTGAGCCGCTTCCTCCTCCCCCCGGTTCTCCTCCATTTCCTCCCCTTCCCCTCGCTGTTGACCAAAACCAGATACACCGACTTCCTCGGGCGAGGACGATCGAGAGCGAGCTGTCGGTGGTGGTGGGTTCCTTCGGCTTGAGAACCCACCAACGTCCTCGGGCGAGGACGATCGAGAGCGAGGAGGGGTTGGTGTCCGTGAGCGAAGAGGTGGTGGTGGTGTTGGTGTTGGTGGTGGTGGGTTCCTTTGGGTAGAGAACCCACCGACGTCCTCGGGTGAAGACGATCGAGAGCGCGGTGGTGGTGGAGGTGGTGTCGGTGGTGGTGGGTTTCTTCGGCTTGAGAACCCACCCACGTCCTCGGGCGAGGACGATCGAGAGCGAGGTGGTGGAGGTGGTGGGTTCCTTCGGCTTGAGAACCCACCAACGTCCTCAGGCGAGGACGATCGAGAGCGAGATGTCGGTGGTGGTGGGTTCCTTTGGCTGGAGAACCCACCAACGTCCTCGGGCGAGGACGATCGAGAGCGAGGTGGTGGAGGTGGTGGGTTCCTTCGGCTTGAGAACCCACCAACGTCCTCAGGCGAGGACGACCGAGAGCGAGGTGGTGGAGGTGGTGGGTTCCTTTGGCTGGAGAACCCACCAACGTCCTCGGGCGAGGACGATCGAGAGCGAGGTGGTGGAGGTGGTGGGTTCCTTCGGCTGGGGAACCCACCAACGTCCTCAGGCGAGGACGACCGAGAGCGAGGTGGTGGAGGTGGAGGGTTTCTTTGGTTGGAAAACCCACCGACGTCCTCAGGTAGAGAAGACGAGGGAGAACGAGGACGACCTCTAATCCTCCCCCATCGGTGATCTGTCAACTGACTTCAATATTCGTTCCTTAGATAAAGGAAACCGAAACCACACACCAGAAACTTGCACCCTAGGGTGCCTCCTGGTCATTTCTTCCCCCAGTAGACTGTAGTCGCCAATCTCGCCGTCGCTTTGAACCCCCGATTCCTCCTTAGCCTGTCGACTGGGTTCGTACTTGTACCTTCCTCCTTGGAGTCGAACAGGGTACTTCTCGAAGCGAAAGTCGATGTCGACGGAGTCGTCCTGTTGTCGGCTGTACAGAATCTTGTGTAGTGTGTGTAGGTCCTGTGTGCTCATGTGCAAAGGATCCTTGAACCCTTTCTCGAATACCACGGGGTCGATGATATCCTTCCGTATACATTCGCTGAAGTTTTGAGCTAGGGCGCCCCAATTGAGCTCGGGGCGCGCACGATCGAGGGGGTCGACCTCAGGCATTGGAACAGTACTCTTGGCCAAGACTAGAGTGTCATTAGCAAAGTGTAACATGGTGACGCTCGAGGTATAGCATGAAATCTTACTGAGATGACGGGTGAAAAAACTTCGGAAGACTGCCGCCAGCCAAATTTGGGGGGTGATTCCGTATGGTCGCGCTGCAAGGGGAGGGAGGATGGGTGTACCGTCCCCATAGAGCTCCATCGTCATCAAAGGTTTTGTCCTGGATTTAGAGACTTTGGAGGAGGCCTTTTGTACCGTCCTGTTTGAATCGGAATCCTTCTGTGCAGCATACACCCCTCCTGCCCAGTTTCCCCATGCTGTGTGAGCCTCAGCCACGAGCTCCTCGAACTCTTCCATGAACGACTCCTCGCACCCCCCAAGCTCCTTATTGTAGTCGAAAGGAAGAGCTAGACGTGTGCCGTCGGGTTTTTCGTACGAGTATAAGATAAAGAATCGCGCGTTCATGTCGTTGAAACCCGAAATCACGAAGTCGTACAGTCGAGAAGATAAGAACCTCTGTGCAACCCTGATATAATGCGACCCGTGTAAGAAAGACGCTGAACGTTAGCTATGACTACGCACCGTCGCTGCTCCTCCCGAGGAGGTCCTTTCTGCCTCCAAACTGCTGCCTTCCTTTCATAGTACGCAGTCTCTTCAGCCGTCAGGGTCTTCATTAGGAGAGATGTCGCGGGCTGGTACTTGTAGAAAGGTTTGGGAGCATTTTCGACGGGCGGCGTAGGCGGTACTGGTCGGGAATCCTCGTCAATATCCCTGCTGTCGTCCTCCTCCGGCTCTTCCTCTAGCTCTTCCTCCTGGTAATCTTCCGCTCCGGCTTCGTCCTGGTCGTTCCCTTCGTCTTCGTCGTCTTCTTCACCCTCATTGTCGTCGGGCAGGTACCCCTCTTGGTCGGGTGCAACGGCGTCCGGCGGAATAATCGATTCCTCTTTGTCCAAAAGAGTTCTTAGATTGGGTAAGGGCTTGTTCTCGGCAAGCATCTTGGCCACGTAGAGAATAGCGCGCGACCTTTCGTACTGGAAAACCAGGCGGGTGTGCCAGCGGATTCCCCAAGGGCGCTTGTGAGGTCCCTTCTCGTACTTGAAATTGACCACAAACCACCGCGCGACCGCCTAACAATCAACCTGTCACAATGTGTGAATCTCTCAGAATTGGGAACACACCTTCCGTAAGGCCTTTTGCCTCTCTTGAGAGAGAGGTCCTTCCGTAATCTCCTCCAGGTCCTCCTTCAATTCCCCTGCCACCTTTCTAGCATACGCGGGTCGCGCTGAAGGCTTCTTGTTTCTGTACGCCTGCATGCGGTCCTTCAAAAATGCCATCTGGCTACGAGTAAGAGTGAAAATCGGGGCTGCGGATGAGTTGCGCGCCATGGGTAGGATGAGGAGATGGGTAGGATGAGGAGAGGATGACAAGGTGGTTTGGGTCAAGACTGGTTGATCGAGGAGGTTCGAATTTGGATTTCCTAAAGGGGGTGACGATCTCGATCTTAATGAGCGGTATACTTCTCACATACCGGATACCAGCAACCAAGCCTCTCCAGTCGCCTCATCTAACAAGGTCAACATGACCAGAAAGAAGAATGACATCACCCACATAACAGGGAAGAACAGAGTCCACCTGATGAAGCCGGTGACTACTGTGGACAGCAGAGGGAGGATCAAAACCAAACTGGTACCAGCGCGTCCCTCCCCCAAAAAAAGGGTTTCGACAGCCTCAGCTAGCGCTAAAGTTCGTCGACGTACATACGAATCTGACCACTCTGACGAAGAAGAAGACACTATTATACCCCAGCCACCGCTTTCTGGAGATCAGGACGCAGAAATACCTCGCACTAAGGTTCGTGGCCGTGCGACACACCTACAGCAATGTATTCTGACATGAGCTTCAACTCTAGGACTCGAACGAGTACATGGCCGACTGGCTACCAAAGATGAACATCTACCTTGACTATTTGGTTGCCAGAGAGGCCGTTCCCGACCCTCTCTCTTGCTCCTATTGCGCAACAGGGATATCGGAATCTTGGTGGAGGTGTACTGAGTGCCTCGGGTCGCCCGTCTATTGTGGAGACTGTTGTCGTCTCCTCCATTTCTCTCATCCTCTACACCGAGTGGAGGAACTCAAGAAAGGCTACTTCTCTCCCTCATGGCTTTGGAGGTCCGGGGTTTATGTTAATCTGTGCGCCGAGAGACATTGTACACCGACAGGGAGGCCAGATAGCAGTGGTCTTTTGGACGATGAAAAACTCAACGACGGCGACGACGACATTCAAACCGACTGGAATGTCAACGATGACTTCAGCTTTGGGGCCAAACCACCCAAGCGACACGTCTACGGCATGAAGGTCCTCGTTGTCGTACATACCAATGGGGTTCACCACGTCCCGTTCCACACCTGCGAATGTCTCGATGCACCAGACCCCGAGTTCCAGCTTCTCAAGATGGGATTCTATCCAGCGTCCTCAAAAGACGTCCGAACTGTCTTTACGTTTTCCATGCTAGACGAATATGTGCTGGAAACGTTGGAATGCTTCACTTCGACCCACCACTACTACAGCAAACTCCGCCGTCTGACCAATTACTCATTCCCGGACACAGTCCCGGTAAGTTAGTTAAAAGTTTATACCTAAATCGCATTTCATCAACATAATAATGACCATGTCTACCACACAAGGATCGCGCTCGTGAACTGAGGAGGGTTGGACGACAGTGGTTACGCCTTAATGATCTGGCACGCCACGGCTTCTCCCACACCCAGAAGACTCCTGAAAAGGGCTCGATGGCGCTGTTCTGCGCGGCGTGCCCACAACCTGGTATCAACCTGCCCGACGACTGGGAGGAAGACACCGAGAAGTGGAAATACACACGCAGTTTTGTCGCCGATGGAAACTTTACCTGCATCCACCGGAAGCAACGAGAGCGGGACAGTCCTGAAGTCCATCTCAAACACGGTGAGGGCTACATGGTCTCTCCTGTCGAATATGGCAAGCACCTGGCCACGGCTCAGGAAACGAACGAGGTAAGTCAACGCCGCACTTGAAACTCGAACACTTTGTTGACCCCCTCGCAGACCCCGACGTGCCACGAGCACCGCGCCATTGCTGATAAGTCAAAGGTCCGCAAGGGACTGGATGTGACTGGTATTGGTGCGGTGGCTTGTATGAGGCACGGTGCCTTTGCCCCAGGGAGTGTGGTTGACTTCCAGAAGGGAGAGCGGTGAGTCGTGATCACAACCTCATTGGTGGGACAGCTCGACTGAGACTTGAGTTCGTTCAGCCAAATCAACATCGACTATGCTCTATCCGAGGCCATTAAGCTCTCTAACACCGATAATATCAAGAGGGTTATATTTGCGTACGATATTAATTGCCAGTACAGCAAGCGAGCCTTAGATCGCTTGCGCGATGGCGAGTTCCTCGAGCTTCGAGAGGACATCGTTTTTGTCTTCGGCATTGGGCTCTTTCATGTTCATGGGCACCAGGAGTCGTGTCTAGCCAGATACTCTCTGAGCTTCATTGAAGGTGCTGGGAACAGCGCAGGTGAGATCCTGGAGTCGCTCTGGGCAGTTGTCAATGAGTTGGCACGCTCGACTTCGACCATGACGTTGGCGCACAGGCTCGAGATTCTCGATGCTTTATTTGGCGATATAAATTGGAAGAAGATGCTAGGTATTGGTGAGTGGAACAGTAAACTCTGCACGTTCTGAACTGACCGTCAAAAGTCCCTTATATATGCAAAGCGTGGAAGATAAGCGCGGCGGGAATTGTCAGCAACTAACTACTTGATCTGTCGTTCAAGCAATCAATAGCTGCACTAGAAAAGACTTGGCGAGAAGCGATAGGATTTAGTGAAGACTAGAGTGTTGTAGCTAGGAATAGACCAGCTAAAGACTGAGGAAACTATGCTTACAAGTCTACTCTATATATACTACTTGAGTTGTATGTACTTGTTTGGTCCATGGTCTGTGCGCGCGCAGTGTTTTGTTCAGCTGGCGGGGTACGGTCCCATGACTCATCACGTGTCTGAGTCACGTGATATCCTATGTTACTAACTACAAGTCTCGGCGAGAAAAGGAAAAGAAAGGTCTGATTCATGACATCACCCCCCCCTTAAGGTTCACGTCCTCGTGAACGTCATTGCATCTAGGGCACCACCCTTTTCGGCACTTTGGGAGGTTTTCCGGCATTGGTTCGGCAGTCCCTTTGGGTCGACGGTTTGGGGAATAGGAGGCCTTAAACTTCCCAGCAGTCCAGTCGAAGATCCTTCCGGAAGGTTCGGTGAAGTTCTCGTAGGGTATGAATCGGGAGTTTCTTGGTGATCCGCCGAGGTGCGGAGGGATTCTCTCGATGAAACTTTTCTACGAGTTCGGGAGAATTCTTCAGGTTGGAGGCATCTTCCCACGTCCTCTCCTCCTTGGGGTATCCCTTCCAGTTCACCAGGTACTGTAGTTTTCCCTTGTAGAGTCTGGAGTCGTCGATGGATTCGACTTCATACTCTACTTCTCCGTCTACCAGCTCGGGAGGAGGAGGTGGAGGTTTCTTCTGAGAGGGAAAATGGGGTTCGTGGTATGGAGTGAGGAGTGACTCGTTAAACACCGGGTGTATGGCCTTCCAAGTCTTGGGGATGGCGAGTTCGTAGGCAGAAGCTCCGACCTTCTTGGTGATCTTAAAGGGTCCATATCTCCGATCGTCGAGCTTCTTGGCTGGCCGCTGCGTATTGATGTTGGTTGCCTCAAGGTACACCATGTCGCCCACTTGGTAGGGCCTGGAGGGTTTTCGTTTCCGATCATAGTAATGTTTCATAGTCTCGGCGGCTTGTTTTAAGGCTGCTTCGGCCTCCTTGCGGATGTCTTTAATCTCGGTAACAAAGTCCTCTGCAGCCTGATTCCGTATTGGGCCTCTTGGTTCGCCTCCCTTGTATGGGTGTTGACCGTAATTCAGGTAGAACGGACTGTACCCGGTTGACTGGTGGATCTTGTCGTTGTAGGAGAATTGGGCCAGAGGGAGCCAATCAGCCCAGTCGTCTTGTCTTTGGTTGATGAAGATCCGTAAGTACTGCTCTATCTCCTGATTGATCCGTTCCGTCTGACCATCAGTCTGGGGGTGGAATGCCGTGGAGGGGTTTCCTTCAATGCCGAGGAGTTTCATCAGATCCTTCATGAAGTTTCGAGACAAATTGTGGGCCTCGGTCGCTGATTACTTTTCGGGGGAGTCCGTGGGTGTTTGAACACATAGTCCCGGAAGTGCTTCGCTGCACCTAGTGACGAGAGCTCCACGTTGGTGGGAATTGCCTCTATCTTCTTTGAGAATCTGTCGACCACTACCATGATGGCATCGAATCCTTTCGACTCTGGGAGGGGCCCGATTAGATCTACCGACACTATCTCCCATGGGAGAGAGGGGACCTCGTTTGGCTGTAGTGGCGCAGCCGGGACGGTTCGACGGGGTTTAGTCCGTTGACACATGCCACATCCATCGATATAGGTTCGGATGTCTGCTTGGATTCGGGGCCACCAGTAGTTCCGAGTGATCAGTTCCTGGGTACGATATCGACCAGGGTGTCCCGATACTGGGGAGTCATGATGGAATCTAATGATGTCCTCCCGGAGTCCCTTATCCTTTGGCACGTACACTCTTCCCTTGAACGTCACGAGGTGTTCGTCGGATTCGATCCAGTCTGGGTCCTTCTGCAGTAGAGCCTTGGCCACCGCTTTGTCCCTTCTTCTCCAAGAGCGCTTGACCCGTTCCAAAAAGTTGGCATCTGGTCCTGAGATGCCCACTTCGACCCTTCTGAAGAGTTCTTCCTTCAAGAGGATCACGTCTTCGTTATCGTTGGCTCCTCGATCGTGATCGGCTCGTCGTGAGAGGAGGTCAGCCTTGGTCATCTGTTTTCCAGGCTTGTGGTGAAGGGTGAAGTGGTACTGTTGCATCTCGGTGAGCCAGCGAGCTTGGCGGCGATTCAACTTCTGGGGTTTTCGGAAATACCCGAGATTCTTGTGATCGGAGTGGATCTCGAAGACGTGTTTAGCTCCAAGGAGGTACTGTCTCCAATCTGAGAGTGCACGCATGATGGCGAGCATCTCCTTGTCGTAAATCTCGTAATTCCGCTCGGTCGGGTTCAGGGCATGGGAGATGAAAGCTACTGGTTTCCACTTCCCATCAGGCTGTTGTTGGGAGAGGACTGCCCCAGTTGCGAACTCGGATGCATCAGCCTCAACACGGAACTTCCCAGTGTCATTGGGAATAGCGAGGACGGGTGCAGAGCAGATTCGATCCTTAACTGCTTGGAAGGCTGCTTCTTGCGCTTGTCCCCAATTCCATTCCTTGTTCCCGGTTAGTTCCGTGAGTGGCCTAGCAATCTCTCCATATCCTTTGATGAACCGTCGATAGAAGTTGGCAAACCCAAGGAACTGTTGAACTTTCGCGTTTCGATCGTCGGAGTGGGCCAGTCTCTGACAGCATCGACTTTAGCTGGGTCCATGCGTACTTGGTTGTGGGAGACAATGACGCCGAGATATTCCACTTCTTTGGCTTCGAAAACGCACTTCTCTGGTTTGAGGTAAAGTTTGTGCTCGGCAAACTTCCTCAGGACCCTTCGGACCATTTCCCGATGTTCCTCCAATGTTTCCGTGAAGATAAGGACGTCATCCATGTATATGATGACTTTTCCGGTGTTGATTTCCTCTCGGAATATGGCGTTCATCATGGTTTGGAACGTTGCGGGAGAGTTTGTGAGTCCAAAGAACATCACCAGAGGTTCATACAGTCCCCTGTTGGTTCGGAACGCCGCTTTCCACTCGTCTCCCTCTTTGATACGGACATTGTTGAAGCCCCAACGGACATCTAGTTTGGTGAAGTACCGTGCCTTTCTGAGTTTGTCTACTAACTCTTGGATCAATGGCAGGGGGTATCGATTCTTCACAGTGATGTCGTTAAGCCTTCTGTAGTCCTGGACTGGTCGGAGGGAGCCGTCCTTCTTTTTCACAAAGAAGAACGGAGAGGCCATGGGGGATTTAGACGGACGGATCCTCCCTGACTGCAGGTTTTCTTCCAAGAAGGCATCAAGTGCTTGTTGCTCTTCAGGGTTCAGCGGGTAGATCTTGCAGTCCATGGTCTCTGCTCCAGGGGATGAGTTCAATTGCATGGTCCCAGGGTCGCCTTGGAGGGTAGTTCATCGAAGGACTGCTTCGAGAACACAAATTTGAAGTCGTGGTAATGTGACGGTACCAGTTCTTCAAATGTCTTGGCTTTTTCCTCCTTGGCTTTCCTTTCAGCAATTCTTCCGGATGTCGTCTGGAATGCCCGTAGTCGGATCTCGTGTTGAATGTCTACCACGAGAATGTGTTCCCCATCCTCGAGGTCCTCGTATTCGATTTCCTCTGATTCAGGGTCTGATCCGACAAGTGGGGTACATTCTATGGGACACCGGTTGAACTCTATCGTACCGGTCCTCCAATCAATAGAGGGGTTATGCCGTTTTAGCCATTCGAACCCGATGAAGACGTCCGCTTTTCCCTAGTTCGGTTACTCCGAATTCCAGTCTCTCAGTGTGGTCTCGGATCTTGACGTGGAGTTCGACACATTCGGAGATAGCTCCTCCTGCGTTTTCCGTACCATCAGCATTATAGACAGGGATGGGGATGGGGAGCTTTCTTGTTCGGATATTGTTTCGTCGGACAAAGTCCCTGTCTATACAGCTTCCGGTGCAACCACTATCTAAGAGTCCAGAAGTTCGGAAGCTTCGCTTGTCGTCTAGGGTGCTCATCACCATGTCCAGATCCAGCTGGTTGCCCTTATGGCCACGAATAAATCGTTTGGGTCGAGCCATCTCCTTTAGGGCCTCTACCACTGGTCCGTCCAATAGCTGTCTGAGCTGGGATATCTTTTCGTCCGTGACCTCTTGCCTTTTTTTGGGATGTACCCAAGACATCAGGATTCCTCTTGCCATCGAGGGTTCTGAGTCGTCAAGTCGTTGGGCTACCCATTCTGCGGAGCCCGGTTCCACTTTCTTTCCGTAAAATCGCGCATTGTCCCTTTTCGATCGTGCGTAAACATCATGTGATTCGAGTTCTGGCATATGTACATATGGGGATCGAACAAAGGTACTCCTATCGACCGGCAAGTCTGCGCTCACTCCCGGTCCGTGTAAAAATCCTCGAGTTGTTTCTTCAGCGCGGCACGTTCGTCTTCCGTGAGGGCTCTGATGTCGATGGTTCTGGTGTTAAAACTTCTGGGTCTTGTTGGGACAGTCTCGGCTAATATGTCCCTTCTGGTGACAGGTGAAGCAGAGACCCTGTCGTCGGTGCGCATCAATGTCCATAGCGTTCGGGTCGGCGGGGCGAGGGGGAGGCGGAGTAGGAGTGGATTGGGCAGCGGGTCGGAAGGAAGGGAAGAAGGGCCTTGGTGGAGGAGCGCTAGTTGCCTTGGGAGCGGGTTTTTCCGTTTTGAATCTAGCCTTCTCCCGTTTACGAATTCGGTACTGGCGATCGAGGTTAGCAGCTCGCTCCATCCATCCGGCAAGGGTCGTGGGGAGGTTCTCCTGGTCGTGGCACTTGTCCAACAGCCTGCCGTTTAGCCCTCGCTTGTATTCCTCGATGAGTGCTACTTCGTTGTATCCAGAACGAGTCATATATGATCGGAACTCGGTGTTGTAAGCCTCACAGGAGCGATCTCCCATCTCGATGGTTTGAATGGCTAGGATCGCTTCTGCTCGGGAGTTCTGGACCTGGAAGTGAGCGAGGAAGGCCTTGGCGAAGCCCTTCCAGTCATCGTAAGCGAGGGTGTCAGCGATGATCTCAGCCCGTTGAGAATTTGCCCATGCAGATGCCATGCCGTTGGTGCCTCCTTTGATTTTGGAGAGAGCATAGGAGATTTGTCGTAGTTCATCTGCTTCTCCGATATGCTTGAAGTAGAGGACACAGGCATCGAGGAAGGCTTGGGCATCTTCCGGTTTCCCGTCGTAGGTTTCGGGTGGGTCTGGTTTGGTTTTGGGCTTGTCGGCTCGTTGGGCTAGGGCCTCGGAGACCTGGGTGCTGGCAGCGGCTGACTGGGCCAACGCCTCTGAAGCTTGGGCAAGGGCTGGCTGGTAGCCGGAGACGGCGGCCACTAGGTTTGCCACGCTATCGGCAAGGCTTCCCAGGGCTTGGTACATGTAGTCCCAAGCGGAGACCTGCTGACCTTGGACCTGGGTCTGGTCAGGCTGGAGGAGTTGAGGGGCGGGTTGGCCGTCGTTGGTAGGGGGTATTTGTAGGGGGGAGGGGTGGGTGGACATGGTATCGTAAAAAGAATAATGGGCTCGTGGGCAAGAGAAAGAAAAAGGTAAGGTAAGAAAAGCTAGACTATCTCCCGGTTGTCACTGTGTTAGCCACACAGAGGGGAGCTACACTATGTGCTTTGGACCTAAGTTCCGCAGCTCTCTTGGTTGCTGCCTTCCTACAGAAGGGGCGTCGCCAAGGATAACCTACTGAAAGGGGAAAGAGAAAAGGAACTATGTAAGGGAGTAAGTAGCGTGAGTGGGGGTTGCCTTGTTAGGGCGGAGGGCGATGAGAGACTCGAGGGTGCCGGGGATAGACACAGTCGAGAAGGGGTAGTCTTTAGCTAATGTCAGCAACTAACTACTTGATCTGTCGTTCAAGCAATCAATAGCTGCACTAGAAAAGACTTGGCGAGAAGCGATAGGATTTAGTGAAGACTAGAGTGTTGTAGCTAGGAATAGACCAGCTAAAGACTGAGGAAACTATGCTTACAAGTCTACTCTATATATACTACTTGAGTTGTATGTACTTGTTTGGTCCATGGTCTGTGCGCGCGCAGTGTTTTGTTCAGCTGGCGGGGTACGGTCCCATGACTCATCACGTGTCTGAGTCACGTGATATCCTATGTTACTAACTACAAGTCTCGGCGAGAAAAGGAAAAGAAAGGTCTGATTCATGACAGGAATTGGCGAGCGCTAAAGAAGCCCTCGCGTTGCTCAGTGACTCTGCCACACCGTCCCAGAAGAGGGCGTGGCAACTTCAGCTGGACGACGCCAATCGGAGGCGGTCAGAGGATGTCACCGCAATGGACATTCTCAATGCCAAAATCATAAAACGTAAGTCTCTCGAATCTGCGAGATTAGGCCACAATGACACATACGTGCTTGTATTAAGCGCCCACCCTGGCTAAGGTTCGTACCACCCTGATGGAAGCTGAGAAGAGCGCCGGGGCCGGAGTGGGTGTGACAACATGGATAGCTATCGCGTTAAAGATACAAGAAGCTCAGTACGTGTGAATGTCTTTCACTGGCAGGTTTTTGTTCACGATTTCCCAAGGATATCACTAAAATCTTACATTCGACGGCTTCCAAAGTCCCGGTCGGATGAGCAGGAGTTAGAGATAGCGAGGAGGCGCGAGGCTCTGTACGGTCAAATAGACCATCTGTACGAGACTGCCTCGCTTCTCTTCCCGGGCGCTGACATCGAGACTCTAAAACTGGACGAGGTTCCTTGCGAATCGGTTGAGGTGGACGGAGAGGAGGAACCCGAGGAAGCCGGTGATAATCCTTTCTCCTTATCTCAGAACGAGATGGAGGACGTCAAACTCCCGCTACCTTCGTCTCTCTCAACCTCCTCGACTGCTACATCTATTGCCAGCGCAAGCGAAAAGGAGCTTAAACTTCGAATTGCTCAGGCCGACGACGCGTTGGAAAACATCCGAACTGAGGTAGGCCACAAGTCGTATCTTTACCGATCCAATATTCGTCTGGCCGAAGGGAAAAAGCAGAAGACTCGGGGTTACACAGCTGTCAAGTTGGTTAATAACTCATTGCGAGACCACATCAAGGTCTACAACCAGGCTCGATGGGCTATGCGTCGCCTGGGCGCGGATACAACCACTCTTCTGCACTACAGAGCCATCAAACCTGACGATATCAGGGCGGTGACGGCAATCTACCAACCCAACGCTCGAGGTCAACGGAATAAATCCTTGTCATGGATTTGGAATCTCAATGTATCCGGGGACTCACAGAAGTCAGAATACCTTGAGGAGCGTAAGTCCGTCGTTTTGGGGAGTCACTTACAACACTAATTACTGCGCAGTCTACAGAGTGAACTGGTTACGAGCCAAGTCCCGGCACGACAGGTGGAGAGAGGAGTTTACCCTGCTGACATCGGAGATGGACTGGGTACTCAACTTCTTCACCTTCAAACAACGGGAATGGACGGACCTATCGCAGAAGAGGAGTGAATCCCCGGGGCATATGGCGTTTGCACGACGAGAGGCCGAGAAATGGGGACTCCTTTATACTCAGGCGCGCAAGGCGTTCGAAAAAACACGGAATGCCCGCCAGATCGCGTAGCAGGCTCTCGTCGTCGACATAGTGTACACGTTAGATGGAGAATGTACCAGGGAGGTCCCATGGAGCGCATTCAATGTTTCGTGAATGATTAGATTTCAGCATTCAACTTAAGTGTTCATGGGAGGTACGCGTAAGGCAAAAGAAGACCCAAATGTTATACACGCGAGACTTAGTCGCTAATAGATACACGCAAGATTAAATAAATGAATGCGGGGATGCGAATACACGAGGGGGTGGACTAAAACTCTCGATCACTATGTAATGCCAGCGATAAACGCCAATTTACAATGTCACTGCAAGACCAAGGCTTTTCAAGTGGGGTCAGAAGGGCGGGAGATATGTGGTGCATGATGGCAGTATTGAACGAACCTACTCCCACAACATGCCCCGTTCGTCCTTCACCAGATGACCATCGATGAGGAAAGAGATGGGAAAAGGTAACTACAACATCGCCCGGTCGAAAGAAGAACTCGTGTCCCACCGCATCGAGGACAAACCTGTTCTGCTCAGAGAAGCCAGTGGATACGAAGGTTTCGAACGCGAATGGGAAACTGAACATCTCGCGATGTGTGGGAGGGCTATGATTGCTGTACAGTGAGAAGGAAGTGAAAACCGTGCTCCACTTGCCCAGGACCTCGCGGAAGAGCCAGGAGTCGTCAGGGTCTACATCTCTATAAAGAGAGAGATAAGGAAAAGTGCCTTGGATGCGCAATAGAAAAACAACTCACTGCTTGTGAAGGAGTTCATAGAACTCGAGGCCTTGGGCAAAGAGGGAAGGATCTACGAGGGATACGATGGCGCCAACAATGGAGAGTGTTTCGGAGAGGTCGTCATAGAGAGAGGTTCCATTGTAGTCGGGTTCTGTGAACGAAGAGGAGATTACGGGTTTCTGTGGATACAATGGCTCACGCCACGATCAGAACAACGCCGGATCCTAGAGTAAGAGAGACACGTACCTGACCCTCAGAGCGAAAACCTAGAGGGAAGAATGTACAAATACCAGAAGGGGCGGCCTCGCTGGTACGATAGAACATCGAGCCTGAGCGCCAGTTATCGCCGTCTCGGACTGTGAAAGGAGCCCCGTCATTGACCATCGATTGTTGGACAGCGGAGAATAATGAAGTCTGTTACCGACTCGTTAGAAAACAGTGGAACTGACAGATTTAAAATGCGACTCACCGCGCGGGCTGGCTGGAGGATGGAGGGAAGGTGCCATGCGACGGGGACCTCGTCCTTATCGCGATAGAACGCCGGTTTCAGGATCAACTCGTAGCGATCTGAGGAGTTGAGCGCACGAGAAAAGGGGGGGAAAAAGTCCTGACGAGTCGCCTCGTTAGGGAAGTCGGGGTCTTCGAGGGATTCATAGTAACTGCGTAATTGCCACACCAGATCATCTGCGATATAGCGGTCGGAGCTGATGAGATGTCATGGGACGGATAGTGAATAGAACGTACACTGATTGTGCATCGCTTCATAAACCACGTTGGCTATTTGCTCAAGCTCACTCTTGATTTTCAAAGGAATGTGGGAGAACGGGGGCATGCGATGCGCGGGGTCGAGCCGTCGGAGAAAGGCGTGCTGACAATACCTGGCATAAATGTAAGCTTTTGAAAGACCGGCTGGGAGGTCGAAGTGGGTCTTAATGATCCTTGGAAGGTGCGTATGGGGTGGCATAGACGACGAGGGCGGGAGACGGAAGAGAGTGGGGGGAATGGAGCAGGGGAAGAAAAAGGTTCGTATTACATATATAGCACGGATCAGAACCAAATGATGGCTCGGATCAGAATATCCGAGAGACTGCGGCCGCGACTACAGGTGAGAAGCAATAAACCACGGCCGCGACGCGACTGGGATTGCGCAGGACAAGGGTCGGCGGCCACCACGGCCGCACAGTGCATGGTTGAAATTCGAGCTTCCCGTCTTGGCATTACTAACCGGTGTTTCTGTCCGAATTATCGACCACTTGCATATTTTGGAGAGGGAAAGACAAATGTTATTCTCAAAGTAATGGTATATAGACTATGGAACAAATAATAGGCCTGCAGTACGGCTTTCATTTAGAATATCGCGAGTACGGGCCACCTTTCGAGAGGCACTCAGAGCGGGATCTTCGAGCTTGTTGAGTGCACGGTTCAGAATTCGGCTAAGACGAATCCAGCGCCGGCGCGATCTTACAGCTTCTGAATACAGGTCAGATTGAATAGAGGGAAATCGATACCAGTACGCACCTGCAGTGATGACAGCGTTGATCTTTCTGGCGGCCTCAAGAGTCGACTCCATCTCGTTGGCAGCCCTAACAGCAGGCAAGGTATACGCGAATCTTCGAATGTTAGGCATAAGATCTCTGGCCTTCCAGAGACCTGGCAAGGTATAAGTGTCTGCGTGGGGTGAAATTCTGACAGTAACTTACAAATCCACATGTCACCATTAACGCCTGCGCGTGAGGCTGAGGGAGGGCGATCTCCTAGAAGTGTTGTCTTGAAGGTTTGAAACTGTTCAAGAAACCCAGGGATGCTTGTGATTGGCATTCCCGCATCGTGCTGGAGGTGATAGGCCATGTATTGCTTGAAGAAGCCACATTGGTCGTAAGCCTCGGGGCCCTGGAGCGCGCAGAGTCCGCAAGCCATGTCGTCGAGCAGAGGATCACAAGGCGGGGTGTCACCGCAGTCCGGATTACCACAGCCTTCCTTTTGGTCGTTGTCCTCGTCCCGGAGCGCTTGTGCCCATTCCTCCCAAAGCTCGAAGAAGCCTTCGAGCTGGAACGCGGAATTCGTCTCTTCACGATCCGTAAAGTCGATGTCGATGTGGTCGATGTCGGTGGTATCGAGCATAACGTCCATTCTCGAGGAAATATGATGGGTGGAGGATGATGGGTGGAGGATGAAAGAAAAAAAGGAGTTTGACGGGTCGAGTTGGCGCACCTGGGGAACTCCGAAACTGTGGGGAATTGCTGGGTTGTCACGGCCGTGGTCTCAGGTCTCAGCAGCAGGTGTGTCATAGAACTCTACCGCGGCCGTGGCGCTGAGCTCGTGTGTAATTGCGGCCGTGGTCGGAGCACAGTCAAACCTGGAGCTACCACAACGCGGCCGTGGTCTGAGCACAATCAAACATGGAGCTACCTCATCGCGGCCGTAGCTCGTCAGTGCAATTTGGCTGCTCACGGCCGTGGTCAGAGGCTCTCAGGAGCACAACGATACCAGGATAAGCGACGACTCGGACTCCATTCCAAAACACTAAATCCGGGAGGTAGAATACAATAACCCTAAATCTACGCATTGCCTGAGTATCTCCCTTCCGGTTTCGTGAGAAGGGTGTAGGGGCCTGACTTGAGCGTCATACAATTGCTTGAGCGACTTCTTAACGATACGGGAGATGGCGCGCCAGCGGTCTTCCGAATGTAGGGTCTCTGAAGTGTTTGGAGTGATTCCTTAGGGCTCAGCGAAGGACATCAATAGAATTATAAGGACATACCCAGTGCGATGTAAAGGTTATGAATTCGAAGGTCTGCCAATGTCGACTCGAGAGATTTCAGGCAACTATCCAACCGCGGCGACGCCTTAATGGTCGGGTCTTGACGAAGATCCTCGAGGAGTCGAGTGGCATCTCGAAGGCCTAAACAGGGATTATAGTAGAAATAGATGAGATGTCACAGCGTGTTTATGGACTTACCTGTATACATCTTGCCATCAAGGCCGGGAGACACCGCAAAGAATCGAGGCGAGTTCTTGAGGTTGGCGTAATGAGCGAGGAAACACTTTAAATCCTCCGGGGAGAGGTGAGGGTTATTGAGGGCCAGGTACACGGAGAGGTATTGATCGCGCCAACTACACGTGTCGTGCTTTCCGTCGTCATTGTCGAAGCATCGAATGCAGGACATGTAGTCGCGGAGGGGGTCGCAACCGCCACCATTGACACACTCTGGGTCATCACAGGTGGGCTGCTCTTCGAGAAGCACTGGCCTCGATGCTGTCCACAGGTGCCACAGCTGCATTGACCCTTCTGTCTCCAGCGCCTGGTGAGTGATGTCGATGTCCATGTTGCGTACGCTGAAGGGAAGATTCTGAAAGATTTCAAGACAAGCATTGGTCGCCATGGTGGTGGGTGGACAAGTAGGAGTCGATCGACAATCGATCGTCGGCGTGTACGGACGGTGCTAATGGTCTAGACCATACGGCCGAGGTGGAGGATTTGAGCCTGTGTGCGGCCGCGAAGTTGGTATACCGCGTCACGGCCGCACAGTGAGCATCTGAGTTGCAAAGTTGAATGCGCGGCCGCGTTCCTCACCTTAACCAACACGCGGCCGCATCATAAACATCGTAGTGCGCTACATTCTGTGCGGCCGCGGGTGGGTTCAGAATGCGAGTGTTAAAGTTAAACCGCGTCACGGCCGCACAGTGAGCATCTGAGTTGCAAGGTTGAAAGCGCGGCCGCGTTCCTCACCTTAACCAACACGCGGCCGCATAGAAAACATCGTAGGGCGCTACGTTATGTGCGGCCGCGGGTGATTCTGAACACAGCCACGGCCGCATTCTGAACGTTTGCACCGCATAGTAGTGAGCAGCGCGGCCGCGGTCCCAATCGCTTTACCTAACAATCATGCTATACCTAATACCTACTTTGAGTATTACATGTAATCTCTATTGTGTAGTATGCCAACCACATGGATAAACCGTATGCGCGGCCGTGGTGTCGAATTCGGTGTGACTTCGTTGAAAGCGCGGCCGTTGTCTCTATGAGTTCCCTCAGATCCGCGGCCGCACTGTTGACATTGGGAAGTCTCAAACCGCGGCCGGTCACGGCTACACCATATACTTCGGCTAAATACCAACCGCTCCTGGGCCGTATATATTGGGACAATTCTACTGAGTGCCCTGTACAGGGTCCATAGTGGATGGAGGCCTCTGCAGTGTTGGCAGAGGTGGAAGGACAGCTTTCGAAAACGCGGGCGAACGTTGTGAGTGGGCAGTAGTTAAGTCAAAGATCCACCGGGAGATCTTATATGTCTCTGTTAGACTGTTGCTGGTGAGCTCTACTGAACTCGAGCAAGATAGAAGAACCTTACAATCGCAGTGGGGTGTATGTCGTTACTGGTGAGCGGATGCACGGATGGCAAACCCAAGGCTAACGAAGGGTAGATCGCGGAATATATGCAAACGCTCGACCTCGAGGTTAGTCGCCTGCAGTTTGTGAATGGGACCCGTCGCTGACTGCTTCACGAATTTGAAGGTCTCACTGATATGGCCAACCCGATGGGGATCCATTAAGGTCCTCTACTTCCTCAACCGACTGCTACCTTTTCTTATTCTACCGACTCCAATATACTGTTAGTGGCATCTTTCGTCCAACCGTAATATGTATCTCTCGAAGCTCATTTATTACCATAGATAATCTAGCTCCGAAGCCCACCGATTTGGTATGTTGTCCAGTGGAGGATGCCCCGAGGAGATAGACTGATTAATTTGCCTCAAGGCTTGCAAAGCGGTATTTTCTGTCTCATGTGGTAAGAGAGCTTCTGAACAATACACTGCACCCTGATATCTCAAAGGATGAAGTCGGCACTGCTGTATGCGTCGTACTTTCTGAAGGTAGGTCAGTTCTCTCTGAACGAGCCTGGATAAATGCTTATCCGTCCTCTGGGTAACTGGGTTAGGGATCATGTACATGCGAGTATACGCACTCTCATCAAAAGAGCCTTTGGTCACGTCCTTTATTCTCGTGAACGTTCTCGTGAGTCCATCCATTCCCAAGCGATCATGTGCTCCTAACAACTGCATGACGACGTCGACCAGACCGTATTTGTCGCTCCGGTTGCCTTATTAGTGAGGTATGCCGCGCACGGAGAATGTGAGCCCATCATTAGTGCCAAGCAGATCTATAGACTGACGGCGCCCTCAGGGGTGCGATTCAAGTATCCAGAGCTCGGGGTGGGGTGTGCTGTTAAACGGCCTTCAAAGCACAACATAGCGGTGATGGTCAGCTATGCGGTGTTGCTCTACAGCGGCCTGGGTCAGTGAGCCGTTTTGCACCCCATCAAGGCTAGTCTCAGCTTTTTCGTTTCAAGTTACGATGTGCCTTAGTGTTTATTACGGCCTGCGGGTATACTGGACAAAGCGCAGCCCCTTAATCAGGGTGTTCTATCGCGATGGGACGTTCTACTTCATCGCTCTAGCAGGTCTGCAGAATAGTACCTCTTGCACTACTCCTCTGACCTCCCGGCTAGTGATGTCTATCGCAAACGGAGTAGCCGCTCTGATTGTTCCTGTAGGTCGAGCCCATTATGCCTATTACACTGACGTACTGACGCTTAATTACCTTCTGATAGTCGCGGTACCGCTTTCTCATGGCACCGTGCGTGCCTTGTTCTGATTTGTAGGCAAGAAGACTCAAAGATTACCATAGACCTCAAGCCGTTCTACATAGTACCCTTTCCATCCGAATGGTTCTCCACCTCCGCGATGAGGCTCGTCGGCAGATGGGGCTCGATACACTGGACAAGCTCGTGTCAGAGTGCATTTGCCTTCATGACCAACCGTACAGTGCCGGGCACCCTGATTCCAACGGTTCAGCGGAGGTCGAGTCCGTCTGAATGAAGGGTAGCGGAACGTGTTCTGTCGACGAATTAAGCTCTACTGCTGCACAAGCAACTTTAGTCGACTTTTGAACGTCACTGACTGAACTTTCGTCCACTCCGTGCATTTAAATCTAGATACTGTCCCACGATGCGTATGATCATACATCAACCTCTCAACACTGCCCACACGCGATCCGCAAACACCTTATGAGCAGCTTTCGAAAGGTGAATGCTGTCCTCTCACATGGCTACCTTCCCGTCCTTCTCTTTCCTCCCAGCGCTACTCCCAGGGTTTGATTCATCGTCTCCCTCGTCCTCACTCTTCTCTTCTTCTTCCGACGCATCACTATCGTACTCACTTAAAGACTCTATCGTGTCTTGTAGTAGGCCATGCGCCTCGGGATTATCGAGGATGTCCCCAATTATGCGGTACGCTGATACCACATACGTAGACGCGTTCGCTGCAGTCTCTGCGAATTCCTTGGCCTGTGAGAGGAAGGCTTCGTTCCAGGCAATGTACCGCTCGTCGTCCATACCCACGTCAACGCCTACCAGTATATTTAGCGCTCGCCACTATGGACTTCAGTGTAAAGGAGTGACATACCGCCGGGTGAACGATGCATCGGAGGAACATCGATGAGTAGGAAATTCTTTCCTTTCCACTTGACGTACAGGTCATGTAACGCGTCAAATATCCGCTCGACTATCTGTTCCAGGTCATCTGCATCGTCCGTGGTTCTGAGGGAACGGAGCTGCTCGAGTACGATCTATCGTTGATGGAGGAAAACGCACCCGCAGTCATTTATACCAAACCAAGCCACTGTGAGCACATTTGTATCTCAGCCGAGTGCTTCAGAGTCAGCCGTTCAAAGACATGCTCACCAATGAGGGATTCTCCATCAACCGAACTGGCCGATGGTGTCTTCCCGAATAGACGCTTGACTTGAGTGTCGAGGTCGTGTTCCGCTGTAGCACCCGGACGCGCAAAGTTATCTACCGAGGGTCTTGATGCAGAAGGAATTCTTTCAACGAGAAAGCCAACCTATTAACGATAGACAGCGGTCAACTTCGACAATCCTCACTCTAAAATACACCACTTGATCACATACCCAGCTATCACGGGTGTTAGCACTGTATGAATCTCCCCTCTTTGAAAGAATGTAAGTTTAGAGAGCTCCAGGCAGAAAAGGCCGTGGATTACTCACAGAACCATTATCTTTTTGACTGCGTCGATGCACAGAGGTTCCTCGCACAAAGCTGACTGGCGGTAGTACAAGAGGGCTGGATCGCGCTTGGGTGTTAGTCTCGGAATTTTAGGATCTCTGGACTCGTTATCCTCGTCTGAAGGGCTGCGAGGGCGGACTCTTGAACATGGTTTCTCGTTCTCCATGTTCGAGGAAGATGTGCGGTTTCAAAGTGTGGCGATTCCCTTCAGGGGCTTCCCCGGTTTAACGTATTTGGATATCGTCCACGTACGTCATCGACATCAAGCGGGCCTTTGCGCAAGTTTCACTGCAACTTTCAAATTCACTATTCATCGCTACCAAAGGAAGGCTCGCGTGGCCTCATCGATAGCTATTGGTCTAACAGATTGGTAGAGTAGTGCACTAGATGAATATGTAGTCCACGTGCCGCCACTCACTACGTTATATAACTTCCAACACAGTTTGGCGACCTGGTATTCACGTGTTGAATTTGGCTTCGAGCTCCTCCTTCACATCATAATAGGACGACTGAGGGTATCCATCGTCGTTGAGAGCCTCCAGGGCTTCGAGCACCCAATCTCATAGGCTTTCCAAAGGCCGAAGACATGTGCTGGACGGCCCAACACGAGGCTCGTTAGCTACCACCCAGAAGCGGACACAATGCCATTTGACGCGACGCTCGTTGACTCACGCCTATACTTTACAGGGTTTTAGAAGCAACCGTTAGCATTCCGAAAATTGAGTATCAGCAACGTGTTCTTGGGCGCTTGTCTTATTATATACCGGCGGAGACGGGCTCGGAGACTCCCGATGTCCATGTCTTCCTAGATTTGCTCAAGTTTTCACTGCGCCCACCACGCTAGACCTTCCTCTTATCTCAGTGCTTGGATGCACGCTCTTTCCCATACCGAGACTTTAGAGGAGTCAAGACGCGTCGCGCCCGTTAATTAATCATTAATTAGTTCCACCGTGACGCGAGAAAATCATCACTTTCCTTACGACAAGACCTCGAACACGAGGCGTGGAGCCTGCAGCATCACTTTCTCAACCCTGATCCGATCTTCCAAAATGGCAGCGAATGGAAGAATACCGAGTCACCTCTGTTAAGGAGCCTACGGTACCTACCATAAACGCTCGTCTCTCTCTTAATCGTGGCTTGGACTAGTTTCCACGGACATGTCGTGAGAGTCGCCCATTAGCCTGGAACGGGTGTCACTCTACGTGCACTATAGGTACGTACACAGCCGTCGATAAAAAAGAGGAAACCGTGACAAGAGAACGTAACTTTCCCAACCACTGGCCACTCTGGAGTGTTTTCCAGAACTTCGAGAACCTCAACAAGTCGGCCGATATTGTTGTGACTGTGATTGAGATTAGAATTGGAATTTGATTCGATAACGTCGTACGGGAGATGTATGTGCAGTATGTACCAGGAGATCAATGAGGGCTTCTATAATACAATGGGGGTTGATGGGCTGTCTACAGTACTAGAAGAGAGCGTGAGATAGATATGCAATGAGAGACGATGTAGGTAGGTAGAAAATGACGGAAGGAAACGAGAGGATTAACAAGACGAGAAAAACGAAGGGGATCCTTTTAGTGTACCAAGCGAACCAAAATTTTAAAGTACCGATTCATGCAAGACCAAATATAATGCGAGGTGAGGGTGCGAAAGAGAAGAGAGAGAGACAGAAAGGCAAAGCAAGAAAGCAGAAGCGACAGTGGCTGCGATTCATGGTGATTGGCGTTGAGAACCAAGGGGTCGTTTGGTTGGAACTAATCTTGAAGTCGAAAGCAAGAAACATAGACAACAAAAGCGAAAGCAAAGTGAGCGAGGGTGTAAAGACTTGAAGATGTCAAAGCGGCCGGATTACTTGAGTCTCCACCGCACGGGAGTCCGTATTCTTTTAAGATGGCTCAAACGAGCCAGACTGGGTTTTTTAAGCTCGGACAAAGTCGACGACGACGACGATGACGAAGCCTCGTCCGAGTCGACATCCTTTACAGGTTCGGAGAGCTTCTCTCCACAATGCGGACACCGGCGTCGTATCCTCCAAACAAGACGCTACATGAACCACCAACGATTAGACCCTACGATCGACGACGGGAAGAGAAGGAGATGCTCACCTTGAAGAACGTAGAAGCAGGAGTATATTCACCGGCGTCATACGTAGACTCCGTGTCTATTGAAAGTCGGTCCTCGTACTCGTACTCATCGACTTCAGTCTCAATGTCACTGGAAGCATCGTCCCAATCGAGTGATCTCTCCCGACCAAAGACGGTGCTGGGCTGTCCACCATTCAGCTTCAGTAAGCACCAAACCGCAGGTAGGAAGGAGGGAGGACATACCAATGAAAAGACCGACCCCATAGGTTTCTGAATTTCAAACCGATGATCCATCGTCCTCTAAATATCCCAAACGCAGTCAGCATAAACACCCCAACCAACCAAGAAAAGATAATGAAAGAAACTCACCATAAAATCCGACGAATTAAGGGGCTGATGGCTAAGGAACAAGTTGCGCACAGGAGTCTCCAGCGATTGATACTCTTCAAAATGGTGTAGGATATCGTCCTCTGGTAGGATAGAAAGCGCAAGCGTGAACGACGGGAGGTGTTTCCGCGGTACCACAATGCGCAGTCCACTAGCAGGAGAAGAAGAGGAGGGCGTCGATCTCGAATCCGACATTCAAGATTATAGAATGCGACGAGATATAAGTTATAGAATAAAGTAACAGTGAGCGGACGGGGGTTCGTATCTTGCAAATGAGCGAATTGGAAGGGACGGCTTTCAAATACCAGGGGCAGGACAACAGCAAAAGCCGTGTGGGGCGAGAGAGCGAGAGAGAGAGGGGGGTCGACAACTGCACCCTCTCAAACAGCGCAGCAGCCTTTATATATAACCCGCGTGCCAACGCACCCTGTGCTTGGAAGAGCCTAAAATCCCAGATCGAGATCACCGCACCACCAACCAACCAACCCCGTCCGTCACTCACCGCCCCAATTTCAACCAAATGGAAAAAAGAAACCGAAGTGTGGTGATCATGACCCTGATCACAACCCAAAAAAGGCGCCCAACTGAAAAGACTCCCTAGCTTCCCCTGCTTTTCTTCCATTGTTCTCCAAACTAGGCAACATGATCAGCCGCCAATTCGGATTCAACGGGACGTACCCCAGTTCTGGAGTTCTGATGACGCCCCTTCCTCGCTCTACCTTCTATACATCAGCCTCCGTCTATTTGCCTGGAAGGTCTATTGTTGCCCCAAAGCGGTAATACTCATCTTGGAACTATGACTCTGAACCCTCCAAAACGGGAAGTATCTCCGTTCGCCCTTGGAAGTTGTAGCCAGGTCCTGTATGGAACGCCGTGGATTTTCAATTGAACGATGGCGTTTCATCAATCACCTCGAGGCGAGATGTTGGAATGGTACTGCCGTAGGCAAGTGTACCGTGGACCGGTGGAACCTAAGACACGACTGCGGTCATCAAATTGAGTCCCATAATAGACGGGAAGGTAGTCAGTACACGTTTATGAAGCGCGAAGAAGCACTGTTACAAGACGTGAAAAAGATCTTCTACGTTCCACCTTTATCCATATCGCGGTGGAAACGCGGCAAGAATCCCTGACCGTGCGAGGTGAAAGAGGCGAAAGGCGGCGGGACCCACAGGGTGGAGTCATATGGAACGCTGTTACACTATTTTAGGTCTTCGGGAGTCGCATTATGGAACATTCGAGGCGCAATCTTCAAATTCCATTCAATCCTTCCCTGACCAACAGAGTCATGGGAAGGCCGCCCTTGCTGCTTTAGGCAGGTGTGACGTAATGGGCGGCCCTAACACGCCACCGCGCCGCGCCTCAGGGCGTCGGCTAACCCCCCGATTTGGAATGTAGGCGGCGGCGGGAACGCGCGGGAGCATTGTGGCGCGTGCAACGAGGCGGCTTTGCATTCTTGGGGCGGCTAGTTGAGTAAAGCATCGCCTTGGGGGAACAGGGTTCACTCTCACCTGCCTAGGCATCATGCATCACTCTCCAGCTCGGATAACTCGCTTTCATCCACATCCATGCTCCTCCCGTCTTCCATCCTGATCTGCTCGACGCCTCCATAGGGTGCTTTATCCTTGATCCATCTCCCCCATAACACATCGACCCTACACAGACCCGAGGCAGTAGACGATGCGAGAAGGCAGGACGACGCCAATCCGTTGCCGCTGTTCCAAACCACGCGCTGTACGCCGACTTGCTGGGACCACGCGCCCGTTCCGTTCGTAGTGGTAGGGGCAGGTTGAGAGGCTTTCTTGGCGTTGCTGATGGCTGACCGGGCGTCTGGTACCTCTTGAGGAAGGAATCGGTCCAACATCCGAAACTCTTTCGTTTTGCGGCTATAATCCATTTGATAGATTTTGTGCACGAAGAAAGGCTGGGATCATGTGTGAATAAGAAGATGACATGGGAGGAACGGAGAGCATACCACTGATCCTCCCCGACGAGGCGATCTAAGGGTGTTCGTAGTGGAGCAAGTGCCGTCGGCAGCTGCAACGGCGAGTTGAGGATGGTACTCCGAAGCGCTCACGGCCTAGGCTTGTGATCAGCGACGTAGCAAGGGTCCAGGGCGAAGATGAAACGGACCCAAACTGGACCCGATGGTTCCAATAGGGTATGACCTCTCCCCAGCATACTAGGTGACGCTGCATACGATTTCACGGTATTCTCGTGATCCATGGTAATAGGCCCGCCAGCGAAAGGGGAGAAAACGAGAGTGTTGATCACATCTATGTAGTCCATCCAATTAGATTTCGATCGAAGCAACGTCATCCAGGTTAAGTGCACACCTCGTGTACGATTCATAATGAATCCTCGTCCCTCGCGAATGTCGGTCAGACATTCTACACCATCATATCCCCCACTCGCAATGACAGTCGGATCTTCGTCCAGGGATGCCTCGCCAGCCACTGTGCAAGGAGGCGCTTGTATCCAGGCGAGAGCACGAATAGCCGATTGGTGTATATTGAGGTAATGGGTTGGCCGCGCGTTGGTGATCGTAGGTTGCCCTTGAGACAAAGATCAATACCGGCTTCTAATGTATCATTGACTACCTTACCGGGTTCTTGGAAAGATTGAAGCACTTGACCAACATCATACACGGCGATCACACCTATCCGAAAGTTAAGTTGGGGAACACGAGGATAGGACAACCCGCTTACCATTGGTGGTTCCAATGGCAATGCGCCCACTATTGGCCCAATCAAAAGACCAACAGGAGGCTTCAGCTAATTCTATGCGCAGAATTGGTTCAATCTCGACTGCCGATGATGATGAGCCCCGGTATTGAACGTCATAGTAAGTCATGTACTCACTGAGACTCAATCCAGATGAATCCTTCTCCATATCCTCGGGGTCTGGTACTGCATAAATGCAGAACGAGCCGTCCTCAAACGTTCCTCCTAGCAGACCGATCTTCCGCGGTCGTTTCCCGGAGGTGATTGGATCGTGTGATGGGAGCGGACACCATTTGAGATCCAGAGCTGGTCCATTGTCGATGCAGAGTATCATTTCACATTTCATTTGTCCGGGATCTCTATGTGACGAAGAAGGCGACTTTGGTATCGGTTTAGTCGGAGAAAGGGACCAAATTTGGATGCAGGCAGTTGAAGGACGCTTGGATTTGACACCGATTTCGGGAGAATGTGAGCTATTGGGAAATGGCGCCACGGCGAGATACTGCTTGTACGACCGAGCTGGAAGCAGCATGTGAAACTTGTGTCATTTCCAGAAAGAGGAACGAACACTCACCACTTCGGTCGTCAACATGTATCGGGCACCAGTCGATTGCCCAAACCGAGGCACCGGCATTGAAAACGTGTGCGTTGCTTTCAGGAAGGTACTCTGCTGCATGAGGTCAGACTTCTGCAACCCAATCGGCAAGAAAGTCGTACAAAGCGGGAACGTTTCAATCATCTCGACCTCCCGTCGAACTTGAGATTTGATAGGGCCAAAGTAACACGGAACTGGAGGAGGCGGCTTGAAACTACCGTCATCGGTGGTTTCGTTGGCGGTTGGGAGATAGGCAGCGGCTTGCCTGGCCCACGCGTCAATGGGAGAAGCAGTTGCTGAGAAATGGCCAGAAACTCACCTCCTATCCAGCGCTCTCCAACCCGCCTTGACTGGAATATGGTCGTACACCCTTGGGCGTCTCTTTGCTTCATTCTCCGAACCCGGACCAGACTTGGATTCCTTGAACCACCGTCGATCTTCCACCAGCTGCCATAAGGGACCCGGACCAACATTGTAGCCCCAAGCGCGATTGGCGCGGTCAGCGACCTGATTCGTGTGGGTGAAGTTGTTGGTCAACGCGATCTGGGGCGCGCCGAACAGAGGCGGTTGGGAGGTCAATCTCTCGACAAGTCCAGGACAAGAGAAAAGCGGAGTGGCGCGATGTCGATGATGAACGCTGGGCGCTGGGAGCGAGAACGTCTGCTTTCGCCCAGTCGTTGGCCCAGCAGAAACGGCTTTGGTCGTCTTTTTCGGTTTCGGTTTTGCTTTCGCCTTCCCCTTGCCTTTGGTCTTAACTGGCACGATTTCTGGCTCCTCGTCTGGCTCCTCGTCCTCTTCCATGGCGTCGTCGTCGAGGACATCATCCTCGGGTGCAGGTTCCGCGTCCTTCTCTGGTGAAAAATCGCTCCCGCTGTCCGTATCATCTTCTTCAACCACAGACTTAGAGGGTCCAGCGGCTGGGGCGTCTTCCTCTATCGGTATCTCCGCATAATTCTGCTTCCCTTTTCGAGGGCGCAGCGTCCTCGCCATTGAGTTCCTCGGGAATGCGGTGGTGGCGGTTCAGGAACAACCAAATCCATGAAGCGCTCATGAGGCATCCGCAATCGGCTTGGCGCAATCTGCATTGAACTGCCGCAACCAACTCCGATGATGTAATCAGATCCGGCACCATTCCCCGTGAGCTTCGAACTCTTGGGAGGCAGAGTCAACAGCTTCTCTGCGTCGAAAACAAGTTTCAGGTGGTTGAAAATGGGTTTAAATATTGATTGAGAAAAAGAACCAAGGGCTGTACTGTATGGATCCAGATGGATCACTGTGGTCCATTGCCCAAGAAAGATCAATTCTTGATTCTCTCCATGGTCTGAGGTCCCGCTGGTACGTGCGTTCCCGCTATTGGTGCAGACTCCTATGTATTCTTCTCCTTAGGCGTATTTTACCCTCTACAATCCTATACACTGATTTTTTGAAGGCTTCTGAACCCGCTTTTTCCCTCTCTGCCCTTTCCCTGCCGGCGGGGACAAGCACTGGCATCACACGGAGGCTTTATGACATCCCGCCCTCACCATCACGCTCATCACCTTGGTTTCCCAGATTTTCTCCGAACACTGACCTAAACCAAATACAGTACCCTTTTGCAACCGTGTTACAGCTCTGAGGCTTTACTCATAACCACCATGTTGGATTGCGCATAGGAGAAAATAACCACGTCGACAGTCTCCAGCGAACTCGACCCCTGGAAACTCTCGAAAAATGGAGTTTGAGTCGGACCCGCAGGCGTTCTGGGATTGGTGGGTGCGGTCCCTAATACGGATGCAGCAGCTTAAGGTACGTTATATGCCGTGTCCGTCTCGAATCTGGATTCCCTCCTGTCCCAAACTGACAGACAATCCCCCGGGCAGTACCTCGCAGGTATGTTGTCCCCTTTGGGCGCCAAAACCATGGCGTCAGTGGCAGCCAGATTGACAAACGATCTCAATTCGCAGTCGCGTTGGTCGTATATGTGATCGCCGAATACTTTCAGACATTGGAGGCCGAGGTACGTGTCGGTCGCCGCCCGGTAATCTGCCAACCCAAAGATCCGATACGATGAATCCCCCATTCGTAGGTGAAATACGTCTGGAACTCTAGATGGAGTCTAGTGAAAGTATTGTTCCTTGTGACGAGATACATGCCTTTTATCGACCTTCCTCTCGTTGTAATTTGTGAGTGCCCAGTTTTGCTTTCAGCCATGGGTGACTGGACTGACATTGAAACAGATTACGAATGGCGTATGATGCCTGGCCTAGTATGCTATGAATTCGTGATCATGGCCGCCCTGGATACTCATATACATTCGTAGGGATGCTTTGGAATCTTTGCAACAACATCATGTATGTCACATCTCATAGCGTTATCCATCCTCCAACTCATCTGCTTCTCCAGTGATGTGCATCCTTTCGACCGGCATCGCCGAAGGTACACCCGACCATCCTCAAACATCGCTCACGAAACGCTCTAACGTCTCCTACCAGCTATCATGTTCCTCCGAGTATACGCCCTCTCCAAACGAAAGAAATCAGTAGCGATCTATCTTTCCGTACACTTCGGGGTAACTACACCACTCCCGTAAAACCCACAAGGCACACCAACGCTCATTCGATTCCACTTCACAGCTCGTTCAGGCAGCAACAGTCGCTCTCTATATCGTCTTCGCCAACTCCCTCAAATGTACGTTCCTCTTCCACCCATCCCAAGTGACCTCCGCTAACCATCACACTCAACGATCAGTCCAAGACCCCCTCCCCGGCTTCCCAATACACATAGGATGTATCCCAATGGAGGCCAAAGTCAACCACCTATCCACTATCTTTGCTCTCGTCATCGTAAACCAATGCGGTACGTCCTGCCACCCTAATTCCCGGCATGATAGCTCACTTACGCTGGATGGGTCACCAGTAATCACCGCTCTCAGCTTCTACTTTGTCCTCACCAACTTCAAACGATCACGAGGACCCCTAATCGACCTCCTCTTCGAAGACGGGGTGTTCTATTTCGTCGTTATGTCAGGTACGCATCTTGCCCTCCCTTTCCTCTACCTCCTCACTTTGGATCGGCTCTGTGTGTGTCACACCTTTCTCGCTTGGATCCACCTTCCTCACCTTGACCCACCCACTGACTTTGAATCGCCAATCCAAAACATATTCTGATCACCTTCATTACAGGAATCACCATCGCCAACTTCGTTCTATCCCTCACAATGCCTGTAGGTCCCTCCTGTCCTCCCTATCACACCCACCTCCGAATATCCTCACGCAACGCACCAACACTGACTTCGATCTCACTGGTCTAGCCCGACCTCCAATTCGTCTTATCAGGGTACGTGCCTACAGCCTAGACCTCCTCTCCCTCCCTCCCTCCCTCCTTGTCCTTTAATGCTCCCTTCTACATCACACCGACGATCACCAAAAAAACCAACAATATTAATCACATCCCCAAAACTAACCATCGCATCACCAAAAAAACTAACAAAATCACCCACCCAGGATCCAACGTGCCCTACACGCAACAATCGCATCCCGAATAACAATCGGTATGCGCGAGTACGCTCAAAAAGACCTACACCTCTCGACACCGTCCATCTCCAAAATGCGATTCGAGAAGTTCTCGACGTTCGACGAGTCGCGTGGTATGACCACAGGCGATCTAGGCCGCGCCGCTGGATACCTTGGAACCATGAATGGCACCATGAGCGGTATGAGTACGGCCCAGACGGCGACGTCGAGGAGCGGTGGCGTGAGCTCAGGCTTCGCCTCGGATAACGAGATGGGCGGAGATGGGGATGGTCGTGTGCAGGGGATGCAGGCACAGTCGATGGACCAGAGCCGGGGTTCGATAACGCTCGAAAGACGGAAGTGACAAGAGCAACAGGAGCTTAAAACTGCTGTAATTCGCAATTTATGGATGGACTACGACAGTACTCACTCGCATACTTGATACCTAATTAGCAATACACGCTCACCCGATTTTTTTGAATGTCGTTTCGTCGGAAGCAAGTCTCATTGCATAACGTGGCTACAATGTACGTCAAGGTCATGAAAACATGGTATGGTAGGTACAGTCTATATTCTACACTGAGAAACTGAATGGCGGCATATCGGATGAGGCTAGACAACCGTTCACGAGTCAGACGCTCCACGTCGGCACGAAACGGCGAAGGAAACCAGAGCCTGCAGGGGACGAAGTCTATAAGATACAGTCAGAGATTGAACGGACTCCCGGAAGAGAACAGAGACGACCTACTTTCGCACTTTCCCTCGACTGCTGACGACTCCTCTTGCCAATGGAGATCCCAAACCTGATCGTTCGCCTCGACGACCCAGTCGCACCGCTCCTCTCAGTCGAAGCAGACCCCCGCCTCCCCTTACTGATACCTATCCAGAAACCAAAACCATACACCGGCTGACCTTGACCTCGAGCACATTGCGCGTCGCCCAGCGGGCCTTCATCTCCCTCCACATCGACGCCATCTTCATTCGGAGGCCTGCCTTCTAGGTCGTCGTAACGTTCGTCGTCGTAGAAAGCCTCTGAAATAAAAATACGAGGCTAAACCATCAGGGTTGGCCTGACCGCTCGAGGAAAAGGTGGGAAGGTGCGTGCACTGTGGTCCGAATGTAATGACACTGAAGCCTCCGACTCGGCGTCGTCGCACTCGTCCTCGTCGACTTCGTAATGGGGTGACCCTTGACGGCTGTCGTTGAACGAATGACAGTGGTGGTAGTCGAGAGCGCGCTCGTCGAACGTTTTCTGAGCAAGGAGAAAGGGATCAGCCGTAGAAGCATTGGACGAGGACGAGGAAAATCTGTACCATGAAATCGCGTTTTGGAAGTTTGGGTGCATGCGTTACAGCGTAAGAAGTGGAAGGGAAATGTATTCCCAGCCTCTGAGCGTGAGAGGACAGTAGCAACGTCGTGAACGAGGACAGCTCGTCCCGTTTGTGGAACTTCATCTGCACCATAGCGGTAGAAGGCGGCATGAGACCAGTTGACGAAGGGACAAGGAATGACGAGGGGGAAAGACATCCAGGTATTTATCCTCCTCTCCGAGCCCAAGACCCGGTCTAGCCCTTCGATCCTTTCTATAAAAGAAAGAACTGCATTGGAAAGTCATCTATCGCAGCAAACGCCTGCACCATGATCACCGCAATCGCTTCGCAGAACGGACGGCCTGCCAGCGTTGTGCAAAACCAGGACCCTGCCGGAGATTCAGAATCCCAGGAGCGTGATATGATCGACCAGGACCAACAGGCGCACGCAATCCTGAAGGCTCATATTAACGTTATGTAGGCCAGCTTTGGTCAAATCAGGATAAGTCCCCTGTTAGAATTGTTGGCCAGGAGACGCCCGTTCCTTTTGAGCTGTACACTGATTCTGTATGAGATCTATGAGTGTCGATATACTGTAAAGTTCAACGGAGACGCACTTCATGTTTAATTGCAGGGAAAGGAAGGTAGAATAACAGGCACCACGCCTTTCATTTGCGGTCTTGGGAAAGGATCCAAAGGTGCGTTCTAATTTTGGGAGAGATCCGAGTGAAAGGGGCACGGAGGTGCACGGGGCAAGCACGATGCTGTCGCGACAGGACTACAACGGTTGAATTCGACGATGCTGTGACGGCCATCCTAGCGCGGGCGGTTGAAGACGTGGAAAGAAGGGGAGGAGGAGATTTGAGGCTGATAGCCAAGACCTATGAACGACACACTAGTCGCTCGGTACCAGCCAACCGGGTCCTGGAACAAAAGTATACAAGGGTTCAAAACAAGATTCCAAGAGGTTGTCTGACGTGTCACCAGCCCAGTCCGAGATTTTGATCTGGGAATCCAGCATTAGCCATCTAGCCTTGTCATCACCTCGAACGACATACCAGAGAAGCAGTGAGCGCACCTATGTTGAAACAGGGTTCATGTCAAACGTAGTAGTCAGGAACTTCGACGTCGACCTTGGCGTTTCTCGATGGCCTCGGTGCAAACAGAATAGCCTTCTTGGATTTACTCGGCAAAGAAATAGAGACCCGCGAGGGGCATCGATTCGCAGGTCGTTCGTCAACGCTGAAAGCGGAAAAGATGCGGGAGAAGGTAAGCTTGTGTTTGGTCAGCGGATGGACGAAGGCGACGCACTGGAAATTGCCCGGGCCAGACGATTTCGGGGCATTCGGGAAAGGAAGGCCTGGGCCGCTGGAACGGTAAGCGTTCACTGGCAAGGCTATGGGTAATAGCCTTGCACCTGCAAGGTGCTTGTTAGATAAAGAGGGACCAACCCTCGAATTCCTTGATTGGCTAATCCTGATGTCAACGAACGCACTCAATACCTTACCGTCGCGCCTCGTTGTAGGGACAAAAGCTTAATATTTTCCATTGTAGCCCTCGGAAAGATATACACACGACTTCTGTGTAGTGGTCCCGGTTTTGCTCACGGCGTTGATTAGGCTTATCACCAGGGCCTTTATATATCTGTCGAGCGGTTGAGACTATCGACGAGAGACACGGGTGGGACATACTATACGACGGACTTACCTATCCATACCTCCTTGATTCATGTTCTCGTGTTTGGTGACGATCTGAAGGCAAAGGACGATCAGTGCTGTTTCGGAGTTCTTCCACCCTTGTGGTTCTAGTGTGCTGCCTTACGGTAGATTCTTATTTGGCGGCGCTGACTTGCCTTGTGACATCGAAGAGGTACTTCCACTCTTCTTTCCAACGCCTGCTTGATGAAACATTGGATATTGGAAGGCTGCAGCTTCCTTAAGGCAAAAATCCCAAGATGTCGTGATCGAGTACGGCGCCGGACGAAAGCTGTCGCACCGCGAGTCGTAAGCACGTATACGTAAGTTACGGCCTGGTGGACAGCGGATTAAGCGCCTGCCTTTCAACACTGGAGCTGCATGTAGAGAAGAGCATTCAGTACCATCGTATCCGATCTACAGCCGCGTTTCGCCCTTCTCTGCGAGTCGCCGTTGACAGAGACCACGCATGCGACACAGCAAGACCTGTTTCCTGACCATTCACATCTCCTTCAGGCTTCGGGTTCCTGATTGAAGTGGAATACCCACCCTTGAAGCCCGATTTAATGATTCACCTTCTAACCTGGGCTGCTCCAACAGTCGGTCGCGCTGCAATTCTGGCACAGGACCTTGGCAGCTAGATATGAAAAGCGCGAAACGACACCGGAGTTGAAATATGTGAAGACGGCTGAGTTATAGTGACTGTTGTGTGTGAAATTTGAGATTCTACATGTGTCGCTGTCAAGGCGAGACGTCTGGAGGGCGGCGATGTGGTTTAATGCAAGTTCAGGACGAGAGAGAAGGCCACATGAAACGACGGAGTTTGGCATCAAATCAGAAATGTGTGATCGCTACATCCGCCAAGACCATCTCGTTCCTTCCAGCTATACCCCGTTTCCTCTGAAACTCGTACTTCTGCACTTCGAATGGGATTGCATCTGTCCATCTCAGTATATGAAGCCGATGCCTACTGGACTCCACAGATATTCTTGTGACTTGACATCGAGCCAACCGTTCCCGCCGGTTGAATCACGAACGGACATGAACAGACGGAACTTCATCGTCACCATTAACTAGAACTACTCGAAATCGACGATGAACCCTGATTTCTAGCTTTAAATTAGCCGCGCATCGACTACTGAATGCACGCCGTAGATGAGAAGACCTGCGTGTTCATAGGAAGGAACCTGTTTACTATTAGCGACCGGCGGATTTTGCACCTACTCCAGCACACGCCGGGCCCGGCATCTGGGGGACCATCGCGGCTTTCGAAATCCCTTTCTGTCTGGCCAGAACCTTGTCCTGCCAAGACATTGGGAAAGGCCATTCTCCAAATTCCGTCCCTGCTTGGTTCCGCACATTGCGGGAGAAAGCATCTAACATTGCTCCTTAATATTTGAGGGGCAATCGTCCGACATTGGACGTTGCCGGCGTTCGCAGGGCTGTCATCTAATACGGCCATAACTGTATGGAAAAGCACCATTCAGGATATTGGAAATGTCATAGTTTTCACAGTTCCTCCTGGATCACCGCGCCTCGAGTAATCCGAGCGCCGTTTACCGTGACTTCGTACTCCGTGTCGGGACTGTGACTTCGCTGGAGCAGTTTCCCTCAAATATGCTTCGACATGCCCACTATTATGCCGTAAAGTGTATGTGATCTAAAGGTATGTAAGGCCTTGGGACGCTATGCGCAAGATATCGAATGCATGCTGCACAATCCTGCAAGCGTAACCCAGTCAATGTCTCGCAAATGACAACTACTTGAACTCCTCCACCCCGTCCGGAAGCGAAGTCACGCGACAGCCTGTCAGGATAAGTCCCAACATCCCGGGACGCGCGGTTTCTTGGGGCGAGTAGTCAGCGACGATAAGGCACATGCTGTCTTCTATGGCTGAGAAGCTAACGGACGTATTTTCTTATATAGTCTATGTCGATGTTTACCGCGAGACGTTTTCGCGATCTATATAAAGGGAGGCTTTGGGCACTTCGATCGCGTTACCTGACCCCCGGTCCACTCCTTCATTAGATGCACAGTCTTCAGGAAGTTTACGATATGACCCAACGCATACAGTATATGAAGGTGCACCATTCATCTTGGTAGGCGGAGGAGAGGTGATCACTGATTCGAGCTACCTCGCCCAATAGTACGCAGACGGTAGGCCTTGATTTATTGCACGTAAAATTCTTCACTCACAGAACCTTCTGTGCTCTTCTAGTCGCTGCCCTTGCATACTTAGTACGTCGATCGCATCTTCCCATAAAGTTAGCTGAACTCAGAGCGTTGAATAGATTGTCGATTACCTCGAAACATGGGAGCTCGAGGTGCCCCTGACAGAGATTTGACCCCTCTTGACAGAAACGGTTTGTGTGGAGTGGGAACAAGGGGGCTGTCAACACGCTATTCTTAATTAGCCGCTACCTTCCCTTCGTCGATGTCCCCCTATTCATGTACTGTGAGTTACTTACGCCCTGGAGATCGTGGCCTCGGGTCCAGTGACGGCCTTTTCAGATTGTAATAATCCTACCCCAAGCCCGAGAGTAACTCTTGTCCGGGTAACGCTGTGAAAGTGTCGATCTCACCCATTATTATTAGGAGTGTAAACGGATCTGCAGCGTTATAATCGGTGGGTGATGTTGCTCCGCTAAAAGGAAGGGTCTGAATCGTAACTTTACTGTAAAGCATTGTCGCTAGCAGCCTATATTATCATCGAAGGTGTGCACTGTGCCTCCGCTGGCCCGTTTTACCCCGCTCACAGGACGGAAGCCCTCCTACTCCTTCGGGTACACGCCATATCTAAGCAGTCAAGAAGGACTACCACTTACATCTGGTGCCATTTGGCAGTGGGTACTCCGCTATTCCATGCTTATCTCATTTTGCTAACGCTCGCTTCTGAACAAGGTCTTTTCCGTGACGCTAATCACACTCCTGTTCCTGTCGATTTTCTCCCTAGGATGTGCGCCACCACCCTGCCCCAGGAGATATGTATATACTGATACTGAGTCTCTCGGTGTCCTTTTTCTCCAGACTACAGCTCAATCAGGGTCGAATCAATCGACCTAGTATTGCATCAGCCTTTTGGCCGGGGATGCCACCCGAAATCGGACAACAAAATCTATGTTTCATCGATGCTGTCGGTGATGCTGCTGAGCCAACTCAGTATTCGATTCTTTCAGCTCATAGTAATATCCACATTTCACTGACAACTGGTAACAGTTGTCATTTCCCTCACAACGATATACGGGATCCCTGGAATTACCCGTAGGCATCTGCGAAGCAAGCTGCTCACGATTATCTGGAAGGATGGCGCCATATTCTTCCTCGTGATGTCAGGTTAGCGGGTTGGTGCTCTATACGTGTTTTTATTTTGATCATCCTCTCTTGTAGGAATATCCATTGTCAATGTCATCATTTCCCTCGAAGGACTAACAGAGTTTCACCAGTGCTTAATTATGTTCGTTTGGTTTCCGTTCTCGTCACGCCTGGCCTTTCACTGATTATACCTAGGTTCCAAAGGGTTATCAACGCTACATTCGGGACGAGGATGATTCTCCACCTCCGTCAGGTTGCTGCCAAGGAGAGGGACACTCCGTTGGTTGATTTGTCAATCCATCTCAATGATCTTAGTACCAGTACGACGGGGTAGACAGATTGCATACAACCAAGTCGATGTATGGAGAAGCAAAATGTATGTCGTCTTAATTCGTGCTATCGGGGTACAGACGACTCTGAAGGAATCCATACCTTCTATTGTGAGAACCGTGAAGGCATCGCTGAAGGTGCCCGACTCGGAGTGCCCCTATTCGAGTCAATTTTCCAAACAGAGACAAATACGAGGTTTCCCCGTCCAATGAGTCCGAAGCAGACGCGACCACGTTCTCGTTGCTTTTGACTCATACCGCTCTCGACGACCAACGACGACGACGACCATGGCGGGCCCAGTGAAGCGAGCAGTTCCCCACCTCATGACTCTGGCGGACTTGACTGTTCCACAGATCCAGGGAACGCTCAGGTATGCGCACTACCTGAAGCAGACCTCGGAACCTTGGTTGGCGCCTTATGGTTCCCTGTCCAAACGGGAATCGAAAAGGCTCAAGTTGCCTTCGCAATCATTGTTCAACAAAACCATTGCCCTTTTGTTCTCAAAACGGAGCACCCGTACTCGTCTAGCGGCCGAAACGAGTGCTACGTTGCTCGGTGGACGGGCCCTCTTTCTGGGCAAGGAGGATATCCAGCTAGGTGTGAACGAGACTGCCCGCGACACAGCTCGCGTTATTGGAGGGATGTGCCAGGGTATCTTTGCCCGCGTTGGAGACCATTCAGAAATCGAGGTGCGTGACCCCATACTGTTACTTTGAACAATGCAAATTAAGCGTCCAATTCCAGGAACTTGCAGCACATTCGCCAGTCCCCGTGCTTAATGCATTGTCATCCTTATGGCACCCGACGCAAATCCTTGCCGACCTCTTGACCCTGCACGAACATGCGCACCTCTTCGACGATCCTAAATCTGAACCACCCGCGTCACTCAAAAACCTCCCCAATCTCAGGCCATTGACGGTCGCATACGTCGGCGATGCCAATAACATTCTCAATGACATGCTCGTCACCTACCCTCGTCTGGGACATCAACTCCGAGTCGCCAGCCCTCCTCAGTATCGCGCTGAACCCGAGGTTTGGAAGCGCGTGGAAGAACTTGGCTGCGACAAGGGTATTTGGTGGGGTGATGATCCTAAGGAGGCAGTTAAGGGCGCGGACGTCGTCGTCACCGACACCTGGTTAGACGTCCCATCCGTCTCTGCTTTGAATTCCAGCTAACAATAGTTTCAGGATTTCCATGGGTCAAGAAGCTGAAAAGGCTGAGCGCCTAAAGGCCTTTGAAGGTTATCAAGTCACCGAAGAGCTTTGCAAAGAAGCCAATCCCAACTGGATCTTCATGCACTGCTTGCCTCGAAAGCCTCAGGAGGTCAATGACGAAGTTTTCTACGGCCCTCGCTCCCTCGTTTTCCCTGAGGCTGACAACCGCAAGTGGACTATTATGGCTCTGTTCGAGTACGTATTCATCGCTTCACTCCTCATTTTTGAGCCAGACTGATGTTCTGTTCGCAGCAACCTGTTCGGCAAATGGAGCCTTGACGGAAAGACTTTGCGCGAAACCGACCTCAGCAAAGATGAGGATTAAAGCCTGTCCCCAAAAAAGCACAATTGACTGTCTATACGCTGAACACCGGTTACTTACCTACGCGTCACCCTTGGTCGTATTGGTTGTTCTGGCCCTCCCTTTCTGGAATGGGACTTATTTTGATTTTCAGAGGCGTCTATCGCTCGCGTGGCCCTTTTAACATCCCCCCGGGGGTCTGAGGATATGTAGCTTCCACCCAACGTTGCACGCATCTCACTCAATCTCACCGTGAACGTCACTGCCAGCTCGGGTTCGATTGAGAGTCGTGACGTTCCCGTCTTCACGGTGCTAATTCAGTACCAGACTATCGAGAATGGGCCGTGTCTGGAATTTTGAACCACACGCCTCTACCTTCAACCAAATTGGGTAGTGGAGGGTGGAAAAAGGGTTCGCAGTGCGATGTCACTGCTGAGCGCGGTTAAAGAGAGCTTAAGTAGCCCGTCGTGCTGCCCTATCCGATTGGGCTATGCGCGCAATGTGAAGTTCCGATTAGGCAGGGGTACTGCCTTAGAGGTGGTCGCGGTTGGGGCAACTCAAACGTATGTAAGAAGGGCGTAAATTTTTGACAGGCACGATCAATATTCAACGTTCAACGGTCGACCCCTTCGTCTACACGAGAGCGACAGTACTGATGCCAAACCGTGTCTTCGACCGTGACCTTTGGACATTAGAGGTAAAGCCCGGGAGTGTTAAAACCGATGCCCTGGGGGAGGATCTCGAATAGCTGATTCGTATTCTGGAGGAGGAGGTTCCGTATCTCCCGCCTCGCTGACCTGGGTATATGGGTTACGCGTGTCCTGCTGCGAAGCAAAACTAGTGGTGGACGTCGAGATCGGAGCGGGACTCGAGTTGGGGCTGGTTGATCCCACTTGCGGAGACCGTGGTGGGGGATAAAGGTGAGACTGCTGTGGCCTCTGCAGAGATGACTGAGACGAATGCGACGAGGGTTGCCAAAGGTGAGTCGGGCCCAGGTTAGGCGTCGAACCTGTTGCAAATGGATCGGCATATGTCGACGACGGGTCCTGCGATGTGGAGGCAGCTGCCAGCGTGCTCGAGCTTGCATTTCGACTGTGGGTTCCTCTTCCATGCCCTCTGCCATGTTCCATGCTCCCCATCAACGAGCTCGAGCTGGCGTCTCGATCGTGGCCTCTCGTTAGACGAGGTTTGGTGATTATGTCGTTGCCAGTTTCCTCACGTCGGTGAGTCGAGTTCGATGTCGGCGGCGGCGGCGGCGGCGCTGAGAGGTGATGTTGACTATTGGATTGACGATGGCTCTGATAGGGGTGGAGTTCTGGATGCACCGAAATCCCTACATCTACGCCTTGATCCTTCAACAGGTATTCGTCTTCGAGATGGGCCGTATATGGTGTAATCGTCGGGTAAGCAATTTTGTCGTGCGAGTGGGTATCACTATTCCTCCATTTCTTCAATTTGGTGCGCGTTGACGAACTGGTTGGATGGGCTGTTGGGCTAGAGAGGGATGTGAAAGGGTACGCTTGCTGGGTTGTTCGCGAAGGATTGACCCGAAACTTCCTCCTAACCCATAGGACTCCCAAAACGAACAAAAAGATGATGACGACTATGCCGACTGCACCGCCCACTATCGGTCCTATATAGTTGGATTTCTGCTCATCGGTGGAGGCGTTGGAATCGTTGGAGGCGGGAATGGATGTTGATGCTGAGTGGTCTCGGAGGGTAAGCCTGGAAGGACCCCGAACCAGGTTAGTCTTTCGTACGGGCCTTTCAGAGGAGTGGGGGAAGGAAAATGAAGTTGTAGCGGGTGGTATGGTTGACAACATGTTGCCCAAGAAAGGTATTGCAGGTCGACCCAGTCCGTCGCGCCGTGGTGCTTGCTGGGTGCAATGATCAATCAGCTTGGAACCGATAAACTTTTCCCTGACAACCGATGATCAACGAGAGCTCCAGGTTCGGGAAGACAGTCTCGAGGATGATGCTTGGCCTTTGGGTTGAAGGAAAAGGAATCTAGAAGTAAGTCATCTCATCGTATCGGGCTACTAACGCTCCAACGCTCACCAATAAATGTGGCTCTCTATCGAGGCTATTGAAGTCAAGGCAAATAGTGCAATGGGAGCAGGAATGAAGAGTCGCCTCAAGGTCTTGGGGCTGCGGGCATGGCGGCAGTTGAAAGACCTTGTCACCGTGAGGTCAGGTCACCCGTCATTCCCATGATGGTTACTTACGACGTTGCAGTTCCATTGAGGCGATGGCAACCTATTCTTGTGTCTGAGAGTGGGCGCTCTTTGTCGACTTGCGTTGGACGGGCAAAATATGACGGCTCAAGCTAGGTTCAAGTTCGACTAAAGGTAATTATAGGTGGCGAGTCAGAGGCGCTTCAAATTACCAATGAAGTGAGCACTGAGCAAGAATCGAGGCCTCCAGAGAAAGAATATTGGGGGGTCCTGGGAGCCGGATCAAATGAGGCCCGGCAGCACCCTTGAGGGAGCATGAGCGGACCCGCTTTTCGAATTGCATTGATGCAATGTGCATCACTTCTGTCGAGGCTGGCCAGCCAAGTCGTCTGCGGACGCAGAGATGTACACGTGCAATCCTTCCGCAGCATGTACCATGATGGTAGGTCTCTGACACTTCGAACCTTTGCCAAACTCAACCTTTCTACACATACAGAGTTTGAAACATATTCATGAGTACTACAGATGGCACACCAAAGGAAGCCAGTCATCTCGCCGTGGACATGACAGGCACGGATGCGGAAGGACGCGCAGAAACCGACCGCAATCATACGAACCACGAGGACAAGGAGCGCAACGATGTGGACTCGGACCTATCCGCAGACGAATCACCAGTCACAAGCGAAGACTACAGCCGCCCGCGCCCCACAGCCTATGAGGCGGGCAAGAGTATTAGGAGCAGGCCTGAACCATTTTGGAAGGCAAGGATTGGCGCCCCAATGGGTTCCCAAGAGCATTCGCTTACCCCATGGCTCAGGCTGCAAGACCTTGGACATCTGAAGATCCCCTCCAATTCCCCATCCCCAACGAAGAAAAGACCCTGAAGGACTGCCGAAAACTTGTCGAGAAACTGGATACAGTCAAATGCGAAGCGTGGAAGGACGAAATTCAGAATCTTCTGTTGTTCGTGAGTTACGCCAATGCTGCCAGTGATGTCTGTGACTGACAATGTTGCAGGCTGGTTTGTTCTCGGCAATCGTAACGGGATTCAGTGTCGAAGCGACCAAATCCCTTCAAGACTCTCCTGACGACATCAGCATTCAACTCCTTGCTCGAATTACCTCCCAGCTCGACGAATCGTTGAACGCGACAGGCTCAATTCGCCCCATTCCTCGAATCCCATCGTTCGCACAACCCGCTAACGCGACGCGTGTCAATATACTCTGGTCAGTCAGCCTGACCCTCAGCCTTGGGGTGGCTACCATTTCCATCTTATGTCTACAATGGCTTCGCGAATACCAGCGCCAGGACCCCAGTCGCCCCGACGAAGATGCACTGGCTAGTCGCTACGTCCGCGAAGAGTCGCTCAAGATGTGGAGGGTCCCCCTCATCATCTCCATCCTTCCCATAATCCTCCTGACCGGACTGGCGCTGTTCCTCATTGGGCTCGTGGACTACTTCCACGCCATGAGCCCGTTGGCAGGATGGATCCTATCCGGCTTTGTCGGGCTGACCTTGCTCATCCTAGTTGTTACCACTGTGCTTCCAGCGGTATACGACTTCTGGATAATTTCCAGCACCGGATTTCGGGTGAATCCAGCCCACTGTGCTTATAGGTCACCGCAGGCGTGGGCAGTATCCATTTTGTGCAGCGCGTTCGTTGCAGCGTTATCGTCGATTGACAAGGTGCTGGGAAGGATGGCGGTATGGAAGTATATGAAGGCTTTCATTAACTTCCTTTGGTTCATCTTGTGGTCAGACATGCAGGCCTTTTATTATGTAGCGACCTGGCCCTTTAAGGCCCCCGTCCGTGCAATCGCCTGGCTCTTTTCCACAGAGCCCAGGCCGGAGGGGCGGAGGGATGCATATTCGGTGGGAAAAGTCCGAAGCCTTCCGAACTGGCTGGCGTACGACGCTTGGTGGCGAAACCAGCTTCGCGTCGACTATATCACTGCCATTTGCTCCCTCGCCCGCGAGCATCAAGGAACCGACAACCTTATCCTCTTCGCAGCCTATTACTGTATCCGAGATATGGCCTCGATGTCGGGACTAGAGAGAGCCACATGGGGCCTACTCGGAGGAGCCCACTCACTCAATACGGAGCGCGTCTTCAGTCAAAAGCTTCATGTTGCCAAAGACTGGGTCATGTTCGCAGTGGGGTCTGAGTTATTCAGTGGGAAGTATTCGATGCGGAGTATTGGCGAATGGGAATGCCGCCACTTACTGGAGCTGTTTGTGAGGCTGACACCGGTACTCGTGGAGGAGTACACCCAGCAGTCGATTTTCCCTACGATCTTCCAAAACCCTGCTCTACTGATGTGGAAGGACCCCCCTCTCCCTTCGGGTGCGTTCTAAAGTTCCACATGCACAACGGTCACTCACATGCTCAACGGTCACTCACATTTGCTTACAGATCTTCGTATCCGCCTGTTTGCCTGCTTTGAGAAATTCCTGTCCGTACGGCCTTCACAAGAGGACCCCGGGAATCGGGATACGACCGGCAGCGCCGCAGCTCCAACGACTGAAAGCGTGGCCTCGAAACTGTTGCTGGACTCAACATTAGCCTTGATCACCACGTTCCTTCTCGACCCCATTCCTGAGATCTACGATACAAGGGCTCAAATCTCCGAAATCGTGCGGGCAGGATTCACGGCGCTTTCTCAACAACAAGGCTTTGGCGACTTTTACTTGTATTGCTTACACCCTTGGGAGCAGGCAAGATACATACCGGACCCGTCTGCGACGGTGGACACGGCGCTGATGCTCGACCCGCACATGCTCGACGTCGTCGTTGAAATGGAGGAATTCTGGAAATTTTTGCATCGTTACGTCAAAGGTCAACAGGGAAGGAAGTGGTCAAGGAAGGAAAGGAGGGACTGGGCAAGTTTCTTGAGTAGGGTGCGAATTGAATCAGTACCCCGTAGTGCGTCTGCTTCCCTTTTCCGTGCCATTTGTGAAGGCTGATCCCATGTCGCTCGCAGGCTCCTGGGTCGATTTTTCGGACGTCTTGGAGTCCGAGACGCTTTCTAAAGGATTTGAATTGACTATGGTGCGCCCGGTTCTGCGAGCCATAGGCCTGCTCGTTCTCGGAAGCGACGGATCGGATACAGATCCCCTAACGGATTCCCCAGATGTGCAGGTTCCTACCAGAGTGGACGCAGGCTTTCACGTCCTGATTCGATTTTACAGATACAGACGATCGGAAGTGGGTGCGAGGCATCTGATGTACAACTTCCACAAGCATTGTCTTTATTCCTGGACCCTTCCTTCTAACGAAGCTGCGGTCATAAATAGCCGAGACTTTCTTCGACTCTCGGAATCGTTCAAGACCTTTGTTAACATCACGCTTCGTGCGAGATGGATGCGGACGAGCTGGGACTATGAACAGCGACTGAAGAGGCTCTACACGCTTCTGGATCTTCCACCTCCTATCCAATTGTTTTCCACTCACCGCCGCGGTCGTTCGCGTAATTCACGCGTATCATCGACAACGCGTCGTCGGCGATCTATATCTAACCGTCGCTCAACCCTCTCGTCGATAGGTCTCGAAGCCTTCCCCACCCGAGAAGCCTCGAGTTCGATGGGGGAGGTTATCCGGTCGGAGCCCATTTCGAGTTTCCCTCCAACAACACAGCATTCCCGACACTCTGCTACTAACCGATCATCCTCCCAACAAGAGGCTCCTCTCGAACCCTTGACCTTTCCCAGGTTCAGGGATGCCCAGCGTGACGCGTGGTCAGTTTCGGGAGATGATGATCCTCTTCCCGGCGAGCCTGCACGGACTCATTTATCGTTGTCCATCAGCTCGGTGCCCTCTTCGTTGAGGACTTGGGCATCGGAGCGTGTCCAGTATCCTGGACCAAACCGGAGGAGAGGAAGAGAACCTTACAATCCCTGGGGCATCGGGTGGAGAACTTACAATCTGTCAAGATCAGGTTCATCTGCCCCATCCATTGGAGACGACGACAGGCCAGCTGGGCGTGGACGGGTGCGCAGGAGTCGCTCGCATAGTCCTCGACCTTGGCTTGGCCAGTACTACAGTGATCGATACGCAGCGTCTCCAATAGTTCCACCTCTCGGCAGCCCTACAAGACACTCAGTTCCCAGCTTTAGACGGACCGGCCTCCCTGCGTCAGCCGCGAGTTCAAGCTCGCTTGTCGCAGCCGAGGTTCCTAGCCCCCCAGCCTCTGGCAGCTCTCGCCGTCATTCCGACCCAGGTGGCTCACGTGGACGCCGTTCTTCTACATCTTTCAGAAGCAGTCGGAGGGAAACTTCAGCACCGCTACCCTCATTGCCATTGGATCAGAGCGCAAATAATGAAACCGATACCGGAGTGGCTCCGGTTCAGCGCACGGATTGGGGCAGCTGGTTTGACGACAGCCCTGATGGAAGGGAGGAAAGGGGACGTTCAAGAACTCGCCCCAGACGTCGTGGAAGACCCCGGACAAGCTTGAACGACCGTTGAACTTGGACCCTGGTCCTCGGTTGGAATGCGAGTCACCTCGAAACATGGTGCCTGTTGCATTTTACTTTGTGGTAACATTCCCGCCAATACTGAAACTGAACCAAAAACAAACGACATGAAATCCGGAGATAACGTTACAATACATGTGCCCCCGCCAATATGACCAGTCCTTTACTACAGTTAAATGCTAGATTCGAATGAATTGCAAGGATCTTTACCAAGTGCGAGTACGTAAATGGGCCCCAGCCGGGCTCTTCACAGATTCTGTGTTTTTGTATCTCAAGACTTTTACCAACAACTCAAACCTGCCAACCATATCCCGTTCCTCTGCCTCATCGCTACCAGGAAGCGACGCGACAAAGGCGACGAACCTGCTCAACGCCGATAGCAGTTCGTCGTCGTCCAATAAGAACCTATCCTCATTCTCCGGCCGGGTCCAAGGGAGGAAGCAGCGATAGTAAAACGTCTCTGCAAACTTGACTTCGATCAGGTGTACAGTCGCACACCGCACGAAGAGCTGGAAAATTCTATCGATTTTGGTGGCGGCTGATTCTTGTGCGTCGAGGCGGGAGGTTCAATGCCGTGGGTAAGGACAAATGAACCTATAATGTTCAGCACGAGTTCCACATAATCGCGGTCTATTGCGAAGACACGCGTTTCATTAAAGGATGTCGGGTCAAGGGAATCCACGAGGAACTCTGGAAGTATACAAAAGATGATCGATAAGTATCAGTATACCCTGTTATTGGGCGGACGATGACTTACCTAGAGGTGCGCTGTCCCATCCTATAATCTCCACCAATTGAAGCCATCTTCCCTTCCTCGACATTCCTAACATTTTCGAGTCGTTCGACACATCCCCATCATTCTTCCTTTCTGTGAAGCATCTCGGGGCGATCGAGGAGCCAATAAATTCCCAAAACCCACGCGAATGTGCTAACAGTTTGCAACGCCATTCGGCAACTTTGGTCCTCTCGGCAGCGCCGGGATACCACTGCGGCGGCTTCAGTGGGTCGATGAGATACGAGTTGAAGTCTGGATGAATAGTCCCTGCTTCCGCCAATCCTTGAAGCAGCTGGGATTCCGAGGCATCAAGCATTTTGAGGGCAATGGCGAGCGATCTGAACCCGGCATCGAGCATCTCGAATGTGTGAGGGTGGGTCAAAGGCGAAGGCTCGCCATTAGAGAGACCAGGAATGCTGGATGGTGTGACGGAGTCTCCGTCTATAGGTTCGAGTATAAGAGTGGTAAGAAGGGCCAGCATCGAGTTGACTATGTTCGCCTTGAGGTCTGGAGGCAGGGCCGTAAAGCTATCGGGCTTCAGCTTCTCGATGAATACCCTGAATACCTGGAGTCTCAAAGCTGGGGTCGAGTCTTGTTAGTGGAAGCGCGTATACGGCAACCTGCAAGATGGGACTTACGCGATGGAAGGGAAGGAACTCGTCGCTCAATAGCCTTACGGAAATGAACATGCTCTTCGAGGATCGAGGGGCATTCCACGAGGTAGCCTCTCTGGGACATCCTCACAAACAACTCGAGCATATGACAGTGCTCCCATTCCCCGATGTAGCAGGAGCCGTACACATGCTTTTTGGGAAAGACCGCCCGTCCAATTTGGAACATTGCCATATCATGGGAGACGTGAAATTGATCTGAAGAGGAGATGGAATGGGAGAGCTGGAAAAGCGCTGGGCGACCTAGCGCCTCCGGTCCAAAGGTGGATTGAATGGCTTCGTTGAGCCTGTCCAATGCTGTGATGTCGTGGATACACCGATACGCGGCGCGGAGAATAGGACTGGGCGTCCCCCTGTACTCTCGCGAAAGGTCAAATATACCTAGGATGTAATCATCCTCGCAATGCTTCCTCCACCACGCGTCGTACGAAACCCAGTTCCGGAGTCCGCTCAGAGTGGAGATGATCCGTCCCGATTCGCGCTTGGGGGAATCCGCGTTTTTCGCTCTCTCGAAAACTGTGCGCACGGCCTTGGAGATGTTTTGGTACCCTCCAACTCCGGCTAAAAGCCATATGGGAGACAGGACGATGATAGCACACGAGGAGCAGAACGCCACGAGATAGCGCCAAGCTCGAAACACCCTCAAGCGCTTGTGGATGACAGTGCGAAACAGCGTGATGGCCGTACTGCACGCCAGCGTGAACGCCCAGGACTGTGGCGATCGGTATGCACAGTACACCAACCGCCGATGTCCTAGGTCGCGAAGGGCGGCGATTTGGGAGAAGTCGGAGATGGCGGGCAGGGCTGTGGTGGCGATCAGGATGAGGAGGACAAGGCCCACCAGTGCCGCCAGGATTCCTCCTGTGACCCGACTCATGGCATAGAAGTAATCCACGAGCCCGATCAAGAACAGTGCGAGAGCAGCTTGTAGGAGGAGAGGGAGGACGGCGATGATGAATGGGACCTTCCATGCTCTCAGCGATTGTTCCCGGGAATAACGAGTGGCGAGCGCGTCTTCCGGCGTCCGACCAGGGTCTCTCCGCTCGTATTCCCTTAGCCACTGCAGGCAGAGGATACCGATGGTGACGACTGTGAGACTGATAGTCAAGCTAACCGTCCAAAGGATGTTGACGCGTGTGATGTTGGAGGGCGGGTCAAAGGGAGGAACCTCGATGGATGGGATCCGAGGTGCCGTCCCAGTATTGTTAAGCCCTAACGCCAATTGGGCGCTGATCTGTGCAAGGAGTTGGACTGTAAGATCCTCAGAGGGTCCATTGAGTGCCTTGGCTGCTTCAACGGCAAACCCCGTCACTATGGCCGAGAATAAACCCGCCTATCATGTACCACGAGCCCTAAAAGTTAGCCACACTGAAAATGAAATCAAAGACCCGGAAGATAACTCACAAAGAGTAGGAGGTTCTGGATCTCGTCCTTCCAAGCGTTACATTTACCGGTATCCAAATCCTCGACGATCTCAGCGCACTTTTCCAGAGTCTTGCCCTCGTTTGGGATAGGGATATGGAAGTGGTCTCCAGATACCCATGGTTTCTCCGTCTAAGAACAAGTTGTGAATTCTAATTCCACAGCACGCGGAAAGCGGGAAAGATGTATACTCGAGTACAGCTTACTCACCTCCCAAAAAGGCTTAGGTCCCGTTTCCTCCTCCCTCACGTTTTCAAGCTTCTGCACATGGTCAGAAGCAACCGTTCGCGTACTAACACCATCATCGATATCCTCCTCCTCCTCCATGTCGATCCGAACGTAATCCACCTTCTTTTCTCGACCAAGGTTGTCCCCTTCCCCGTGGGCGCTCATTCTGATTTCAAGTTGACAGCAGCTTCAAGTACTTGTACGTAGCAGGCAGTCCTTGAAAACGCTCGTAGTAGTAAAAGGTGTGTCGCGTCGTTCAGGGTCGTCGTCTTCGAACAAGAGGCGGAACACAAGGACATTTAATAAATACTGAGCGGCTTTCATCCCCGAATGCCATCATGTTTCATTCGACCACGGGGTTGTATTGATTTCTGATAGAAGGATTCTCGCAGTTGAGATGCCATTTAGGCGCCCATCGGCCTCCTCGCCCCAGATGAACCCCCAGCTGGACCATGCATACCTGGACATCCAGCGACGTAAACCCGAGAGGAATTGAGAGAAACTAAAAAGGCTGCCTTTAAGCCCGAAATGAAGCAGGAGCAAATGATATGGTCAAGGACAGGCCTGTAGTCGACAAACAGGCGCCGTAGCGACGGCGATCATCATCGCGTTGTTTGTTTGGCATCGCCTTCGATTACGGGTCTCGGGCTCGATTCCAGGTGACTCCCTCAATGGCCTGGGGCTGTTCATCCCCCCTTGTAGATCTTCATCTCGACGCAAACCAGTAAACCAGCAAGTCTGAATCAAGATCAAACTACGCGTAGCGAGCTGTACCAAGTCAAAAATGAACAATATAAATTAAGATGACATGCCGAAAAAAAAAAAAAAAACATGCAGGGAAAATGAATGTTGAATGAACCAATGTACAAATTGCACGACCAAATGGCAAGAAACGATTAAATGACCGAATCGATGAGAGGGAATTCTACAATCTAATGAAACAGCACGAAAAAAGATGCCAAGAAACAGCAGATTAGAGGTACAACTACATACCTCTATCAGCGAGCCCAAGAAAGGAAGGAGAAGAACAATGTACAACCGCCACAACAGCCTAGCCTAACTCGCCCCATTCGAACCAACAACAACAGCAGATTGAACAACACCATTAACTTGGACTCCATTACTCCCACTGGCACCCACACCCGTACCATGACCCCCACCCGTCCCATGACCCACACCTACACCCGCACTCGCACCCGCACCACTCCCCCCACCCACCCCACCAACAACCCCCGCACTCTTCAACCTCCCCTCAACACCCTCAAGCACAACCATAGTCCCCTTCACCCTCTCCCAAACACCCTGCACCAACCCCCCAACATCCCTCTGCAGCTTCTGCGCCAACCCATCCCTAAAACCCTCCACAATCTCTTTCGCAGCCTCCCTTAGCACGTCAGTTAACGGCTCTTCGATCGCGGCGAGGAGGATTTCGCGTGGTGGGAGCTGTGGGGAGGCGGGTGGGGAGGGAGGGGCGGTTGCTGGTTGTTGCGTTGTAGTGGTGGTAGTTGTAGTTGTTGTTGTTGTGGGTGGAGAGGTGGAGGGAGCGGAAGAGGTAGACGCCACAGGAGCATGTACAGACGCCTTCGCCTGCGCACGCACGTACTCCTGTAAACTCATCAACGCTTTCCGATCCTCATCCTGCTTCTGCGCAAGGGCCGTCATCCGCCTCTCAATCTGTCGTGCCAAAACCAAAAGAAACAAAAAAGCCAAAGTCAGCATTAGCATAAACGCACTCATTCCTTCCACCCCTCAACAGACGCATCGTCAGAACTATAGGGGAAGGAAACATACCTCAGCTCTTTTACCCAACGCCCTCCCAACAGCCTGAACCTCCCCACCCCACTCCCTCTCAACCTTCTCCAACCTCCGTCCCCAATCCACCAAATATCCCACCATCTCATCCAAATCCCGACTCGCCTGCACAGTATCCCTCTCCACAACATACAACTTCTCCGTCATAGACGCAAGACTGTACGCTTCAGTGGGTATCGGCGGGGTCGGAACGCGGGCAGGAGGTCCAGCAACGGCGGCAGCGGCAGCGGAGGATTCAGCTGAAGGGGCGGAAGACGAGGAAGAAGAGGCAGCGGCGGGTGGGTGGTGTTGGCCCTGGTGGTCTGGTGGTGGATGTGGCGGATGAACCTGAGGTCTAGCCTCGCCCATCGCCAAATCCCCATCCTTATCCACCTCACCCCGTCCGTCCTCAGCTCCTTGTCCTACCCCCTTCCCTTCTCCTTCTCCTTGTCCTTCCGCGTCCTGTACCCCCTCCCCACTCTCCCCACCTTCCCCACTCTCCCCACCTTGCACACTCCCACCTTGCACACCCTCCGCACCCTCCTCCCCATCAACCCCCAACTCAACCCTCAACTCCCTAAATTTCGCCTCAATCTCATCCTCAACCTGATCCCTAACCTGATCCTCCAACTGCAACACAAGATTCTCCACCTCACCCACCTTACCCTCCAAAAGCTCAATCTTCTCCAAAGTCTTCTCCTCTACCTGTTCTTGAAGCTTGGCGATATGCCGGTGGTAGGAGGAGAGTGCTTGTTCTTGCTGGTCGAGTGATTGGTTTTGGTGGGCGGAGGGTTGGACGAGATTCGGCGTTGGCGTTGGCGTGGACGTGGACGAGGATGGAGGCTGCGTCGTCCCATCATACGAATTTAATCGTCTCCTCTTCCGTTTGCGCGTTGTCGTCGTCGTCGTCGTCGTCTCGCCCGCCACAGACTCATCAACATCCATCCTATCCTCACCCGCACCTTCCTGCTCTCCTTCCTCTCCCCCTTCCTCTCCTTCTCCCTCCTCGCCCTCACTCTCTCCCTCTCCCTCCCCATCCTCACCCCCACCAACAACCCCACCAACAACAGGCGCACTCGGCGGCTTGTCCCAAATCCACGGCACAACATTCACATCAACCCCCACATCCACACCCGCTCTCGCAGCGATCCGCAGCTGCGCCTCCGTATGCTGAACCAGCGCCGCATTCATCTCATGCGCTATACCCCTCAACTCGCTCACGTATTTCGCGAGCTCGGCATACCGTGATTCAAGTTGGGCTTCGACTTCAAGCTGGTGCGGGGAGATGGGCCAGTACGCTTCGTCGTCGTCGTCGTCGTCGTTTGACGGGGAGGTGGTGGTGGGTTCGGGAGGTTTGGTGGTTGCGTCGGCGGTGGCGGTGGTGGTGGCTTTGGACGACGAGGCTTGCGGTTCGTCGGACGAAGACTTGATGAGGTCGGTGACCAGCCTATTAAGCCTCGCCTCTGCTTCGCGTCTAGCCGCAGCCTGTTTAGCTAGATTTTCTTGTATTCGGGCTTTCATAGAGAACGAATCCGGGCCTGTAACTGTAGAACAAATATACTATTAGGACAAAGGAAATAGATGGCTGGACTTTAGGTACTCACCACCAAACTCGGCAGGCGTCAGCTCGTTGAACCGGTCATACAGCGTCGCATCCGCTTCAATATCCTCAATCTCTTTTTGCACTCGAACCGCTTCCGCTAGCTTGCTAAAAAAGAAAAAACACGCCTCATGATCAGCGACTTGTCATTTCCACCAAAACGAGGAAGCCACAACTCACTTTATCCTCTTCGTCCACATCTTCCACCGCTTGCCTTGTCTCTTCGACAAGCGAATCTCCTTCTCTTTCCCGTCCTCACCCATAACGACGATGGTATCCTCCGATCCACCCTCCTCGTCCTCTCCTTCACCGATAGGCGACTCCACGGGCGACGTGACCACCATGTCGAATCCAGGTGCTTCGGGTACAGGCGGTGGTGGTCCCAGTTTCGAAGACGCTGCGAATGCAGGGACGTTTGGTGTCAAGGTCGGTGTTCCTCGCGCAGAGACCGAAGGTCTTGCTGAGCCCGGTGCAGCTGAACCCAACCCCGGTACCGCGGGGTCCATGCTCGTATCGATCCTCGACAGTAGCGGTCTACCGGCCCCAGCATTGGTCGGCGACCCCGCAAAACTTGCCGTGCTCCCAGTAGCCGGTCCAAAACTCGAAGTACTAGCCGCTGAACCGGGTGGAGGATTCATTGTCGAGTGCAGCCGGTGGGCCAATGGTGGTGAGTTAACACTCGAAGAGATAGAATCTCTTCTATCCCTCCTCGATGGTGACGGGCTTGGTGATCTTCGATGACCGTAGCGTCTATCTCGTCGTTCGGGACTGTAATTCCTCCGCCTATGCGGACTCCTGCTCCTGCTTCGACTCCTGCTCCTGCTTCTCGCGTTGGCCCGGTGCTGATTCCACTCAAAGTCGGTAGGGTGTATAAAGTTGCAGTCCCTGGCGTGGCGCGGGCAGCCACCGTCCTTGTCTGAACCGTCGGCGTGGAACCACTGGTGGTCAGTAGGGCAGTAATAAAGGAAACGCGTGGGTTCAAAAGACGGAGGTGGAGGACATCCGCGCGGTAGAGTTAGAGGTCGATGTTCAACCGACGGGAGAAGTTGTGGCGTTTTCGAATTGGAAGAATCGCGGGTATTACGATGGCGTTCGTTGTGGACGGACGAACGTTGGGGGCGAGGTTTGGGTTTGGGTGTTGGGTGTTTTGGTCCCAGCAAGCCATTGTATTTGAAACCGGGTTGGAATGGAGATTGGGGTTCATTTGACGACAAGGACGACGTCGAGAAAGATGAATCGGAGGCAAGAGAGGCCGTTGATAAGAACAGCGGTGGTGATACGAACAGATTGAGCGTTGGGGACGGTTGCAGTGGGTTGGGATTGGCGTTGGCGGACATTAATGAGCGTGTTAGAGGCGCGTATGCGATGGTCAGTAATTCAAGACACAAGAACAATTTGAACGAGGAAACGAAACGAACATGGCTCTAATATACAGAACACAAGGTCTGTGGCAAAGACACAAGAGCAAATGCCACTGGTGTGGATGTGGACAAAGAAATGTGATGGTAGGTGATTGGTCCCAAAAACGTCCAGGGTGGGCACCAAATCCATCATCGCGCCTCGAGGCAAACTTTCCAACCAATCGGCTCCCAAATGAACACCCATTTCATGCATAGAAAATCCAAGAAACAAGGAAGCAAGCGGGAAGAAGGAACAGAACAACAACGAAGAACGAAACTCACCTTGCACGGCCGTGACTTCCACGGCGGGAATTTGTTACGCGCCATCTCCGCTCTCTTCTTTTACCCAAACTAAACTCGTCCCTATCCTTCTTTCAGCAGCAGCGAAAGAAAGGGGCAGTATATCCAAGAATATCTGGCTAGATCTGGCTGCTTCTCAGTACCACACGGCGTCGGAATTAGTCTGCACAGTCAGTTGGACCGTCGTCGTCGAGTTGGATAGTTGGTGACGGTGGTATGTGTCCAGGACTGAAGCGATAGAGAATTACGACAATAGCCGAAAGCTTGACGCACGGACGTCAGTGCACAAGTGGAAGTGCGACGGAGGTTGTGCGGGATCCTCACGAAAAATGCCAAGACCGGCTCTGACGGCGGACCGCTATCGGCCGCGGCTCCCTTATTGGCCCAGTTTTGGCTTCCTCTCCTGCCTTGAGGGAAAGTACGAGATCTTGCTGTGACTGCATATGATGGGCGTTCGGAGCTGCCAAATATTCTATTCGATCGCGATGGATCAAAGGACTGAAGGCTAACGCTCAAGCTTCAAGACTGACGTCTGCCATGGGCCACAACGAACTACGGTGATATCGCGAAGGATCTCGAGGTCATGATCGCACGCCTGGAGTCTGAGAAGAAGTTTGAATGAATCGCCTGCAGCAATGAACTACCAGCTTGATATCCCTTCTACCTGCGCAGCTGGAGCTCGCTGCTACACATTTTCATCTCCCCTTGCCTATAGAAGGAATGGACCATAAAAAAATCCAATGCTGAAGTGGAGCAAAAAGAGCGTCACCTGAGCGATTCGAACACTCGCGGTCAAAGACCAACCGCTTTGCCTGGCCCGAAGGCCAATAGCAGGCGATCCCGTTAACCACTCCGGCAAAGTGACTTGTCTAACGTCAGACAGCAATTGGTTAATATGACCATCTAGGCCTGACTCTTCTAGCCACACGGCATGAAGGAAAGAGAACTCGTAGCAAATTCTGCTCCGTTAATTACGATCCCATTTCCGTCTCAAATGTCAGTCCAGTCTAAATTATCAGGGCCCATCCACTACACCAGTCATTGGGTTAACACGCTGGGTCTCTATCGCATATTAAATTTGGTATGTAGTAAACACTAGTGACTGAGGTCGCCCGAACTGATGTCAAAACTACGATCCGCAGGCTCTCCGGATCGAAATGCCATCGTGTTCAAACTGGCCACTGTGGGTTCGCTGAATCCAAAAATACCGATTTGCCCCGCTTCCCTCAGGTGTAGTATCATCCGGGTGCACAGGGTGGTGTGTACGACCATCTGGGGGCTGCATCATGTGAACGTCAGTATGTAGAACCTCGTACTAGTAGCTCCTTCGAGCATCCACATACGTCGTCATTACGAGCCGAAACTGCAACTGAGTAAGCGCTAGATGAGCATCTTAATCTATGGGAGTAATGGTCGAGTGAGCTTACTGGAAGTAAGAGTGCCGCGACCCCATTCAGAATCGACATTCCTAACGTTAACCAAATTCAAATCAGCATAACTAAGATACCCTCGGTAAAGCTAAGAACGCACCCGCCAAAGCAATGAAGTAAACCGTGCCATCCCGGTAAAAAACTTTCACCAAGGGACTTCGTTTCAGTGATCGCCAATATCGACGAAGCCCGTAGTAGACAGACAGCACCATCATGGCTGAGTCCTCAGTCAAGTTAGTATCCTCATACTCGAGGACAGAATTTAGTGACTTACCCATCCCACTGTACAGGAGTATAGCAAAGCTAATCGTGATCAAATGGTCATGAGGCTTCCCGGACACAGTGGGGTGTGTCGGACATCCCATAACGAGACCATCGGAAGCGCCGGTGACTACGAGGTGGAAAGCGTTAGGATTTCCTCAATACGGCGCTTACATATAGCAAAGGTAACGCTTACATGTTCCTAACAGGGAAAGATAGGTTCCAACCAACGACATGGTCGACACCAAGACGAACTACACTCCAATGCACGGCCATGTATCGCAATGTAGTGAGCGGTTTCCAGCCTTATAAAGAAAGTCGAAAAGAGACAACTCACAACGGCGTTTACCATCAGGAAATACTTGATAATCCGCCCTCTCCCCGAGATGGCGTACACTCGAAAGTACAATATCACTTACCACGAGCAATAGTCGAGGCGTTAGTAGCGCTCAGGACCCGTGGATATGATAAGTAAAGCTCACCCTCCGAAATCCACAGAGATAACGTGATACCCACTTTCAACCAGTTCGTTCAGCATGACGACCTGCCTGAACTAGAGATACCTACTTACAGCATACGACCGAAAATATAGTCTTGCATTGCTGTCAAGACAGAACCTTGCCCTCAGAAACACTTGGTTCCAACGCATAGATCCAGGAGATCCTACATACCGAATAGGGCCTAAACTGTGTCGGCCATACATCCACTTCGCATTCACTAGTTAGCGTTGTACTAAGGGATAGTTGCAAGAAAAGTTGCGCAAATGCTTCTTACTTACATTGAATCTGACATATAATGATCACGATAGGCATCAAACGATTGAGAAAATAGATGATCTTGACGTGATTCCAAGCGGTGGGCCAAACCAGCGAAACCTGGATATCGATAGTGAAGGGTCCGTCAAAGACGTGAAATGTCAATGCCTTCGGAGTAGATGAGAGTCTTACTTCCAGCTCCATCGTCTGCATGTATTCTACCAGCTTGAATTCGAATGAGCTTTATCAACCGGAGTACGCAGTATACACACTCTACGCACCAGAACCGTTAGGCCCGCAACTAAACGTTAACGCAGAAAAGATCAACTTCGTTCAAAATCCGGGAGACCAAACTTCGCCCACCATACACCCTCTGATCGACAACCGCTCAGCGCCACAGGCTATAGTTTACAAATGAAACGCCCAACTTACCATGTCCCACTGAGAAGAAACGACATGGTCCACCAACGACTGAAACTCCTCGGGATAGCCTACTGTCATGGGAGTAAGTACTTGTGGGGGAAGCAGATCTAGAGCCGGGTAAGCCAACGTTATCACATAGTCACGACTACTATATACTTATCGCCGTCGTCTAGTGCCTGGCCATGTAAGGTGCCGTAATATCAGAGCGCCCATGTCGACGAATCTCCCGCTCGGGGACTGAATTCTGTTTCATTCACCCAACACCGCTATGCGAGGGGGAAGGATCATCGATCAGTGCTCAACAACGTAAGCATGGTCAAGGATCACAGCAACGACCTAAAATCAGCTCCAACCTCCGAGGGCACCGGTGAGAAGAAGGCGCTGGTCGATGGGAACCCATAGTAAGGTAGAACAAATCAGTGATCACGAATGTTGATAGGTTAAATGTAAAAGACACCGTTTCGTGGATAGCCTTCAATTCAACAATCCACATCAGCACAGTTCGACATTAAACTGAATCAGTGAGAGAACAATATCACTCACAGTTGTCGACAGCAAGGACATCGATGTTTCGTCTGCGCGCTCCCTTGGAGCCAATCCCTACACTGTCGCAAGACATCTGTACAAAGGACATTGGATCAACAGGCGGGTGCTAAATAAGCTGAACTCACCGACAAGGCCAACACATTGCCAATGGTACACAGTCTCCAGTCTGACCCAGCGGGGGAGGCGCTTTGTCAGGGTATTGATCGAGTATTGGGAGTCGGTTGTGATGGCGAGTACCTTTGTATAAGGGTAAATGAGCCGGCCCTAAAGTAACAAGCGCCCACTGTCCTCGTAGCGCTCAGCCTAGTAATGCGAGATTCTGAATTTCTGATGGCAGCGGTTGCGCTGACTCAAAGCTCATGCGTCATAAAATGACGCCTAGTCCTTTCTTATACCCAACTATAAGAGGCCCCAGCTACGATCCGTAGGCTCTCCGGATCGAAATGCCATTGGGTTTAAACAGGGGCTCGCTGAATCCGAAAATACCGATTTGCCCCGCTTCTCTCAGATGTAGTGTCATCCGAGTGAGCACCGCAGATCAGAAGTTCCGGAACAACAAGAGTAGTCTGAGCTTTCAAGTTGTGCCTCCACGTCGGATCGGCCCAAGATCGTTGGGGAAAGGTACGCCAGGACATTGACTTCGTGAGGTATAAATGACACGGTGAATCGTGTGGGCGCTGCAGACGTAAATTAAAGGACCATAGTAGTGGCCTAACCAGCCCCTCCAAGGCATGGGCGAGAAGAAACGCTATGCAAGGCGCCGGTCGATCAGAACCGATTTACCTCAATAAGATAGCACAAATCAGTAAACGCGAATGTTGACAGATTGAATACACCATGTAATTCCATGTTCAAAGTTCCAGCAGATGATCAGGGCCCTTAAGGTATGTATATCCGTGAATAACCTTCAATTCTACAATTCAAATCAGTACAGGTCGACGATAAATTGAATCGAGAGAACGACAAAACTCACAGTTGTCGACAACAAGGACATCGATGTTTCGTCGGCGCACTCCTCGAAGCCAAAGCTTCCCTACATCCATCACACATCGCAAGACATCTGAAGAAAGGACATTGGATCAGCAAGCAGGGCGCGAGAATATACCAAACAGCTGAACTCACCGACAAGGCCAGCAAATGATGTCACGGATGTCAGTGGTGCACACAACGCAGAGCGTCCTGCTCGAGTCCTCATCTTTCACACTCCCGCTTCCACTTCCACTACCATAGGCATCCATCGAATCGTCTTCGTCATCATCGTCTTCATCAACCCATGAAGACGTTACCAACTGGGACTCCTCCCATCTTCTCCGAGTCAGCGGCGATGAATTCTGATTCACCATATGCGCCAACACAACCTCTCCTCCACGAGAACTCGAACTTCCAGCGCCCATTCCGCCTCTCATCAGATCCATAAATAGTCCAAATGCTTCCCTCTCAGGATCTTCCTCTGCAGTCGGTGTCGCATCGCCCTCTGCTGGACTCTCTTCCCCCTCCCCTTCCCCCTCCTCATCATCCTCCAACACGAACTCCGCATCATCATCTTCATCATCGCTAATACTTTCCCCTCTCAAAAACCTCTCATACACCACTTTATCCCGCTCTCCCGAATCTTCCGTACTGGTCGTTTCGTCGTCTTCATCGCCGCTCCCATACGAGGCATTCGAAGCATCCATGTCTGACATGAGACCCCTGACCCGCCGCCGCCTCCTAATCAGAACATCATCCTTCTCCCTATCCCTCCTCCCCCTAGCAAGATACAATATCCACCTCCACGACAACGCCGCCAGCCCTTTCGCAGCCGCCCACACCGCCTCCGCGTACCTCCCAAACTCCTTCAACCACCTCCAGAAGCTGCGCACACTCCTCCTCGCTTCCGGCGTGATATTGCTCAAACCCAAATCGACGTTTCGAACCTCGTTTCGAAGGCCCTTGAGGCGCTGTTGTCGTAATTTGGATTTCCTCCTCGTCGATGTGCTCGGTTTGACCACCGTCTTGTAACCCGGCTGAACAGTTCCCGCTGCCACCCTTCCCACCCGCACCGATCCATACTCGACCTGGCCTGGCGTCGGTGGGTGGAGACCCCGGTGTCTCCTCTTCCGTCGTCGAACAGGCGATGCGATAGGCGCGACCTCGTTACTCCATCCTCGGAGGCCCGTAGCTTCCAAACTAGCCGTCCCAACTCGAAGGAGTAGCACACCAAAGTCCTCTTCGTATGGCAGGTTTCGGAAGAACGCGCGGATGCCGCTTCCGGTGCCAGGAGCGACACCTGGTGTGTCGTCGTCTGGTAGAGATATGAACACAGCGGAAGATAATGGACTGCGAGAGGACGTACCATTGTGGATCGGGCTCACACCAAGCCCGCTGAACACCCGCTCGACACGTCCTCGCACCACCATTTGAACCACCACGTTCAGAACTATCGTAAGGAATATCGTAATGAGTAAGAGCGTTTCGAATAGGTTAGGGATGTAGTTTAGGATCGGATAGGTTGCAAGGATTCTGGGGTTGTTGTCTTCTGATGACGAGAAAGGAGGATTGCTACTCTGCTGTGACTTGCGGATATACGACCAAAGGGCTCCATGGAAGTGGATAAGGGATAGGAACGAGCTGAGCGCCGTTGGGAATAGTCGATGCGAAGACCACGGCCTGTACACCGACAGCGCGTGGAACAAAGTGAGTTGAAGGAGTGGAATGGCGACGGTGATTATGGCATGTTTATCTGGCCTAGAAGGATAGTCCCCACTCTTCTGTGAATGCGCAAAGGGAGAGGAATAGAGGTGTAAGAGGAAAGCATAGCCAACAATGTTGAAAGGCGAAGTGTTCGGATTCATATTGCCACCGATCGGGAACCCGGCTTCCACCCCATCCAACGCCTTCACAAATCCCTCCACCGAGAACCCAACGCATACGGCCACAAACGTGTTCCAACAGATATCCTGCATGTCCATCTTCCTGACCATCTCGCCAAGACTATCCGCCCAACCTAAACGGCCCTTCTCGGGATATAACTCGGATGTTTGTAGCACGAGCACAAACCAGATCGTAAGCATCTTGCAGAGGTAGTACAACGTCGGTAGATGGACCGCGAGGCGTGTCGATGTTTGGGTCAAGTCGAGAGGAAAGATGGAGGACGTCAGTCGGCTGAAGATCGAGAATCGTCTGTTCCAGCCTATCGAAACCCCATTCCGAAGTCCACGTCGGTTCTGCATGCGCGACGGGATGATGATGTTCTGTATTCGGTGTAGAATCACAGCCTGGCCAAACGATTAGTCTTCCCTCTGACTCCGATCGTAATGAACTCGTGCGTACCATGAGGAAGATACCCAGCATGTAACCAGAAATGAAGAACGCCCACGGCCCTGGATAAGCGATAGGTGGTGCTGGCTTGGGTGCTGGTGTCGGCGATGCCACAGCTGCAGCCGCGACTTCGAGGAGGGTGCTCGGCCAGGACTCGTCGTCCCCACCAAGAAAGTCGCCCACCGACGCCGTTTCACTAGCCATACCCATTTCCACCGCCTGGTCCCACCTTCTCCAGATTTGCTGAACGAGCTTGGATCGCGCGAAGAGTCGTGAGGGGAGAAATGAGAACAAGGTCGTCAGGTTCAGGGTTATGTTGTAGGGCATAACCAGCTGAGGTAGATGTTGTGGCACATCTGCAACTAGATCCATCTTCAGGACTCTAAATATGCCTTTAGGTCCCCTCCTTTGTGTCGAATGTCATATGAGACTGAAAGCCCCTCCTTTGTGGTCGTACGAACCTAGGGCCCTTTGTGCAGTCGGTGCAATTCGGGTTCCAGTTCTACCTGGCCTATACGTATACCTGTGAGTCCTATATGGAAACAGCCAAATTCAAGCTTACCAGGTCTGGCCTCAAGTGTCCTGTGAACGCTTGCGTTATCGAGGACGTCGTCGTGGTTGGGGTCCAAGGGTCGTGGGAACCAGTGCATCATCGATCAGTCGCGTCATGTTCCCGCCCTGAGCCCGCCCCTGGCGCGACCCGACGATATTAATAGGGGTAGTCACGGTCAGAATCCAGAATGTCCTATCTTCAAACCGCTCTGGAAACGTCTTCGGTAACATACTGAGGGCGATTCAAGTAAAATTGTAGGATGTGAACAGATACATCAGTTCTCTTTCCACTCTGTATAGTATCTACTCCAAGAAGGATCGCGCCGCTGAGATCCCGCCCACTCCTTGAAATTATGTGCGGGCGCCCAGAACGTGCTTTGTATGTGATAGTGATAGTCATGAGTTACCTTTGGCTCGACTGCATAGAGACCCAAGTAATCTTCGCAGGGGAAAATAATAATGGCAGTTCCATTGGGACCACCTGTCACCGACACAAGACTAAGAATGCGACCTCGACGAAAGAAAATGATTCACTCACCAATACCTTGTTTCTGTTCCAGACGAATCTGAACATCCCAATCTCTTACCGGCTCAAAATATGGTCGAGAATGCTGAAGGATATCCAACACTGCCCTTGCAGAATCGGTATCACCAAAGGACGCCGAATGAGGACAGTCGTCGGGCTTGTAACTGCGGCGAACGGTGACAATGAAGGTCCCGTTCTTCTTTTCTGGTCGAAAGACACCCCAGAGTAGGTCCTTACAGATGGAGCCAACACTAACGTCCAGATAACGATGCTCAACGTGGGGCAGTGATGGCGTGGCGTAGCTGTTCTTCGAGACGTCGATGCACTGCCGGTGAACTGGACATGAAGAGTGAGGCGTTGTAGAGTCGTTGCGGATGCCTTCACAGTGGGTATTTCAAGAAGAGCGCAAGAAAGAGTTGAGCTGGGAGCTGTCAACGTAACTTCAGTCTGACGCTGCTCGACGACATTATACATAGGGAAACACTCCACTCACCAGCCTCTTCTGCTACGTAGATCTCAGTCAATCCGGTAACCTCCAAAGGCAGGAGCCTCTTGGCGATATCAATCGTCGAGAACGGGGTAGCTAAGGGATATCCATGCAACGTGACACCGCGTCGTCCTTGGAAGGATTGCAACTTGACTTCAGCTCGACGAGCAAGGGAAGAGAATGTAGACTTGAACCCGTCATCCATTGTCGATGAGAACCGGCTTCCTAGAAAACGACTGAGCATCACCTCAACGTCTCGGAGCATCCAAGTCTTAGGCTTTCCGAAAGGCCGATGGAAAATGGACCCTGTCACGAGGGGATACCCAACAATCGAGGCATGGTCGAGCGAGTGGAGGAGTGATTCAAGTTGATCCCTGAGGTCGGACGGCGAGATAACGGGGACACTGTAGTCTTCGACGAGTTTCGACCGGGGCTGGTCTTCTGTGTTGATCTTCAGGCCCCATGCAAGAGCTACCACCCAGGAGGGAATCTCCGCTCTCTTCACGCGAGGGAAGGCTTGGAGGAAGGCGAGGACCTTGGACGAAAGCGAAAGAGACAGAGAAAAAAGCTCCTGGAGAAGGAGTTCCTGTGTTTTCTGGGTGTAGCTACGGGCTTCCTCGAACAGGATCCCGGAGACCCTGAGAACGGCGTTTTCAATGCCCTTGATTCTTCGAGGCGGCAGTCGGCTGGGGTCCGTCCATTCGATCGCCTCCACTGAGGCCAGAGTCGCACTGTCCTGCTTATCAAGTCGAATTGGTTTGAGGACATCGTCGATGGAAGGTAATAACAGGTCGTTGGGGTCACCAGCGAACAGCAGACACCCCACGACAGCGATGTCAAGGGACCACTCGTGCATGACGGCCAACTCCGTAAAGTTCGTCCCGACGAACGCCCCACCCCTGTGGTACTTCGATCCAAGCGAGAATTCCAAGTAGTGACGACGCCATCTGCGGCAAATCATGCGGAGAGGTCCGCGGAAAAGCTGGCGGATAGGGATGAATGTGTAGTTTGAAGAGCTTCTTCGAGTAACGTCCCAGAAGCCGCCGACAACGAACGTGAATATTATCGTTAAAACCTCTGGGGGAAGTGAACTAAGGATTTGAGAGGAGCTTTCCGTAGCGCTGGGGCCGACCTTGACGCGTCGTGATCGTGCTGAGGTCGAGGTTGAATCACTGCCAAAGGAATGATTGAAGGGCTTGATGTGCTTGAGCACCGGAAGCTCGGATGGGTGGTACATTGGCGGTCCCCGTACCACTTCCTCCTGCCAACTGCGACCGTTCTGCTCAAGGTCTGCTCATGAGCAACTCACGACGACTTTATGTGGAACGCGAGCGAGCCGTGGTTGTCGGAGAGAAGGGCTCTGCCGTCTTCGGATCAAACGAGGCGCTTTCTTCTTACCACGAGCGCTCGCTGCAACCACCAAGACGTACTAGCCACTTGGGTGAGGCTCTTCGGAACTGGTCAGACCGACTCAACGGACTAGGTAATTCCCTACATTGACGGCGTGCAAGATATATGTCATAGCTTTCATTAATTAACAAAGAGACTTCTTGAACCAAGATGGCCCGCACTCAACGACGGCGTCGGGGTGTAATCCAGGAACTTCCACGGCTCAAACACCAGAAACAAATCTATCTTCCGCATAGCTCGCGACCAGGAACAACCAGCGGCGTCAAGGATGTCGAGGTTGCCCAAAGGACTTTGGGCGACTCGGTCTATCACCTTGCAAGCGGGGTATCCACTGAGCATCTTTGGAATCTTCCTCAGCTCTATCGGGTATCCTGACGAACTGCAATACTACCTCGGGCAACCAGTCGGCGCGCATATGGAGAACCAACTCCGAGTACGCTTCGAAGTGGACTCACTGCGCGATGCCAGGCCCCCGATGGAGACGACAAGGAAACTGAAGTGCTTGGGCTGGAGATCTATCTCACAGTTGGCGTTTACTAGATTTGACGACCAATTGCTCGACTTATTGCGACCAGAGAGGGCTGATTCTGTCCCAGAGCCTGCGTGGAGGAGTTATATGCGCGCGGGGGGCAAGTTCCCTGGTGTCCTCCGGTGAACATCGGTGGACGCTGGGGTTCGGTGTTTGTCACTATTTGCCAACGACCTCCGTTGGACCGGTGTGGGAACGCCCTGGAGGCCGCTGAACACCTCTCACCTCGAGCGCCGGCCCCCACTGACCTCCACCGTACTCCTCGGTGGTCGCTGGATGCCGCCGACCTCCACTGGAACGTGGGGTCAAGCTCACTGAATCTCGCCGGAAGGGGACTTTTGTTAAATCACATCTTTTCTCTAGTTCTAGCCACGAACATTTGTCTCAGTCTGTATCTTGATCCTTAAAACTTTGCAGGATACCAATTAAGTTTACCTTTATATCGTTGATTGGAATAGCGCTTCTCAGAAGATATGAAGTTGGAACGACACCATTGCGGCCAGAAGAAGGGGCGCGCACAACTAAATAGACGGCCAAGGCTGTGTCTACTCAAAGGTGGCATTCGGAACCCATAAAACTTGTATCTTCACTATTCCTGGGCACGTAGTGCTACAGGGTTAAAGGGGTGAAGGTCAAAAGGCTCTTTTTGGAAATGTCCGATTTCCTCGGGATGATGTCAGCAATGTCTTGGTGGCTGTTGGTGGATGGGGTGGATGTGATGGCACAGAACCTTTTACCTCTTGCGATGTCACCTCATCGTACCATCCACTCCTATAGCGCTAGGGCCAGCAACTCTGGTTATGGGCCCGTAGTAGTACGAGCGCGAGCCCGCCGCTAAACGGGCGCCAGCGAGTGCACTGCGAACAGTGCTTTACCCGATTCAGAAAGCCCAGAAACCGCAACCAGTGCAGTCATTTGTGTGTGTTCTCCGTCAAGAGTTTGGTCCCCGTATGAGTTGAGGGGGGTCCTGTCCTCCGAATGTCTCGTCCGTGGCGGGATGGTCCGATTCTGTCTGTGAGTTGGTGGGTCCTGTTCTCCCGAGTCCCAATGTATGTTGCCGCGCCCCTTGGGACGCGGCGGGGTGGGAGCGTTGTCTACGGTGCCCAGGTCCGCCCGGAGGAGCAATTCCTATTGACATTACAAATACACTTGTAATTATGCCGCTTGGAGGGTACATACATGGTTTATTAAAAGCTCGAAGCGAAGGACCCCTGGCGATTGGTGGGGGTCACTGGATTCCACTGGGGGTGATACCATTAAGCGGGACGAAATCCATCGATCATGGCCCTTCGACCGCTGTCGTTCACGGGGGTCCGCTGGAAATTGCTATGGACATCAACGTTCACTGGACACCGGTGAACTCTGTGCCAGTTCCAACGGGGTTCACCGACCGTCGCTGGAAATTGTGGTGAGTTTTGGTGGAGTTCGGCAGGGGATGCCGGCCGTGGCTGGGCTTGCCCACGCCGCGCTTATTACAGGCGTGGAGTCTCGAAGATGTAGACCTAACCAATGGTATGTAACCAGATCACTCTCTCGGACATACGATTGGGTTTATACTAGGCACTCGCGCTATCCTTTAAACTTTACCAATGATCATTGAGGCCTCTCGGCCGGAAATCTAATCTCTCCATTGACTATCTTCATCTGAAAATGATATATCCCAGAGGATGTTGATCAGAGGATCCTCGAAGGCAACCAGATCATCCGAATCCCGACAGTAGAGCCGGCGGGGATACGACAGCCACTGAAAGTGTTCATCTTCGATGTCAGGGCGAGTCTCGATAAATTCCCCGACCATTCTAAACGTGTCAACCGCAGTCTTGTATACTTCTTGAATCCAGTTTGAACGAGTGTTGTCTAGAGCCTTCTCCTGACGAATGGACCATAGCTTTAGGACGTCTACGTTTCCATGAAGGGGAACTACGAGGGTGTAAGACCGAGGGTCTGTATCGAATTAGCATCAATCGCCCACTAAAGCATTTGGAATACTCACCGCGTGCCCGAAGTTGGGAGGCAATCCTCGCCTCGATACGCAACTGGACATCCCAGCCTGGCATTCCCATGAAGCAAGGGGGGCCTGCATTCAGGATTTCGACGACAGCCTTGATGGTATCGAAGTCGGAGAAACGTTGCGAGTGTGAGCACGGAATGGGCAAGGACTTCCGGAGGTGTCCAATGACAATGATGAACTTGCCATGTTGCTTTTGCGGCTTATACAGTCCCTTGAAGAATTCCCTGCATATGGAAGGAACGCGAAGCGCCAAGTGCTCGATGTTCGGTAGTCCTCTGAAGAGCCTGTTGTGCAGCAAACACACATGGTCGCCGCCAGGAACGAAGTCGTATTTGGACGTCCGAATGGACACATCAACGTGGAGAATCAGTGTACGGAGGGTATTTGCCGAGGACTGGATTAAAGGAATAGAGAGGAGGGGGTATGTCTCGTTTAGGACTGAGTCCGCTTTGAGGATGGATTAGTCTATTAGAGCTTGGAGGTTGCGCAAAGTATGAAAGTCCCTCACCTATCTTGTTTGAAATGCACAGTTCAGTGAGACCACCACGAGGTTCGAAGAACATAATCGCCTCCAAGATTTTTCCAAAATGTCCGAGCTCCTCCCTGTGGTTCGAGCGCCAACCTATGGCTTTCATATGGCTGAAATAAGTGGACGGCGAGTGAAGACGTTTATGCAGCGTCCTGAACATCGACTGGAACTCCAGCTCCCCGAGAATGAGGTTCTTGTAATTGGGATTCGGTTGCCTGAAGTTGTGGATGAGGCCGCCGATAATGAAAGGGTACCCGACAATGCTGATTCCATCCAAATGTGCGAATACAAGTCCGCACTGTTTCGCAAATTCCTGTGCGGAAACTGATTGGAGGTTCAACGATTGTACCAGGTGCGAGGATAGGGGATGAGAGCGGTCATAGGGGAACCCCAACAAAGTCCGCAACATCCAGGTTGGAATCTCGGCGATCTTCAGGGAGGGAAAAGCTGCGAGGAAGGACATGATGTTGGACATCAAGACCAAAGAGAGCGAGGTCATTTCCTCCATCATCAAGCGCCGAACTTGCGCATGATCACCGTGAGCCTGTTCAGTTAATAGCTGCTGGATTCTTCGAAATGACTCGATATTGAGTTCGGGCACCGTGGTGGACGCCGAACGGTTCGTGCTGTGATCCCCCCATTCCACGACTTGTATGGCAGCCAACGCGACAGGATCTCGAATAAGAATCCGAAGCACTCGGTGTTCTTCCGGCGACGAGTGGAAAAGGAGGGCGTTGGGATCGCATTCGAGGAACAGCAGACAGCCCACCACTGCTACGTCAGGGAGCCACTGCCTGAGAGCCACAAGCTCGTCCAGCGTAACGCCAATGAACGCGCCATGCCGGTTACTGCGAAAACAGAGGACAGTTTCGTAGTAAAATGAGCGCCAGCTTCGGCACGTCGTGGCAATTGCCTTCCCCACGGCAAACACACGTCGAATAGGTACGAAGGTGTAGATCGATGATTGGTGAATGAGAGACTGCAGGCAGGGGATCATGGCGTCGAGGAAGATGGCGGCCTTTACTTCTGGTGGAAACGACTCGAGGAGTTTGCGAGATGGGTCACTGCAAGTGGCTTCGAGGGGCCAGCTGTGGCAGCGAGGGTGACTCAAGTTGGCCATGGTCGAGATAGGCTGGGCATGTTTGACTGTATTCGTGGTCGTGGAGTGCGCAGCTCCTTCGCCTCGCACCCAGTGCATATCTAAAGCTGTGGGCTGTAGAGTTTGAGAAGAATCCGACATGGTGGTGGAATAGAGACGGGCTAGGTATTGCAAAAGTCCGGGAACGCGAGTTTTGTCTGCTATTCAGGCGGAGCTTAAACACCCTCAATGGGATTTGTTTCGGCGCTTAATCCGGATCGAGAGCGCTTATGCTGCTGGAACTTAGTAAAGGAGTAAAGGACGTCCCCTTAGGCTTGCTGGGTACATGAACAGTACTTATTGAAGATTTTGAACTCTTATCAATATCACCACTATCCCCAAGTCTGTCTCTATATCCTTCAGATGAAAGAATCCAGATTCCAAGGACACATCATCCATCATGATCGCCTGTGCACAGCGGGTAATCGACGATGGTGTTGTCTCTCGATGAAGAACGGCCAAATGCAAGGAATGTCCCGATTCCTGCACAAGTGGAATCGAACCCGCGGCCTTTCCGTCTACGAACGAAACGCTGAATCGCACAGACCGAGCATGATCGGACGAGACGGCCGGCCAGCCTGAGACACCCATAGTATAGGCGATAATGGCCTCATGGTTATCTCCCTCTTGGACACCTTCACAAGTGTGGAGACAGAGTGATAGTTACAACGGAGAGAAAAAAAAGAGCGTATCATTTCTTTATGTAAATCACCAAACGAACTATGTAGCCACACAGAAAAAAAGTAAGTACTAAGTATTTTAGCAAGTAGTGGTAGTAGTAGAAAGCGACTTGTAGAACCAAATTTAACAGACTTTTTTGGACTTCAAAATGAAAGAATGAAAGAAAGAAAGAAAGAGTGGATGTATGACAGACGATGAGGATGACTGCAGAAAAAAGAAGGAAATGAACCTTGGATTGATACTTGACCGAGACGAGAGAGAGAGAGAGGAAAAAGAAAGAAAGAAGAAAGCATGGGGAAAATAAAAAAAAAGGAGAGGAGAGTAGAGTAGAGAAAACGACTATACTGAAAACGAATAGGTACTTGGTAGGTAGGTAGGGAGAGTAACAGTACGTAAATAAACAGTAACTAGCGAGGGGGATATCTTGTATAAAAAAAGTTCTCGTATGAAGCAGCAGGGGCATCAGCAGCAGCAGCAAATGACGAAACGAGCAAGCACTCCAAATAGATATAAAAAAAAGGAAAAAAGGAGACCAAAAAAAAGTAACGAAAGGGATTACTCCAGAGATAATGTATCAAAAGCAGAAAGAAAAACAAACCAACGTCTAAACAGGCACAACAGAGCCCATCCACAGCACCTCCTAAACCCCCAGATCACCCTCCTTTTACGCCCTCCTCTGCCTCGAGGACCCCGCAGATCCATCAACAGTAGCAGCCGAGGCGGGGGGTAACGGACTATACATCCCTCCCGTAGCAGTAGTAGGCGTCCCAATAGTCGACTTGTGCGACCCAGCCAAATGAATCGCACTCCCCAAAAACACAGAATCAAACGACGGAGTCAACAACGCCGCCGATGGCATTCCTTGTCCCTGATCATACTGACTGGCGGAAGCGGGTGTACCAGAAGGAACAGCAGGGAAAGCATCAAAGATATCTTTGTCGAATAAGGGAGAAGGGAGTGTCGAAGCGACTGAGACGAGCGAGGTGGGGCGGCCGCCGTTCCCAGTGTCCATAGGAGGGTTCAGCGGGTTGTAGCCCAGGTAGTCGGGGGATTTGAGTGGCCCTGGGGACCCGAGGGTCGAGGTTGGACTTGTGCTCCCGTTGGATTCGAGGACAGGTGGAGGGGGCTGAGCGTCGACGGTCCGGGTCCTAGGCAGGGGAGGAGCGTTCGTGCTATCGATCGACGAACGGCCCTTCAATGCACTCTTCAAGCTCTTCATCGAGATCGACCGTCTTGGTTGGCGGTTCTCATACTCCGGACCTGACGGGATAGCAGACAGCGTATCAGGGAGAGGAGGAAGGGTATACACAGAGGGAGCCTTCGAGCTCGCCGAGTCTGAAGTAATCGCTACCACACATCAGCTATGTAAAAAAACCCAAAAGACACAGAAATCGACTCACCAGACGCATTACTCAAAGTACTCCCACTCGACTTTGTCCTCGACCTCGAAAACATCTTGCCAAACGTCGACGTCCTCGACCCACCACCCGACTTCTTGGGGGACAAACTCGGCCAGGACTGCTCCTGAGAATGGTTGACACTAGTCATACCAAAGTCATCCACATCACCATGGGCCACACTGCCATCAGGGGTAATCACAGCAGGGATGGACGAATAAGTGGTATCATCCGAGAAATCCGACGCGATACTCTTGCGGGAAGCAGCACCAGGTCCCCCAATCATCGACTTGACACTCCCCAACCTGCGGAACGTCGAAAACCTCGATTTCGAACCAGCAGACTTGGGCACCGGGGCGAGCGAATCCGCTTGAGGAGTTTGAGGCTGGGGCTGAGGCTGAGGCGGGATATGCGGCGGCGGAGGCGGCAAATTGTGGTGTATCGACATCCTCGGCTTCTCCTCCTCTTCCTCCTTTCCACCAGGACTAGGCAACCTCTCCGGCAACTCGGGCAACCCCGTCTCATCCAACTCAACCTCCACACCCGCAGCCCTCGCACTCGCAACCGACATCTCCTTCTTATGCTGGTACCTCGCCTTGGAAAGCGGGATAAGGAACGTATGTCGCAGTTTCGCCTTCCTAGCAGCCTCATCCTCCTCCTCCTCCTCCTCCTTCGCCTTCTGATCCTCAAACGCCAGCCTCTTCTGCTCCTCAAGCTCAGCACGGGCTTTATCAGCAGCAAGAGCAGCAGCCAACTCCTGCGCCTGCCTCTCCCTTTCCCGCTCCTTCTCCTCCTCTTCCTTCTTCTTGGCAACTTCCGTAGGAAGCTCACCATGCTCCAACGTCGATTCGAGCATGACAGCATTTTGCAGGAGGGATAGCAACTCGGGGTTGCCAGGGCTCTGGAACGGCATCATAGTCATCCGCTTCTGCTTGCGAGGCGTCTGGGGGAGTTCGTGTGGTCCAGCAGGTAGGGCAACCTCAGCTTCGCGAATCTTCTTGTGCACGACGGCCGTGAAGGTCGTAGGTTTCGAAGAAGCAGCAGTCCTAGTAGTGGCACTTCCATTCGCCTTCTTGTTACCACCATCTTGTGGTTTGGAATCCGCTTCAGTAGGAGTGGGGGGATAGTTGATGAGATCGGTTTTGCGAGGAAGCTGGGTCGAGGAGGGAGGCAGGAACATGACGTTTCCTCGGCTCGTAGCGGGGGTGACACGTTCAGCCCACGAGAGCTCAACCATACTGTACGGACGAGGGGACACCGACGACCCAGACGACAAAACCGAGTTGCCGGTCTGAGGCGGCGAAAGGAGGTTCGAATAAGTCGCAGTCGTGGGCGTCGTGTCGTCAGCAACAGCAGGCTTGGAAGCATCGTTGGCAGGTGCACCAGTAGCAGATTGGATCTTGAGAGCCTCCACGTCCAGGGAGAGATCCTTGTTGTTGCGACTAGCCGGTTTCTTAGTTTCGCCAGCTGGAGGTGCTTGAACCTCGGAGTTGGGCGCGAGTTCTTGCAACAGCTCGGAAATGGGGCTGACGACGGCGGTGGGGGTGTCGGGTTCGACGGGCGCGGATGATGGCGGCGAGATTGGAGACTGTGATTCGGTCGAGTCGACTGGCGAGGCAGCGGCAGTGGGCGTCGGGGGCTCGTCGTTCTCCACGACGACTGGAACCGGCGCCGCTCCCGTTGCTGGGGTGGTGTCATCGATAGCCGTCGGTTCCTCAGTGAGAGATCGTCCCTCCTTCTCCCCCCCACCCTCCACCAGACTCTTCGGCTGGCCATTAGGCTCAAACTGGTCCTTGACAGCAGCCGCAATGAACGGCGTCGGCGCACTCCCCTCCTGCACCTTCTCCCCAACAACACCACCCTTCGCCTCAGCCACCTTCTTCGCCCTCTCCACCGCCTCCGCAAACGACGTCGACCTCGGCATGACAGGCGGCCTCGCCGCCGCCGTCATCACCGTCTGAATCGTCGCATTCGCATTCGCCGCCGCCGACCCATCAGGACTCCCCAACGGACTAGGCGACCCCTCGGGCGTGTACACCGTCGAACCAGGCGAATCCGGAAAGTTGAACGTCGGAGAAGTCAAAGGGGTATAATCCGGCCGATCGTCCAAATCCGTGATCACACTCGACATGGACACAGAGCGTCGATAGTCGCGGTCATAATTGAACCCCATCGACGAGCTCGAACGACTCGGTGGTTGGCCCATCCCAATCCCCGTCCCCATCCCCCCACCGGTGCTGTGGCTGGTGACACCGCCGCTGTTGCCTGTATGGTTGGCGCTGACCATCCGCACGGGCTGCGGGATCCTGTTCCCATACAACTCGCCCTTTTTCTGTACGCGGGCTTCAGGAGGCGGGGGCGCACCGAGTCCAAACGTCCCCCGCGGAACAGGAACACCGCCCTTCTTCTCAAACTTTGCAATCTTGTCCCTCAGCGCCCCAACACTGGGACCGCCCGCAGACCCACCGAGGCCAGGCGAAGGCGACGTCGCACGCGAAGGCTTTCCTGCATTCCTTTGTTGTTCGAGTGCTGCAATCCGTTCCTTGAGGTTGGTGACAGGTATCTGGGGTTTCGACCTAGTAGCGTGCCATGTCAGCCGATTTCTCTGGCGCTCCCCGAGTCGACGAGGGTCGGTTGAACTCACATTATTACCAGGATTTATAGAAAAAGCATACGACGTCCTGCGATCGTATAGATTTCAGGACTTGGGTCAAAGGAGCGGGAATTATGGGCGTAGAAAGAGCAGGGCCTGTGGTTGTAGACGCTAGCGGTGATGATCACACAACCCCCCTGCGATTTTGGAAATTCAAGGTCAGCAAGGGCCATCATTTCGGCTCAATTATTCCTTCGCCGCACGGAAACAATGGAAACCGTCATACAAGAAGCTCAAATTCCTGCCTATGTACACTACTGTAATGGTCGTGGCCAATTTTCGTACAAGCTACAAGCCGAAAGGGGGACAAGGCGCATAAACCAGCAAACAAAATCCAGGCCGACAAGATAACCATCTAGACACGATCTATCCGTTACTCCGAAAAACGCCAGCTGGCGAAAACATTGCAGCGGGCTCATCGTTGAGTTGACGGCTTGGCATGAAAACCTGGGTGGCCCGGGGAAGAACAAGTACAAGTAGCAGGGGGTGTCCTACAGATAAAAAAATTACATAAATCTAAACCTCAACAATCAACCGTAAAAGAACATCCACAAACCTGTGCAAAAGTTGGTAGGGTAGCCAAGCAACTATCCGAACCCAAAACATCAATCACTATCCTCTCCAACCACATCTCCTCCCAACCACGGACCAATCCCCTTCGACAACCAATACGACCTCTTCTTATCCTGCTTCTCCCTCTCGACGATGGGATCTCTATCTCCATCCCCTAAACTCTTCCTCCTCTTCGCACCCTGACCCTCCTTCTCCTCACCCTCCTCAAGCTCAACGACACCCTCTTCATCCGAATCGTACAAATCATCATCATCCTCGTCTCCGGAAGTCACATACACCGTATGATAATCGACCTGCTGCTTGCCCGTGCGCTGGCGCTTCCGGGGAGGCTGTCGGATATCATACCGACCCTCCTCCTCTTCTTCGTCGTCTGACCGATGGTGATGATGATACTGGTAGTCGTCTTCCTCCTCGGAATCGATAAAGTTGACGATAGGCTCGGATTTGGAATTGGAAGTCGAACGTTTGGCAGCACCTTGAATTCGGAGTTCTTTCCCGTTCGGTTTCGAGTTTGAATTCGAGTTGTTGTGGGCGGAACTGCCGTTCGACTTCGAGCTTTGCGGTTTCGAAAAGGACATCGACGGCGGTGGCGCTGGGTCGACGTTCAATATCGAGTGCAAAACCCGGCGATCGTACAATTCCTGCACGAGCCTCCTATGATTCAACGTCTACAAAGAGCCACCGTCAGACGCGTCCAGGACCATGCGAATAAGACCATACCTCCTGAGTAATCCCCATAACCGTCGCAAGGATACTCAAATCCTCAGGGTCATGATACCCACGAAGATTCACAGACTGCCCACTCCTCCTCGAATTGATAATCCCAGCTCGCAGATACGCAGTAGCAGTCAGAATACTATGCGCTCCCGCCAATGCCGTCCGAACTTTTTGAAAACCATACGACCCTTTGGATATATCATTCGCTGTCAACAACGCCAAGCATCAGTAACCGCCCATTGGAATCGAGGGAACAGATAGCCTATAGGGACTCACAAGGATCAGCAGGATCTTCAATCGACAACAGCCCCCTCTTCTGATAATCAAACCACCCCCTCTGCCGTTTACTAAAATACGTCCCACCAGCCCTAACCGAAATCCCAACCTCATCATAATTAAAGAAACACCCATACAGCTCAAAAAACTCCATCACCAACACACCCAAATTCTGATCAGGGTCAATCTCCCCTCTCCGAATCTTGGGGTGCATCTGTAAAAAGCTGACGGCCAGACAGACTATGCTGTAGCTGCCCAGGCCGCCGGTGTAGACTTCGTTCATGCTGCGTTGGGCGAGGAAGGCTTTGGTGATGAGGACGAGACTTCGTAGCGCGAGACTTGTTTTGGGGTTACCGTTGGCGTCGAATTCGGGGGTGTTGGAGGTAGGGTTGTGAAGGTGTCGTAGGAAGCCGTTGATAATGTTGCCAGAAACGAGCCCGTTCTCTTGGTTGATACTAATATCGACATTGAAACGACCATGCGTAGTGACGAACTTGACGATAGGAACGCGGGCTTTGGCGATAACCGTGACGCGTGAGGTGATGCCAGCACGTTTGAGTGTATTGGCGAGTGTATGGAGAACGGAGACCTTGTTACTATACGCCATGGATTCTGAAAGGATGACCAAGTCGATATCGCTGAAACAACGTGAGCAAAGGCAGTAGATACAGATGATGGTGCGCACCCCATTGGAAGGTATAGTTTCGTCTCGTAACTCCCGAATGGCAGCACAGACGCGTCGGGAAACTTGCTCTGCACTGTTACAGCGATCTGTTTCACAATCAAGCCGCGAATCTCGTCCTCGACTGGGGTAGGCGATATCCACTTGACAAAGGCTTCCACCTCCTTGTGCATCCTGTATATATTCGTCAGTCAAATGGCCCACATGAAACGAAAAACCACTCACATCTCAGCCACGTTCTTGCAACTCTCCAAATTCAAACCGCGTATCCAGGGAGCTTTGTTGGTTGGACCATAGTCGTAGGCGTGTCTCTTCACATACAAGTCGTCAAAGTCGAATACGAGGCCATACTGAGACGGCTTGGAGTCACGTACTCGGTCTCTTTCCCTATCATCTTCCCTGCGACTCCTCTTCCCTCTATCCCATTCCCTTTCTCTTTCTCTATCCCTGGACCGCGACCTCGACCTCGACCGCGATCGTTTCCGGTTGCGTTCACGCGCTCGTTCGCGCCTACTCAGCTTCCTATCCCTCTCGCCTTCATCTCGCTCCTCGCCATCCTCGCCATCCGTCGCCCGCTCTTTGCCTTTTGATTTCGAAGACCCTTCTGTACCAGTCACCGCCTTCCCTTTCCCTTTCAAATCGCGTGCACCCCTTTCCTCGTCCGCGTCCTCGTCGTCGGAAGAGACAACGCCCAAGGGTATAAAGTCGTCTTCATCCGCGAATGACGACTGGCCATTGGCGACGTCCTTTGTCGATGTCGATGTAGACCCCGAGGCACGAGCTTCACCACTACTTCGTCCTTCTTTCCCGCTGTGCTCCTCCTTCTTTCCATTCCCATTCCCATTCCCATTCCCATTTCCTCCTCTTCCCTCCTCCTCCTTCCCATCCTCAATATTAATCATAACCTTAGGCGTCGACGTCCCACTCGCATTCGCACTGCTCGGTGCAGACCGTTTTCGCTTCCGCTTGTTTTTGCGTTTTTCAGAGCCGCTCGTGTTGGCGTTTCCTGGTGTGTTTTCTGGAGGCGTTGTGGCGGGTGGTGGTGGAGGGTCCATTGGGTTTGGGGTTGGGCGGTTAGGAACGAGGAACGAGGAAGAGGAAGGGAGAGTGCGTATCAGAGACTAGAGTGAAGGTGGCGAAAAGAATACACAAGGCGAGTGCCGAAGGGTGCCGTGTGCTGATTTGATTGCCGGAGTGATCCTTTCTCACCCCTATCTTAACCCCCAAGTTCCGAGGCCGTCAGCTCGGTTGGTTTTGTAACTGTTGTTCATCGTTTCCAGGCTCTACGAAATGTCTACCTGACCACGTAGGGTCCAAAGTCTGATGCGATCTCTCTACCAACCCTCCGTTATCTTCGCAACCAAGGCGTAGCACCCCATGGCCAAACAGTGGGCACCCACAACCCGTTGGGCGGCCACTTCTTCAAAATCAATGCTGTTCCCCCTCTTTCCTCATTACACCCATGTCTCTGAGAGGTACTAGCACCTACGACAGCATGGAAGAACGAATCCGCGGTGCACCAACGCGACTCTACGTCCCCAAGCACGTCAAACCTCTCCCTGCAAACGACTTCACCTTCAAGACCTTGCACAAATCCAAAGGCCGCACAGCACCCACCTTCACCCCAGAACCCACTTCCCAATCCCCCCAAATCCTCGCTTCCTTCCCTCCAGAAATCATCTCATCCATCTTGAAACATCTCATATCATTCAGGAATAACATCCTCACTTCCAACACCCGCAAATTCATCCCCCTTCAACGTTTAGCTGGAGTCCCATTCTCCTCTGTGTGTCAAACATGGCGTCTCAACTACTGGACGTTCATGTTAGGATCCAGGAGTAATCGCGATTCGAGCGCTTACATCGGTTTGACGACAGCCCAGCTTCGCTCCCTGCGCGAGTGGTTCCCCGAGATCGCTCCTGTGGGGTGCCTACTGTTTATCGGCGATCCCAACGATTTTCTCCTAGCCGACCCCAAGGAGAGCCTCGTTCAGAATCCAAGTCTCGACTCCCAGGCTCTCAACGCAGTTGAAGCAGTGGAATGGGCGGAAGTTTGCTCTAGCGAGACCGTTGAATCTCGCGTCCCCCGACTCGAGAAGGAACTACTCGAAGTGGCCGAACGTCTCTCGAAGCAGACAGAGGGGGTCGTAGAGGACACACAGCAACTCATGGTGGACGAAATCATATCCTTGTCAATGGGGCTATGTTCAAAGATCCTCACATATCTCGACCTCTTCCCCGCAGTCAAGGTCGCAGAGATACCGTCCTGGGTTCTCCTCTTCATGTGGGGCATCCCAAGTATCCACACTCGCCCACTGTCGTCCCACCTCGCCGAACTCCTCGGCGTGCCGATCGTCAGCCCGCAAGACCTCGAAGATCAGTTCAAGGAATTAGTGGCTCGGTGGGAGAGGATGAACGTGGTGGGGTACCATCTCTGCACCGCGGGGATATTCCTTCCTTCCACCAACTATGATCATTTGGCTGCGTTCCTTGTCGATAATACGGGAGGCTCGCCAGGGGATGTCATGTACGAACGTATCAGCGCGGCATTCGCTCAGAGGTTCAACGACAGGAGGCTCAGGTACCCTGTTGATGCTATGAAGCATCTTCGGGGCATAGGTTTCCGGTCCAGCTCAACAACGGACCTCTACCACGGGCGTTCTATATTAGAAAAACTCCTCTACATGCTAAACGGGCTTGAAGCACTCTCCGAGGTATGCCTAGTCAACAGCACAGACCGTCGTAAGCCAACTCCTCCCATCCCAATATCGAAACTTTGCTAGAACTGATGAGCGATATTTATGATTAGAGGACGCAATCCACCGAATCTTCACCACCCTCCACGAACTCCCCTTACCCCCAAACTCACAATCCACACTAACCACCCTCATCCTCCACATCAACTTCTCAACACACTTCAAACGCTCCTTCTGCTCCGACCTCAAGTACTTCCCCGACCTCTTCCCCAACTTGCACCACCTCGAAATCACGGTCCCAAGAATCTGCAGAGAGCTCTTCCGAGAGAAGCCGGGAGAGCGGTTGTGTCGCTCTAGGGTAAGGGGAGGGACGTTTTATTTGACGGTACGCCCGAGGCACGCCATGATGGATGAGTGTAATTCGGAGAATGAGATTTATGATCACCGGGCGGGGACGGGGGAACTCGAGATTCTGCATCTTGCTGATGCGCATTATGAGGAGATGAAGGATTGGGATATTCAGATACGGATTGAAGGCGATTACGGGGAGGACTCGGGTGAGTTACGATATTAACCGAACCCAACAGAGGTTCGACTTGTTCTATCTATCTATATGTCTAACCTCTCTCTCCGCTTTGCAGTAAAACCATACCTAATCCTCCTCCCCAACAAACCCTACATCCAAGCCCTAACCATCAACCCCTCCCGCAACCCCGCAAAAACCGAATGGGGATGGGAGCAACGTCTATACCAAACGTCCTTGGCCGAGTTCAAGAAATGGACTCTCGAAGAGATCGATGAATCAGAGTATGCATGTTATGTCTGGTATCGATATCCTTACTGGAGGCCACTCGACTCATACGCCAGTACCACTACCGCCACGGCGGTCGATAGGACTCATTGGAACTGTGGGACCGTGTCGAACTTAACCCCGGCGGCGGACTCGGGTGAGTTGGAATACGTCCAACTCCCACAACCCCCTCGGGACGAATGGGATTCGACGGATTACGGGTCTGATACAGATAATGAGCAGTACGGAGGGGAGCTGGATGGAGATGAGGGTGTGGTATGGGCGGTTGTTGAGCCCACTGTCCCCGAGTCTCCAAATTCGGATGTGGAGGTAGAACTTGATAATCTTTTTTCGTGATACTGCCGACATTGCTTCCAAGCCAGGGGCTGAGATAGTCGACTGTATAATACGTTGATATGCTCTTATTATGTCAATTGAAAGATAAAACAAAAAAAAAACCAAAAAAAAAAAAACCGGAGACGCTGTTTTGCACTCCTCAGGGATAGGCCTCAGTAAAAACGCTCAGTCAGGTTTGCACGAATTCAGTCATGATTTGGTCGGGGAGCAGTCAATTTGTACCGGCAAAGTCAAAGTCCAGTCAAATCAAGGCATTCATCAATCTTCATGCCAGCAGGGCAACTCTCCCAGGCACTCTTGTCTCCTTTCCACCACCTGCACCCTCTTCCCTTCGACTTCTTTATTTAATATTTGGCTCCACTACACTCTCTTCAAGGTGAGCTTACATAGATTGATCAAGCCTCGATGCTCGCATAAAATTCTAGAATAATATCGCTCTCTGGACCCCTCTACTTGTATCCGTGGCAACGTCGTTCACTGTCTGTCGAACAACGAGTGTGTGGTTTTTCCTTCCTTTCTACATCGATAAGCGCTGACATGTAAGCGCCCATCGGCAATGCGCGTCTTTCAAGCGGAGCTTCAAAAGCAGCCTCGCACAGCGCGCATGGCAGATCCAGATATTCAACCAGACGACGACCTTCCATAACGTCGTTATCCCATCCAGTCGCAGCACTTGCGTCTTCTTTTGCGATGGCCAGTACCTCAGATCCCCTCTGGCGAAGGGGTAGAACGACCAACACCCCAGATCTTCTCTGGCAAAGGGGCAGACTCGTCGAACAACATCGGCTCAAACACACCCTCTCGATTTCTACCATAGGCAGACCAGACACGCCAAGTTATTCAGCAGTTCATCGCGAAGCGACGGGCGCATCCAGGGACCTATTATCCTCTCTTCCACCCGAAACTTTAACACAGATCTTCCTTTCAGTGGTGTCCCCTCGCCTACTCCATTCCATCCAGCACTCCTCGACTTACACATTCATCCCAGTCGGACAGTTGGTCGCTGCGGGACAGCGAATTGCTCCAACATGTCGAGCCTGGCGCTCGATTTACTACACCTCTTTGCTTGGATTTCGAAGTAATCGACATGGCGCGTATCTCCGGGTCACCATCGACGAGCTCCTCACTCTTCGACAGTGGTTTCCCGGCATCGAAATAGCGGGGTGTTTACTGCTCTCAGAAACGGATCCAAACGAGCTCCTGATGGCTTTGGTCGACGATCATTGCGTGATACGCCTGTTGAAAAAGGACCCAGTAGCGCTGGATGCAGTGGAGATAGTGGAATGGGAGGACCACGAAACGCACGACACGGGGACGGGTTTAGCCGCCGGTCTTGACCTCGAAGCGTTCCGAAGGACTCAAGATCTCTTAAGCACCGAAGTTCAAGTTGAAGGAAACCGCGAAGCATTGCGACGGTTGATGATGGAAGAAATCATCTCGCTTTCCTTCACCTTGATCTCTAAGATCATTGAATTCCTCTCAACATTCCCGTCCCTGAAGATCGCCGAAATTCCGCACTAGCTTTTGCGTCCCCTATCGGCATGCCAGTGCCGACACTACTTTCCAGAGTCCTCGCACCTTGTGCAGTCCTTGAACTTGCCAGCTGTCTCACCGGCCGATGCCTAGCGACAAGGTGTGATCCTGTTCAACAGGCTAGACGGTATCAGTGTCGTCGGTTACCCGTCCATTGTTGAAGGGTTGATATCGACATTCGCGCAGCCCCATCCCAACCACAAGAATCTCGTTGTATCTGACCTGGAGTTCCTATCGAGATTCAGGACCCTCTACAAACCATCTTTCCCACCAGACGAGTACTTCCGTTCTCTCAAAAGTATCGGATGGTTCTCCAACGGCCGAAGAGAACTCGCGCACTACGGTCAACTGTTGGAACAGACCCTCTTCTTCTTGGAAGGCAAGAGCGGATTGACTGAGTTATATATCTCCAATACGTCCTGTGAGAGTTTAATCATGTTTAGTTCCTTTTGGAACTTGCGCTAATAAGTCCATTCTGTTTACTAGACGACTCTGTCATGGACGAATGGTATCCTTTATTTTCCACTCCCCTCATCCAATCGTCTTCAAGTACCCTCCGCAAGCTAGTCCTCCACGTCACCCCAACTCTCCGATACCACGTTGTTTCCCGAAACTTTAGAGAAGACGGATTCCATCTATGCCCAGAGGCATCCAGCTCACTATTCCAATCCCTCCCCAGTATCGAATATCTCGAAATTCGTGTACCCTGGATTTGCACAGACTTTTTCAAGAAGCCGTTCAGCCCTCCCAAACATCAACGCGGTGGAACATTCGTCGTCATAGTCCAGCCTGGCAGTTCACAACCTATAGCTTGTCCCTCGAAGGGGTGGTTCTACAGATTCAATTCTATTGGAGCAGTAAATGGTATAATGGATGCAGCTCGAGGGTGCTTCGCGGACCTGCACGGATGGGATGTCCAAATTCGTCTTACAGCGGATATCCTAACTCAATTTCAAGCCCATGGTATGTGACGAGTGAACTACGAGACTGCCGATTACCGAAACCTTGGCTTACCATCGACCCATAGACGGCCCACAGATCTACACCATCGCAGTCCCAGTCCACGACGACGCCAAAATGCTCAAGCTATATGTTGCGCGAAAGCACGTGGTCAGCGAGGGCCGCTCGAAGTGGGTCCAGGAGACCTACGAAACGCCAATGGAGACTTTTCGCAGCTTGACGAGGAGGGATCACAGGATGCAGCTGCTGCGGTGGTTGGCATACCCTGCGTGGAGTCGAAGCGGAGGATGGAATACGACATTGGGAGAGGACATGGGAGTGCCTCGTACAGCTATTTTTGAGGACGATCCATACTTCATCCTCCCCGATTCGGATGTCGATGGTTCTACGGGTCTCGCGACTTGAATATTTACCGCCGGTACATAATCGTTTACTTTGATCCTTTAGAAAGGTAGAATTTATGGCCCATCATTCCTCTCACTGCCTTGCCTTTGCGCCCATCTTTCGTTGTATGAGGTTGAACAAGATCAATTTAGACTTCTTGCACTGCAGGTATTCCGGATAGATCTTTTCCGTGATACGGATAGCCAACTTCCTACCAACGCACAATGTGAATCGGTCTGAGTAAGAGTACTTACGCCATGAAACACCTTCAAGGTTAACTACCACTACAGCAGAGCCTGTTCGAACCATGATCCGTGGATACCGCCGCGTACGGGCGTCGACCGGGTCGAATCGGGCGCTCGATGTTTCAAAGGTCGTATATAAGAGCGCTACCCAGATGATTAGAAGAGGACATAGATCATCTACTCACCTACAACATATCTCACTATTTTCCGATGTTGAGGACGACCGTACTACGGACCGCTAGTAATACCCTGCAGTCGCGTCAGCCCTTCTCGGCAACTCGGACGCTACCCCGCGTCACCCCTATTCTTGGCAACAGGACTATGCACTCGTCGAGCTGTGCTCGTGCCTCCATCAAGGCGGGCGCTACTACCAAGCCTTCAGGTGAGCGTTATCCCTGTCCCATTAACTCCAGTTGACTAAGTTCAAAAAACTATTCGCAGATGGCACTGCAACTTCTAAAGAAACTTCCCAAGGCCGAAAGAGCCCCGGATCCCCACTGACTACCGAGAGCGCCGTTAGCACAGTGCCAACGATGGTCCGGGGAGACTGGGTCCTCTTCCACCCTGTATACTCACCAGCAGAGCTCAAAGCTGTCGAGGTTCGTTCCTACTTGTATCGTCCCTTGTTCCTAAGTTCATGGTCGACATAACCATCTCGTGTTTACTAGGTCCTGCACCAAGAACCCAAGACCGTGGCGGATAAAGCAGCCAAAGCCCTCGTAATTATTTCTCGAAAGCTTTTCGATGTCTTCTCGCTGTACAAGGCCAAGCCGCTCCCTCCGAATTACAAGGAACTTTCTGTGCAATACTTGAGGGATAATGGGTACATTTTGGATGAGAAGGGGTGGCTTCGGGTGCGTCTCAAGGGTTTTACCAGCTCTCCATGGCGTTGCAAGCAAATTTATTAACTTTGAATTGATGGCAGCGTATCTTGTTTTTGGAGACCATTGCCGGCGTACCGGGTATGGTGGCTGCTACCATTCGACATCTTCAAAGCCTGCGACTCATGGTCAGTAGTGAGTTTTGTGTACCTCTTATTTCGTTTCTGACTTCGTTCATTCCAGCGTCGTGATAATGGATGGTATGGGCTTAATCAGCGTTTACGAGGGATGGTCGGAGTACTAAATGCTTGCTTTCATAGGATCCATACGTGCCTCGAAGAGGCAGAGAATGAACGGATGCATCTAATGTGAGCCCCATACTTCGTAAATATTCCGCCAGATTTGGGAGATTGACAGATTTGGGCTGGTGCAGGACTTTCATGACACTTCGCCGACCCTCTCTACCCTTCCGAGCAATCATCTTAGCTGCACAGGGCGTCTTCTATAACCTTTTCTGTAAGTTCTGGAGCAATTCTAGATATAAACATGTGACTGACTAGACTTGTCTATGATAGTCCTATCGTACATCATCTCTCCCAAGACCTGCCACCGCTTCGTCGGCTACCTCGAAGAAGAGGCAGTCTACACCTAGTATGTCCTATCTCATCCCCCATCTAGCCACACCACCTAACATCCACTTCTCACCAGCACCAAATGCATAAACGAACTCGAAGCCGGCCTCATACCCGAATGGACCTCCAAGCCCGCCCCCGAAATCTCAATCGACTACTGGCGCCTATCTCCTGACGCCAAAATGCTCGACCTCCTCTACGCTGTGCGGTCAGACGAGACGACACATCGGTTCGTCAACCATAGCCTTGCGAATCTCAATCCGGAGACAGATGTCAATCCTTTTGCGCTGCGCGAACCGGATATGCATACGAAGGGGAAGAAGATATCGTAAGTTCCATTGGAATTGCTAACGTTGAGGTGTTTGGGAACTAATGCGCAATCGACAATGTATAGGTTCGAAAGGGATGAAGCAGAGGCATATGTCAAGAACTCGCATGACTTGATTGAGAAGAAATAGATTACGAGTAGACCTTCAAGTTCACACTTCCAGTACCAGACTCCGTGTTAGTCTACCACGCCCACAAATTCCTTAATTCCTTTCCTGTACGCGAGTATCCCATGAATAATCCAACCACCGCATCCCTACCATCTTGGATTCACCGTATGCAGCCAGAGCGTCATCAAGCCATTCGCCGTACTCCCTTCTCGAGGCGTAGTACACGATCTGGTCCCACCGCCTCGTCCTAGTGGAGTTGGCCGCCCTCTCCGCCAGTTCTGCCCTTTCCAACCTAATCATTGAGATCGTCTCCGTAAAAGGGGAGATCACGACTATATGTCTGGGGGGCATGGCTAGAATTTCAAACACAAAACACGGCGTTAGCGGCATGTTAAAAGGGCTCTCAAATGGAATGCACTTGGAAGTATGTATACACTCACAGTTTTCCAGTCCAGATGGCCCATTGGAACTTCGATTCCCGGAAGCAGTTTCTCTCGTCCGAATCCTGAACTCGACATCCCAGTCATCCATTTCCCTGAAATGGGGTTCCGACAATTTAACTAAACCCGGGACCACGCGAGCCTCCATCGTCCTCAAAACCTTCCCTACCTCCCCACCCGAATCCGCCTCGCCTTCGCTGACCTCAAGCGCTCTCGGACAAGTTTGGCCCCTCGCCGATGACCGACACACCGTCACAATAAACGTCCCATTGCGTTTCTTTGGTCGACAAGGAGGTCCACCAAAAAGCGAAGTGCAGATCTCGGGAACGGTGACGTCGATGTACTCGATGTTAGGAAGCAGCTCATCAAAGCGGCGGAGGAGCATGCAGTGATGACGGGTGCGGCCATTGCTCGCCTGTTTTTGGCGATTGCTTTCGAGAGGGGTGTTTTCCCCGTACTCGTCGAATCGAAGGTCGAGGATGAGGCGTTTGAGTGTCGTCGCGGAGCTGTCGATAATCGGGATGGAGAGAAACGGAGATGGAACGAGGCCGTAGTCCGAAACTGGAGGCGACGATGAGTACTAGTTCCCATGGGGGAGAGTAAGGAAAGGGAGCCACGACATACCATTTGCAGCGTAGATTTCTTCGAATACCAAACCGTCGGACTCGGATGGAGCCATTTTCATCCCCAGCAGTTCGTGGAGGACGCTGTCGAACCCCACCGTCTCGAACTGACAGTTCGACCTCCATCCCAAACCCTTCAAAGTCTTCAACACCGATGGACATACCATCCCTTCTACTAAATGCTTGAAACGCTCCCGAAGGAGGCTCTCAATGGCCCATCCAACACCGTGGCCAAAGCATGTCTTGAATTCTGGAGATGGGACGGTTTCACGGAGGAAGATACCGAGGATACTGAAGGGATAGCCGACGATGTTGACGTAGTCCAATCTTCGGAGTAAAGCGGATAACTGCGAAGAAAGCGTGTCTGGGAGGACATATCCGCCAACGAGGTCGGTAAGGTGACGATCAACGGCGACCGAAGTGTCCGAGGAGACCGGAAAAGTCGTCGTTGGTTGGTTATGGGTCACGGAAGTGTAGCCCAGCGCAAGAAGCCAAGCTGGAAGTTCCAACCTTTTAAGGTTGGTAAACTCTGCCAAAGCTCCCAGAAGCCGAGAACAATATGCAAACGCGAAGGAGACGAGCTCTTCTGCGAGGAAGGATCGACGCAGTGCCCAGATGTGATCATCTTGTTCTAAATCTTCCTGAGGATCGTCATCCTCGTCCTCTTCCTCCCCCTCAGTGCTGGCTACTCCCGCATTACCGTTTGATTCTTCCACCTTCGCCACCTCGGATGTATCTTTGCACGCGCCGCGGCAGATGTCGAGTACGGGTTGCTCGATGTTAGGTGGTGGCCCTGCAGGAGAGGTGGTTGTACCGGGTTCTGACCACTCTATGGCTACTACAGAGGACAAAATCTCCGGGTCGCTTGGAAAGAGCTGGTGAAAGGAGATGTCGGGGACCTGGTCTGTGCCATGGCTGCCAATGGTCGAGAGGGGTTGATTGGGATCCCCCAGCAGAAGCAAGGCCCCTTCGATCTTGAAATCGGGATGCCATTCTCGTACTACAGCAGCTTCTTCAACGGTGCAACCGATGTAGTCCACGCCGACCTGCTTCCGGATCGAGGGGGAGCATAAGAGGATTTCCAGATACAGTCGGCGCCAATTTTGACACAGGGATGAGAGTGGGTGACCAAAGACGTGTCGAATCGAGACAAAGGTGTAGGTGTAAGAATGGACCAAAACGTCGTACTTGAGCCATTCTTCAAGGACGTCGAGGATGATGTCGGTCGCGATTTCGGTGGGAAGGGCGTCAAATGCGGTCGGTGGTTTGGTCCATTGGCCACCACCTGTCATCTGAGGCACCTTGCGTCGAACGGTGGTCGGTTTCAGGTGTTTGAGACGCGATAGCTCCCATATGATACCTCGTCGCCATTGTCTGGTGCGCGCCATGGTCGTGGGGATTGGGAACGCCTGCACCACACCGATATCATCGGTTTCTTATAAGTGGGCCCGGTTTACAGGGTCATAAGGGCAACTTCCACGGTGCTGGTGTGACTCTGGTAGTAATAATCAGTGATTTGCGGGCCATGTGAAGACTGTATCTGAATGACAGGAACGAGACCAACGTAAAGAGTAGATTCGGGCGAAGCCGTGCAATCTGGCTGGCTTTCAAAATGGCACGCTGCCGGGATTGCCGATCGATGTTTGTTCAACTCGAAAGTGCCAAACAAAGAAGTGTCTTTGTGGTGACTGTCGTTCGTGTTCAAAACGACCAAGTAAGTGACATCCAGAAAAACTTGTTGAATGAGTTTGTCTAATGCTCTCATAGATTATGAATGATTTTCCCCTTGTCGCTGGAGGGTAGAGGTTTTGCATGACAGGCCGTGAAACCCGAAAGCTGTGACCGCTACAATGGCGCCGTAATAGTTCAAGGAGATTAATTACTCCTGGCTACAGCCATGCAATGGACTGGCATCCACATTGCTGGCGCTGAAATGTCGAAGGTGGTTAAGGCCGTTGGACGGACACCTTTCCCACCAACCCTTACACCGACTCCATGGACACGACGCCAGCGAATGGACCTAGTTGTTCTCTTGAGGATAGCAAGGACGTCCACATTGATGTAAACGAACAGGGTGAAGACGAGAAGGGATATTCGCCGAATGATGAATCTCGCGGGGCAAAGGGACCTGGCTTTCCATGGGAGGTGAGCGAAGCTGTTGCGCATTCTCTGTATTCCATTGGGCTAACATGGATAGAAAGGTAGGCAAGCGATGGTCATGCGAAGATCCTCTCCGTTTTCCTATTGTCAGCGAAGGTCAGACGTTAAAAGAATGTCGCGAAATTGTGGAAGTTCTCGACAACGGAAAGTGTGAAGCTTGGAAGGACGAGATTCAGAATCTCTTGATCTTCGTGCGTCTGAAGCTTTAAAGGAAAGCGTCGAGTGGTTGTTCATTCCTGGATAATTAGGCTGGTTTGTTCTCCGCCATCGTCACCTCTTTCAGTGTCGAAGTAGCTGGCTCGTTGGAAGATTCACCTGAAGATGTCACCATTCAGCTCCTCACCCAGCTACTCGCTGTCCAGCTGAACTCGACAGCCAACCCCACTGGTATGACGGTTCCAGAGGTCCCTTCTTTTGCACCACCACCCAATGCAACACGTGTCAACATCCTCTGGACGGTCAGTTTGACCCTCAGCTTGGCCGTGACCACAGTCGCGATTCTGTGCCTCCAATGGATACGCGAATACCAACGTCAAGACCCCGGTCGTTCTCACAAAGACACACTAGCCAGTCGACACGTCCGAGACCGGTCATTTGCCGCCTGGAAAGTCCCTTTCATCATCTCAATCCTCCCCATAATCCTACTTGTCTCTCTCGCGCTTTTCCTAGTCGGTCTGGTGGACTATTTCCACGCGATGAGTCCCTTGACGGCATGGATTCTCGTTAGCGTCGTCGGACCCACCCTCCTCGTGGTCGTTGCAACAACCGTCCTCCCGGGCCTGTATGATTTCTGGGTCATCAACGGATGGCAGAACCGATGGCGCACGCCGTCCGACCTGTTCCCTTCGTATTGTGCCTACAAGTCACCTCAGGCTTGGGCATTTACGATGTCCTGTAGCACCCTCGTCATCGCCTGGTCGAACTTCAAGGATCTATTACGTCCTGCTTGGAAACGCCGACCACCACCGAACAGTCTCACCAAAGTCCTCAACCTCCCGAACTGGATTGCGTATGATGGGTGGTGGAGGGGTCATTCGAAGGACGATTACGTTTCGAGCATCTTCTCGCTCGCACAAGAACTCAAAGGGACAGAAAGCTCGATCCCTCATGGCGTATACGACTGCCTACGCGACATGCAAACCGCTGACGAACTACGGAAAGCCAGTAAAGCGATCCTTGGTCCAGAGAACGTACCCTCGCCCAAGTTCTTCGACGAGAATCGGGTCCCGGTTTTAAAGGATCTCGTCATGTTCAATGTCGGGCAGGAATTGTTCGTGTCCCAGGGACTGAAGCACGATCTTCAAGACTGGCAGCATCTCCATCGGCTGGAGCTCTTCACCAGGTTAAGCCAGAGTCTGGGTTCGATCCGAGAGGGAAGTTACACCTATGGGAATCTGGAGCCCATCTTGACGATCGAATGTCCTCCGCTATTCAACGACGTCGACATATCGAAGGAGAAACTTCCTTCTCTTCCTTCTGGTAAGTCCCATGCCCTTTGATCTCCCTCTTTACTGACATGTCTGCAGGTCTTCGAATTGAACTGTTCAAATGTTTCCAAGATCGACTGAACGAGACACAGAGTACCCACCCCCAAGGCTGGGCTTGGCCCGTCGTCACTCCGAATGTCTTCAACTCAATGCTCGCCCTTCTTTCCACCTTCGTTCTCGATCCCGTTGAAGATGTCGATGCATCCGATGAAGAAGGGAAGGCGGCCTTGGTCCAGTCGACAGCAGCAACCAGGTGGCCGCAAACGTTTTCCATGGTTGACGCTGGCTTCAGATCCTTAGCCAACCACCCACAATCATGCGACTTGTTCATCAACTGTCTTGCACCCTGGATGAACAAGTACCATAAAGACGCATTCCGTCATAATAAAACCTTGCTTGTAGAGTCGAATGGAGTCTGGGAGTTTCTCGATGCGGTGTACTCGGTTGGAATCGAGGACAGGACTTGGGAGCAGGCGAGGTTATGGGAGAATTTCGAACTCGAGATTGGGTTTAAGGTGATGTCACCGTGTAAGTCAACTTTACTCAACATTTTATTCGCGTACCCCCTTGCTGATATGACGTCTCTTCTAGCTCTCCGTATCCAACTCCTCGACGACTACACATCCGCGCTCGCAACCTATCCAAATCCCGAACTCGGCACTGGCACCCTCCCCAACCGCATCCTCGAAATCGCGCTCACTTTCATCCTCGACGAGCACAGTCCCTCGACGGACCGCATATTGCTACGTAACAAGATTGACGGGGCGTTCCACCTCCTTGTGAGCTTCCAACGGTACCTGGACCTCCAAGGATTGGACTGGCGATTCTGCAGGCAGGGGCTCCTCCCGTGGACAGATCCGGCTAATGAAGAAATGTTCCTTGCGAATAGGGATTTACTTGATGGCGGGGATGCGACGGGATTCCTGGACTTCTTGGAGATCTTGCCTCGGAAGTGGGACTCCGAGATGTATTACAACGAGCAGTGGAAGAGGCTGGGTGGGTTGCTTGGTGAGTCTGAGGACGATCGCGAGTCGCTGGAGATTTCGGACCACGAGGGGGACATGTAATTGTTCTAATTCTGACAGCATTGTGCGTGTATGATCTCTGTATGGATGCGAGCGAGTCAATCGAGTTCCCGTGGGTAGGGTGAGGCTATGGTTAATTCCAGTTCTCAGGAGCTACGTGCGATTTGCCCTACGACTCCAGGCTAAGGGGATTGATGGGAAAGCGGAGGATGGGGCTGGGTAGAAAGCAATCCTTCTGGCGCTTGGAAGTGATATAGGCGTCCGTCCCTCCTTTACTATTTCGCTAGTAGAACAAGGCCAGCAGGCGATGCCTCGGAATTGATGGTGTGTGACAGATTGGCGCTGAAGCGCCCACAAGCTGCACTGCTGTGGCTCCCCTTCTCGGGTTCTCCACCACAGCCTTTGAACTTGAACAGCCAGATAAATGATCATCGGATGATCGTTTACTTTCACTAGTGCAACTAGGTCTTACTTTTGGAAATTTTCGATCTTCAACGTTCGCTACCATCATCGGAAACTGGAGAGATTTTATTTCATCTCTTCCTCTCTATCCAGCATCAGCTGCCCGTTTTGAGCACCCAGCCACCAGATGGATAGGCTTAACAGGAACCTCGACCACTTGTCGGGACCTCAGATGCCCACACGTCTTCTTCCACGACTTCGACTATGGTGACAGCCAATGCTGACGCTTTGCAAGAGGCAGACCACGTCTTTTCTGCTCAGTGGAACGTGGTAAGTCGGGCGCTCATCCGACATATGCTGTGGTGCTGAAAGGCCGTTCGTCACAGAGGGTTTTTGGTGGGTAACATATCCCTTACGCTTCAAGATTGGGGGCTGATCTATTCGTGATCAGTCGCTGGCGCAACCTTTCTGGTGTGTATCCGTTGTTGGAGACTCGTACTCGTGCTACCTCCCCATCATGCTCACTCAAAGCTAAAGCTGGCAGAGTACATCCAAACCCTGGAGCTAGAAGTACGTCGACCTTCACTCTGGAGGCGGCCACGCACAACGCTCACCACTGACGGACCTTCACGTCCCAGGTTTCACTGGTTTGGCCTAGTCCATGGAATCACGTCAAGATCGTTTATTTTCTCAATCGCTTGGTGCCTTTCATGATTATCATATGCGGAATCTACTGTGAGTTCATTCCAATTCTCCTTGCATTCGCGGTTAGTGGGCTCAACTCTCACCTACTGAATAGATAACTTGTCGACGCATCTCATGTCTAATTTGGTGAGATCCCGGGATAGCTTATAGTACCTGTACTAGGTGGATCATTCTAATCTGAGGCTACCTGTCGTCAGGAGTGCAGGGCGCTATTTTCTATCGGATGTTGTGAGTATCTGTGGATCAAAGATGCGGCTACTCTCTGACTGGTATAAAGGGGGTGTTGCTTTATCCATCTTGATTTCAGAATGTGAGCCATATCCGTCGGGTTCCGAGCGCCAACCGCCTGATAATCGGCTACCCCATAGTAATATTGTACTTCCGGGTTTACGCCCTCTCTGGAAGAGGGCGGGTTATCAAGCATTTCATTGTGATCAACGGCGTTGTGAGTACAGTCTTTTCTCTATGAATAAACCTGCAACTGCTCATCGCAATCGCTGGGTAACCGCGTATGTAGCTCATCTGGGCGTCGTCGTTGGCGTTAGTCGGGAAGTACCTGGAGCTAGGAACATGTGAGGATTTCGTTTGCCATTGTGATTGCATCTATCTAACTCTTAACTCTGGCAGGGACTACGTACGAGTCTAACAGCCGCATCCTGGGATGCACGACAAGTTCCACTTCTGCCAATCACTCTCAATTGATTATGATTAGCTATGCCATACTCCTATACAGCGGGATCGGTAAGTTGTAAACTCTTTCATTTGCGTAGAAGTACTCACTTGGTGCAGCCATGATGGTTCTGTCCGTCTACTACGGCCTTCGCGGCTATTGGCGATCCAAACACAGTCCCCTGGTTAAAGTTTTCTACCGAGACGGCACGTTTTACTTTATCGCTTTGACAGGTAACCGTTTTCTGGTATATTGGACATCTCGACCTAACTAACGATGAACAACAGTAATGGCCACTTTAAACGGGGTCGCAGCAATCCTTCTTCCAGTGAGTTCACTTTGAATGTGATTCCCCATCAAATTAGACGCTCATCCGGCACTTCTTCAGTGGCAGTATCGGTTCTTAATGGCAACGTATGTCTATTCACCAGTTCCAGATACGATGCTTGCTGACGATGACACGAAGTCCCCAAGTCGTTATACATACCACTTTGTCGACTCGGATGACTTTACATCTGAGAGAGGCAGGGCAAATCGGCATTATCGGGTTCAGTGAGCCCAGCCTAGACTCGATGACATTTCGAACCTGAGAGCCCGTCTCTCGTCGTTGGCGTCAACATGTACCTCTCTGTCACTTAAATGCTTTATGGAGTTGTGATCGATTCCTTTATGTTTTTGTGTTTTGTCGGTGCGCATGCGAGGCTAGCACCGGTTATAGCTTCGTCGGTCCCGTTTCCGCCTAGGCATCCTCAGAAGCCTTCGAAGCCTATATCCCGTCCTGGAACGTTGAAGTCAGCGGGGGCCTTGTCATGGTGTCACGCCAGAAGCTGATGATTACCACCGGGACTAGTCTGTGGAGAAAACCTCGTTCCGACGAAAGCATGGGAAGCGTTGGTGCACAGGCCTGCCCCGGGCGCTAAATCTCAACGCAGAGATAACGACGAAAACATGTACAAGGTAGAGATCGACGTGGGCAGCGATTCGTTTAAGCTACTAACATGTTTGTAAGCTCTAAGAACGACCATCTTTTGTTGGAATTGTATACGTTCATACTCAGGCCGATTCTGCGGGTAATCCACGATAGCCGGATGGGCGCTCCGAACTGACGGGACCATGTCCACTGGTCAGGCCATTTCTCCCGACACCAAACGATGGATGACTGGGCTAAGGCAAAGACACTAAGCACACGAAGGCATCGAGAATAATATTTGCTTCCATTTCCCCAGCTCCACAACGGATACGTTGCTGTAGACTGCAAACCAGAACGCAGCCATTGACTGGATTCCATCGATGTCCGTTAGATTCGGAGCGGGTAGCACAGCCACGTACAGGCGTGGTTTTTGATCTTGCTCGAGCTCATGACCACTTGTCACTTGACGACGGCTGCGAAAACTTGGAGATAAGCAGTTCCAGGACACCGACGACAGTACGCGACAGTATGATATTGACAGACAGCTTTCGAGTTCAGTCTCTATCGGCACTGAGGAACCTGGCTTCCTTGGCACTAGACCCAGCATTCAGTTTAGCGCCCGTTGCATCAGAGAAGCCCATATCCATTCCGTCAATGCTCCAACGATTTTCCCAGTGATTTTCGCGTTCCGGGAGCGGGTCCACTCAAAAGCTACTGGTGCCGTCGGACCCACACGACCAAAGATGGAGCGAAAATGGTTGGCCAGACCTTATGCACTTCCTTCGTAGCAACCCTACTGGCTACCTCCCCCCGCACCTTGACAGATAACGACTGGGACGATGTCGAAGCCCTCGCTTGCTACGCTCTCAGAGTACCGCTGGGCCATTGCGGCCGTGGCTCTTGTCGGTACCCTTGCTCTCAAGAGTACTTTGAACAAGAGAAAGCGCAATCCTCGTGGGTTGCCACCTCCACCTGGTCCCAAAGGCTTGCCTCTCCTCGATAACCTTCTTCAAATACCGCAAGAAAACGCCTGGAAGGTCTACAATGAGTGGAGGAAGGAGTACGGTATGTACTTGAATACATCTGGGCAAAAACCACTCTGAATACCTGAATACGATGCAACAGGTGATATCATCTACCTCGAGGCCCTGGGTCAGCCCATCATGATCCTGAACTCACTAGAAGACTGTGTTGCATTATTCGACAAGAGGGCTACCAACTACTCTGACAGAGCTGAGATCCCAGCTGTCGATATGTGCGTTCTTGGATGACAACATGTTCTCGCCTTCGCCTTACACATTCGTATCAGGATGTCCTTAACCTGGAGTTTCGCCCTGATGAGCTACGGCGCCAGCTGGAGAAGCCACAGGCGTGCATTCCACCAATTCCTCAACCACACCCAAGTCCCGCAATACCGACCGGTCCTGGAACAAGAAACACGCATGTTCCTTCAAAGATTGCTGCAAGACCCCAAAGAGTTCATGGAAGATATTCGATAGTGAGTCCTCTCAGCTTCCACACATACCGGCTTCTCTAAGGTCCAAATCCCTCTTTGAAGCCTCTTTGGTTCGATCATCATGCGCATCTCATACGGTGTCTCCGACTTCAACTACAACAAATCACTCATCATCGACGGCGAGAACCTCATCGAAGGCTTTGCAGAACTCGTCGTTCCCGGACGTCTCCTAGTCAACAACTTCCCCGCCTTGCGACACGTACCCGATTGGTTCCCCGGTACTGGTTGGAAGAGAGAGTTGGCCAGGCTCAGGCAACTCAGCAAGCGGGTATTGAACAAGCCGTTTGATGACGCGAAGGAGAGGATGGCGAGTACCGACTCTTTCTTCTATTAGGGCTCATACTGAACTCGCTTCCAGAAGGACGGCTCAGACAAGGAAGAATATCCCAGCATCGCCAAAGGCCTCCTCGACAAAATCCGCACTAGCAATCTATCGCCCGCAGAGGCTCTAGAGCAAGAAACAATCGGCAGAAACACTGCAGCCCTCTCATATATCGGTACGCCCATGCCCCCTAAAATCCTAGGCGACAATTCTTACCAAACATATCCTAGCTGGCGCCGACACTGTAAGTCAAACCCGTGCCCCGCATCGCCCGCACCCTCCTGTTGTACCCTCCATTCCTACATCAAAACACTCACCTTTCCCCCAATCTATAGTCCGTAAGCTCAGCCCAAGCCCTCTTCTTCGCCCTCGTCACCCACCCGCACGTCCAAGCCCGCGCACAAGCCGAACTCGAATCCGTCATCGGCAAAGACCGCCTTCCCAAACCCGAGGATGTCGAGCGGCTACCCTACATCCAAGCCATCGTAAAAGAAACCGGGAGGTGGCATGTCATCGTGCCGTTTGGTACGTCTTAAGTTCAACTACTGGGGTGTCCGAGATGAATTGCTTGCTGATATGTTTGGTGGTTTGGCAAATAGCGATCCCACATCTCTCCAGAGAAGACGACGAGTACAAGGGGTACTTCATCCCGGCAGGAACAGTGGTGATGCCCAACTCATGGTACGCACTCCACCCTTAGTTTTATCCCCCCAGCTACAGACACTAATGCCCACTTTCCACCACAGGGCAATCCTGCACGACCCAGAAACCTTCCCAGACCCCTTCACCTTCAAACCCGAACGGTACCTCACACCCGACGGCGAACTCGACACATCCATGCTCGATCCAGAAGTCGCTGCATTCGGTTACGGTCGGCGGTAAGTACCACTCCACTCCACCCTAGGCCTAATCTTCCACGCATTCCGTACATGAGCTCTGAACCTTGCGCGAAACCATCCAGGATCTGTCCAGGCCGACATCTAAGCAACGAATCCCTGGCTCTCATGGCCGCTTCAGTCCTCTCCGTGTTCGACCTAGCACCACCCAAGAACGAAAAAGGCGAACCAATGGAGATCAAATTGGAGACATTGGCGGATTCCTTGGTCGCGTAAGTAGTTGTTCATACTTCTTCCCCTCGCGTCTAGATAACGCGTACGATGAGTAAACTAACGACGATGGATCTAGCAAACCTTTGCCATTCCAGTGCGAAATCAAACCCCGCAGCGAGGCCCACGTCTCACTACTTCTTCATTCATAGTCACCTTCTTCTACATACTCTACTCCACCAGTGGATCCAGGCATTTACCACTTCATCCACACTCACCACTCTCCTCACTTCTTTCTCTACGATACCACCTTCCCCTATTCCCAATATACACCACCCACACCTCTGTACTATCAAGGTCAATACAATTAAATATATCACAGATATACTTCAGTCTACACTTCCCATCGTCCCATCACCCTACTTCACTTGTCCTTCCCTCCCTTCACACCCGCACCAGCACTACCACTACCACCCACACCAACACCAAACGCCTCCCGATCATCCAGCACAACCTCCGGCTCCTCCTCATCACTAATACTCACAACCGAATCACTCATACTACTCGTACTGGCAGCACTACCACCGCTCCCCTTCTTCAAGTTCCCTCCTCCTCCTCCCTCCCCTCGCACTTCCCCATCCAACTTAAACTCCCCACCCGCCACACCAGGACTAGCAACAACACTCCCACTCCCACTCGTCGTCGTCGTCGTAGTCGTAGTACTACTACTAGTACTAGCAGCAGAAGTAAAAGTCCAGCTCCCACTCATCCCACCACTCGTCGGTGTAAGAAGTAAATCAGAATCCCCTGTTCCAGTTTCCACTTCCGCTGTTTGGAAGTCACCGAAATCGAAGGAACCGAGGTCGTCGTCCATGTCTTCAGAGAGGGATGAGGAGGAGAAACTAAAGGGGTCACCCCCGCTGGCAGAGGAGCCACTTGCATTCGATGCATCTGAGAAGGGCCCGAAACCGTCATCGTCGAATGCACTTTGAGGGAATGGGTCTGAAGAACTGGTCGTAGATCTTGGCTCGAAAACGTCCTGGAACCCGTAATGATCATGATCAGTTGCATATCGATGGGAATCGATTAACAAACTCACGTCAAAAACATTGGCAGCACTCAAAGGTCTCCGATCCACACTCGAATGTAACGACGAAACCGGTTGTTCACGTATCGCAAACGCAGACTGCGACAACCACCCCTCATCTTCATCTTCCTCATCCGACGAATTGAACTGATCTGAAGAATGGATCTCTTGTTCTAGGTATCGAGCGAACTGCAATTTCCATCAGCATCATTCCTCCCAACAAAACAAGAATATAGAGAGAATAGGGAGAGAGTGGAAGGAAACTCACATGCGACGCACGCGTACTATCCTCATCCTCGTCATCATCCTCGTCCAACGACGACGGCAAGAAATGCGCCGTATTCCTCGGCCTATCACTCCCACTCGCCACCCTCCTAAACTCACTCTTCATACCCCCACTCCCACTCCCACTCGGACCTGCACCTATTCCACCTCCATCTTCCTCAGCCTGCTCCCTCATATGTCCACTCATCCCACCACCCCCACCCGCCGGCGACAACTTGGTCCTAACCCCCTCACCCCCAAGCTCATCCTCATCCACCTTCCACTGCGACATATTCCTCGACGAAACAGCCGGCTTCCCACCTCCCAACAGCTTTGTATCATTCGCTTTCGTCTCTTTATACCGCCCCTTGACATAACGGTCCCATTCCTCCTCCGGTGCGTATTGGATGATGGTTAGTCGGAGTTCAGGGGGAAAGTGTTCCAATGCTGAGATCACGTCTTCAGCGATGAGGGTGAGGTGGCCCATGTAGCCTAGACGGCCTCCTTTAGTTGTAGAACTGTATGTGCGTCGTGTTAGCTTGCAGAATTGGGATAGGAAGGAAGGGCACGTACACATCACGATCATTCCTAGCCTGTCCCTCCACTATCCGATGCATAATCTTCGCATCCTTGAACAACGAAATCGCCAAATCTCGATTCCGCCCACTCTCCACATTGCCCGTCAAAACTTGATGAATCAAGTCATATACAGTGCTATGAAGGAAGTTATTCCAAGGGAACTCGAAGAAGAGGTCCTATCGTCAAAAAAGACTCGTTAACCCAGGAAAGACAAAACGCCAAAAACGAGAGAATGATAGCTCACCAGCAAAGTCGAGAACAAATTCATCTCCAAAAACTGTTTCTTCAACTGCTCCCCAATAGGCAACACCTCCACCGAAGCCGTACTATCCAACGTCCTCCTCCTCGAACTCCGCCTAGACGACTGCGGTCTCCGCCCCAACGACCTCCTCGTCGGCTCATCCGACAACGAACTCGTCGACGTCGGCGACGAACTCAAGTTCTCCGCAGGAGCCGAAATCTCCATCGTCGGAGCACTACTAGTCATCGAGGGCGAACCGGATGTCGAACTTCCTGGCGTTGCAGGCGGGGAACTGGGAACTGGACTCCTCCGCCCATCACCCTCGATCGAAACACCCCGCGGCTCGTCGTACATCGCAATCTCCTCCATATCATCATCATCCGAACTCCCAGGCGCGTCCATCTCCTCGTCCGAGTCCAGCGTAGGCGAGTCGTGCGTCACCATTCGCACAGGGAAGTCTTCTCGCGGGGGGAGACCGTCGTCGTCATCGTCTTCGTCATCCTCATCGTCCATCGGTTCTGTATCCCGGTCATTCGAGTTGTTCATGGCGATGACGGCTGCGAGCTCTTCCAGTGCAGCCAGACCGCCTTGTAACCTCCCTTCCGAATCATAAAGGTGGTTGTACGACGCCGGCCGATTGAGTAACGACATGTTCGAACAGTGCAGCAGTTCAGCGAGGAGTTCGAGGATCCGGTAGCGTTCCAGTGAGAGCGGCGTAATCGAGCCAACCGTCGTCGATATCGGACCTCGCTTGAACAAGGATAAGCACGCCATCCCAACCTGTTCAACCGAAAGAACACATACCAACGACCTAGGCTCCTTCAAATACTTGTGGAATTCATCCAAATGCTGACACGCCAACTCCAAGACGGGTCCTAGATGCACCACCCCCATACGATTAACCATCTCCTTCATAACCTCTTCCAAGGCATGCCTCGTATCCTCCCCCTGAGAATGTATCTGCTGCTGCACCTGAATAAGCCTATTCCTCAACGTATGGAACAGATACGGCTCAAAGTAATCCGAGTTGTTCTTCCGTATCAACTCGATGACCACCGCTATCGAGTGCACGATGGACGAAGTCGCACTTTCTCTCGTCGGTAATTTAGGTTCCGTACTCGATGTCGTCGTCGTCGAGGACTTGTTATTATCATTATTGGTGGTGGTGTTGGTAGTGGTGTCGGAAGAGGACGTAGTGGCGGTTGCGGCGTTCCCAGTAGTCGAATCCTCATCCGGCAACGAATCGAATTTACACAACATAAACCCAACCAATTTAGTCATCGTCTCGCGTTTAGCAAGCTCGCGCGCAAACCGGTTGGACGCAGGACCGTTGGAATTGCCATCGGTGAGGCCGGCAGTAGGCGAGGGCGTAGCCATCGAGATTATCCCCTTGATCAAGTCCGTCACGATACTATGCACCGCACTCGAATGTTCAGGCGACAACAAATCCACTAAACGCCCGATAAAGTCTTGTGAGGATAACCACTGTATGCAGCAACATCAAAAATCGTCGTCAGTTTGAGTCAGGCACAAGATCCATCAATGACTGATAAGCGCGAGGCCGTACCTCGAGTACCCCGCCCCCGACTACACTCTCGTCGAGTTGGATGATGCGCACCAGGATGTCGACAAACGGCGAAGTCTCGATATGCTGCAAAAGGCGCTCGACGATATTGGGTTGCTTTTGAATGAACGAGATCATCTGCGGCAGCAAAACAAGAAAGCTCCGTTCAGCCCGGTCGGTCCCACCACACCACCATTCAACCCAACAACAACAACAACAACAACAGGGCACCCACCTCCGCAGGCTTCTTGGTCAAAAACGCCGACGTAACTTTTGAGAAATGGGAGGCCATAACCATCAGAGTCTTCATCTCCTCAGGAGGGCGGTCGAGCACCGTTTCCCAAAAGGGTACAAGCAACTGCTCTTGCTCTTGCAGGCAAGTCTCAACGATGGACCATATATCGCTGCACAGAACCTCCGTCGCGATATACGGGTACCTATAAAAGCCCCAAACAACCAAACAAAATAAATACTTCAGCTCTCAATGGACGAAGAACCAAAAAGAGGAAGGACAAGAACAGACTTGAACCGACCCTTCTCCTCACTCTCAGTCTGACCAGTCACGTATCCAAGCAACATCTTGAGCACGTCCGTCCGCGCAAAGTACTCGGTCAAACGGGTGTTCTGGGATTTACATTCTTGCAGCAAATCGTCTTCGTCGAGGAGAGCTTCGAGCGAGACGTCGTCCTTGTCGAGCAAGCTGTCGATGGACGATCCATTGTTGAATCCGAATCTGCCGGTGCGGTCGGTTCAAGGGGGGTTTTTCATAAAAAAAGGGGAAAATCAAGGTTTTTTATGTGGGTATTGGGTCGAGTAGGGCTAACGTGGGGACTTGTACCTCCAGAACATTCAACTTTTGGTTTTTGGGCGTTGTATATCGGTTTCGTGGTCCGTCGTCGAGGTTGGGTGGTGGTGGTAAGAGGGGAAAGAGCGATCGGACCGAGCCTGACGCGCCTGCCGTCCGTCCAATTCCAGATAACGCATTGATCATGTCATATGATAATCTTATCATTACGCCTGTCCATCTGAATAATCTACAAATCCTTGTAGGGTATAAAAAAAATCAAGACAACAGTATATGGCTATAGCTAATCCAGATGTAATTAGAACTAGAAGTTTAAGAACGTGAGCCGAGGTAACAGAAGAATCGGAACTGGAGGCACTCACCCGGATCTGGTACGTCCCGCTCGCCTTGGTCAGATACCGCACCCACTTGACGCTCTGGTAATTACTCTTCTCAAACACCTTCAAGAAACGCACAATCAACCCCGACGACGTGAACATCAACACCTGGAAATCCACATCAATAGGCGGTCGCGCCCAGACCTGCCGATTGGTGACACTAGCGAGCGTAGCAGTAGCAATGAACGCGCATTCCTGTCCTCCTTGCATCCTCGGAATCCTAGCAATCACGCCAATCAAACCCGTTAGCCAACCAGCTACCACAATATCGATGGAATGGACGAAAGAAACGAACTCACTTCCACACAACCACGTTCTCAGCAGGAACATACTTTGCCTTTCCCGTCCCCACTTTACAATCCACACTCGCAGTATTCAACGGGGTAGGTATCCTCAACACCACATTCGTCGCCGCCAACTTGCTGTTAAAGTTGGCTTTAACAACCACGTTGTACGAAACCTGCATAGTCCCGAGTTCCGTTACAGTGGGGATCACTTTGATAGGCAATTTGACGTTCGAAGTTGATCTGTACCTGTAGCCAAACGAAAAAGTGGGTTAGATGGGTTAGATCGTGGAGTACTGGTACTGATGAAGGTAAAAGCAGCAAGACGCACTTCATCAACTCGAACTCGCCATCAGGCGGGATAAAGCTGATCGTCCGCGACGCATCAAACTCATTCAACCTTACACACTGGTGGAACCGACAATCATCCAACTCAACCGCATCTCCACCACCTCCACCTCCTCCGCCTTTATCAATCACCAACTTGTCATTCAAGCCAAACTTGCACTCGGGGGTTCCAGAGAGGTAAGCGCGCATCAGAATATGGCCGTCCACGTCCGCTCTTAGGATAGTGCCTGTCCAACAAGACGCCGTATGTAAGATCGAGCACGGAGAGAGAACGATAGGGAGGTGCAACACACCTTTCGCACTCATACTAAGATTCACAGTCTCAATCACATCCACGAACGCCTCGTTCTTCTTATACTTGACATCCGGCCTCCTCCAGCTAATCGCGCCCGTAGCTTGTACCGTGATCTTCGACGACTCGTCCTAACCAAGGGAAGTGGATCAACAATCAATCAGTCAGGTAAAGAATGTTGGCGCTTGGGGGGTAGGACGTACGGGTGTTGCACCCTGTGATACCACACTCTCCGTCGTGAGGTACGCTTTCAGAGCATCGATCTCGCTGTTCTGGGGGAACCCAAAGTCGCAGATTTCTGTTGGAAGTAGGTCGTGAAAGAGTCGAAGGAGTCGTGCGTCACAGCGATTGTCGTAAAAGCACAAATGATTCATCCCACAGCAGAGCCCAAGTTATCCGTCAACAACCCACCACCAACAACCCAAAAAGCAAACCCACAACGCACCATCAATAATCTCATACACCAGCGTAAAATTATTCTTAACACTCTCTTCATCAATCTTTCCAAAGTACGCTTTGCAGATATTGATAAACCGGTAACAGAACTCGAAGATGAGCGCGGCGTTGGCGTTCGTCCTGTCGAGGAATTTCGTTAGCTTTCTGTTCTCCAACGCTCTCTCTCTCTCTCCCCCTCTCTCTCGTTCTCTCTGCTACTCTCGAACACGACCAGACCAACCCTCCCATCCCATCCCATCCACAAACCGCAAGGACGCGGAAGAGAACGAAAGCAACGAAATCAACACTCACTTGGTCACAGCAACAACATACAAATTATTAATCCTCACATGGAAGAAACTCGTCGAACCAAGGGTGATAATCGGAGACCGAACATCGCTATTCGAGACTACCTGGATTCGGAAGACATCTGCGATGGAGCGTCTGTAAGGTCACCCATCCATCCGTTGTCGCGTCGGCAGTCAATCCAGCGGGGCATGAACAGGTCGAGGTGTTGTTGTCGTTGAGAATAAGCAGGCGTCGGCGTCGACAATCAGTCAGTCAACTGCATCACCATCCCAAAGACAAAAAACGGCACACTTGAAATCAGTCCTATAAAGTCTAGAAATCAAGACCTAAATCCAAATATTACGCATTCAGTATGTATACACTCGTACAACCACGAAACCAACGCACTTCGCCTTTCTGGTTGAAGATGAAGAACGCCTATTGTCGGTATATGTTAGAACTCTAATGAACGTTAATTAGTAGGTTAAGCACCCATACCGATATCATGGTTTCGCCGAGGGGTCAATACCACATCGTCCAGAGAGTCAAGTCGAGAGTCAACCACCCGTCATGCTCGTGGCCGATGATGATGACCATCAGATGACAAATCAGCCCCTATTCCCTCCACCCCCTCCTCCTCGTACCGCTCCTCAAATCTCACAAAACCCAACAAAACAAACACCAAAAAATACATTCAGCCTATTTATATAACAACAACACAATTCTTTCTTTAAATTTCCAAAACAGCAATCCACAATTCCAATTACATATAGAATAGAAAACACGATACTCATAAATTACCGTCAAGTATCTATTGGTCCTTCCTCTTGGTGATCATAGCATCGCGGCCGGGTCCAACGCCAATCCACTCTATGGGGACCTTCAATTGCTCTTCTATAAAGTTGATATATTTCTTGCAGTTGGCTGGGAGGTCGTCGTAGTTGCGGATTTCGGTGATGGGGGTCTTCCACCCGGGGAGGGTCACGTAGTTGACTTCGACGCGGCTGAGGAGTTCAAGGTCGGCTGTAAGAGCGCGAGAGACCGCAAAAGAAAAGGAAGAAGGGGTGAGCACACTTAATGGGCGCCAAAATGGAATTTTGAGGAAGAAAAAGAACGTACCGGGGAAACTCGACAACTCCTTCCCATCAAGCGAGTAACTCACACCAACCTTGATCTCATCCAACCCATCCAAAACATCCAACTTGGTAAGGTTGAACGCATCATACCCATTAATCAAACACGAGTGCTTCATCACCGCCAAATCCAACCACCCACACCGTCTCCGCCTCCCAGTCGTAGTTCCATACTCGTGCCCAACCTCCTGCAAGTGCACACCGACATCGTTGAGCTGCTCAGTCGGGAACGGGCCCGCACCAACACGAGTAGTGTAGGCTTTCACCACACCAATCGTCTTGCCGACCATCTTGGGCGGGATGCCCAAGCCAGTACAGACACCCCCAATCGAAGTCGAGGACGAAGTAACAAAGGGGTACGTCCCAAAATCAATATCAAGCATCAACGCATTCGCGCCCTCGACCAGGACCCTCTTCCCCGACGCCAGGGCTTTATGAATGAACGCAACGCTATCAACGACATACGGGCGCAGCCTCTCCGCCAGCTTCCTGTACCGCTCGATCTCGCCTTCGGTGTCGTACTCAAAGTGCCCGTAGCGCTTGAACCGCCCCTCGACGACCTTGCGGAACTTGGCGGCGAAGGTCTCGGGCTCGAAGAGGTGGTGCACGCGGAGGCCGGAGCGAGAGGCCTTGCCGGAGTAGGCTGGGCCGATGCCCTTCTTGGTTGTTCCGATGCTGTATATGCCGGGGCAGAGCCGTGGTTAGAAGACCGGAAGGCACGAACGTGGGTAGTATGTACCGACCTGGATCCTCCAAGCTCAACCTCTTTCAATCCATCCACGATCTGGTGGAAATCAAACACGAGCTGTGCGCGATCAGAGATGAAGAGTCGGTTGGTGCAGTCAAGACCTGGCGTATAGGACATGAATTTCGGCGTAAATCGGCTTTGATCGAACGCTGGGCTTACCCTGCGATTCCAACGCATCGAGCTCAGCGAAAAACGACGGGAGGTGAATGACGACGCCATTCCCCAACAATCCCGTGCACTTGGGGTTCACAAGACCTAACATCCTTTGAATAAACGGCGTTTCCGTATGAAATTGCAGAGAGAAACGCACCACTGGGCAAGAGATGGAAAGCAAAGCTCTTCTCGACACCGTCGATGGGGACAACGATGGTATGACCAGCATTGTTACCACCCGCACAGCGAGCACAGACATCAATGTCCCCAGCGAGGATGTCGACCAACTTTCCTTTGCCTTCATCGCCCCATTGCGAGCCCAACACGACGCTCACTGCCCCAGACACACCCCAACAAACCAAAAAAGACAGATTAGATTACACCCAATCAAGCCCTACAGCATTCAACACGTACCGCTCATATTGGACTATCCTCCACCTGAGAAACAGGAATCCGATAGGGTTATAAGAGGGTAACCTCTGTGGGTGGTATATGAGAAACAAAAATAGAGCAAAGGGCAGGACAAGAAGAAGAAGCGGGATTTTGACTCGAGCCTTGGAAGATATTTGAGCTGCTCCTTCCCGATCAAGCTAAATGATCGGAGGATGCCGACGGATCGCGTGATACTCATGCCCCGGCATTTCCTTCCCGCTTTCCCCGCCGCTGTCGGACGCGGCGAGCAAACCCAGTCTGTACGGCGACGACGACAACGACGACGACGACGACAGTGAAGACTAGTGCTCGACGATGGTCTTCCAAACACGGTCCAAACCTCCCTCAAACTTGAGCAAGTTCATCAAGAAACACCCCAGCGCATTTGGGGTACCCTTCATCCTGGTCATGGTCGCAGCATCCTTTGGCCTCTCCACCATCACCCAAACGCGCTATGACATGCAGGACCAGAAAGTCAAACAGGTCAGCCCTTCGTTCTCCATTCACCCAAACACCTTACACCTTTAAAGGTATAATTAAACCCCCACCTGACTCACGCTTTGTATGCAGGTCACAAAGGAACAAGAACTCAAACTAGACCGTAACAGGAAGAAATTCGACATTCGGGAGGAGTATTTCGTGCGTACTGCTTTATTGTCTTTTGGTGTAGCAGTGCTGAAGGGACTCGTTTGCACCCTTTTAGAGGTTAACAGCTGCAGCGGATGAAGATTGGGAGCCTAAGCGTATTCAGAGGCCAAAGGGCGTTCCAGAGTGGGGTATGCCGCCACCGGAACCGCCGAGCCAAGCTGAGGAGTCGTCGAAGTAGAGCTCAAGGAGGCAGAGGACATGTGGAGAGGAATTTATGTGTTATATCATGGATATCTACGGCAGACGACCCTGCGCTAGGACGTCGAGGTGGTTCTTGATGATGGTGCGTTTGCTCTTCTTACTCCAGTTTCTGGTCCACTTACTTTTGGTCATAGGAATTAGAGTTGGTTAGGAAATACCACAACCATACTTTACATACTCTGTACTTACCGAGGGGGAAAGACCTTACCAACGAGTCCATCGCTCGCGTATGTGGGTTCGCACCTTGCTAATCCAAGCTTGCTTTCCCGCCATCCAACGTCTTTCCTAATGTGTTGACGACAATCATTCCGTGGTCCCCCACTGTAACCTTTCTTCACCATCACCACGTCTTTGCTCCTCCTCCGGGTTCCTTACTTCTCCAGAACGAGCCGCACCGACTCTCGTAATGTCGCCCTGAAGACAATCCTATTATACGTGTCCGGGAAGTCCAGTGCCAGGTCACGGAACCCTACTCAGGACCTTCTGCTTAGCACTCGATCGAAACCGCGTATTCGTCTGCGAATCCTAGAGCGCAGACCACTATTTCGCCTGATTGTTCCCACTTTGGATGTTCTCGCCATCTCCGCCTCTCCAACTGCCTTCAGCAAGCGGACAGCCAAAACCTTGAAATTCGCTCTACAAGAGAAAGCTCTAGGGGCAGTAGTTCATACCTGGTCCCACTTTCAATACGTGCTCCATATACTTACGACATAGGAGCTTTTGCTCGTGGGTTGCGGTGAAGCGGCTCTAAAGCGTGAGCAGAGAAATGCTTAACCCGGGCTTGAGGGAATATCCCGTTTTTAGCGCCCAAAGCAATGGCTGTGCTGTTGAACTTCCTTGATTGGCGAAGCAGCCCCTATCCGGTTGCTGCTCCCAACCCGCTTATTCTCCTCTCTTGTCCACCATCGTCATCGTCATTATCCCGCCTTTCACAATCAGCATCACTCCCTCCTCCAGACTTGAATAGCACAAGACTCGCCCACTCGACACCATGACCCTGTAATTCCCGCCCAGCGAGACGTTTCGGATGTCTCGGCGAACCACTGGCAGGAACGACGAGGATGGCCGGCTTTCTCCATGTCTCTGGAGTGTGTTCACAGCCCTCATCACGCTCTCAAGACGTGACTTCTACCCTCGAAAATGCATAAGTAAACCCCCGTTTTCGAGGGAGAGGACCAGCACGCTCGAACGCTCGTTCATTCGAACCACCACCATCTATTGCGAAATCAACTTGTCTCACTTTCGAAACTTGCGATACGAGGGAGAATTTACATCTGGTTAGTCGCCTTTTGTGATGCAATTGGACGTTTGGGCTAATAGGTGTTTGCGAAGCTATAACCAACTCCATTTCTTTCTTCCCTTGACATCGCTCGCCTCGAGACGAGGCTCAACCAGTACGTTCTCCCTTCCTTCCTAGAGCCCGAAATCCATCTAACCACGACCCTTTCAGGAATGACCAGTGTGCTTAGACAATCCTCCAACTCCGCGCTTTCAGGCCTTAACGGCCGGTCAGCTACAACAGCAGCAGCGCGGATGGTCAAGACGTCCTCTGCATCAGGGCTACCACTCCCACCAGCCATGACCCGACGAGGCGAACTCTCAGCGTCAGCCTCGGCTTCAGCGAGCTGCTCTCATCGTTGCGTGTGGGGCTCCTCAGGTGGCTACCAGGGCGTTTCAACCTCACGACGTGCCGCTGTAGAATCCTCAGGTCGCATCGTCGTCACCTCCATGAAGCGTTCCAAACCCATCAATCCACCCAAGGAGACTCAGACCGTCACGGCGGTTCCAGAACTGTCTGTCTCAAAAGCCCCACAGAACAAACCAAGACGTCGCACCCTCCTCGCACGTCTCAAACCCACCCTCCTCGCTCCACTCCGTCCCACATCGCGCCAGAACCAGAAACCCCGCGCCCCCACCGCACCCCGCCCATCGCTCACCAGACGCAACGCAGAAACCGTCCGCGCACCCGTCCGCGCCGCCGTCTACTCCCGGTCAGACCCCTACTTTGGCCGTCTCCGCAAATCCAAGCTTAATCCAGGGGCAAGCCACCAGTCAAAAGTCGACAAGTTCTACACCCTATCCCAATTCAAACGGTGTCCCAACATGGCTGAGACGTTGACTGGTGTCCGGGTTCGCGCGATGATGGGCGAGAGGTTTCCTGGTGGGGACGAGAAGTATCGGGGTATCAAGGATGGATTGGGTGTTCCTGAGCTTAACCTGCTTGAGATACAGTTCATGCAGCATAACGCCCTGCCGGTGTTGCTCAATGCTCGACTGATGGAGGTGTAAGTTTCGTCTTTTTGGTTCTGATGGTTCAAAGCTGACATGATTTCACTAGGACGTTCGCGAGATGTATTACGGATTTCTCCAAAGGCCAGGTAAACCCTGTTACTTTGCGAAGGAAGAGTCCGCGGTGTAAGTGTTCTTTGTTTTGTCATTACCTGGAGGGTGTTTCTAAACCGTCTCTTGTGTAGATTTGCCTCAGCCTCCTTCCATGTTTCAGCACGGCGAAGCCTCCCGTCCTCAACACTCGCATCAAGGACAGGGGGCGTGAACTGCCCTTTTCTTGGCCACATAGCTTCCTTCACCTTTCATTCGTTACCATTCCCAGCCTGTTTCTCTCCCGTTCTGTTCTGAACTTTTATTTTTCTTCCTCTTCGTGTTAGTCTTTCAACTAGGTAGCATAACTTACAACGTAGCGTAGATTCTCGTTCCCTTTCCCCTTTCCTCTCTCTCTCTCTCTCTCTTGATCTCTCTCTCCTCGCTATAATCGCCCTCGTAGCACCGTCTCTTTGTGTAGCTATAGCTTTCCATCTCCATTTCATCTCATCCTTTCTTCGCCTCTCTTCATCCGCGGATCATCTCCTTTGAGCCCATCCGCACTGCCCTTCAATGGTTTGCCGTAAGTTTCAGTATGTATGTATACCGGTCAACTATGCTTTGTGGATCAGCACCAGGTCACGATGAGATTTTGACTTTATGAGTTTAAGCGCCCATTGCCAAGTTCAAAGTGTGCGGTCGGAAAGGCGGTGATCAGAACTGAAGGACTGAGAACAAGGTACAACATTGATTGTCCGGAGTAGAGTGCATACAAACAACATATTTCGAGATTTATAGGGTTTGAGCAGCTGGGACAAAGAAAGACCATAACTCGATACAAGTACAGGGATCAGGGGTACACCAAGACGAGAGCAACATGACGTGGATGTTCGGATGAGGCAGTTCGATTCCCGAATTCGGACACAAGACGAGTGCGAATGTGATGGCGCCTACAACTCGGAGTGCTTGACGACGGGCAAAGTAATGACCGCGGAAGCCCACTTGACCCAGTAGTTGGCAGCAGCATCGCGGCGGGGAGCAGGTCCACCAGTAGGAGCCCTGGTACCAGAGGCACTCACAACCACAATAGTGCTCCTGCCCAAGCTGGTGCGCAAGAACCTGCGAATCTGCTCCCTTCCGAACCAAGTACCAACAGGGAGGGCGACTTGAAGGTAAACATCCCCAAAGCGACCTTGGACGACAGCGAAACGGTTGCCAGCAACGTCAATGAATTGCCTCTCGAGACTGAGGACGGTGCCCGTGTTGGGGTTGGTGAATCTGGACCTGATGGACTCGGGGAGGCGCTGACCGAGCACGCGCTCTGCCTCTGCCTCATGGAGATTGAAGCTGACGATGGGGCTAGGGGTGCCGTCCGTGACGAGGTCCAAATCGAATCGATCGATGAGGGCGTGGAAGAGCTGGTGGATGGTAATGTTGTCGGTGCTGTTGCTCCTGGGGGCGCTCCAGCCAGACTTGTCCTTGGGCGGCTTGCCAGCGGCACGGTTCGCGATGTAGCGCTTCAACTCGCCCGCCTTGTCCCCAACATAGGGAACAGCGACCTCCAAAACGTCGTCGTCCAGGTAGAGCACGTCGTAGGCGTTGTCGAGGGCTCGGCTCGAGGCGAGTTCCCAGTACTGCCTCTTGTCGCCCTTGTTCTCATCCTGGAACGACGCTTTGTTATTGGCATCGAGGGTGAGGAACTTGCCAGTCGAGACGTTGCGGATGGCGAAGTACTTGTCGGCGGCGACAACCAACTGGAAGCGTTCGGCGGTTCCTCCGAGATAGCGGTTGTTGGCCTTGTTCTGTATGGCGAAGGTGGGTCCATCCCCAGTCTTGCGGAGGACCCATTGAGCCTGGAAGTTGTCAACGTCCTTGATGGCGACGATGTCGGCATCCTTGCTCGCTGCAGAGAGGTAGGTGGCGGTGGCACCGTTGAGCAGAGCGAAAGAGGGGAGCCAATCGTTTGCCTGATCCAGTCGTCAGTCACAGGGACATCACACAAGACGAAACATGCGACTCACAGAGATGAGCTTCCATGCACGATAGTAGTTGTTTGCAAGGGGAGCGGGGTCCAGACCCTGAACACTCTCACCCGCATAATGGTCGAGGAGGTTGCCGGTGCGCTCGTTGACGATGTACGCCAGGCCAGGAGAAGCCTTGAATGTCTCCAAGGTCCACCAGTCCTGAGGCTGGTTGTCGTTGGTATTGCCCAATCCGATCGAAGGGATGGTGGAGCCCAGCTGGCGTAGGGTGCGTCCAGTTGCGCGGTTGACGAGCGTGTAGGCGGCCGTGCGATCCTTCTGGACGAACCTCCACTGAACGGAGCCGTCGAAGATGGTCTCAGGACCGTCGGCGGTGTCAATGTTACCGTTGGCATTGACGCAGAGGAACTTTCCGGTACCGCCGTTCTGGATGAGGAACCAGCCCTGGCCAGGCGAGGGGATCGCGTCGAGCAACCACAGCTGGTTGTCACCACCGTGCCAGGTCCATCCAGCGGCCTTCTTTTCGGGGTCGTTCAAGTAAGCGTCAACGACCGAACCGCCTTGGATGTTCCTGATTCGCTGGTAGTTGCTGAAGGAGTCTGTGAGCACAAGGCTTTCAATATGATGTGTGGGGTACATACCCCTGGTGAGGCTCGATCTCCCACTGCTGGTTGCGTCCTCCGTGAGAGTGCCATCCGTAAATCGGCACGTTGTTGCCGGGCTTACCAGCAGCTAGGTCAGCGACAGTCCTCGTCTCGACACACTGGATGGTGTAGCCTTCGCTGCCAGGTGCCTTGGGGAGCCACCAGACCTGGTTGCGAACCGTGGTGTGCGCGTGCTGATCCCAGGCCAGAGCGAGTGTCCCGTCAGCAGCGGACGCGCCTTTCAAGTCAAGGACGCGTCCAGTGTTCTTAACACGGATCCTGTAGGAGAGGGGCCAGACGAAGGGCGTGAACGACCAGAGCTGCTTGGGGCCGTCGTCGATGTGCCAGGCGACTGTAGCGGCGTCGTTGTCATTCACATTGTGCGAGACAACCGTGCCAGTGGCCACGCTGACGACGGCATAGTATGCAGTGCTAGAGACGGAGAAACCATCGTCAGTCGCGGCTCGTTCATAAAAAAGGAACCCGCCTACCCGTTAACGTCCTTGGAGTACTGGACGCGCCATTGTTGGTTCGCGCCTCCGTGCTGAGGCCAGGTGATAATGGGGGTCCCATTGGCAGTGCCACTGCCAGATAGATCGAGAACGAGATTGGAGTTGACGTTGCGGATGATGTAAGTGCTGGCGTCGCCGACCTTCTCAACGATCCAGAGCTGGTTGAGCTTCTCGTTGAGTGGACGCTTCTCATCCCAGTCCAAGACACGGGTGCCCTGATCGGTCTTCGCGCCTTCAGCGTCGAGGACCTTGTTGGGGAATCGAAGGTTGCGGATCCAGTAAACGCCTTCGGAGATAGACATTGTTCTAACATACGGCAGGGTTAGCAAGCTAGTAAACTACAACGTGCCGTTGAACACAAGTCACATACGCGCTTGAGAAGTTTGCTTGTTGAGCAGTTAAGAGAGAGCTTGTACTAGGAGTTGTTCCTGGTGATGAAGAGATACTGGATGGATTCACTGGCTTTTAAGCATCCGCGCCCTCCACTATGAACCATATTAGGATTTGTGGAATTGCGCGAGTTTCCTTCTCCGGTGCCAGGCGGTGACCTGTGAAAGACATCTTGAACGAAGCGCCTGTTCCTCTTGCGCGTCACGGAAGGCTCGATAACAAAGTGTCAACAATTGATGCTATTGTGGAATAGTCGATCAAGCGCGATGTCGATGGAAAATGAAAGGATTGGGCACGGTAGAACGCAACACCAGGGTGCTGCCAAGAAAATGACATTCGCAATGAGCACCCTGAGGAGGTGCCAGCGAGTGGCGACTCGACAATGTAGTTCCCGCAAATCTCTGATCTCTGGCACGGTGGAACATAAATGGGGATAACACTTGCCACAACAAAGACAAAATAATCCACAGGGATTCTTCCCTTCCGGTTCCCCCAAGGAGAAAGGCCGCTCTATTCTTAGAAGCAATGGCCCCAGACGACGACCAATGAACGTCTAGAAACTGGCGAATGGACGCCCGCCAGAGCATCGTTAGTCCTGTTGTCTGGATTGAATGGACACGTGAATGAAACTTACGGAAAACCATCATGTTTATCGTGAGTACTGCTGGCGGAGGTGAAGATAGCGACATATGTTTCGGGAACTCCACATTAGAACGACGTTCATTTAGTCGGGGACTTGAAAATCCCTGTCGTCCAATATGGCCAAATTTTACGTTCCGCTGGCACGTTTGCCTGGAGTGTAAGTGCCTTGCTCGATAGAACAAGGTCATTCCACAGTCGGCCTTGTGCACTTCCCGAGCTGAATAGGCATCGCCTGGTCGCACTGTTGCTCACTGCGACTCTGCGACAGGAGACTCGCTGGCGCAGAATTCCTGTCAAAGCCGTTAGACAGTTCCATCCCGTCCAGAACTTGAAATAACACACCACGCTTATGTGATAGCGGATTCCATGAGATAGCAAAGGTCCTTTTTATGCAATATCTCGCCTGTAAGGCCCGTTCGCTGCCCGCTAGCGACTCTTTTCGTGGTGGAGTCACAAACGCCAGCTGTCCCGCCCAGAGTTGAACATGAAGGTCATACTGGGAATAGCTGATGTCCGACCTTTAGAATAGCACAACTCCATTTATTGCAATCTGAGCGTGAGTTCTGTCCGCAAGTTTGGTGGAATTGAAGGGCGATGGTGGAAGTTCAGAGTCAAGAGGCGATTCCACTCTGCCTGCCAAGATTGTGATAGGATCACTGAGGTATCTGATTTAGTGATGACCGTCCCAATCTAAACAGGGGGTTTAATTACCCTCCTTGTTCAGCGAAAGCCTGCATAAACCTTAGGCTAAAGTATGGGTCAGGTATGCAAGCCACGTTGTGAGCGCCCTGGAAATAGGACTCCGAGACATTGCCATCAAGAAAGACCTCTCCCAGCTGTAGCAGGGAGTGCATGAGCTTCGTTTAGCGAAGTAGACTCACACCAGCCAATGCGAATATGCAACGGGCTCAATAGAAGGACGAAGAGCCGTTCAGATAGAAACGGTGGAATACACTCCCGGCCTGAGGCGCGAATCAAGCCTAGAATACTATCTGAGGGAACTTGTCCACCCAGTGATATTGATTGATATCCACCCGGATGGACGGACGAAGCACCTCATGATCAGAGATAAGAGCTAGGCGTTAAGAGGGACTAGGGACTCCCGATCATTCCTGGCACAGCGAGAACCGGAATAAACTTCGATTAAGACACTACTTTCCCTTCGAGATACCTGAGCAATCTATGCCTCAGCCCATGGTACATTTCTAGGAAATGGAGGGCATGTGAATAAATTTTTTGGGTCACTGTTGCAATCATTGAATCAAGCGATCTTCCTCCGCACATCTCTTTAGACACCGAGAAACAACTCAGCAGGTCGACATTGCTCGAGTGGTCTCAATAAAAGGGTCCTGACTTTAATCAAAAAGACCTGAGGCCTGAGAAGTCGAAGCTCGTTCGCCCTGTAGCAACCAGGAACAGAATACATATGATAACATTTCCATCGATAATTTTAGTATGTAGTTAAAAAGGGTCAGAAGTGCATATTGGATAGCGCAGGGGAAGAAATGATCACTTCCGGCGCCAATGGATCCAGCCCCAAGAGTATACAAGATCATGTGCGACCGGGGGGTAGCAAAAGACGTCGCGTCGCACTCTATCTATGGTTGTCTCGGGGTCTTAGGTCAAACTTCCTACTTGACATATCTGCTAAACGCAGATCCTCATGCATATGGTAAAGAGGGGTCCCAGGTTAAAAAGGCCTTCTGCGACCCTCTGATCTCTCTCTCACCATCTCTCGTCCTCCAATTGATATAAATCTTTCTGAGATCCAAGAGGAGATCCGAGATATCTGCGCCTACGAAAACATGCTCACCTGTGCCCATCCATCCTAGTCTAGGAGGCTCTAGTTTGTCTTGTATGGCGACCAAGGAACGATCAAGGAAGCAGGTATATTTCCTCCCTCCCCGAAAACGGGCGCGACCATATGGTTCACTGCGAATCCGGGAACGCTGAACGAAGAGCGAAGAACATATAAAGGCCCCATCATAATTTCGAATCATTGCTACCAACTGACCACCCTAACCCAAACTTACCGCACTCGACCCCAACAAAAACGACGATGAAAACCTTCACCTCTCTCTTCGCACTCTTCCTGGCTCTCGGTGTGACACAAGCCGCCGAATACGACCTCTGCCATGTCACCGGAGTCGGGTACGGAACCTGCATGCGCACTTCAATGTGCACAAGTGGGGGTGGAGGAACCTACACCGGTTTCTGCCCCAACGACCCTGCCAACATCAAGTGTTGCGTCAAGAAGTGCCCAGGACCCATGAACGCCGGACGGTGTCGCCCCATTAATGCCTGTCCCAGCCACAATTTCCTCAAAGGTACGATGGCCCAGAAAATCACAAGTGTGACTTCGAAGCTGAGGACGACTCGCAGGATACTGCCCTGGACCCGATAACGTGCTCTGTTGCTTGCCATGAATTTTGATATGAAAGATTTACCAGAGGGGCAATTACGATTAGCATTCAAAGAAATGACCATGTGTATAATTTATCGTTAGCAACTCGCCATACCAATTCGATTGAGCCAAAACCAAGTCGGCTTTTTGAAGGGATGTTGCATCAGTTAAGATTCACAATAGTACATACACAGACAGGTTACAGCACAAGAGGTAAACAACAGACCGAGACGATACGAGTACATACAAGGGTGGACAGCGATTCAACATTCACGAGCGAAGAAGCAGGAGTGGCATAAGGGGATGAATCCGAAAACTCAAAAGTGTCACCAGTTCCAAACGCAGAACCAGAGGCCAACCAAAACCGACGATACTTACCCATCTTCTCAACGCCCTCTACAACTCGGAGTGCTTGATTGCCGAAGTACCGACGACAGCAATGGTCCACTTGATCCACGAATTATCGCCATCAGAGTCGGGATCGCGGTTATAGTCTGGTCCTCCACTCGGCGGCTTGCAGGTCGTAGGCGTAATCGTAACGCTCGTACTGCGATCCAAACTATCCCTCAAGAACCTCCTGATCTGCTCCCGTCCAAACCGAACACCAACAGGAAGCGCGATGTGGAAGTAGCTGTCATCGCCGTACTGCCCTTGGATGTTCACATAGCGGTCACCAGCAATGTTGAAGTAGCCCTGCCTGTCGATACGGAAGAGGGTGCTACTGCGCGAGCGTTGATACGCGGCCACGATATCCGGATGAGGGCGGCGTCCGAGAAGTCTTCTGGCTTCGGCTTCATCGATACTGACGAGGGTCTGGATCTGCTCGCGCTCCTCGTTGACGACGTCCCACTCCCACTGTTCGATGAGCTCCTGGAGCAGTTGGCGAATATCGTTGAACTTGGGCTTCTTGATTAAGCCGGCGGCGGGCAACTGCCAGCCACCTTTGTCCTTGGGTGGCTTCTTCGTCGCGCGCTTCTCGATGTAATGCTTCAGGTCGCCCTGCTTATCACCAACCCAGGGGATCATCACCTCGAGGAGGTCATCGTCCATATAGATCAGATCGTAGTCATTGCCGGAGGTGTCGGTGGCACGACCAGAGCACAACTCCCAGCATTGCTTCCTGTCCGTCATATCTTGGTCCTGGAATGTAACCTGGCCGTCCTCGATGGCGAGGTACTTCTGTGTCGAGGTGTTGCGGATCCCGAAGTACTTGTTGCAGCATACGACCAACTCCCAACGCGCGGAAGTCCCTCCAACATAGTGGTTGTTGTACTTGTTCTGGATGGTGTAACCGGAACTTCCGCTTGGCTTGCGGAAGACCCATTGAGCATGGAAGTCGTTGACGTTGGCGGTAGTGGAGAGGCGAGTTTCTTCGCGAGCGTATTGGGCGGCGAGGCATAAACCGCCTTGGCCGTTTACGAGGGAGAATGAGGTGAGCCAGTCCCTAGCCTAATAACCGACAATAGTTCAGCTTTGAAAGTCGACAAAAAGAAAAACGGCGTTCTCACCGGTATAATGGCCCAGCTCCGGTATGAGTTCTCGGTGTTGTTATCCAAAGCCTGGACACTGACACCACCATAGTGGTCAAGAACGTTCCCAGTCCAACGACTGATGATGCTCGCGAGACCAATCTCGGAGTTGTCGTAGGTCTCAAGCATCCACCAATCCTTCAACTCGTCGTCATTCTCCTCCGCCAAACCAATAGACGGCATCGAAGTGCCGATTTGACGCAAGTAGGCACCGGTGGCGCGATTAACGACGTGGTAAACTCCCGTGTACTCCCTCTGGATGAACCGCCATTGGACACTGTAGTCATACACGGTTTCCGGACCATCGGCGGTACCGATGTCGCCTGAAGGGGTGCTGCATAGGAATTTGCCGGTGCCACCGTTTTGGATGAGGACCCAGCCCGGACCAGGAGAGGGCAGGGGATCCAACAACCATTTCTGGTTGTCACCACCATTGTTAGACCATCCTCCGACCCTCTTCTGACTATCGTTCATGTACGCATCCATCACGCTTCCGCCCTCGACGTTCTTGATGTGGTAGTAGTCGCTGGAAGAACATATGAGCATGGATGACAGATAATCTTTGAATTGGACATACCCTGAATCGCTGGTGGGTTCAAATTTCCACTGCTGGTTGCGCCCGCCATGGGACTGCCAGCCATAGATGGGCGTCCCATTCCCACTGTTACCGCCAGAGAGGTCCGCGACGGTGCTCGTCTCCAAGCACTGAATGGTGTATTCCTCTGCACCGGAGCGGTAGGGGAGCCACCACAACTGGTTGCGCTTCGTGATCGCAGTGTGTTGCTCCCAGGCCAGAGCGAGGGTACCATTATCAGCAGACGCGGCGGCCAAGTCGAGAACCCTGCTGGTGCTCTTGACCCGGAGGCGATACAACAGAGGAGTGACGAAGGGATCGAAAGACCAGAGTTGCTTCGGCCCATCGTCGACGCTCCAGGCGACTGTATAAGCGCTGGAATCGTCTTCGTTGTGCGAGATGGCTGTACCAGTCGCAACGCTGACAATTCGGTACAAGGGAGTCCTGAAACACATGGTCAGGCGCTGGATATTACTGAGAGGGGAAAATACCGTACTTGTTGTCGTCCTTGACCCATTCGATGCGCCACTGCTGGTTAGTTCCACCGTGTTGAGTCCAGCAAAGGATCGGGGTGCCGTTCGCCGACAATCCTTGGCTAAGGTCAAGGACCAAGTTCGAGTGAACACTTCGGATGAGATACGTGTCGCGGCTCTGGAAACGCTCAACGATCCAGAGTTGGTTGTGGTTCTCGTTGAAGGTTCCATGCTCGTTAAAGTCCAAGATACTAGTGCCCTTGGCGACGTTAGCAGCGTCGAGGTCGAGCACCTTGTTCGTGAATCGGCTGTTACGGATCCAATAGACACCTTCGTTGAGAGCCATTGTAACTAGAAAAACTTATGAGCCTGGGCTGACAGGCTATGGATGCGTGAAATGACCTACGATGAGTTGAAGTAAGCTGTTTGGGTAAGATGGTTGATATGCAGGTACTAGGATTGAATCCCTGTGACGAGCACTAGACCTCTGAAAAGTGCATGCCTTTTATACTCGTTTTCAGCAGGGGACCAAGGATGTAAGAAAAATCCTGGATGAGCAGATGACCATAGAAGCTTCCGTTCGGTAGTTGAAATCTATGCAAGGCGATGAAATGATGGGCATTTATCGATGCATGGAAGACCACTTTACGCCTTGCCAACTGTGGGGGTGGGGCGCGGCATCGTCTTCCCGTGGAGTGGCGAGCAAACGCGCAGCGTAGGTATGTCGGTAAAGGATACATGCCGGTCGTCGTAAAGTTGCCTCATCTGTGAAGCAGACGGTGTCAATCAAAGCTGCTGTGAATGGGTTTCGAGCCGAACCTACCCCAGACGTGCCGCAATTCTTTCAACTCATCGTCGATTACACGCTGTCATGTTTTGTCTGCCAGGGTAATTCTCAAGTCAATAGGAACAGGAGAGGGATCCACGGAAGAAGGTGGAGCAAGCCAGATGAGGCTGTAGGAATTTTCTCTAGCCGGACAGGGAATGCATTGCAGGCCTTCCATGGAGCGAGAAATCGCTGCAGGTCCATAGACAGCGAAGGAGTTTTGTTTTCCGAGCGGTGAAACGAAGTCTGTGCTTCTGCGTCACGATGTCCTCTCCTAAGAGGTACACACGTTCCTACTATGAATCGAGTCTGGTAGGACCCGCTCAGTCCCCAGCCTATAGATCAGATGGTTATCACAATGCGGTCGACAGTCAGGAAGCAAGGTCGACTCACTTTGCCTGGAGGCGACGAAGACGGTGAAGCACAGATCCAATGCACCACGGCCAGAGACGACTTTGGAGACAGCTCGTCCGTAAAGTTTTGCAAACTCAGATGTGGTCTGGTTGTGCCTGTACTGGGCTGGCACAAGGGGAGGGAGGAAATTCCGGTGCCGACGCGTCGCCGTTCAGAAACCAATACAAACCATGTCCATTGTCTTCCAATCCGGCTGTCGTGACATCTCCTTGCCCTTTGCCTTCGTGATTCTCGCCGCATAGTAGATTGCAAGATTGACTAGATTTGTTCTGGACAGCGCAGGGTAAACTTGAGGAACTTGTGGGGAACGGCCGAATCCGCCTCGACACGACGCTGGGATTTCGCTTGGTCGTATTTGCCAAAAGCTTTGATGGCGGGGTTTGAAAGGCCAGCGGGCGCTAACCTATGTTCAGTCGGAATCCAGTTGCGAGAAGTGGTATGGAGATGAATTATAGCATCCACAGCTCAAAAAAGAGCATGAGCATGTGAGAATGTCCCTGATGAAGCTTATCAAATCGACCGTGCCGAGAGCTACAGCGCATGTTTCGAGGATCGACAAAGAACGCCTATCGCTCCGAGTTGCAACCGCCTTGCCACTGGCAAGTGCATTCAATGCCTTCCTTTTCGTTGTATGATGGTGGCTGTACATAGAGATAGTATAGAAAACCTCCATGATAGCGGACCTCCGGCCGTTTCCCCTTCAACTCGAAGGTTGCGAGGGAGAGGGCGAGAAACTTTGCGGTATTGATATTAACTAGTTCCAAACGAACTGAATCCCAGCCAATCACCTGAATACGACAAATAATCTCGGGCATGAAAGAGACGGAGAGGCCATGAGTGCCTCGACCTGCACAACGAATCCTAAGGAAATGTCACGCTGGAACCAAAATAGGCGGACTGTGTCACAGGCGTAACGCGGTGGGTAAAATGTGACGGGACGCGTCCGTGACGCTCTATGAAGCACGCCACCACATGCTCCTTTTTCTTCATTCGTTCCTCTACAACACTTGGATGTTATTGACCTCGCAGACGGTGCAATGAACAGGCGATTGGATACCCTTGTGAACACTTGCGCCCGTTTTCGTTTCTTGGGCAGTCTGTATCTGTGGCTCGGCGACGCTTCGACGATGATCTCGGTCGGCCAGGAAATTCTCTCTGCTCCTGAGTTGGCTCTAGGAACTCGTGCCTTGTCTCTCTAAGCATCTTCTCTCTACCTAGAGGTCTTTACCAACGTCAATCGCTAAACTCGAAGGCCTTTCAGGGGCTCCTTTGCCTTTTGCAGCATGCATTTCTCACGATTTGATTTGTTCTCGCAGCGTGCTTCGTGATTTTGTGACAACTCAACCCCAAACTACCGTCACTCTGGTCACTCTCGGTCACGACTTGTCACTGGGCGCCCTCACCGTCACGCTAGAGCCCAGGAAGGCGACGCGATCTCCACGAAAATCCATTAATCAAATAATAGTCCCACAACAACCAAATCAGACTGCTTTGTTATGGATGGCCGTTCAAGCATCGATGTAGGCGACTCTCCCATTACCCCAGCACGGGCTGGGGGCTCTAAGCGTACCAAGCGCCCAAGGGAGGATGAAACAGAGAGTCAAAGGATCAAACGCGAAAAAGCTGCAGAGCGTCAACGACGGAAACGCGAGAGGGATCGTGCTCAGGCTCAGGCGGAAGCAGCCCAGGTTCAGGTTGCTGCAACCGCCGCCATTATGGCGCTCGGAGGGGCAGATCCTCTAACACAATTTGCCCATCTACAGGCCCAAGTCCAACATCCCGAGCCACCTGTTCCAGTCGCCCAGTCGCCCATTCCACCACCGATATTTGCTGCAGCCAATCTCACCGAACAGGCCCCTCGACTGCCACCAATTTCAGTTCAGCCTCAGGTACCACCTCCGCCCCCAGCGCCAGAGCCAGCACCGGAACCAACACCAGCTCCAGCTCCGCCGTCGCGGTCCAAGTCCCCAGAGTCACAACAATCGCCTTTAACACCGGAAGAGCTTGAACGGAGGGAGAAGGTCCGTGCAGCAGCGAGAGAGCGGCAAAGGAAGCACAGACTTGCTGTTAAGCAGCGCAAGATGCGAGAGCTAGGACTCGACGTCGATTTAATGACCGGCGCCATCGAAGATATTCCATACCAACCACCACCACCCACTTTCGTTCCCGAATTGCCCATCGCGCACTCGAGTTTTAATGATTATCCCACCCAAATTCATGGGGGCCAAACGTTCGCTTCAACACTCCTTCTCTCCTTTTCCTGTGCTCCTCTGTTGAAAGCCCATCTGTTACGGACGTTAAACATGACTAACGAAGAGCTGGCCTCTCTGGAGCCTGTTATTGCGGAGGCTTGGGATCGTTGGAATGCTCAGGTTCGTCTCCGCCATTCTCTGCCGTATTCGTAGCTCATACTTCCGGACAGAGACAACTACACTACGCTGAGGCGGCGAAGAATGGTGTACCCGTTCCTCCACCTCCAGTGTCCGGTCCTCATCCAGCATTCCCTGTCGAATTGGCTGGGCACCCTCATCCTATACATCTACACCCGCCGCCACCAGGACACTTGCCCGCGCACCTAGTCCCGCCACACCATTCTCAGGTATCCACGCTCCTCCCCCCTCATTTATCCCCTCATGTTGCCCAGCAGCCTGACCAATCACCCTCTTCACCCCAGCAACAGCCGCCTCAACCATCTACTCCCCAAAATCAACATCAACAGGCGCAACCTCCCTCCTCTCCAGTGACACCCCTCCAGCACCACCCTCCCGCGCCAACGTTTGCCGTCTCGAGCGGACCGAGCCTCTCACCTCACCCAGCTCCACCAGAGACCAACCCCGCCCTCGACTTCCGCGCTCGGTTCTCAAGCCACTTAAATCGACCCATACCTTCTGCGTATAGGAATCTGTACGGGGATTCGTCTCCGAGCACCTCGACGACTGGGAGTTCGAGTACAGCGCCGAGCAGCAGCAGTTCGACGAACTCGGGGAATAGAATAGAGGATGCGGATATTGATCCGCATCTCATGGAGGAGGATGGTCGGGCGGGAGAGAAAAGCCCATAGTAATGGCTCGGGGTGATATTGCCTTTCCCATTCACTGGCTTGTATCAAAACCAATATCCCTTCCTTTCGCTGTTGACGACCTTTCACGAGTCCCTTCTTATCTTCTTCCATTCCTCCCTTCATCGCCCATACCCGATGCCTGCACCATGATTCACGCCATTTTCACGATCCATCCATCCATCCATACATACCATTGATGTAGCAAAGCAAACTCACCAGCAACGATGCATTCCTCGAATCCCTCTAACATTGTAATCATTAATCCTGTTGTTTTTAAACTATGATCCCTGGCTCTGTGTTCGCTTACCTTTTGTATGATTGTTCTGCAGGTCTGTAGATTAGGCGGCCTCCCCCTCGCCATAGGTGATTCCGGTTTCTGTGCCACCGCCGAGAGGGCGAGGCTGTCCAAACCTAACAAACGCAAATAATAACTTTGAATCGAAGTCGCAACATTCAATACTCACCGAGGATCCCCGTTCAGTGAAGGCCTGAATACGACCCATACCTTCAGGGCACGACTTACGATATGAAATCTAAGCTATACCGACACGTCTCAAGCGTTGCCTTCATAGTCCTCGGGGCATCGACGATACCAACAGAAACGCACGGTCCCTAGAGTCAATTTCTCGATATGGCTAACGAGCTGCCTGAAGGTGAAAACCATAAATGAAGGGATGGTAAACCAGAATGGCAAGTCCTACGGCCTCCAGGCACTCTTCGGCAAACTAACAGTGGTCCGTAGAGATCATTTCCCGGCGGCGTTCTGAGTATCGCGGACATTGGACTTGCTCCAAACGTGCGCCCTTTAATTTTCGCTCCGTAGGAAAGCCTCTTGCCGCCGTTCAGCTCTGGGAAGTCGGGCTTACTCTTTCCTGGATCGGCAACTGAGCATGAGGCTCTACTTGCGTCCCCGAGATTGGGTCATATCCCTTCTACTTATGGGTACCAGAACGCCGAAATGAAAGGAACACAGTGACCGTGACCTCATCTTTGCGGGCGCTCGGTGCAGGCCGGAGAGGACGTCAAGGCTATAGGTAGGCACAGAGGTCCCCAGGGACCCTATTTCAAATAGGGTGGCACGCACAACGCGGCCTCGCAGTGATTCTGAAACGTTTTAAGAAGAGGACTTGGGATTGTCGGCCCTGATCTCTGGGTTCCATTCAAGAGCGGGAGTCACTCGAGAGTAGGCTACCTGGCTACTGAATCCCGATTGGTCGAACTGCTGGTTTATTCCTGCTCACTTCAGCATCTACATTAAACGCATACATATTGCGTAAAATGCTTTCAGGGTTTCTTTCCTGGTGATCTTGCCATGCGGAAAAGGTGTGTAGGGCTGTTGCCAGGCGGCGTGAGTCAATTAAAAATTGAAGAAAGGCCATCTTGAGAAAGTTGCGGTTTATTGTGGCGTTACCCTAAAGTCTGTGGGCTTATCGTATGCTAGTGTGATATGGTGTGACGTGGAGAGTGTCTGTCCAGAAAATACAGCTGAGTTCGATTGAGTTGCAGTCATTACCACCATTCTGTGATTCTACGAAGTCGATGAGCGGACTCGCTGCCAGCAGGTCTCTGTAGGAGTATATGGTCCAGGCATGCACTGCTGGAGTACACTCAACTCCATCTAGCTTGGGAATTGACTTGTTGAGCATGACTCCCCGCTTCCCCATGGCCCGAATCCGATCGACTTACCTCAGTGAGTTGGGGCCCCAACCTCGATGACCGAGCTTCACGAAGGATTTCAAATATACTACAAGTCGGCTTTCACCAAAGTCAACGGACCCCCCATTCTCTCATTAACAGGTACCGTTGAGTACACTATTACTCCAGTTGGTTGACCTTTGCTCAATCCAGCCAGCGGCGACACCAAACCAACTCGAAACACCTTCGACGAGCTTGCGTCTACAATGTGGCAGTCATCTCTCCAAAGTGACTCGGGAGTTGAGCAGCTCATACAGGGTGAGCCACTTCGGTGTTAGCTTCGCAAGCACAGTGAGCCTGTTGGAGTCCAACGAGGCACGGGCAGCAGATTAGATAGGAAGGTGACATTCCGCGATTGGCCATGTGTCCGAGATAAGATAAGATGATCCGCGCGAGATAACGATCTGGATGATCGGGGGTCCCGAGCGCGCGCAGCCTTACTTGGGAAGCGATTGTCCCTTCTAGATGGAGCATTTTCCTAAATTCCTGGTAAGGTAGGTTGGTAGACGTTCAAAACCAGGATAGGATTGAAAAGTGCACTCGCCTCCTGGTAGACTCCAAGGTTCGAATGTCGCGATCGTCAACCCTTCGCCCTGTCGGAAGAGCCGTGCTCGCCATGGACAGCTGACCTGGATGTCAGAAGGAACTATAGGAGTACAGTAGGCTTGCGTGGATCGACAGAGCCAGGCCCGAAGCTATCATGCAACGTGCCCAGATCACGACAAGGTTCGAGCAACTGACCTTGGTTCAGTTCCCTTGCTCTGGACGAACCTTGTCAACGCCACAGACAGAGAAGTCTTCTCTCCGTAAATCGTGCTCAAACTTGACATAGATAATGGCTCTGTGGGGAAGGAGCAGACCTGTCACCCCGTATCGATCTTGATCACGCCTATTTATCGATGAAGATCGATTTAATATCTCGATTGGAAGAGCATTCAGAAGGGCAACATCCTCCCGAACCTGCGTGACTGGAATAAGCTGTGACATGCTCTGGCGTGCGATTCGAGTGACTAGGGAATTAGATTGTGACTATCGACCTCGAATAGATTAGATTCAATTATCATGGAAATACAACCACTTGCTCACCCGTGATATGATCTGAAGTGTTCTCCCGTGTCCATGGGACAAGCACGATGTCGACGTCTCTGGATCAGGTGAGATCAACGGATGCTCTCTACAATGTGGCGCGGTATCGCTGTTGTACCTCGAGCAGCTCGACGGAGGCAGTTGTGGGAGGTAGACCAGTCCGCTTTCGAGGCTCGAGGCGACCACAGGAACAGCGAGGACGCTACACGTGTTTGTAGCTCGTTACACCGCAGGAAACTCCAGTGAGTGCATCAAGCCCGCTTGCGTAAGACCAAAATTACGCCTCGTGTCACAATTTAAGCGCTCGTTACAGGATTTAACCCTGTGTAACTTTAATGAAAAAGCGTATTAGTGGCCTCGTTGTACTAGGCACGAGGCGTAACATGTTGCTAGTGGGTGAGAGCAGTGGTTTCACGAAAGGGCTGTTCAAGTCGTAGGTGAATATCTGTCGTCTAGACCGGTGCTGTAACGATATGTTGAGTTCATTTCCGTTGCCAGAAGGCAACGAGGATGGACCAGACAGGTATGGACTGCGAATGAGACACGTCGGAAGTGACAAGGTATGACCTTGAGTTGGCTGCGTTCCCGAGAATACCATGGACAGTGCCCGTTCGACGAGATTGAGTAGAGGCGCTTATGGCAAAGTCAAGATAAGAAAGAAGCCGCTTGAGCTAGTATGTCTGGTGCTGTGCCACACATCACTGTCAACAGCAACAATGCATGAAACGGCTTGAGGCGGCCATGCGCTTTGATTCGCAGTAGGAAAAGTACTGAGAACAGCCAACAAGGCCCCAGGTGGTGGTATTGACAGTGAGCTGGCCCGACTACCTGTTGCAACTCCGACCAGCTGCACCAAAGGGTGGGTATTGGGATTTGAGAGCATCGAGACGAAAAGCGTCGACCTGGTGGTAACCACGGGGATCAGGTGTTGAGGTACGTGGGAGCTTGGATAGTCAAGAAGTTGGCTGCTGCAATGTGGGACAAAGATTAGGTTAATAGTGAGCATGGCGGGGTTGCGCAAGTTGGTTGGAGAGAACGCTCGACGCCCGGCATGTTCCTTTTCTTTCCCACGGCAATCCGCACCCCCCCTCCAAAGGCGTTTAGGCGCCCAGGATCCCGTTCTTGAAACCACGGCTGCCACTTTATAGACAAGAGATGGGCTTCATAAAGTCGTATGATGTAGAAGAACATCTTTGATGTGATACCGCAGGTTGAGAAAGGCCATTCAGCATTACAGTAACGATTTCCATCGTTCAGCCTACGACAGAATCGCAGAAGGATGCGAGCGATTGATTATACACGTTTACATCGGAGTTCTATGTTCTACGTGAATCAACCAGCTCAGCTCATCTCTTTCGAATTGATGTGGTATGAATCTATAATTAACCAATCCACAGTGGGTGATGGGCCTTGCACAGCTTCAACACCACTGCGCAATTCTCGGTGCGCGACTGTCGGATCGGTCAAGATGTACTAGCGACATTTTGTTATCACCAATAGACTGTCCATTGGCTCACAGGTGGAGTGACTTTGGTGGTTGTTGAACTTCGAAACTCTCGCGATGGGGGTTCGTCGATGTTCGTCCTCGATCCTTGTTCAGTGGTGGTTCTCCGCATCTCGTTATAGTGGAGTCCGTGACGGGCCTCGGGAATTCCTAAGTTCAAGTGCTGTTCTGGCCAAGATAGAAGATATAGCATTCTCGTCTAGAAAATGGAGGGCCGCGTATCTTCTCGTGGTGCTAATTCGAGGATCGAATGTACTGGGCGCCGCGGACATCGCTGCGTACCGTCACCGTCCTAATCATACAAGCTATGGTCGCTCAGTCAGCGTTGGGCTATCTTTTGAACTACAAGCAACTGTACGTATACCCATATCAGTTACTTATCAGTCAGCTTCATCCTTGTCGAGCTGGTTCGGTATGTCGGCGAGTCTGGGGAAAAGCGCAGTCAATCAAATCTCTGGGATTTGCGGTCGGTGACTATCACTCGCGGGTACCTGCCGAGCGGAAACGTCATATCAGACACGAGTCATTAACACCTTCAACAGCAGAACCAGCTGCGCTTGCTAAACAAACGGAAGAACTCGGATTAGAACCTAACCACCAGGTTTAGTGTGAGATGTGAGCGCTACTGGCAATAGATTGCATTGGTCACCCGGCAGGCTTAGCAATCACAGGGTCTGGGGTATTTTCGAGAGAGTTCTTCACGATCATAAACGGCCGCCGCGCTGTACTAGCACACATCTTCATGATACTCTTGTATGAGCAAGCAAGCATGTCATTTTCCAACCTTCGAAAGTCCAACAAAGTTCCACTTGTACGCAAGTGGCGGCTAGACCTCTCCTCGAGAGACAACCATGATGTCATACACTATGCTGGGACTGCATCACCTCCTTCCGCTCGTACCTCGGAGGAACCGTGCACGAAGATTGGAACACAGCGTATCCTCGGACCCAGGCCAAGGAAATGGAATAGACTCCAATCGATTCACTACGGAGCTCAATTCAATGAAGGACTCTTGTCAGCCCAGTGGAAGAAAGGCTCGGATCCAAACCAATACCGCCACATTCCTTCCTACTGATTCAGAATCGAACCTCCACCTTTGGAATGCTCAACCGGCTCGTCTTCCATCTTGGACCATTGTACTACTAACGCACTTCGATTACCTGTCGCAAAGGTTTCCTAGTTCCTTTGCGCTTGATTCTCGTGAAACGCCAGATGGCGCGACTTGTAACTAGCCTCGAAGGAGTGCGCTGACAATGGAACCCCGTCGCCAGTGGCAATTGGTCAGGACCAGTGGCGATGGGAACGCGAGTGACAAAGAAGAAGAGGTGGAAGTATGTATGGCGCAATGAGGGAAGAGGCGATAGGACCGGAGGCTGGGATGAGGACAAGATAGTAAACGAGATAAGATGATTAAGGAGGATGCCGTCGATAAGATTAGATTATCTGCACAATTAGCCCCTATGATCAGGAGACCTGTCCTCGTTTCCTTTCGAAGGTGCAAGTGTCCTCCCACTTGAGCCTAGAACCACATAACGCATCGCATTCGGGTTAGAGGACCGCGACTCTTCTAACTTAACCTGCCCTCCAAGAGAAGGACGCCTGCTCCACGGAGTACACATCCGCGATGATTTCGACGAGGGCACTCATTCAGGCCAAGCTCAGGACCTCCTTTGTATGTCTCCATATCTTCTCATCAATTATAGACTAGGCTCGTAGCCTCGAGGATACAGTGCGATCCATTGGTAATCTTTCCCAATTCTAGCACCAGCATCCCTCTGCCCTATCTTTCCAAAACTGAGTTTCGTAGTTTCGGACTCGGCTCCCGAGGTCCAATCCTTTTTGTTCCTACGGTTCACCTGCCAGCTGGCTGTCAAAGATGTTCTAAGCTCTCAAGGCCTCTGCTTCGGCCTTCCAGAGGAACTCTACCCGGAATCCTCCTATACAGTTTGCAACCGGTGAGAGAAACCAATACCTAACCCGACTCACGAACCACTTCCGGGGTGCAAGTTTGCCGGCGTCTAGAAAGGTTACAGCCGAGTTCCAATTCTCGAAGAGGCTCCTATAGGACGGGACACACGTCCATCCGATCCTTCCATTGCTCTCATTCCACGTACTGAGACTTGAGCTTCCCATCGGAGGGAAAGTGAATCCACCGTGGCGCGTGTTCTCCGAACATCTCGGCATCGCCAAGCCAGTGAAGGTGTCCCTCCAAATCCAACCAATACCATTACGAGTAGCCCGCGTCCACTTCTCCAACATTCCTGAAAGTTCGCGCTAATCGGGTACGGCGTGGCCTCGACGCCTTCTTCCTATCACAATGTCTCTTCGAGAAAGTGAAGATCCTCCAAGTTTCCAATTGCTTCTGGGTGGCCGGAAGAGACGCCCTTGGAATTCCACAGAGAACCACAGACCATAGCGCGCTCGGTTCGCCAGACCAGTTCCCATTCTCTCAAAGGTCTATTAAAGGCCCTGTTCTCCCGCAGATGCACACTGACATGGTATGTATATTAAAGTCTGGATGAAGCAAATAGAAACGGAAGCTGGGTTCGATGGTTCGATGGTTCGATGGTTCGTCCAGAACCTCTGTATGAGATTACATGTTTCGCCTCATGGAAAGTAACGCTCGCCTATTGGTTACTTTCAAGGAGCAGCTTGTCTCCCCGAGTCAGTTCGAAGTCATGGTTCCAGACTCTCTCCCCTCGTCCAATGAACTTCAATTGCTGTATTCAACATCCATTCGCTTTTCCAAAGTTGTCCCAAGTTCCAGACACAGTCGACTATGGATACCGGGCCAGCTGGGACGACGCGTCCGGCATGAGAAGGTCCGAGACACCCAAGCTTCTTTCAATGGAATTGAGGAATCGCTTTCCGTTTATTTGAGCTAACAGCATTCCATCAGGCTTATAATACTCCCACCTAGCCAATCGTGTTCATCGGTGATACTATGACCTTGTCCTCGAGGAGGAACTTGAGACCTGCCTCGAGGCGAACGACCGACCTTCGTCTGCAGCTGTTGATTACTGATTACGCTATTCGTTGAGAACTGGGATAAGATTACTCGAACTCGCGTTGGCCTTCAGGCCTCAGGTCTAGATTATATACCGATGTTGTGATACGTAGGCAAGGGCCATGTTTATCACAACCATGCACGCATTGCTCGTTCGTTCAATTGTAACCTTTGAGCTCTATAATTAGGCTGTAGAGAACAACGTGTCCTATGCGAGGTATGATACAGAGATTTGGTCGAAGTGTGTATACTACTACTATCTTCTATCCTCATCTCATCTATCGCGCAATCCATCTCGTCTGACACCTACTACCACCTGTTACCCAGATTCGAAAAACGAACCGAGTCATTTGGGCGACTCGTGAGGGTGGTCATGGGTCCTGGATCCTCAATGAGCTCGCCTTCCCCTCGTCTCAGCATCAAGAACGAAATCTGCACACAACCTCGTGTATCCTACACCATCTACCCGAGCTCCAGGCGTCTATCTACAATCTCATCTGCACCGAGGCTAGTTACTTATCTAGAAAGGAATCGTCACCATCTAAGCAATCTAGTACACACAATCTACGTTCTGTTCTATCTATTCAATCGCGCCTCGTGTTATACTGACATCACCTGTATGTTTGCGGGGAAAGGTGCAACCCCGGGAAACAGATTCTCGGTGATTGCAGTTAGCCAGTGGGTGGGGGCCTTGTCAGGTGTGTACGGTGAAATGGAATTGAGTTGTGAATTTGGTGATTAGATAACTGGTGTACTGTAATGTGAAGTGTAGTGACCTCGTATGTCCTCCGAGGTTAGCGCCCTCTGATCTGGCGCCTAACACCATCCGATCAGACAGTCACACTCGTACTACGCACGACCTCAAACAGCTAGCATGTCAACCGAGTGAGATAGATAGAGTGAGATTCACTAGGATCTTCAAGTATCAAATTCGGAACGAAAGTAGATCACTACACACATCCCGTACTAGTAGTAGTAGATGGGTCAAGCGGAAGTCGGGTGGGTGACGCTCGTTGGCACTTCCCGGGAGACGGAAGTAAATCTCAGTTAGCTTACCGCGACCTTGACTCCCGACTTCCGAATATACTTCCGAGTCACGGTATCTGACCGCCTTGTTCTTTTCCAGGTTAGAGTTACCGGTGGTTCACTTTATCGAACCAGATACCGCGCACAGCTGAGTTGAGAGCTTTCCACAGCTGCCAGTGCTCTGTGATGGAAGGGTCCGGAGGTCATAGAACAAAGGCTCGGGAAGTATGGAAGTAAGAAGAAAAAGAATGCTACTTAAAATACCACACGTATATACGTATACGTATTCGGAGCGCCTCTTCATTGCCTAGACGTACGATTCGTATTCTTCAGGTTCACGCTCAATAGGCATAGGCATACACTTACAAGAATGACTTTCATCAAGTGCACCAGCGAAGTAGGGTGCACACGTCTTCGAATTCGCGCGGTCGATTTATTTAAATCGTGTGACTAACTCACTGCACCGAACGGGGCTGAAGAAAAGACATCCGAGTCTATCCTCCTAGTCTAAGAACTCGACCTCTGAGAACAAAGATCCAAAGATTCCTCGACAGCTCCAATCCAATCTCGACAATTGTGATTCAGGAGAAACAAATCGAAGCACACAGGCAAACTCACCACGCTGAGCAAAGTTCCAACCACGAATCGACAACTCAACCAAACCGTGATATCAAGGACTCGGAAACTTGAAAGTCGATTACCTTTTAGCCAAGAACGATGCAGAAACGGATTCTTGGATTCTCTCAGGGTGCTCAAGAGCGTTCAACGTTGAATTGGAGCCTCTCCTGTTTTAAATTTAAGTTCCCGTGCCCCATTAATTAAGGATTTAGGGGGACGAGGAAGGGCTCAAAAACGTACGACGGGACTGGTACATAGTAGACCAGGACATCCCCATGCACGAGATGAACGCGCGCCTATTGGCCAGAACTTGTCTTGTCCTTTGATGTGATGCTCTCAAAAGGAAAGAGGGACCTCTTGGGAGTTCTTGGAGAGTTATGTTTAGAAGCGAGTATCTACCGGAGAGGTGCATTGATCTGTCGTGCAGGGTTGTGAATCTCAGCTGAATAAAGGAAGGCGAGGAAGGGAAAGGAAGATTGAATCAAGATCATGTAGTAGCGAAAGAGAACGTTATCGTCGTCGAGACATGCTCAATGACTGGGCATCCTGGGCGACGCTTCAAAGCGTGGACGGGATGTTAAGCTCATCTCGGAAGCCTTAGATAAGACTACCACCTCGAAGTGGAACGCTTAAGGCTGACTCGAAGATTTGTGAAGCCTGATGTCAATGACTGCCGGGTATCTGGGCTCCCGGCTCAAGCCTCCCATCGTACTCCCACCACTCACTCCCGGATGCCATCGCAGTTAGAATTTGGAACCTTCAAATCGTCAAAGCCAGTCATCCAGCCAACCTTTCGTTCGTCATCGATTGACAGCCTTTCGAAGTGCGTCATGAAGCGTATAGCTTCGTATGTAGATTCGTAAGTAGGAAGCTAGTCACCGAACGTTATCTTTGGAATCAACAAAGTGGAGGATGGTCAGAGAAGGATGGATGAGGGTATCAGTGTTTATGGTGTGAACTCGTACCGTTTATCGTATAAGGAGGAGTCGAGCCACGGTTTAGCCTAGGCTATCGTGTTGGACAGCTGATCTTAAGTATAAGGTGTCGTACCGTTTATCAGGGACTACTAAGATCGAAATGTGAGAAGTGTAGTGAGATAGATAGATGCCTCGTCGAGCTTGGCCGTTAGTAATAGTAATGGGCGGTTTACCTAGGTTCGGTTGATTGCTTGATTGTTGATAGCGGGAGTGCGAGTGGGAGCGGGAGCGAGTGAGATGATACATACACAGAATGGATTGAGTTCGTAACGAGTACACCGAGCACGCCGAAGGAGTTTAACGTGGATTCATCCAGGGCCCTGTAAAACGAAAACCGCTGACAAGACGTTTCAGAAAGCCATCCACACTCGCATCGACCTAAGACCCAAGCATCAACCCGCCCAAAACCCACCTCCGAGTCCAAGTCCAAAGCCCAAGAGCCCGCCATGCATGACCAACCTCCGAAGAAAAGCCCCCCTAGTCATCTCCGCTTACGCGCGCCAGCCCGCGCCCTGACGGAAATCACCACACGCAAAAAAGACGCGCTCACTTCCCTTTTCAGGCGTTTTTTTTTTTACAATTTGCATCCGCCCGCCGCGTGCGACGCGTCGCGACGGGGCGGAAAATTTGAAAATGGGCCAGAAGAAGCCACGCTGCCGACGAGCAGCGACGAGCTTGGACGAGACGAGGTGGGCCTGGTTGGTCAATGGTCATGACAACATCTCTCTGGCTTGCGCCTTTAAAGTTTCGTGCAATTGGATTGGTTGGTTCCTTGGATATCCCGCTGCGACAAAAGGTCGGCCGAGCGACGGACTAATTAAGTGCGCAACCCACGTGTGATTGTGAGCAAGCCGGACAAAGATGATCCTTGGGGACATTCGGATAATCACGACAGTTACGGGTTACGCGGTTACGGACGGTGTGGTTTGTGAGCCAGAGGTGTAAATCACGACGATGGAGAAGTGGTGAGGGATATCACGGATTGGCAGCAACAGAGGGCCGAGAGGCAACGCATTGTGTGGAACGTTGGGTTACATGCGAGGCCGGGCGTGGACGAGAATGCAACGAGAGGCCGAGTGTCCGAGAGGCAATTGCAACATGATAGAGCGCAAAGAGGCTGGTTGGCATGGTTGTGTTTGTGAACTGGGTGTAACAAAGCCAAACCGAGGTCCCCGTTCGGAAGCATACATATCCAGTAACGGATACCAGGAACAAAGAGCCCTAATAGATAGCCATCATAGCTCTACCACGAGTGTCTTCCCAGGCGGGCGTACTCGGAAAGCAAAGGGCAGTGGAAGGTTGCAGAGCAGTAACATTGAATGGCGGTCATGGGATCGTTCCTCAGCAGCAGGCTCCGAGCTTCCCGCAGTAAGGACATCATCGCCTCCAGCCAGGAAAGCAGAAGATGCTCTGTCGGGACGGGGTTGGCCGATAAGATGGCTACTCGCTGCGACAGGATATCGAAGCGTCGAGGACTTTCCAGTGGGATCGGACCGGCTCATAGACACGCCGAGTGTAAATGGTGTATAGGACATGTTCTGAGAAGGGTTGAATACTTATGTTTAGTGGAAGAAGGCTCAAGGCTCCGCAGGAAGTGGAGGTCCGAGTCATGATCGATAATCCGAAGAGTGCGATGAGTCAAGGATAGGAAGAGATGTGTAGGTAGGGTCAAAGCGGTGTATGGAGGGCACGAAGGGGAGCACGAGGTGAGTCAGGTGGGAAGGAAGGACAAGATGAAAGAACATGAGGATGTAGTGGATGAAAGGGAAAATAATTATTGAAAGGCATAAATGTCGGCTACTTGGCTCTGGGGAAACCCTTTGAATTGAACGAGGCTTGTGCATGTGTGTGGGGTGACGTATCGGAGCGAAGCAGAGGGTCAAAGGGACTGGTTCGGTTCGATTCCAGGAAAGGAAGGTCCGGCTGGCCCGGCTTGTTTTTGAGATCTGGGAGTTTAGGAAGCCTGATATATCCAGAGGCCGAGTTTATATAAAGCGATAGGCGAGAGCTTGGCGACCCACGTCCTGTCCCCCACACTTCCGCTACTTAACAGCGTTTTCCAGCGACGTCGACCACAGCCAACATGATTGGCTCTTCACGTTCCACGACTTATGACAGACAGCGCGACGACATCTCACGTCTCCTCGACCCCTCCTACACAACTTCCTACTACCGCTCAAACAACAGACAGCGAGCTTATGTAGACGCCCACGGCGACTTGCACGACCCCGACTACCGCCAGTTCCCCCTCATCGCACGCACAAACCGATACCACCCACCGGGAACAACCCGCTCACACTGGGAACTCGTCGACGAGGACTCGGCTTTGTGTCTCGACGATGACGACGACGACGAGTACAGCACATACTACAACAACAAGCGCAACTCGTTCTCGTCAGCGCGGTATTCGACAAAGGCACGCCAGCAGCCGTACCACTACGCTGCGACGCGCCGCTCCAACTCTCCCACACTGGGAGTGTACACCTCGTCCGGAGCCGTGCTCTCGTCACCCACAGGAGGGGTCTCGCCCGTCTCCACATTCGCTTCCTCATCCGCCTCATCATCATCCATCCTCAGCCCATCCGGCAGCCCCTTTGACTCTGACGAGTCCCCCAAGGAGAAGCCGCGGTGCCGCATCTCGGCGTTGAAGAGGAAGCGCAGACGGTCGTCGGTGGCCACGCTCGACAGGGAGCACGATGAAGACCGAGCCAAGCTCGCACGACACGACGCAGTAGAAGGACAGTGGAGACGGAGTTGGGAGGAGCAGCGGAATAGATTTGTGGAGGAGGTGGATGAGGAGCATGAGGAGGAGGAGGAAGAGGAAGAAGAGGAAGAGCATAGGCAGCGGCGGCAGCGAGAGGAGGAGAAGGATCACGCACCCACATGCGCAGAGTCGCTCAAGCGGCAGTGGCAGGCTTGGTCGTTGAGGATCCGCTTTGGCATGTTCAGAGCCGAGAGGAGGATCAAGAGGAGGGTACAGTCTCTCATCTAGACTTGTCTTCTTCCCATTCAACCAACGACACGACGGCTCATTCGCATTTCATCATCATCATCATCATCTATCGGCATTCGCATATCAGCATCTTCACTTATTCTTCTCGCTCGGACAACAATCGCAACGCATCTATGGTCTTCATGCAATCTCAAACGCAGCTCGAACATTCCAACTCCTGTATTTTTACCAACCATTCGGCATCTCACCCATCATCTCCCTTTTTTATTCTCGCTTTGCTTCATATCATCGGATCCATGATACCCCTTCTTCGTCTTTTGGGCTGGACAGTCACTTTATTCTTTCATCATCACACCTTCCACATGCTTCGTTTCAAAACAGCTGTATCCTTTATGCAAAGCGCTTTTTCCACCCATGTAGTTTTATCTTTTCTCCTCTTCTTCGGCTTCAACTCCATCGATTCGCGGAAATCCCAATCTCCTTTTCCCCCGTTTTTTCTTTCATCATCACGTTTTAAAAATCCCTTTTCCCCCTCTTCCTATCCGGACACCACAACACCTACAACAACAACATCTACATGCCTCTTACACGTCTTCTTCATTGATTTATCAACGGTATTTACGAACATGAAACTAAAGGGGCGAGGGCGGTGTAGGACTCGGAGGCGCTTGATGTGCTCTCCAGAGGTTACCCCCCTCTCTTCCCCCTCAAACATTGTAACGATACGATGACGCTTCTTTTTCTATCTTACCTAGAGTGCTACATCCTTTAGGTACTGCTACGTAGAAGACGCCTCTCAAAAATTAACGCTGATGATTTACGAACTCAAAACCTTTTTTTTGTGAAACTTGAGTTGAGAACTTGGATTGGAGTTGAGCGATTAATCTGAAGACAACTGTCCATTGGACTACATCGCCTCATTGAAGGCGGACTCGGAGCGCAACCCGACCCTCGCAAGGCAACGACAACGACGCGCACTAGCCTCGAAACGGTCTCCTGCGGTTGCCCCCTATTAGCGTATGTAGTTTGCCACGTCGGCTGCTAGCAACCGCCGCCGGGGCCTATCCCGAATCCCAAGCCAAAGCGCCTCCTCACCACAGCTCTTCATGATCACCAAGGCTTCTACTTAGCGGAGACGACATCAAGCTTCTAGGGCACGGCATCGAGGCGGCAGAGGTGTAATAGCCAATGGGAGAGGTTGAATACGGGCTTGTAGATGGTCCTGAATTGGCTTTTGCGGGTCTGAGTGCGCCCGCCTGCCCGCCCCCCTGTACCTGGCTATAGTAGTGGTTCGTTTCTAGGTCCAAGACTTTTAGATCGAGGAAAAAATATTTTTTTGGAGGTGGTGATGCTTCTTCGAGGCTTGTGTTCGCCGCTGTTGCGTTTGATGTGAGGAATATCTTCCGGTGTTGTGTTGTGTGTGCCTTGGAAGTTGGTGGTTAATATATTGGAATGGAACGTACGGCGACGGGGACCTTAGTGTTGGACGCGACCGCCGCGACTTCCATGTGGGTTGAGGTCAAAGAGCGGTCGTTATTTTTGTTAAATTTAGTGTTAGAGCAACGCTAAAGAACGTACGGCTTTGATACACCGAACAAGAATTAGAGGAAGCGAAGGAGAACTTCAAGTTAGACTTGGGTTTGAGCTGAGTCCGAGACTCCGAGTCTATCGCGCATCGCGCGAGCCACCACACCACCAACACTCTTCTCTTCTCTTCGATTTCAGAATGTTGGCCTAGTAGGCCATTGGAAGACGATGTGGATGAGAACAAGTTTCAGAAGGGAGCGCTACATCGAATGGCACTCGTTGATTAGATAGCTCTTCACTTATTAATTACTCGTGCTTAGCGAGCGCTAATGAGATCTTCCATTTCTTGGAGTTTTGACTCGATTGATTCGAGGTCTACACAGCTCTGCATCATCCTGTTCATCATGGTGATTTATGAGTGACTGAGTAAGGTGGTCTCAGAGTAGGAGTATAGTAGTACTTCCTACTCCATGCGCAGCGCCTAGTAGTAGTAGTAGTAGTAGTGGCTCACTGGCAAAGCATTGGGAAAAGGAGAGAATTCAATTCGTTTTTACGCGCCCGCCGCGCCAAGCCCAAGTCCGAGCCCAAGCTTGATGCGCATCACCAGCAGAGCTTTAGGGGGATCGTCGCCGGCGACTGCCGAGTCCCGACCACCGAAACATCAAACCGAGACGCGCAATGCCGACGGGGTTTCAGCGGCGGGATACGTGCGAGTATCATGCGCGTCGGTGTATCCATGTAAGTCCCTAGGTGCGTATCGTCAAGGACAACCAACACCGATGGTTACTCAGAAGAGACCTAAAAAAAAAACAGCGCGCTGGCAGTGGAAAGCGTCGGCATGCACACCAATCAAGAAATCTGCGCGGCTCAACTTGAGAGCGCTTGGCGTGCCGTTTCTTAGGGGGTCGGTCTCCTAGGTACCGTCAAGCTTCTCCTGGTGGTACCTCTCCGCGCCCGCGTGCGTTCTCGATCGTTCGGCGGTGTGTTGCTAAGTACATACTTACATACATCGACACCATGGCGGATGTCTTCAATTGAACCAGACTGAACCCTGCGTTCGCTTTTCCGAGCTCATGTTTTGTTTTTGTTCGCGAAGCTGTATAGCCCGGCGCGTGTATGCGATATCATAGGAAAAAGGAAGTGGAGAACATGATATCGTACGTACATAGCTACTGCAGAGCTAAAGTTCGCGCCGGTAGTATCCCGACCTCGCCGAAGGAATTCAGAACTCGAAACAGCAGAAGAAGTTCACAACGGCTAAGCGCTACCCACCGGTACGGCTACGGCTACTTACCCTCCTCCTCCTCAACCTCCAACACCACCGGCCGGGCCCTACATACTACATAGTACACCGTCCCACCTTGAACACCTACATCGGTCACTAGACCCACCTCCTGGCGAGCTCTCCAGCCCCTAAGCGAAGTAACCGGACGTGCATCGTGCGCCTCCATGGGAAAAATCCACCACACTCAATTATGTTGGTGCGAGACGCGTGGTAGAGGATTTACGGTACGACGGGGGTAACGTCCCGATAGACGCGACACGATGCAGCGGCTATGGGGTGCATTCCCTTCGAATCCATTCCTTACCCGTGGTGTGTTACTTGAATTGGGAAAAAACCGCGAGGCGTGCTGTTAAGCGCCCTTGGTTTGTTTGTGGAAGGAGTGGGTGCTATCGGATGTGAGACCCGGAGGTTTGAGTTCGAGTTAGGTGGTAATTCTTTGGGGAGGAGCCTTGAGGTACTCGGTGGATTGACATCGCATCTGTCGTTGCTGCGCCATTGCATGATGGAAGAAGCTTTCGAAAGTCGTGTTATGGGTTGTTTCGACATAATAGGGTGGAAGCGTGCCGCGAAGGGTGTTGAGCGTTGTATGGTTTGAATACCGGTGTCCTTTGGATCGTTGACGGAGAGTCCAAATGTACCTCGTGCATCATTACAATCCCTTTTTCGAGCATTTCTGTATGGTAGTGTGAGCGCCTGTTCGCAATGAATCGGAAAGCTAATCCGATGGAATTGACCCTTCCACCTTTGTTATTGCGGCTTCTAGTTCGACTCGTTGCGCTTCCGCAGGAGGTTACGACGTAAAAGAAGAAAACACATTGCATTTCGGTGAATTTTGAACGTCGTATTACGACTATTTGAGAGTGGTTCGTAAATCTTTTGATCAGTTCAATTTCGGGTGACTTGAATACCCAGTTGGAATGATAATGATAAGATAAAAATGGGGTACGGTGTATACAGACTTCACCTCGTTCACCGACACGCTTTGAAATCGAAGTTCATACACCATACATACCGCATCACCTGTTCTCCGAGATGGACGAATCGAGGTTTAGTGCTCGGTATTCGAAGCAAACTAATTTCAATCGTTGTCGAACATCGTGACACACCCGCTCTTTCAACCATACCTTCTTTCATCTGCCTATCCCTTCAAGTTCCTCCAGACGAAATGCATGTACATAGCACGCGCATTATTCGATCATCACACGAAGGCTTGACCCCGGAGCCAAGCACCAAACCCCAGAAACCCCTAAAATCCAGCAAACCACCCTCCGTGGAAATCGAACTCGTAGCCTCGAGGCAGACAGCTCGAGCAGACCATGCTCGATGTACATGTCTGAGGGTTTCCCTTTCAGACATCTTTTCCCTTTTACGACACCTACTCGTGCTGCAGCCCTTTCAACGGAAAGACATTCCGAACGATACATATAGTCAGTCGATCAGGTGATCTTTCAAGTTTACTGTTCGCAAGGGGCGAGATAGAGCAACGAGGCAGGGGTTGGCCCTCGGAGGGCGACGCGAGGCAGGTTTAAGATGCCGGGGGTATGTGACCATCGGAAGGACGATAATCCAAAAAGATGGGGTTGGAGGGAACTGATAATCGACCCACTTATTTGTTTTTATCTCGGTCGCTTGATGATGATGGTCACGATGATCCATGCCGAGCTTGGGATGGTCACTGGTTCGGATGATCAGCTGTGATTAGTTTACTTGGACTTGCCATTGGTGTGTATGAGCTGTCCATATAGAGAGGACTGGGTAGAAGAGGGAGCTCGGGCATGGGATGTCGCGTTGCCGAAGGGGAAAAGGGGGGAGTACCGTACTTACTCCTCTTTCCGAAACCGAGGTTGTGGGAAGTTGTACTACTAGCAGAGTGAAGTACTAGCTACTGGTGCACAAGGAAGACACTACTCCTTGCTGCGGGAGTTCCATGAAACCGGCGTATCGACTCTTTCTTTGGTATGGAATTCGGGTTATTTTGGTTAGCACCTCATCGAGTTGGAAGCGGTGAGGAGCTGTGGCCTACGTACAGTAGCGATAGAAGTGAGTTGTGGGAGTGTGAGTACCAAAGTGAGCAACCCATTTGTGTGAGCTTTTTCTGATCCTTGTAAGGCTCATGAAACGTCTAGGGGATGCTATCTATGGGCATCCCTTTTCGAGTATTCTTGGGATGATGAAGCGGGTGGGACTGCTGAAAGCACTGAGAGTGGAATAGACTCTATTCATGCTAGAATAGACCGTAGCCATGGAATAAGAAACTACAACACCGCGTATATGAATGCATGAATATACTTACCTCGAGCCTTACTTTCTCCCCGACAGGGCTTCTAGAACTGCTCCGTGCTGTTGAATTCTTCCGAGCCCGACGTCTGAACTTGAATGCACCCAGATGTCCGATTCGGTGGCATGCAGTAGAACAGCTGTCTTCTGCTTGGAAGGATTCAGATGCGGGCAAGGTTCCCGTTGAGCTGGTCAGGTGGCACAATTGCATTCTACTGCTGTGTTCGCAATCGGATAAGGTAAGATTGAATGAGGCGGAGGTGCTAATTGAAGGGTTCTCTGGTCCCTTGAGAATGTTATTGTAGAGAAGAAATTGAAGGTGTTGTGCAAATCTTATTTCTAGTTGAAGTATACCAAGGCATTGGACTTTGACCGAGCTGATCGAAGTGCTAGCCATCATCGCCATCGATCATCCCTCGAAACTGACCAGCTGTTATTGTGGGCGCTTATTTGGAGTGAATACTATACCCGATTGGTCGCTCTGTTTGTTTCTGCCTTTTCTCTCAAATATATTGAACGTTGACAATTGCGGGTTTACTGATAAGGAGAGTAGAGCCCATGTAGCCTACTCGAGGGAGGCAGTAAACAATACGCGTTGACCGAATTGGGCTGTGCTGGAAAACGCGATCGTTTGTTGAACGAGACTCACCTATCTTGATGGGCTCGCCTCTTGTCCTTAGCGGATGGTCTCACCTTTGCCCCTCCTGAACAAGCTTGAATTGCTCGTTAAACAATACTGGGGCCGGTTGATTGGATTTGAAGCTCGGCTCCCTTCGGCGAATCAAACCTGTGTCCCGGGGACGATTTACAGCTTTGTTATTTCCCGGGTCGAGACTTGACTCGTTTTTCGACTTATATAGAGAGAAGTAAGCTCACGTTGGTAGGGAAGCCAGCATGCATGACTAGACAACATGAGCTATAGCTGTGTTGTAGGCGCACGGAAGTCAAACATTCATGCGATGATATTTCGGAAAGTGGGCGTTAACGCACCCTTCCCTGCACAACATAGTCCGAATGACAATAAAGAAATCAGTTTCAGGTCAATTGTAGTCTTTCGTTTATTCCATGACTTTAAGAAGGTAATAGCAGATAGACGGTGGAGCTGTGTGATTAGGTACGTAGGACCAAGCTGTCACTGCCGCGGCTCAGCGAGGCGAACCACCAGAAGTGGTTCGGTTTTCGAGGACACCGTGTGTACGAGTATGGGTGACCGTTGATGATACTCATTGGGTCGAACCTCCACATCCAAGTATGCAAGGACGCTGCCAAACTCAATGGGCTCTACGTCGATATGATGCAAGTAAGAGCCTCAATGCGTATCAGTCTCAGATTGGACGGTAGGTTTGAAAGAGGATCCACTGTTGTATGCGGTCAGTGAACGACGAAAACTATGATGCAAGTACCTATTTCGATGGGTAGCCAGTTCCTTGAAAAGGGAACGGGGATGAAGGACAAGTATACCTATGCTCCTTCCTGTTCCACTTTTGAACCGTTTGAGCCGCGTTGCCCAGACGATACTCCGCGAGTGTTGAGTATTACGGGCGTAACTACGTAGGTCCAGAGTAGAAGCAGGAGTTGAGACGGAAATAAGAGCGTTGAGTTCCCACTTTGGGTGTGGAGGTACTTCGAGATAGGGGGTGATGTCACTGACCTATGACGTCGCGGCTCGACGGCTGAAGCACCCCGGGATAAGCTCTGTGGACGACCACTGAATGAATTAAGCTCTTCAACTTGAATTGGCTCATTGGATACTCACAGAGAGACATGCGATGATCACTACTGTTTACGCAAATCGAACCATTGACGACATCGATGAGCATTAGCGCTGGGTAGGGAAGGGTTCCTTGAGAATGGCAGGGATCAAATCGACTTGCTGGCTCGAAAGAAGCACCAATCACATTCGAAGGTCACTTGAGGGAACAGGTATCGGAAGTGCGGCGGCTTCGGACACCTGCGATGGCAGCGGCAATCCTAAGAAACGAGCTGGGAAGAGGTGACTGGATCAATCAAGAATAGGCGCTTGCCGCCCAGAAGTCCTCGACCGCAAATCGCTGGTGATCTTCCTCCTAGGCCATACCCGCGGTATCAGCACGTAAAGAGTCGGCAGTAGGTGATAGAAGCCCTCGTTCTGGTGAAGAGGGAAGAGGATCGCCATCAGAGACAAAGTGAAGCCAAGGACGGAGTCCAAAAGCGTGATCGTCCCAGAAACGGAAAGCATCGTATCGCATGGAAAACTGAAGAATCAAAGGCATTTCTGGGGTTGTTCGATGATACCCTCGATCTTCAAGTAGAAAGGCCAAGAAAAGAGCGAATGGAACACGCTGGCGGCCATCGTCGACAATTCGTCGTCTTGGAGAACCGATTTGATGACAGCTTGAATGTGTGATTGGGGCCAGTCTGGTTATTGGGTCGGTCATGGGAGCACTTCCAGCAACTTTCACCACTGTCTTAGGGAAAGTCCATAACGATAATGAGAACTTATCCTGCAATCGATATGAAAGTCACTCACACTGAAGCCTTAATGAAAAAGCTTTTGAGTTGTCAAGATTAACGCGGTGTGCCGCACAGACAGCAGACAGCTGGAACGATATCTTTAATGATTCCATGACTCAGGATTGAAAGGACTGACCGAAGCCTGCGCGCCGTAACTGGTTGGTGGACTGGTTCACTTCCTCGCTACAAAGTTCGCCCCGCCAAACCCACCCAAGTCCGATCCGATAGCCCTTTTCTCTTCCAAGGATCTCGTCGCACGACATCGGCCACTTCAAACCTTCGATTCCATAGGGAGGGGAGGGAGTTCCATGATCCAGACGACGAAAGAGGGTTAGAGGCGGACTTCCGGATTCCCCATCGTGTTCAGTCGACTAGTCATACGTCGAGGCAATTCGCTAAATCTCGTCACAATTGCAGCGATTAGCCTGCACCTAGTAGCCAAGTTTGTTGTCACAGATGATCCCAAGATCGCGACACAACCAACCAGCATCACTTGAGACTTTGAGCCAGCGAGATGCTTGAGGTGAAGTAAAATTGAGGAAAAGGAGAGGGCGCGGGAGAAGACGGAAAAAAGCGGAAGAGGAAGCGCCGGCGGTGCCAAGCGGAGGAAGGCCAAAATTGGCCAATCGGGACTCGGAATTGGAAGTAGCCGGCCACGGAATGGGCGCTTATGATGTCACTCACCGACGCTCCGAGTAGCCGCTCCGTTTCGACGAAGATCAGTCAAGATCGTTGCTGTTCCTGGTACCAAATGAGCCGGAATGGACTGTAAAGGCAGATTTATGGTATGGAAAACGTGGATCTGCCATGGGTGCGTCGTCATTCTGCCTCACGGCCTCCCCCGCATCCAAGAGCTCGATTCTACGCATTAATACTCCGCATTTCACAATCGTCATCTCGAAGAAACAAAGTGCGACCGTTTCGCCGAGTCATTGGTACGAGACAAAACGTGGTCCGAGTTAAACCAGCTCATACTCCTGGCTATGGCGTCAGATACCACCACACGGGAAGTGAGGCGAATGGAAGAATACTAACCAAGTTCCGGTTCATCGAGCTTCAACAGTGCGATAACCCGCACCATGGAACAATTAGATGTGCCACCAGCAGCAGACATGACTGATCAGGAAGGAGACGTGTTTGTTGGAAGGTATCTCTACAGCCCAAACGAACGTCTCTGAGAAGGACGATCCGGAAAGAACTCGAGCCAACTCGAGCTGCCGTGGTTTGTGGGGATCCAGTTACCGTTAAAGGGAGTGCCAGTTTCCCCGACATTTCCACTTTGCGCGATGCATTATCTCTATCTCTCTTTCTTCCTTAAATTGTCGAGAAAGAGACGGGTGTGATCCGGGCCTTGGAACGACTGTACCTATCGAGGCTCATCTCAGTTTACAACACCCATCTGCAGGACGTCTATCGAGTCTTCGAGATTATCGCTGCTCCAATCTCTGTCCCGTCAAGTGCCTATCGTAGCCAGATCAGACGATCAACATTCAACATACGGACCTGAGTTCCTGGGCGAAATAGACTCTTCTTTTTCCCTATTCACAGACTCGACGAAGTAACTCCGATAAAGCCCCCGAAGCGGATTGGCTTGCTGGTAAAGTAGCAATCAATTGCGACTTTAACATTCCTACACGACTCAAAGAAGACTCATTCTACTGAGGGCCAATAGGAAGATGATAATACAGCGCTTCTCATCGAAAGCCAGTCCACTTCTTGACCGAGGTATGCTCGGAGGAAACTTGTAGGCAAAGAATCTCCCGTCGAATATCCTTTCAACTCCATACGAATATCCACTTCCCATCACATTCGACATTTGGTGTACACGACTGTGAGATTCAGCGAAATCCTTCCGATTCGCTTTCCCGACGCCGATCGCGCCACACTTGGCTCATCGAGAGGATTTTCGTGATGCACTCACGTCGGGGGAAGTAGTAAATGGGATTAAACAATGGAATTAAACGAGCTGGTCGTGTCCTGAAAGTGCCAAGGTGTCCGAATCATGGGTGATAAGATAAAACTAGATATCTCGTCAAAGGGATCGCACATCTAGGGCTCTCGAGGGAAGAGATATCAAGGGCTTTCCAGTTCGAGATCGAGATGATGAGGGCCACAATCAGGATGCTGGTTAACAAGAAGCATCGAACGAGTGGACTGAGTGCAGAAGTGTGGTATTATTGGTGCCAAGACGTTTCAGTGAATCATGAAGGCGGAAATTGAGACAAACCTCGAGTTCTCGTAAGAGATAGCAGACAGAAAGGACAGGCTGAAGCTCTAGGACGGGACACTGAAACACGAACGGGAAGGCTGAAGTCTGTAGGTACGACCCTTGTACAGCCAGGCAGAGGCCCAAGAGTTTGGCTAACGCAAGGGATCTCAAAGCGCTAGTCGTTGCGAGAAGAAAGAGGCCAGTTCAATTGCTACAATCAGAAACCAGCATCAGCCTATTGCAAAAGAAACGAGCTGAAACATGACTTGAACGTTGCTCGACCCTATTGTGAGCTAGAGAGCGAGCATGTTCAGGTAGGCTTTCAAGGTGGATTCCATTTTTTTGGGTACAGATAAGTTGGAGGTGTCGGGGGTTTTGTTGCGATCGGCGTGAAGACTGTCCGCTAGGTTCAGGGTCTATCGGGGCGGCACTCTACGTTGCGTCATTTGGCATTCCACCTGTCTCCATGCACCCAGTTTGAATGCCGATGCGAATGGACGCCACCGGAGCTGTAGACGACGGTACGTAATATTCTGCTTCTCTGAGGTCCATCGGGGCGACGGTCAATGAAGATAATGCTCGTGCAGGCTCGCCAGCGACCGCCAAGAGGCTCCTGGCGCTGTTCCAAACATCCGAAGCTCCTGGGTCGGTCGGTAGCTCGCATCTGAAGCTCATGCACCTGCGACGACACGAGTTCCGTGTTTCTGAACCGGGGAGACGAATCCAAACACGCTGTAAACACTTGAGACAGACACGAAACATCCAGAGGAAGTTGCACCCAGTACCTTTGGCCTAATCCGGCAATTTTGACAAGGTTCAGTCGAGAGTTACAGCAGTCCCAACACGATGAAAGGGCTCACCTTTCATAAGAGATCCTTCTATTATCCGTCCTGGGTCGAGGGTGCAGGTTAGAACGTTCGAGATCCACCACCTATCAAGAGAAAGACGTGTGAAAACACCCATACAAGGCCTAGCAAACTGGTTCACCCAATGTCGGGAGTTCAACCATGTCTTCTTTAGGACAAAAACTCGAACGAGGGAAGTCAGAAAGCTGTAAACTCAACGTGTAGTCCTCGAGCTTTCGCGACGGAAATCAGTAAAAGTCAGCCACAATCTTTCCCGATGTCAGGAATCCGAGTGGAAGTCTTGAAGATATCAGATACATACGTTTTCAATATCAGCAATAAGCGGAACGAGGCTGGGTGTTCCCGCGGATGACTCGGATTGGGCGCTGCCGAGATGTGATAAGGAAAGTCTCCGTCCAGAACTCGGATGAAACACTCGTTGCATAAACAGACGCCCCCGCCGATCCAGGAAATGGGTAGGATTGCAGCACGAAAGGCTCGCCACAGCGCGCCCAGTGTCTGAATATCATTATCATTAATTAGTGTCTGATGATGGAAAGGTGGAAGCTGGGCGTACTTACCAGTTATCGTAATCACGAAGATGAAGATACGATCACTTGGGTTCGCCATTGCGCCTTTCCAAGGCTCAGGGTATACCGCGCGTTTAAAACGTTTGAGGGTTCGAAAATGGTGTTTTGGTAGAGAGAAAGCTGGTGCTCGCTCTGTATCTTCGGACCGAATCACATAAGCACCAGCCTGGACGCGTACTAGAAAGCCGAGGAGGCGTAGCAGCTGTGTTCGGGTGTTGCCTAAACACGGCACGTCGTGCAGAACTGCCCGGCATTCAAAAGGTAAGCGGACAGAGGGAATGTCCCGTGAATTGCACCAGATTAGATAGAGGGGTATTGAGTGACCCTGCTGATCTAGCCTTCCTTCACGACATGACTATCGTCTGGCTCGTGGTATATGCGTGTTGGTGGTCCAAGGGTTAGGGTACTCCGCTGTAAACGATGTGGGCGACGTGAATATAGATATCCAAAAAGGGGCGAGAGCGACATACCTGGCCCTTCATTTCGCTTGTGACCACATCAAGCTTCAACGGTGCTTGACGGACATTAACAATTACTTGGTTAGGTAAAGGTCGGTGGGCGTCGATCCTTCGAAAGCTTACTTGGGTGGTGCGTCAATGTAGACTGTAGCGCCTTCAAAGATTGCTGGAGGCTACAAAACATTCACTTCCGATACGCTAAGGGAGCGGCTCAGAAGGCTTGGCTGAGATTGGCGTAGTGTGAATATCAAAGTTCGATCTGTCATGATTCACAAACGAACTGTTCGTTCGCTACGAGCCAACGAGTCGATGGTGCGGGCGGTAGCGACTTAGCAAGAGAGCGCAGTACTAAACAGGCCCGGTTCTCCGACCTTGCACTGAAAAGACCCTATTCGAATCACTGAAGTCAGCGCGACGACGATAAAGGAGTGGTGGCGTAGGTGAGCTCACAGCCAAGGATAATTGGACTCATTTCCATCGTAGAAACAGGCTCGGATCTGCGACATAATCGCGCAAAGTGCACCCACGAGGCCACTTGAGCAGATGAACAGAGGCACAATCCACAGGATCTCGAGGATAGATAAAGGTAGGGAAGTACCCCACGATTTGGCTACCTTTGTACACTGGTTTGACCTTCGAAGCAAGAAACTGTTCTAGGTTGCGGCCAATGCCAGGGACAAAATGATTGTGATTGCCAAAGGAGGCGGATAACGACAACGAGGTATAGGGACCTGGGAAAGTCTCTGGATAGAGCTGATGGCCAGCAATGTAAGTGGAACGATTTTGAGGAGGAGAAATGTTAACCGAAGGCGTGTTGGAACACGAGGCGCGTTTTTACCATTTACGGAAGACATGCAGTCAAGGGTATCTGTCCCGACAGAAATCGCCGGGGGGTCTGAGCAGCCTGGCGCTAGAAGCGCAGCGACTTTGGAAGCTAGTCCCATCCAAACCCGAGGCTAGACAGACCCAGCAGGCCCAAGAAGTTGGTTTCTGGGTGAATGTCGATAGCCGTATATGGGCTTGTCCAGTCGTATTGTTTTGTGGCAGTCATGCTGGTGGATAACGGACCATCGAGCCCGGGGTTGTCCTGCAGGGAACTAGGTTTGCAGCCACCAGCCAAGCCTTTGAGAAGCCCATTATCTCCTCGTTGGAAAAGCAAGGACAGCGTATGAATGAATCAGGTGACGGAATTCCTTTCCAGCTAGGCTCCAGTTCACGGTCGATCGAAAGCGTTGGGGAATGCTGGTTAAACAAGATGTTTCGGGCTTGATCACTCCAGCAGAAGAATCGATGTCTGCTCCTGTCCAGGCCTCCCGAGACGGTCGTCGGGCTGGTCCGATGTGTGCATTGGTGGAGGGGACCTCGCTTGAATCCTTCAGGGATGCCAGCGCGCCGAGGTAGTCTCCACCATACGGGTCGCGCCGACATAGCCTTCTCCCTTCCCGCCGCAGTGGTCAGACTCCAAGCACGGTGCCAAAGGAAACCGGCTACTCAACTGTGGTAGGGTCTTCTCCTTGGAAGGCAGGAGAAATCAAAGGTGTACACCGCCGGGAAAACGCAAGGAGGTCCTTGTGATCTGTAGCGTCATCCTTTGGAGGCCTTGGAGAGGGCGTGGCTGTTTCACCAATAAATCGTGGCCCATTTCCTGGTCATGAGAACCAGCAGGAGCTGACCTCTAGGTCATTGTCGGAGCTCCAACGGGACGAAGTTGAAGGCGCAGGACGAGTCAACCGTAAACATGTCCTGCAGTTGGACACGGTGTGCCTCAGTTGAGGCCATGAATTCAGTGACGATGGCCAGAGGAAGGATCCCGAGTCATGAGCTCGAAACGAATCCATTTGCCCGCTGCTGGTCACTCTGCAACCGTCTGGACTTGTGAGATGCCCCAGGTCAACTTGAACCAGTCGGTATCAGGTCAACGTTGCTCTTTGTGGTAACCAATGCTGAAGGTCGTCGCGGTCGTCGAGGTCCACCGTGGTCTGACCGCGCGATGCCCATCATCCCACGCGCCGGTGTTCAAACCGGTGTCCAACGGTGACGACAAGAGTTTGGCTCTTGGCCACGACGTCCATGGTCCTCAAAGGCTATGACGAGCTCCAGGGCCGAATCTCAGCACTCGTCGTATGGCCGTCGTCGTTCGAACACGTCACAGTCGGTAATCAGGGCGGTTCCACCGTCAGCCCCGCCCCCGACACCGCTCAAAATTGGCGATACCAGATTGCTCAACGCCTGGGTTCATGAACCAAAGGATTCTTCCAATGTCCTCTTCAATCATCTCCACTGGCCTGGGGTTGCTGAAGGCGATCTCATACGCGTCACCGTTGGCAGTCCTGATAACCCGCACGGTTTCTTGTTCAAAGTCGGGCAAAATGAAGGCGCGCGTTATCAGCTTCAGGTTCGCTATGATCTCGTATTGACGGTCACGTTGGAAGTCTCATCCTGGCCCAGATCTCTATCCCAAAGCCCCTTGCCGAAGCATTCGATGTTAGGAACAACGTGGAGGTGACCCTCACCAAGGTGAGCGCTTCTTTAAGCGATAATAGCGACTGCTGACACTCGGCAAGGTTGAACCCAAGGCCTATTATGCCGACCATATGGAACTGGTTTTCCAGGACCAGTACCTTGGAAGAAGCGATATGTGGCGAATGGGAGAATATCTCACAGGACAATGCATCTATACCAACCAAGAGGTCACCTACATCGGTGGTATCGTCGCGAAGGTCCAGGCAATCTATTCCAACGGTGTCGAGGTGCGTCGAATGCTAGAAAGTATCTTTATTGCATTGCTTGACGAGAGCAGGTTTCTGCTGGCGTTGTTACAGCGTTGACCAAATCCATATACCGCTCGCTGTCGGCCAAGGTCACAATTTACATCCAAGTTTGCAAGGAACTCTGGGAGTTTGCTGGTGACGGAGAACGCTACTATGAGAAGATTATTCATTCATTCCTCCCTAGCCTGTTTGGAAAATGGCGCGAAGCAGGAACCAATCACACTGTCACCATCGTCCTCATTTCACGCGTCTTCTATGAAGAATCAGAAATCGACTACGCAGCCGGTCCACTGCGACGCGACGAGCGAGGAAACTGGTACAAAGACTTTTACAAAGTCATTACCGACCTCGAAGTCAACTACGAATGGAATGACACCCTCGTCAGCCTGAAGAACTCGTTCTGGGCGTTCCAGCGCGATATTCTGCTCGCCCACCATTATCACCGTGCCTGTCTGGACTCCAAGCTCGGATTACCCTCCCATATCCGCCTGGTTGGGCAGATTTCATACGCCCACGATGGTCCGATTCTCGAGGCACTGAATCTGGGCCTCAATCCCACAGAAACGCACCATATAGACAGGTCGCTCTCCCTCACTGGAGCCACATACATCCTCATCACCCCTGGAACAGGGTACTTCCGCGTATCCAAGGCCCTCCTCAGGTTAACGACAATGCGCATGCTCGACCAAGGGGTGGTCCTCAATCTTATCCTCTTGACGAAGCAGCCCCTTCACCAAAGCCCTATATTCAGTTTCCAGGGCATCGACCCCTCCCTGAAGGAACACGATGACCCACTTTCTGACGACCCCCTATGGTGCGACGATGCCAATGTCGACCACAGCAAGAAGAAAACCTTTTGGTGGGAGCCCTTTTGGCTCTCGACAACCTTTTGGGATAAACAAAAGGATTTGCCCATACGTTACGACAGGTAAGTTTCCACTTTGTTTCAATTTTCCAGTGCTGACAGAAATCAGATTCGTTGCCCGTGCCAAGATGCACGAGATACAGATGCTAGGGCTGTTGGAGCATGATGTTTTAGCCAGCATTGAAGTGCCCTTCTTGCCCGAACGCCCCCTCCCTCCACTACTTGGTATCGCTCGGGAGGACACCCGGATGACCCAACAAGAAGCCGACAACTTCGACAACGAGATATTTGCATCCGGTAGTACTGGTGAAGCCCTGTCTTCGCAGTTCACCCTCCCAAGCGCCATGCTTCCCATACCTGGCAAATCGGAGAAACGCACGTCTAACCACCGCAACTCAACGACGGGGATACGAATACAAACAATCGAGGAAAGTCCTCGAAAAATTCACAAGACCCTCCCCGACGAAGGATTGCCAACTGTCGCTGCTCCCAAAGTTCCGTTGAGCACGTCACCCTCTCAAGCTTCCATTCGGTCAGCTCGATCGGAAGTCTCGACGGCTTCCGCGAAACTTCGCGCCTTGCAGGCTACTCCGAACAAAGGCGGTTTGGCATCCAAGCTGACCCCTTCGTGGTTGTTCAATCCGTTCAGGAGCAGCGGGATCAGTGAACCGCAGACCTCGCAAGTCATTGCAGCCGGGTCTTCGGCCAATTCGTCTGCAAATACGACCCCTGTCCATACTCCCCTGTCCATCCCAGCTGTAACCCCCGCCACACCTGGGGTACAGGCCAGCACGCCGATCAGCATGACGCCGTCCGCTCCCATTCAGATGCCCGCGAACCCCACTCGTGCTGCAGCAACGACGGGTCAGCATCCCAACCTCGCGTTGAAGGGCTCGTTAGGCAGGTCAACGTTGCGACATGGGGATGACAACCTTGCAGCACCACCTCGCGGCTCCTTCTCTCGTCGTTCACCTCTTAACACGCCTCCGCGAGACGAGTATATTGCTAACAAACGACGAAGCACGGCCAACTTCGTCCAGTCGATGTCCTCCGGTTCTCCAGGGTCCTATTCCAATCCCTCCAACCCCTCCCAGCCCCAACGGCCAGTCTCCTACTTGCAGTCCTCCATGGCCCGGCGGTGGCACCATGTCCTCCCTCATCCTCTCAAGAAGCACGACATCAAGTGGAAAGCCCTTGTCACTCCGGCGTGTTTACCATTGACAGTCGACTATTTCCCGACGAGCAACGAGCTGGAATCTTGCTATGAGCTGCACCCTTACGAATTCGTCGTCAACCCCAAGGAGCTCAAGTCGATGTTCCTACGACCACCCAACGTCAAGGAGACAGGTACCAAAGGGCAACACTCTGCCGAAAACATCCAGGCGTGGGCTCTGGTAACGATGCGCGCCATGGCCGGTGTTCGACTCGCCCAGGGATTCCAATTCGTTCTCAAGCCAGCGCAGACAGGGACTGGGAACCATTTCGAAAACGAGTATTCGAATTATGGTTGGAATCCTAGTCATCCGAGTCAGAGAGCTCCGTTAGCCAGGACAGCCTCGGCGTTGCTCACGGACGAACCGAGTATGCCTATGGCGGTTGGGTCGAACGAGGCGTTGATTAACGTGGACCATCCGATCTTTTTGAGCATGACGAATGAGATTCATATGATCTGGTTCAATGGGGAGGCTATCAAGGTCAGAAGGTATACCAGGAGGATGCCGATACAGCCCAAGTTCAAGTACCAGTGTTTGATTTGGCCGAAACTTGGAGGTGGGTTATTTGTTCTTTGGATGAGTGGTAGCCCGTGGCTGACGATATTCTGTAGTTGGGTACACGGAGCTTTCGACGACGTTCGAGTCGTATGGCTTGGATCACTGGAATCGGTATGTTTCATGTAGTGTCTCCTTGCCTACCTTTGCTTACTGGCGGATCCAGGCTCGACATGCTGATCTCAGGGTACCAGACCTCTTTCGAGGACGTCTTGCGATACTGGCGTACTCGCTTTGTGGTGCTTCCAACCTCGGAGCCTCCGACCATCACCGCAGGGCCCGGTGGGGAGAAACTCAACGAAGAAGAAATTCGAATCCTCGGCATCGACAAGCTCGGCGAAATCTTCACCAAGCTCCGGTGGTACCCTCCTGGCGTCGAACCCAACCCTCCCATTCGTTTCCTCCCCACAACACACGATCCCGCTCAAACGGTCTTCGACGACGTGCTCATGCAGCAACTTGCGGAGATCTGCTCCAATGGACCGCTCAAGAAGAACATGAACAGCGATAAGGAGATTGCGGATATGTCGTTTACGCAGGTTGCGACGTTGATGAGGGCGGAGCCGGGGTTGATCAAGCATAATCAATGGCATAAGAACTTCTATCCGAACTCGTTTGTAGGGAGCGATTTTGTTAGTTGGCTGGTGAGGGAGTTTAGGGATGTTTCGTCGAGGGTGCAGGCGACGGAGTGGGGTATCAAGTTTCTTGAGCAGGGCTTCATTGAACATTGTAGGAATCTGCATCCTTTCCTTGACGGGTATGTTGCTATTCTCGCAGCGGGTTACGGTGCTGACCTGGCTCACAGGCACTATTTCTATCGCCTGAAGGGCGACTATTCTGTGCCCATGACCCCGAGCATCAAAGGCTGGTTCAAGAGAGGCGAAAGTGACGCGAGATCGATACAGTCGTCGCAGTCGTCAAGCAGTCTCAGCCGTTCACGACTGTCCAGCTCTCGCAAGAAGACACAACTGATCTTCAGTCAGAGCACCATCATCGACCTTGACCCTCACAAACGAAGTAACCAGGCCGAGACAGCACTGCTCCATCACGATATCGTCCACAACCCAGCCACTGTCTTCCACTTTGAACTCCAGTGGATAGGTACGACTGCGCGTGTCATTGAAGACCAGCTCCGGCAATGGAACCGCGTCATCGAAAAGTATGGGCTCAAACTTGTCGAGGCATACGTTGGCCAAATCTCGGATATTCGTGACCGCAACCCATTCCAGTCGTGTTTCCCTATCCGATTCGCAGTTCCTCCTCCTGTCATCCCCGATATCGAGAAGCGCATCCAACCTGAAGGATCGAAGACGGCGAGGTACTACTTCGAGTACGCACTCCTTCGGAAATTCGGGTTTGTCCTGGACGTTGAAGCCCAAGACCTTTATGTGGATTCTGTGGACGTGGTATACTCCTACCGCAGATCGCCATACCACTATTCGCAATTCGTTCACCGGAGCGGGCTAGCCTTTGTTCAAGTCCTAGATGGTGGACAAGGCTTCCTATTCTTGACGAATCGGTTGATGGGTACAGGGAGGATGGGTGCTGCACTGAAGAGTCTTGGGAAGAGCGGGAGTGTGGCGGCGATCACTAGGAGGTCTGGTTTGGCGGGTGAAGATATTCGATTGAGCCTGTATGATTTCTGTCAGGATAGGGAGAAGTTGATGGAGTTTTATGATGAGCAGCTGGCGTTGCTCCCACCTTGTCCGCAGACGCCGCTCTCGGAGGAGCCTCCGAGTCTGACTATCTGACCTAGTGTAGATATGACGTTTGGCAATGTATTATACTCGTAGTCTGCTATACCTTTCTGTATTTTTACGGACGCCCAGGAGTGAAGGAGGTGCTAGGCATCACTGATTTCATGATCGGCCATCACCATCACCCGGCGGCGCGTGGCGACGCATTCGCGACGCGGACATTGTCAAATTGCTCTCTTGCCTCAACCACAACTTTGAATATCTAACATCTCTCACTCCACCTGATTCTCGTACTCTTTTCTTCTATTCTTACATCTGGGTCTTACTTCATTTCTTATAATACCCACCTGAAGAACACCCAGCCATTGGTTCATGGAGTCAGGAAGCACAAATTCGAAGGCTCGAGGGGTCTGGTAAACAAGCCTCGATTCCCAGTGAAGAGAGAATCAGCATATTTCACCAAGATCCGTGGATAATGTAGCTGCATTGGAAATGCCTCAAGTGCCTTCCGAGTTTGCCGCAGTGCTTCGGGAATGCAGAAGTTCGTCTTTTTCTCTATCCTGTTCTGTCTTTAGGCTGATTGGTATCAGGTACACGAGGAGACTGGTCGCCTACGTTTCGTGGATGTGAATTGCTGTTCCAGAACAATCACTCTTCGTTGCATCGGCTGGGAAGAGAAACACCAACTTTGGTTCCGACTCGCCCAGCTGTCTTGCATCTTGCATCCAGCTTGATGTCTTCCGTGGAATATGGGGTTGTGGAGGGAATGGTCGTTCCTGGATGTGTTTCTTAAATTCCAGCATCGTTAACTCCGCTCGGCGATCGTGAAACTGCTTGACAATCAGGGTTCAATGGTGTGCAGCCTCGACCTCCCAAACGTACGGCAGTAACTGAATGCTATTTCACAGCATCTCACTCTTAAGGAATGTCTCCTCGTCATCTGCCCGTCATCCTCGTCTTCTGTCAATAGGAGACGCACTTCAGTTACAGGCCCAGGCATTCTGGTTGCTCTTTTTGCTCTCTATTTTCCCAGCGGCAGGTCAGGAGTGGAATTCAGAACGCCACTCTTGTTCGCACTGCCCATGGGTCGGCTGCTTCTCCTGTTCGCCATCCACCTGACTCCTTCCAGATGTCGAGCCCGTGAAAATAGGTTCATTTCAAAATGGATATCTGCTAAAGAAGGCCGCTCTAGCGTCATTCCTCAGGCTATATGAGGTTTCTGATTCGAGAGAGTTGGACTTCCGCGGGACCACATCACCTAGCACCCTCCCAACATCCACGCAATCGCCAGAAACACTTTCGCTCTCAATCTCATCGTAGGCCGTTCTGTATACGTCTTGCCATTGATCCTTCTGACGGCTCCGTTTCCTTCAGCACGATGTCTCTTTCTCAGGGTGTTTACTGGATTCGCAACAGCCGATGGACAAACAAAGTGCTGGATCTCAAAGAGGCCAAAACCGAGAACGGCACCCGCATCCTCAACTTCGACCAACACGACACGTTCAACCAGGTCCTCAACCAGCTCTGGCTCCTCGAGCGAGTTGAGACCCGCGACACTTACCTCATTCGTAGCGTCCATTCCAACCTTGTTCTTGATCTCCACGATGGTTTGTCTGCCAACGGCACCCCCGTCCAGGCCTGGACAGAACACGGTGGCAGGAACCAGCAATGGCGCGTCGAATACTCTAAATCTCAGAACGAGTATGTGATTTAGGTTCATCATTCTTAAACTTTGCTGACGATGATGTTCCTACTTATAGCATGACTTTATTCCGCATCGTCAATGCTGCTTCTGGAACCGCGCTTTCGCACAACGAAGATGACTCCGACACGGCTACCGTTGCATGGAGCATCGACGACGGGCCGAAGCAACTATGGGCATTCACACCCTTCGTACCCTCTCTCTCAGTCCGTCTCCGAGTGAAGCAGACTGGGAGAGTCCTCGATCTGAAGGAGGCCTCTGCTGCCAATGGCACTCCTGCTCTGGCTTGGAACGAACACACTGCCGTTACGAAGCGCAATCAGCTCTGGTGGTTGCCCAAGTTGCAGAATAGTGAGGGATATACCATCCAATGCCTCGAGACCAACACCGTGGCCGACCTTGCCTATGGCAAGAGCGACAATGGTACCCCCATCATTGGTTGGCAGTCCCACGGTGGGCGCAACCAGCAATGGGATATCGAGCTCTACAGAGGGTGAGGACATGTGACTGGATTCTAAAGTCAGCTCTGACGCTCATTTCAGCGACTACCAACGCATCAAAAACATTCAGGGAGGAACTGCAATGGACGCGTTCGCTGACAGCAAGGAGAAGAAGGTTGGCGGCTGGCAGTTCCACGGTGGCGACAATCAACAGTGGCTGTTGGATCCCGTTCCCTCCCCTGCACCCACCTATGTCCTACTCCAAAACGCTGGCACCAACAAGTTCCTAGCCAGCAACGACTCTAACGACATCGACACTGTCGACGGTCCCCAGACTGTCTTTGATGGCAGGGTCCAATGGCGCTTCGTCCAAACGGAATCGACTGGCATCTACACCATCGTCAACCGTGCCACCGGTCGAAAGCTGCGCCAGGTCCACTCCTCCATCCCTTCTATCGGACTTGTGGATTCCAAGCAGCCGGACAATAAGGATTGTTGGGTCCTCGAGAGTTACAAGAAGGCCCCCGGTGTTGGCCTCATCAGCATCGTTAATCGTGCGACAGGCTTCACCCTCGACCACTATGCTGGCGTGAGCGTTCAAGCTTTGGACATCGGCATGGACAACCAAAACAGGACCTGGAAGGTCCTTCAGGTAAGTTATCTCCCCACCAGCAACATCATGGCCGAACTGACGTCGCATTTTGTACAGGCCAACGATTGGCTCCCTTCGTTTGCCCTCGTCAACGGCCAGAGTGGAACTGCCCTGACCGATCAGGCCGGAAAGCATGGCCACTACTCGTCCACTGAAAATATCAACCAATATGTCGCCCAATGGGTCATTCACAGGGTTCACGACGGTCCACAATATGTGATTCAGAACAAGGCCAGCAACCATTACATTGGCGGGGCCTCCGCTCGATGGGAGTTGGTTCCCCGCAACGAAAAGTACTTTGGTATCCGTAACGTCTCCACCAAGAAGTACATCGGCATCCACAACAACCAGGTCACATTCAACGACCAGGAGATGAGCGACAAGTGTCAAGCATTCGAACTGGTCTCTGGTCGTACGCCCGACAACAACGACGATTTCCTGTACATGGACGATGACGTCTTGGAGGTCATCGTTCCCCTCATGGGCGAACAGGGAGCCGAGTTGGGGCAGCGTATCGACAGACGTAGGGGCAGGCAGCCACCGAAGGACGTCAGTGAATGGGGCAGAGTAGCTCCCAACCGTTTCAACCCTCCCGACAACGTCACCGTCCGCCAGCTCGTCAGCAATCTCATCGACAGATTGGACATTGACATCGCTAACGAGGAGAGCCAGCCTGTCGACACCCTCGTCAAGTGCGACCAGAACGAGGCCGAGCGCGTTATCGGCCAACGCCTCCCCCAGTCAATCAGGGACATTTTCGGGACGAGCGGCCACCCCGACAGGGTGTTCCGAATCGAGAGGCAAGGCTGCGTGGACGTGGGCGGTGGACGATATGTCAATATCCTTGGCCTCTACGAGAAGGACGTGTACTGCCACGTCGTTCTTCCTGTCGGGGTTAGGTATGGCAAGGAGGTGGTGCGAAGCTTCCTGCGAGAGAGCATGGATAGGAGTACGACTGTCGTCGTTACTCGTGCTTCGTCCAAGGCTCCTAACGGTGGTCCTAACCTCAAGCCCGACGCTCAAGCCGCCAGCGAGAATCTGTGGATCAAGTATGCCCAGAATCTCTTGCCCATAGTCCCCGTCAAGCACTCCGAGCTCTAGGCCTCTCAAAAACGTCTTACAGGCAACCCGAGTCGGTTGTGGAAGCATGTTTTTTTCTTCCTGTTTGTACTTTGCTCAGCCGTTCCTCCCTGCCGCTGTTGACCCCTCATGCCTGTCTCTTTTATACAGGCCTACCACCTCCTTTCATGTTCTGCCCCTACCAGAAACGCCGTTAACGTTCATACCATATCTTCGGCCCCGTTCATTCCTATTTCATCACGAATTCGACATTAACCCCTTCCCCACCCTCGTTGGTGTTCTGAATTCATATCGCATTCTTCCGACCCCCTTATCAAAGTTGACAATAGCTGTACTCAGTAGCTGAAATGTGACTACTCTGATTTGTACATTCCTCTCATTGCTCCCTCCTCACTTCACAACCATCGCTCGAGTTGAGGCATGCACTGACAGACCATGCAGCACAAATACTTTCATGGCTTATATTCAAGGTTACTTTCGGAGCAGAGGCCTTCGACATCACATCCGCTGAGAGGGGGAGACAAGAGGAAAGAATTTGGGCTACTACGAGAAGAGACTATATTAGAAGAGAGAAAGAGGCCACTGGTGAGAACGAAAGAAAAAAAATGTGAGTACGCTATAGACAGATGGTAAGCAGGAAAAGGGATAGCATCTAGGAGGAAAGAAGAGAGAAAGAGGAGCGAAAGAAAGAAAATAAACGTCAGCGAGGGAAATATCTACGATGTGAGGATTGGAGAAAGTACTGAGAGGGAGAAAGAGAAGGGAGCAAAGAAGAGAGTTGGGAAGACAACGACAGAGATGAGAAAAGGAACAGACGACAACGGGAAACTATTAGGGTATCTACGAAATATAAAGACGTGAAGGTGCCATAGAGAGCAATTTAGAAATCTACCAAACCGTTATCAGTACACGCCTTCCTCTCACCACGAAAGGAGAAAAAGACGTACCAAGTTCAGGCTCCTTCTCTCGAAGTTCAACAACCTCATCCGTGCCTCGCGAAAGGTCGACAAGATGACGAGCGACATACCTACAAAAACCAAACAACCCGTCAGCATCCCAATCACGTCAAACGCAGAATAGAAAACAACGCACCACTCCATCGCCCTAGCACTCATCACAAAGTCCTTCATATTGACCAAAAGCCACTGGAGCTCGAGTTCATTAAGCTCAGGAACACCCAGGGTGTTACTCAACCCTTGATAGCTCGCGTCGCCGCCCGGTCGAGCTCCCAACATCTCCTCCATCCTCAACTTGGTGATGTTGTCGACAGCGGACTCTGAGGTGAGGTCTGTAGAACCGAGTTGGGAGGACGGGTTTAAGGGAGAGGAAGAGTTCGAAGGGGAGGAAGAGGCGGCTTCGGCGTCGTTGAGGTTACGAATGACGGGGTCGTCTGCCATCCACGCCTCCTCAGTGCCGTTGACGATACCAAAGTACTCGCAGCCGCGCATCCGGTGGATAGCGAGGACGGGCCCTCGCACCTTTTGGGCGGCCGGGCGCTTGACGAGTTTGGGGCGTCGGGGAGCGAGAGTGGGTGTGGGGCTGGGGCTGACGCTGAGACTGGAAATTGGGCTCTGGGACGTCTGAGGGGCGGGTGGGGCGTGAGCAGATGTCTGAGACGCCGAGACATCCAGAGACAGGAAAGGAGGAGGTTTGATATAGCCGCCACGACCATCGGAAGAGTCCACAAAGGAAGAGGCGGATGAGGAACAGCAGGAGGAGCAGCAGCAGCTGTGTGATGTTGCTCTTGAAAGAGAGCTATCGTCCCATACACCCGTGCGCGGCGGGAATGGCACGAGCGATATGGGTGTCGGGCTCGGAGGGTCTGATTCGTAGACGTGGTCTGTCATGAGGGGCGGCATCGGAAGGGGGCTTCCACTGTCGTCGGCGGCACCCGCCGCGGAGACCAAGCAAGAACTGTAGTAGCTTTCAGTTCCCCACGTCGATCCGCTCGCCCCTCTGGAATACCCGCTGCACGATGCAGCCACCCGACGGCCAAAATCGACGGGTAGGCATGAAACAGCGGGTTGGGTTGGTTTTTGGGTTGGTTTGATGAGGATCCCGCGTGGATAGGTGGTCTGTTTGGACACTGCGGAGAGGTTGGCGCGTTTCATGGGTGGAGGCATGACTGGCGCTTTGAGTGCTGCTGTGAATTTGGCTTTGACGCCGGTGAAGGCGGTGGTTGATTGGGCTTTGAACATGGTCATGGTCTGCGAGACGTGTAAGGATGAGGATGAGGGAGGGACTGGCGACAGACTTACTGGTTAAGAGCTCAAAGCTTAGACTAATGATGGGACTTGACGATGCAAATGTATTATGGATTGATTAGATGGTTCTAAGATACAGTCGACAAGTCAGTATAACCCTCTCAACACGCCAGCAGCGAAAGAATACTCACTAGTCAAGTTCAAAAGAAGCTGGCGCAAAAGTGCTAAATCTGAAACACGTTCGTTCGAGTAGAGATGATAGTGGTTGCAGGTTCAGGGTAGAACGAAGTGTCTGACCTATCCCTTCCAAAAGGCGGGTTATTTATGTACTTTGGACACCTCTAGGTAAGACTCTAGAGCGTGAGGAACCAGCAGAGACAAGTCACGCAGGACCGGGTCACGGCAGGGAGGTGTTCAGAACACCGCCTCGACGTTCCTCACGTCGGGACTATGTCATGGCCCCACGCCCATTGGTCTCCAATTCCGTTGCGTGACCGTTAAGGGCGTTGATGACGCGTCTTGAAAGTCTGAGATAAAAGCTAGGGGCCAAGGCGTACGTCCAAATTCGACGCGGTACGACCTATACCCAGGTCAGGAAAGGTAGTCGAGGTCCAAATGCGTCTTGCGCGCAGAACGACACCGCATTCATTGTGGGATAAGGATAAGTTTTGAACTCTTGTTATTTAGCCTCGTCTACTGCTGGACGTCAGCAACCGTTGGATCTACCGCGGTTTGAAGGTCGAGGTCGAGGTTAGAAGACGAGGACGCCCCCGGGCCGACAGTGGACCACGGTTCACGCATCATCAATCTCGTTTGATTCAATCATTTCCATCTGATTGCGGTAATTGAAATTAACTGATTGCCATGATGTTGCCGTTCCCGACTTGGCGGACCAATCGACATCGAGTTCCTACACCTTGTTCGTGGTTGTCCTCCAGAGCAACTGTCGTCCCATGCAGTGACCCAGTTATTCCGGTCATGGCAAGCGTGGCTCTTCCACTATTTTGGCTCTCCCAAGTAAGCGTCGAAGGTACTAAATCGTAATTTGATTGCGAGTGGGCTTGCGATGAGCGCTTGAATCAAGCGCTCTAATCGTTCCTCGTGATTGCGTACACGACACCTATGATACAAGAAATAAACAACTGCTTCTCCTCTTAGATTTATCGACCCTATATCGTTCCACCTCGCCTCCGGTGGGCGCAGACCTGCCTACTCCCGAGTCACAGTGCGATGCGGACAGTTTGGGCAGCGATGTCTCCAGAGGTGCCGCTTGTACTACTGCTCTGCCATGTCCAGCGTGAATCGGAAGGATGCAGTAGTATAGAGGATAGGATGGTATAGTTAAGTTATGGTCAGTCGGTCGACATCCTCTTTCCTCAACCATCCCTTCATAGGTACCAGCCAGTCAGCTCGACCCCATTTAGCCAGACCAGACTGGCAGAGGATGCATGATATCCAGTCCCTAACAGCCTCCCTCCGCGTCCCTTCCATCAACCTGGCGTGCCAGCTCTCCTCTCCGCCTCTACTCCAACTTGCCCTCAAACCTGACCAAACCTCTCAACAACGCCGAAGCAGTCGATCATGTCGAAACGTGTTTCTTGTTCTTACTGCCCTTCGGTCGTCCTCTAGGCCGCTTCACCACAGCCCCGTCAGGTGTCGCTCCATCAAGTGTGCGCTTAGACGAACTAGGACCAGGCGTTGAGCCCCCCGCGTAATCTGGTTCGTTCCCGTTTAGTCTTCTCTCTGTCAAGAACCTACATACCCAAAACAAAGCCGTCAGTCGTCAATATCCCTATTCTAACCATAAAGGAAAAGAAACGCACTGGGCAGTCCGCTCCTCCAACGTCTGCTGCAAGCTGGGTAAAGGCGGTTGCCCTAGATCCGCACGGAGTCTGTCAACGTCCGCTTTGGCGATGGCGTATTCCCCTTCGGAGAGTTGTGTGATTTTGGTGCGGAGGTCTTCGCATTCGCGGAGCATCGTTCCTTCGGCTAGGTCAGCCTATTCGCAAGGGGCGCAATTGCACAGGGTTGAGGGTGAGCAGGTGTGATTCAGTGCCGAATTGAATTTGAGTAGGCTGGTTGTGTACCTTGTCGCGATCGGCGTTTATCTGGGTGCGTGAGTGGAATGATGGGATTAGCGAGGGGTTTGGAGAGACAAGAAGGAAAACGCACCTCTTGTAGACATTTGAGCAACCTCGCTCGTTCACTGTCCAGTCTGTCGAAACCAGGTCATTCGCATCCCACAACCTGGTGAAAGGGCCGAGGATACGCACTTGTTCTTCTGCTCTTTGACGTCCTGAATCGCTCTGGACTTTGCTTCGAGCGTAGCATGTACAGAAAGTATATGAGCCGTATGTAACTGCAAAGTCAACGCATGTTTCCTGTAAATCGTAAGATGATAAAATGATCATCAGTACTCCGGTGCAAACGGCAGGCAAAAAACGCGTTTTGGATTGAAAAGACGAAAGCGAGAGAGAAAGGAAAGCAATATCCAAAAGACAGACAGAGACGTACTTGAGTTCAGCTTGTTTCGCCAATTGCACAAGATCCTTTGTCCAATCGCCAGTAGCTACAACAGGTCCAGTAGAAGCTGAGCCTGTCGTCGAACCACTCGCAGTCGCGCCATTCGCACCTTGACTGGGTTGCCCCATCTGTTGTTGCTGCTGTTGAAGTTGTTGCGCTTGCGCATGCGGCTGTTGAACCAGCGGCTGCTGTGGCATTCCCTGATGCACCATCGTCGGCTGCTGGTAATGCATAATGTGTATCGGGGGCTGCTGGACGCCCTGGGGCATCGCGCTCTGCGCAGACTGCATCATGGGCACATTCTGGATATAGCCTGAGTGGTGTGGAGGCGCGGGGCCAGCGGATGCGGACGGCGGGTTATAATGGACATATTGAGGTTGATGGTGCTGGATATGTTGCGACATTTCCGTCAATTCGTCGACATAAAAAACGAGGGAAAGTGCTTATCAGTCGAGTGAGCGGATTGAACTGTCTGGGGGCACGGTGTTCGAGGTCTTTGCTTGCCTTTGCTTGGCATGGTGGCGGTGCTGTCGTGGCCCATACGCGACGGGTTTGGGCAGAGCTCAAGGTTGGACTCGACGACACCAGCAACGATGAGCGTAACGAGACCCTTCAGGGCGACTGACATGTTCAAGTTCAACACAATATGTGAGCTGGTCTTCCTATCTCCAGCACCGTTCACTCAACCAGTCGCAGCAACTTGGACCTCTGGACAGAAACGGTACGACCTCGGAATACAATTTCTCGAACAGATTTCTTATATTCTTCATAGTATGGCATTGGGTTTTACTTGATGTATCTCGGCCGCTGGCCAGATCTCTGCACCGTCGAGGAATCGCCCAGCGGACGAATGATGGGATACGGTACGCCCCGCGCAGCTCCTACCCGCTCCACACCTCAACACGCCCGCCTCGCAGTCATCGGTAAAGCAGAGGGTCAAGGACCAGAATGGCACGGACACGTCACAGCAATTACAGTTGCGACAGAGTACAGACGACTAGGTCTCGCAAAGAAAATGATGCGCCAGCTCGAGACGATCTCGGACGAGGTCTACAAAGGTTTCTTTGTCGATCTATACGTCCGATGTGCGAATCACGTCGCAATCAACATGTATGAGGGGATGGGGTATAGTGTATACAGGAGGGTGAGGGAGTATTATGGGTCTTTAGGCGCTGGGAAGGGTGGAAAGGACGAAGAAGATGCGTTTGGTGCGTTCTTGCCAATTCTACCCCGGGCTGCTTCGTTGACTCGTATGCACAGATATGAGGAAACCGTTATCGAGGGATCCTCAACGGCGCTCGGTTCGAGAAAATGGACGACTAATGGTTGTCCCTGCACACGAAGTACCGTAACCCGGCTACACACACGCTTTCAAAAGTACATTGTTGTACACACTATTGGTTTAATCCTATCGCCCATGCTTCATTTCGAGCTTTAACCGCCCGCATATCAAAGCCAGCTAACCCAGGTCCACTTCAGCCCCTGCGATCTCATATTCGCGGTGGCCTTGAGGAACACTGACCTTGTCCGCCAACTTCAAGCACGTAGTTGTACTGGAGCTGTGTACGACTGGGTCTGGTTCTCCGAATCACTGCAACGTGCATGTCTATTTTGTTACAAGGGTTCTCAACTTACCGCCTCCCCAGATTAGTCTTCCCGCAGCTCTGTGTCCATTGGGGTCCCTGTCCTAGACGAGGTGTGTTTGATCTTAGCCTGACTCCGGGACACTCTGTAACCCAAACTCAGTAGCCCCTAGCCACCAGAACCGCCGACGCGTCAACAGTGCCTTAGCAGGTCACGCAACACAGGCCAGTGTTCTGAGCACCCTTCTCCCGGCGTGACCTGTCTCTCCCAGTTCCTCACGCTCTAAAGTCTTACCTAGAGGCGTCTACAGTGCATAAATAACTCGCCTTTTGGAGGGGATAGGTCAGACACTTCGTTCTGCTCTGAACCTACAACCACCATCATCTCTACTCGAACGAACGTGTTTCTGATTTAGCACTTGTGCGCCAGCGCAATTTTGAACTTGACTAGTGAGTGTTCTTTCGCTTCTGGCGTGCTTAAAGGGTTATACTGACTTGCCAAATGTATCTTAGATCCATCTAATCAATCTATTTGCATCGTCGAGTCGCATCAACCGCTTTGAACACTTAACAAGTAAGTCTGTCGCCAGTCCCTCCCTCATCTTCATCTTACATGGTTCGCAGACCATGATCATGTTCAAAGCCAAATCCACCACCGCCTTCACCAGCGTCAAAAACAAGGTCGCAGCGGCACTCAAAGCGCCAGTCATGCCTCCACCCATGAAACGCGCCAACCTCTCCGCTGTGTCCAAACAGACCACTTATCCACGCGGGATCCTTGTCAAACCAACCCAACCCGCCGTTTCACGCCTACCGGTTGATTTTGGCCGTCGAGTGGTCGCATCGTGCAGCGGGTATTCCAGAGGGGCGAGCGGATCGACATGGGGGACTGAAAGCTACTACAGCTCTTGCTTGGTCTCCGCCGCGGGCCCCGCCGACGACTGTGGAAGCCCCCTTCCGATGCCGCCCCTGATGACTGACCACGTCTATGAATCGGACCCTCCGAGCCCAGCACCCATATCGGTCGTGCCATTCCCGCGGCGCACGGGTGTATGGGACGGCGACTCTCTCTCAAGAGGAACATCGCACAGCTGCTGCTGTTCCTCCTGCTGTCCCTTGTCCGCCTCTTCCTCTGTCGACTCAGCCGATGGTCGTGGCGACTATATCAGTCCCCCCCCTCCTTTCATGTCTCTGAACGTCTCAGCGTCTCAAACATCTCCTCGTGCACCTCAGACGTCTCAGAGCCCCAGTCCAAGTCTCAGCGTCAGCCCCTGCTCCACGGCCACACCCACTCCGGCCCCCCGACGCCCCAAACTCGTCAATCGCCCCGCCGCCCAAAAGGTGCGAGGGCCCGTCCTCGCCATCCACCAGATGCGGGGCTGCGAGTACTTTGGTATAGTCAACGACGCCGAGGAGCAATGGATGGCGGATGACCCTGTCATTCGTAACCTCCACGACGCCGAAGCCTCCGTTTCAAACTCTTCCTCCCAACTCGATTCTAGCGAACTCACCTCAGAGTCCGCTGTCGACAACATCACCAAGTTGAGGATGGAGGAGATGTTGGGAGCTCGACCGGGCGGCGACGCGAGTTATCAAGGCTTGAGTAACACTCTGGGTGTTCCTGAGCTTAACGAGCTCGAGCTCCAGTGGCTTTTGGTTAATATGAGGGATTTTGTGATGAGTCCTAGGGCGATGGAGTGGTACGCTTTCTTCTCCTTTCTCGTTGGGCCTGCCCTTATTTATTGTTGAATTTGCGTAGGTATGTCGCTCGTCATCTCGTCGACCTTTCGCGAGGTACGGATGAGGTTATTGAACTTCGTCAGAAGGAGCCTGAGCTTGGTTAGTTCTTTGTTCTCGCGCTACACTGGGCTTGTACTGATGAAGTTTTTGTAGAGTTCTAAATTGCTCTAGGCTGCGGTACCTTCACACGTCTTATATTCGTAGATACCCTAATAGTTCCCTAGTGCAGTTTCTTCCTTTTCTGTCCTCTGTTGCTCTCCTCCTCGTTCTCTTTTTTGTTTCATTCTCTTTCACTCTCACTATTTCTTCCCTTTTATTTCATCGGTCCAACGTAGTAGATCTTTCTCTCTTACGTTCACGTTCCCTTTCTTCTTTTTCCTTCGTCTTTCCTCTTGCTCTCTCGCTTTTCGTTGTTTTCTCTCACATTCGTCGGGGGTATTCCTTTGAACGTAGTGTACTCACGTTTCTTCTTTCTCCCCCGCCAGTAGTCTATTTCTCTCTGACCTGATCCCCTTCTCGTAGTAATAGCCCAAAATCCTTTCCTCTCGTCTCCCTCTCTCTCAGCGGCTGTGATGTCGAAGGCCTCAGTTGAATGTAATGCATCAAGGTATTTCCGTGGCATGGTCTGTCTGTACATGCCAAAGTCTTCTGTGTGAGGACCACGCCGAATAGGTAATTCGAAACCTCAGGTTACGGACGACAGGTGAGGGGTTCATATTAAGCGCCCAAGGTGTTCGAACGAGCGCTTGTGATGTTCCGCACAGAGTTTGGGTTTAAGGCTCGTGGTATTGCAATATAGTACCTTGGTCAGTTGCGAGAGACTACGAGGAGACATGCGGTTCCTCATTTTGCAATGTCAAACGGATGCGTACACATCGCGGCTCGCCATCGTCTAGGTGTCCGTCCTGCGAGAGAAAAGCGGGGATCGTCGGCCCTCTCAATATATCTGGAATCATGGTTAGATACAATCATATGTTCTCATTTATATTTTCAAATGAGGGACATGGGCTCACCGGCTGTAGTCGCTGACCACTTCGCTGTACTGGTGGCCACGGATCCCCGTCTCAAAAAGAGTATCCAACTCCAACTTGGACACAGGCCGCACATTCATCACGCCTATCAACGAATTCAAGTTCCACACAGTCTCCTTCACGGGGCGTGGTAGATATACCACCGTCTCCTGCTGCATGCAATGTGATCGCAATGCTTCGATAACCTCTCGAAAGCCAGCGTCCCGGTACGTCCGGCATGCGATCACTTGAGCGGTCTGGTACAGCGTTCGCAAGGTAGCCTTGCTCCCGTGTACGAGAAAGTCGGGGCTGGCGAGGCATAAATGTGTGATCCCTCCCAGATTGAATTTCTCAATCACGAATTCGATCCCTCCTATGCACGATGACACTAACCCACAATTCTCAAAGTTCAAAGCAAACTTTGGACCGGGAGTGTTTCGCACGAGGAAGTCCTCGATTTCGTTTCCCCGCCAGTTATACTCAAAGTCTACCATTCCTATGTCCTCGAATCGCAGGAGGTTGAGGGAAGGGAGGGTAAGATCTTTGAACAACTTGGGAAGGGATTCCGTGGCGCGTCGTCCGATGAGAATTAACCGCTGGAAGGATTGGTTCGTAGCTGGGAAGCCCTCTCTGTCGATCTCAGATCTGGGTCCCAGTTCCAGGATGAGCTCTTCAAGACGGGGGAGTAGGAAGATTTTATCCTTGGGAACGTCGATCTTTCCAGGGGCATGGATGTGGAGGAATCGAACGTGAGATGGAAGGTGCGGGTAGAACGACTTGGTTATGAAAAGCGGTGAGTGGACGTAGAGGCTTTCAAGTGGGAGTGCATTGGCATTCGTTTGGGTGTCGAACAAATTGCATCCAAGCATCTTCGATTGTTCTTCGGGGATGTATTCGTCTGGATTCTTGGAGATACTGAGAATCTTCAGGCGACTTAATGCACTCGTGTAGTCTTCCTGTGCCATGTCGACCGTAAACTTCTGGACCAATTTCTGGAGACCGCCAAATAAGAAGATCAGGTCGGACAACAATGTTGAGTTGAGATGCCACTCTTTCCAGTGTCGTTTGCGTCGGAAAAGAATGTCGACGAATTCTGAACCTGCCCGTAAGAGCTGTCCTCCCGTTAAATCGGGTCGGTTGCTTCCAACAAACGCAAGTCGCAGGGGCGCCTCTTCTCCTGCGCGGTCGAACCACGCATTGACGAAAGTGGATAGAGTGCTCCTCGAAGCATCAGGTATCCAACGGTCGATGTCCACAACCAAGCCCCTCCAAAAGCCTCGCGTTCCCAAAATTACATCGTTCCATCTCGTGCACACCAATCGGAGGTTTGCCACTGCAAACGGACTGTGTTCCTTGAACCTGGATCGTTGGTGATTGCTGGTGCCCTCGCCAGTGACGATCGACCAATGGAGAAGGATATCCCCCAGAATTTCAAATGGCAAGTCCAAGATACCAACCCTTCTAATGGCCGCGTATCGAGCGCGCTCCTCAGCCAGCGCCATCTGCTGTGTCCTGGTCCTAGCCAGAAGTGCTTTGAGGTACGCCACCTTCTGGTCGATTCCTGCACTCCACTCTCGTATGCGTTGGCGATGTTGGTCTACAGTTGATATGAAGTCCGCGGATAGGTGTGCGGTATGGCGCTGGAAATGAGTGGCCCCAAGCAGCGTTTCGAGGATCGAGATTTGCTCTGAGAGAGTGGCGAGGCAGGTGGAAGAGTCTTGTAAGTAGAGGTCCAGGGCGGGGCGGAGATGGTCTGGTGCGGGGAGTATGTTGTCGCCTGAGGCGTATGGGAGAAGAGCGGGGTCTGGCAAAGGAGAACTAATAGAGGGAAACTGCATTACTACGAAGAGTGAGAAGTGGGGTATTCTTGGATGCACGAGTCAAGTTCCATCCCTTATATCTTATGTTTGTAGGCGCCCGTACAGCATAATGGCAGTGTTAGAACATGAGGCCCCCTTCATCAACTGAATCGAAGGGTTGGTCCCACAACACCCAGTACTTGCTGTCGCGAAGAGCGAACACTAAACCAAACCAAAGACCAGTGATGCGGAGCAGATAAGAACGGCGAGCGAGATAAGAGCGATGAGCGACGAATGCTGATGAATGCTGAAGCGATGTATTGACGAAGAGGTCAAGCTGAGGAAATACAGAGGGATCTACCTAGCTTATATACCTATTCTACAGTCTACATAGCCGCGATGAGTCAAGGTGACGAACGGATGGCGAGACACAAAAGAACAATAAGGAGAGTCACAAGGCTGCGCGAAGAGCGAAGAAACAATAACGGAGTAACGAGGCAGTGCAAGAATGGAGAGAACAATAAGACGTAGGGCGAAGGGCATAACGAGGCAGTGTTCCATGGGAGAAAGTGTCCGTGTCGAGAATACGAGCAAAAATGAGAATAAAGAAAAGGTGATAAAAGCGATGAAAGCGATAAGATAGAGATAAGGAAAAATAGGGGCTCGTACTTGCTGTTCACGACATTACCCCCCTTCTAAGCTTCATCGTCCTCGATGATCACTGGCAGGCGTCGTCCAAGCTCCCAGTCGAAGTCGGTAGGTGGTGTATCCGTGAAGTTCTCAAGCGAGCGCCAAGGGAGAGAAGCGAAGGTGGTGGCTGAGATGCGGCGGGGTGCAGAGGGGTGACGTTGATAGGAACTCCTTGACGGCGTCGGGGGCGTGCTCCAAGTTCTCTTCTGGTTCCCAAGTATCCTCTGTCGATCCGTAGCCCTTCCAACTGACCAGGTACTCCAGCCTGCGATTCTTCCCTCGTCCTTTCCAACGACTGTCGAGGATGTCGTGAACCTCGTATTCAAGCTCCCCCTCCAGTTCAACAGGCTCAGGCGGAGGTGGCAGAATGCCATTGACATCATTGCCTTTCCAGGGAGAGAGCTTGTCAATCGTGGAACACAGGGATGAATGCGGGGAAAGGGATGGGGGAAGTTCAAGACGATAGTCGAGGTCGCCAATTCGTTCGATGATCTTGTAAGGGCCGAGTTGGAGGTCGCCAAGTTTCCGAGTAGGAACTTTGATCTGGATGTCCTTAGCGTTGAGCCAGACGTAGTCTCCAACCTTGAACTGGTGAGCTGATCGCTTGCCGGATTCGTACGAGTCCTTCTGTTGCGCTTTCTCAAGGCGTAAGGCGGCTTCGGCATCCTTGCGGACTTCTTGAAGCTGTTGGATGCGTTCATCGACGGGGCGGATGTCAGTTCGTTTACCGACAGGGATGTTGAAGTGAGGGATGTAGCCGTAGAGGACTTCAAAGGGTGATCGGTCGTGGGCAGAGTGGATTCGGGAGTTGATAACGAATTCGGCCATAGGAAGGTGTTTGTCCCAATCATCTTGTCGGCGGCTGACGTAGAGGCGGAGATACTTCTCGACTTCTTGGTTGGCTCGTTCAGTCTGTCCGTTGGCCTGAGGGTGATAGGCAGTGGTGAGGTTGGACTCGATACCTAGACGCTTGAGGAGGGTGCGCATGACCTTGGAGGCAAACTGAGGACCGCGATCGCTGATGAACCGGAGTGGGAGGCCTTGGAGGCGAAAGACTTCTCGGTAATAGATGTCGGCGACACCTTCGGTGGTGATGTCGGAAGTGCAGGGAAGGGTGTGGAGGAGCTTGCTGTAGTGGTCGACAGAAGACGATGATGGCATCATGTCCATTGGCATCAGGAAGCTGGGTAATAAGGTCGACTCCAACGGTCTCCCAGGGGCCATCGGGTACCTCCAAGGGCTGAGTCGAGGCGCGGGGGTGCTGGGCGTGTTTCTTCCGGGCACAGATGTCGCAACCTTCCACATACTTCTTTGACAAAGGCTCGCATGGTCGGCCACCAGTACTGTCGTTCAACTTGTTCGAGGGTTCCGTGTACGCCGGGATGTCCAGAGGTAGGATCGTCGTGGCACTGTTTGAGAACGTCGCGTCGAAGTTCATCGTCTGGGGGAACGTAGACTCGACCCTTGTAGTAAACAAGGCCGTTATCCTCCTCCCATTCAGCGAGACCAGAGGTGAGACGACGGGGACCTGTCTTGCGGAGTTGGGCGAGTCCATCCAGGACCTGGGATTCTCGGGCGCTGGCCTGCCGGATACGGTCCTCCAAGGGGTTGACGACCATGCTCGAGGCGGCGAGCTTGGCAAACAGCTCGGGTTTGAGTACCACCTGTTGTTTGTTGTCCTCAGCGTCGGAGACCTGGTGAATATCGAGGCGGGAGAGGGCGTCGGCTTGGGTGTTGGATTTTCCAGGGCGATGGGTGAGTGAGAACCGGAAGCGGGAAAGGTAGAGGGCCCAACGAGCTTGTCGACGGCTGAGGTCTTGTGCGGTGCGCCAGTATTCAAGGTTGGAATGGTCGGTGACGATCTCGAATGGTTCAGGGAGTCCTTCCAGGAAGTGGCGCCAGTCCTTGAGAGCCTCGATAATGGCCAGCATCTCCCGGTCGTAGATCTCGTAGTTCCGTTCGGCGGGCTGCATGGAGGCGGACCGGAATGCAACGGGGTGCCAGAGGCCGTCGTCCTGCTTCTGGAGGAGGGCTCCTCCAGTGGCAAAGCCGGAAGCGTCGACTTCAATGCGAGTGGGGCGGTCAGGGTCCCAGAGCGCCAGGATGGGGGCAGACGTGAAGGTGTTGCGGAGAGTGTCGAAAGCCTGCTGCTGAGGCTCGTTCCATTGCCAGGGGACGTTTCTTCTTGGTGAGGTCATTGAGCGGTCGGGCGATGGTGGCGAAATCCTTGATGAAACGGCGGTAGAAGTTGGCGAATCCGAGGAAACCTCGAACGGCGCGGAGGTTGCGGGGGACTGGCCAGTTGCGGACGGCTTCGACTTTGGCGGGGTCCATGCTGACTTCGCCCTCGCGGATGATCAGCCCAAGGTATTCGATCTCCTGACGTTCGAACTCGCACTTCTCTGGCCGGAGATACAGATCGTGTTTCTTGAGGCGATGCAGAACTTCGTGTACAACTTGTCGGTGCTCGTCAAGTGTAGCCGTGAAGATAAGGATGTCGTCCAGATATACCGCAACCTTTCCTCCAGCAATGAGGTCCGAGAAGATCGAGTTCATGAGAGCTTGGAATGTCGCCGGGGAGTTGGTTAGGCCGAAGAACATGACGAGTGGTTCGTAGAGTCCCTGGTTGGTGGCGAACGCAGCCTTCCACTCATCTCCTTCCTTAATCCGGATGTTGTTGTAACCCCAGCGAACATCGAATTTCGTGAAGTACTTGGCACCACGGAGTCTGTTGATGATGTCAGAGACGAGGGGGAGGGGGTAGCGGTTCTTGACGGTGATCTCGTTGAGCTTGCGGTAATCCTGAACGGAAGCGGAGCATTGCCATCCTTCTTCTTGACGAAGAAGACCGGGGAGGAGAGGGGAGACTTGGATGGTCGGATGTATCCCTTCTTGAGGTTCTCGTCGAGGAATCGATTAAGCTCTTCTTGCTCGTTCTGAGACATGGGGTAAACCTTGGTGCGCATGGTAGCTGGGGCTCCGGGGATCAGATCGATGGCGTGGTCCCAGGGTTTGTGTTCGGGTAGGCGATGCGACTCGGACTCGGAGAAGACGGAAGCGTGTTGGCGGTACTGCGGGGGAACCATCTCTTCGAAAGTCTTCTGGGGTTTGGCCTTCTGAGATTTCTCGGCAATTTGTTGGGAGTAAGTGAATCCTGCAGCGCACCAAAGTTCGTCACCCGTTTCCTCGATCAACCCTGCTCGTAGCCATTTCCTGCGAGTAGTTCGGTTGGCACGGATACGGCAAAGGGGCGGTTCGGCTTGCTCTGGTTCCGGTTCGGGAGCGAGATCGGGGTTAGGAGTGGTAGGCACAGGGGGAGGGTCATCCGGGGCATCAATCTGTTCGAGAATAGCGTCGCCCGAGGGTACCCCTCGACTGGGAGGGTGCGCGTCCTCGTCTGGAATCTCCTCGATCGTGACACTAGAAACTTTGGAGGGGACCTGGAGGGTGCCGTTGCGCCAATCGATAGTGGGGTTGATCTTTCGAAGCCAGGGGAGCCCAAGGATGATGTCCTCGCCTCCCAGATCGGCAATAAGGAAGTCGGTCCATTCGGAGTGACCATCCACCGTGAGTTCTAGCCGTGCGAAATGTGTGATGTTGCCGGACTGGTTAGGGGTACCGTCGATGTTGAGGAGTCGGATGGGATGTCGGAGAGGGAAGGTGGTGATGTTGTGTCGATCGACAAAGGGTCTATCCAGGAACTTGCCTGTCGCCCCACAGTCGATCATGGCCGCGGAGTTGGTACTGCGATTTCTGCCTCTGAGCCTCACGTTCACGCGAAAGTGTGACGAACGGGGGTTTATTTCGCGAATCGAGCTAATAGTACATGAACGGATGGAGTCATATTCAGAAATGGCGTACGGAGGAGCAAAGGGTGCCTGCGTTGCGGCAGGGACGGGCACCCGTTTCAAAAACCCTGGTGGAGCCTCTGGAGTTGAGCCAGGATGTCGAGTTGTTGTTGTTGAGTGGCAGAGAGAGAGGCAGAGGCTTGGGGCGGGGGCAGAAGGCGTGGCAGGAGTGGTGGCGGCGACGGTGGCAGTGGCAGCAGGGGCGGGTTCGTCAAAGAGGGAGAAGGGTGCTTCCTGGGTAGCGGCGACACGGCGACGCGGAGGTCGAGAGAGCCCTCGTCCAGGTGGGAATCCCATGTACTTGTCCTGGCAGACGGTGGCAGCATGTCCCATACGCTGGCAGTAGTTGCAGCGTAACGCCCCATGATTCCCATCCTTCTTGTTGTGACCGGTGGATCCACAGCCGAAGCATCGACCGCGCATGGCATTGAGGAAGTCCTGGTAGGTCTTGCCACTAGGGCCAGGTCGGGTAGCATCGATCTCCATTGCGTACGGGTCACGAGCGGGGGCGGGAGTGGGAGCGGGAGCGTATTGGGCCAGGGAGGTGCGGGACGAGTTGGGGTTCATGTTCCGCATGACGAACTCGTTTTTGATGGCTTGAGCGACGAGTTCCTCCAGGTTGGCGGGTTCCTTGATGAGGTTGCTGAGGGCGAGCCAGAGAAGGTGTTCCTGAGAGAGCTTCCTCTTGAAGCGAGCCATCCCGTCCGAATCGGATAAGTTGGTGCGCGAAAAGATGTTGACGAAGCGAGAGGCAAAGTCGGCTACAGTTCCTCGACCGAGGGTGAGCTGCTCAAGCTCCTGGAGGGCAGCCTGGGCGTCGTTGGCAGGTTGGAAGCGTTGCTTGAACTCGGTGAGGAAGTTAGCCCACTTTCCCCCAGCGAAGGGCCATGGCTTGGTGCTGTCGGCATCATGATCGGCGATCTGCTGAAGGAAGCGAGATGCCCATCGGCCGGCTTCTCCATGCATGTACGAGAGGGCCGTGGAGATCCATTCCTTGTCGTCCCGAGTGCCATCGTCCTTCTTCAACTGGGGTTGGTGTCCGGCCCAGTTGGTAAAGAACTGGAGGAAGCGTCGGGCATCTTCAGCCTTGCCGTGGAAGGGTTCAGGCGCCTTGACTGGGCTCTTACTAGAGGAGGTCTTGGCAGCTGTAAGGTGGCTGACCAGGGTAGAGATGGCGGTGGTGAGCTGGTTCTGCTGCTCTTGAAGTTTCGCGAGATCGGCAGCGGACATCGTGAGGTCGTCGGTGGTTTGGGAAGCGGAAGAAGGTAAAGTAGTTGGTTGAATGGAAGTGGGAGGTTTCTGTTCTGAGCTTGGAGCGTCATTCTGTGTCCTCCAACTGCCGAGAGGTGTGGAGAGGGGGATGGACCGGGCGAGAGATGAAAGAGGCGGGGTTTGTTGGTGTAGAGCGACCGGAAGAGCTGAGGCGTTGTGCGGAGATAAGAGGTGCGGATGCGGCTAGAGCAGAGTGGAGAGTGCTGAACGGTGGGAGGGTGGTTGCTTGTTCGGGGGATGCTGATCGGACGCTAAGGGACTGGACAACTTCTTCTTCGTCTTCCTCGTCGTCGTCGTCTTCTTCCTCGTCTTCTTCTTCGGGGTCGGTGTCGGGATCTGGAAGCTTGAATGAACCGGCTTTGGCAGCGGGGGAGGTGTTTGCGGAACGGTAAGCTTGGTACGGGGTTTCTGGAGATTCGGTGGCGGTGGGTTGCGTTTCAGAGGGCGGAGTCCTGGGGTTGTTGCGGGCGAATTCTTCAACTGCTTGCTGATTAACGGGGGACGGTGATTCGGCGTTTAGCTTGAGGGAGTTGATGTAAACCCAGTCGTGTATGGATGGTTCGTGATAGCGGTTGGGGCAGGGCTGTTCGGAGCAGGCGACCCAGTTGTTGAAGCTCGGTAGGTGAACGTCTAGGACGACGACGGGCCCGTCACCAATTCGAATAACGAAGTGTGGCTTAAACAGGCAAGAGGTGTCTTCCGGTGCGGCGGAAATCTTGACGGAGTGCGGGGACCAGAGTTGCCAGAGAGGGACCTGATCGGCAGGTCAACCAGAAGCCAGGGATGCGGATGATGCAGGAGCAACGATCGGCGTTGCCGGTGCACAAAGGTAGCTTGACCTAATGTCGCGAAGAGCGAACACTAAACCAAACCAAAGACCAGTGATGCGGAGCAGATAAGAACGGCGAGCGAGATAAGAGCGATGAGCGACGAATGCTGATGAATGCTGAAGCGATGTATTGACGAAGAGGTCAAGCTGAGGAAATACAGAGGGATCTACCTAGCTTATATACCTATTCTACAGTCTACATAGCCGCGATGAGTCAAGGTGACGAACGGATGGCGAGACACAAAAGAACAATAAGGAGAGTCACAAGGCTGCGCGAAGGCTGCGCGAAGGCTGCGCGAAGAGCGAAGAAACAATAACGGAGTAACGAGGCAGTGCAAGAATGGAGAGAACAATAAGACGTAGGGCGAAGGGCATAACGAGGCAGTGTTCCATGGGAGAAAGTGTCCGTGTCGAGAATACGAGCAAAAATGAGAATAAAGAAAAGGTGATAAAAGCGATGAAAGCGATAAGATAAGATAAGGAAAAATAGGGGCTCGTACTTGCTGTTCACGACACTTGCTATCTGTGCAGCTTGTACAGTTCAGCTGGATCAGCCTTCCTCTGTACGGGCGCCTGGAGCAGAAATATCTGAATCTGTGAGAACCCGCGTGGTACACTGCTGGCGTTTATCCATTAAGCGCCCGTCCGCTTTTGTTTCGTGAACATCACGGAGCTTCTGGGAAGGCGTTCTCGAATCCCGGGTGCTTTTTTAGACGACGCCAGAGAGCACTAGTCTCCGAGCATAGTCAGCCCTTTGCACGTAGGCTCAGAAAAAGGCCAACTGTTTCCGTCGCCGGTAGAAAGTCGGAATTCTGGGGAATGGTTAGTTGATTGAGATTGGATGGCCAGCTGGAGATGTGCGCTCTTGTCCCAACTCGGCTCGGGGAATGAAAAAGATCGAAATTATTGTCACTGCAATGTCAATCCCCCCAAATCCCGACCTACGATAGGAGACTGAGTTCAACATTCCCACTTTATCCGTACGTGCCTCAACACGACCATCCCGAGAGACCCATGACGAGCTTCGGCCGGGCTTACCTTTCGTGGAGGTCCGAGTTCCTTGTTCCTCCAGGTCGAGCTACGCGTGTTGTCGGGGAGGCAACAGACCAGGCTCGGGGGTGTCGCCACGGGCCACAAGGTTACTCACTCGGTGGATCGATGAGTTATCCGTCCGCTTCGAAGGTTTCGGTAATCAAGGGGGATTACTTGGAAGACCGGCGAATCGTAAGTATAGAAGAGTAGATCGATTAATTGGCCCTTGAGTAACTTGACTTTTACCCCCCCGTAAAGTGGTAGGTAGCACGACATAAGTTACGTCGACATCGGAATTTGCGTCGGAATAGGATTTCATTCCATGGGATGCATTGCAGCGGCGAGAAGGCAGGTCGTGTGTTTGCTGCTTTGGAAGAGAGAATCTCTATTACATCTGCTTAGCGAGATGGAACGGCCAAGAGACGTCGGCATTACGATCCATAGGATAGATCTGGCACTCACAGGGATTTAGTGCTGGGTAGTTCGGCATTCACCTGCCTGTCATGGAGCGGGATGGGCGTGGGTGCTTCGTGAGGCACATTATGTGTATGAAGTCGCCGGAGACCCGAGAGCCTTCCATGGAAGCTGGGGGATATTTACAATTCGAGGGGATGTATGTAGCTCTCGGCCACAACCTCCTGCTGCATAAGTCGGAGATGAGCAGAAGCAGGTTAGCCGTGGTATGCGAGGCCGATTGGCAAAATAACAAGCGGAGAGGTTGTTCGATTGGTTGAGGAATTGTTTAGTTAAAGATCCCTGAACGTCGGATGTTAGCGGTGAGCGATGCACCTTGTGCCTCAAGTTACGTCGCTGATCATGTCGCTGTCATTGAAGGCAATCCGGCGATTACTTTGTGACTCTTTGTACGCCGGCGGGAGATTCTCAAATTGCGAGATAGAACGGGTGGAGATTAGAGTCTCTGAGTTGGATCGTGAAACTCCCGTAACGTCGAAGCATGACTTCTGTGCTCGGTCATCGAGATTGGAGATTTGGGAGAAACGGAGATCAAGAGATTTCGATGTACTGCTGAAGAGAACCAGTTCGTGAACTCCAATTCCAGAGTTAACTCTGAATCAGAACTTACCTTGTTCTGACGCCTGTTAGCGACCTTTGCGGATGTCAGCCTGTACAAAGGTAAATCTCAACTGGATTGGATAAAGGCCCAGCCAAGTCCATGATATGGCCTATTTCATGAGATCACAGCCGTCCTTCAAAGAGAGGCATAAACGCTGAGCAAAGAGCTTATCGTGGAGAAAACGACGACAACATCGTGGTCAACAGCGAACCCTGCCCGGGCTGGCTTTCCAAACGCCCCACGAAAGCGTCGTGCCGACCGGCAAGCCGCGGAAAACGCCGACCATGATCAAACAAACAAACCAAGCCCAAGGACCCAGCCACGGCATGAGGCCTTGAGGTCCCCGCAACCAAACTCAGCGTCAATCCTAGAGTGAATTTGCGTGGACGTCGGTCTTACTTGTGCCAGAAACGTTTCCGAGTGCTAGTTCGCCGACCACGAAAGACGGCTGGGAGTTCCATGACCTACAAATGGAGGTGTTGCACATAAGCGCCCAACATTGATGGCGAGGATGGAGTTCTTCCACGTCTTCTGGGACTTTTGAGTGTGTAACTACAGATACAGCGAGTTCTCACAAGCTGCATAGACGTAGAAGTGCTGCCCATTTTTGTCGTTTCGTCGCCTGGACCTCGTCGCCTAATTGTTCCCAGGCATCGGCACATGGGGCCAGATAAGCAGTCTCTGGTTCCACTTTCCTTGTATTTTTAGAGGGTTACTGGTTCTGAGCCCACGGTGCCCAAGACGAGTATTTCCTGAACGTAAATGGAGGTCGTGGCTGAGAGAGTCGCAGCCGGCAGGCAGTCAGAGTGACGTCGTGTGGCTGTGCCGTGTATGGTCGTGTTATGACGGTTATGGTCGCTGTATCGAGTTGATCGAGGTTGACTAGTTGCGTTCATTCTCTGCTAAGCGTTAACCGCAATTTCCACTTCAACTACGACTCGGGATGGCTGCGTCGTTTGCCGCATATGCCTCCCAATACCTCAACAGGCAGCAGCGGCCGCCAGATGCCAGCATGCTGTCCTCGTCGTCCCACCCGATGTTCTTCTCCTTCAGCACAGACGACGGTTCACGAGGCGGACATGGCCCCGACAGCGCTTTGTTAGACGACTATGACCTCGACGACCCCCATTTGAATCTAAGAGATAGTGGCGCATCAGAATCGACAGCTCGACGACCTACAACGGTGCAAAGAGACGATGAAGACGACGACGATCCTTATTTGCGGTTAGACGAAGATGAACGAACCGGGAGACATGGTTTCCAGTCGCGTGAGCAGCAGCAGAGGGCGCCTCTCATCGTTGCAGACGACGACAATGCCAGTTTGAGCGGGAGCAGCCATATGGGTTCGCCAAAGGGTTGGCTGGCGCATTTGGCCGCCTCGCCATCGCTCCACATTGCGGCACCAACGCCTCGTCCAGTGCGGTCGCCGTCTCCAGCGACGTCGAGCTCTTCAGACTCGGCACCGCCAGAAGACCTGTTTGGCGGTCCATCGTCGAGGAAACCACAGCACCAACATCGCCAGTCTCATCGGCAGCACCATCCCATACCGCCTCCGCCGAGGACGCAAGCGCACGAGCCGCAGTCACTGTCCCTCACCGAGTCTCTTCTCCCCAGAGACGGCCGCACGAGGCCATTAGACGTCTTCTCATTACCTGACCCTCGCCATCTTCCCCGCGGCAGAAGGAAACACAACGATTCCGTCTGGACTTCCCTTTGGCTCGCAGGTGTCACGATATGTGTCATCTCAGCCATTATTTTATTGTTCGCAGCACGGACACCGCCTGGCGTGCCAAAGCGAGTTCTACCTTATGTTACTTTATTGCATACGGTCCCGCTATTGACCATTCTCACTATCCTTGCCGCCGGCGTTGCTTACGTCCACATCTTCCTGCTCCAGATATTTGTCAAACCAGTGATGATAGCCACCTCTGTGTTCGTACCAGTTACCTTACTGATCTCTTCATTATGGGCGTTTATTGGGAGTTTCATGTGGGAGGAGGGAACAGACCCAACCTGGGGTGAGACTGTTGGGTGAGTGTTCCTTCATTTCCACCAATGGCCTTTGCTCATGAATGACACCAACTGATTTACTATAGACTTCGACTCTTCTCAATTATCCCCCTGATTCTCGCAATCTACACCGGTCGACGCCTTCTCGATCTTCCTCATCGCCTGCACACGACCTCTTCGACACTGACACTCACAACTCATCTTCTCATGACAAACCCATTCCTTCTGGCGTTGTCGCCTGCCATCCTCCTCGCAATGCTCCTGGCCTCGTTACCATTCCTTACCCTTATCTTCCGCCTCTTGTTGATTGGCTACTCCACCGGAGGCCCCGGAAAGTCGACAGGCTGGGAATGGCATGTCCATACCTGGGCTAATTGGTGTATCGCTGGAGCTGTCGGCATTTGGTTGTGGACTTGGGGCGTCGCTCGTGGTCTGCTACGGATGACCACCGCCGGCGTCATTGGTGCTTGGTACTTTGCAGAGTACGTTCTCCTTCCCTCATCACAGGTGCCTGACTAATCACTTTCCTTCCACTTTGCGTAGTCCGTCACTCCCGCCGCCACCTCCAACATCGACACACACGATTCACAGTGCACTCTTCCGCTCAACTGGACCCTCGCTTGGGACGATCGTACTCTCAGCTCTCATCCTTACGTCAATCCGATTCCTCACCTTGCTCACCATCGCACTTCAGCGGCTGCCTGTCTATCTTCCAGTGCGAATCGTCCCGATCATTATGCCAGGGATTCGCTGGATAGTGGGTTACATTGATGGAGTGACGACTGCCCTAAGCGCATACGCGTTGGTCTACGCTGGGCTAACTGGGGATCCTTTCATGGCGAGTGCTAGGAGATCTAGGGTACTCGTGAATGGCGGCCAAAATGCTCGAGGAAGGGGGATGGGTGGCAGAAGGGTTGCCAAAGAAGGTATGTTTAAACCTCTGGATCATTTGGCTACGTATGATACTGACCGTCGTCCTGCAGAACCTCTGACGCTGTTGACGATCTCGCCTTTAGTGCTGACCTTCCCATTTGCTCTCAGCACCTATCTCTTTGTTGCGCATACCTTGGGAGCACCGAATGAGGCCCTCGGAGCTGCTGTCCTCGCTGCGGGTACCACGGGCTTGGTCGGTCTATTCTGTGTTGGACTAGTCAAGGATACGTGCGTAGCTTCCATTGTTATGCTCTGGTTCCCCAGCCTAATTTTACCTACCTCTAGCGCTGACACTCTCTACCTGTGCTACTGCATTGACAAGGATACGGGAGATAGAAGAAAAGAGGAGGTCTTCATCATCGTATGTCGTTATTGTTTCCTCGATTGATGCAGTGCTCTGACCCTCTTCACAGTTCGAACCCGAGACCGCCAACCGTGCAGCCAATGCTGCCGGTGGTGCTTCCGGAGGAACGCAGCAGCAAACTCAACGTGGTCAACGATCCGCTAAGCCTCAGTCTTCAACGCAACACCAGCCGCAGAGACCTTCACCATCCCATGCGCCGCAACAGCATCAACCACAGCATCATCGGATATCATCGTTCAGTTCGTCCACTGCCAAAGCACCCCTTGTCGCTTCTGATCGACGGACTCAACCGCTTGTAGCCTCCAACCTCACACCGCCGTTCTCCAGCGATGAGGAGAGTCCTCAAGACGGAGAAGTTGACCCATTCAAGAGGAGTTTCGTCGATGGTGGAGAGGAGGACGACATGTATGCCGATGATGACCCAACTACATCCCAGCAGCGCAGTCATGCGGTGGGTGGTGCCGGTGGAAGACCAGCTCCCCCGATTCCTCAGCATGTCCAGCAGCAACGACCGCAACATCAGCGGCAAGGAAGTCATGGACAGTCACAAGTACCTGTGCCGATCAACGCCTTCATTCAACGAAATAGGGGTCTGTCTGGATCTGTGACCTTTTCGCGGTCTCCACCTGCCGCTGGACCGGCTGGGTTTCCTTCGATGTCGCCGCCTACGACTGCGGCCGCTGCACAGGAGAGGATGATGACGAGTACGGAGCTGAACATGAAGAGCCACGTTTTCCAGGGTCGAGCGGGAGGAGGGTACAGCGTTGATGATAGCAGTGATGAGGAGGAAGGGGTCGTTGGGTTCGTTCAAGGAGGGAGCTCCAGCAACACCGCTCCTCGCAGTACCAGCAACGTTGGTATGAGCGTGAGCGGTGGTATGGAAGAAGAGGACGTGAATCCGTTTGAGAATGCTGGAGAGTTGGAGAGTGGCTTGAGTGTGAGCTCCAGTCGGACTGGTGGGGAACAGGGGAAGAAGGACAAGAAGGGAGGGGATGATATGGAGGAGAGTGATCTGTTCCCTGGGTCCGGGTTCTTCAATTAGGCGGACTGTAGTCATTTGCATGGCTCTCGCTCATTGTTCCTTTTCACACCGTCCTCAGACTCTCGCATCCATGTTTCTGTACACTTTCGTCGCCGCTCTTTCTTGTTGTCGTTCACCATTCGTCTTCATCTGCCATCCACATCCTGCCACATTCGTCATCGTCATGACCATCATGAATTATTGCTCTTGTTATCGCCATTTTCTTGTTATTTGAATTTTAGATCGCTTTGTTGTTCTCGCGAATGTACATATGATTTTTCGGTGTTCAGTATGTTCCGCTGTGGAGGTGGTGTTGTCTGGTGGGTCGTTTATACTGTTCGTCGTTATGCATGATGCCCTAAGTTGTCCATGGACGATGGTACATTTTCGTTACCTTGCCAAAAGCTGTACTTCATTTCTGTGCACACCCATGTATTTCGCATTCTATGACGAAACACGACTCGCTTGGTAGCTGAGATCTATGTATTATAGTCCGCCGCTTTCCAAGATGACTTTCAACTCGTAGCTCGACGCACACCTCACCTCTACCCCATCACATACTACCAGTCCCGCCGCAATGGCAACGTTTTCCTTCGTGTCCGGGATGTGGAAGGAGATCTTGCCCTTCCTCGGTCCCCGAAACCAACACAACGAATCCAAGGCTTTCCTCCAGACAGCCGTCCTGTACGCAAGGAGTTCGTCGTCGAGTTCACTGTTAAAGTGATCGCTGATACTCGGCTGGGCACAAACGACTGCCTCCAGGGATTGTCCCAGATCCCGCAACATATCGTGGTCACCCTCCAACAAAACGTCGGGATCTCTCAAATGGAGATGACTGATCCTCCCATAAAACTCTGCCAAGAGCTTCTCGTGGTCCTTGGAACTCGACTTACTCCCCTCCAGCGAAAGGCAGAACGAATGAGGCGGTCGACCCTCGCCAAAGCTGCGCAAGCAGAAACGGCGGACGATGTCGGGCAGCCAGATTGAGATCTTGGTGTCTCCACAGAGGCGGAAGAGCTGCAAGGATGGGAACGTGCCTCTATTGAGAAAGGCGGAGGCGAAGCTTGTGCCCCCTTCGCCGATGAATACGAGTCGTTGGATGGATCGGTTGGGTATGGGCTGTGTGGTTCTTATGTGCTCCTCGAACTTAAAGTCGAGACCCATCATGTCGCTTGTGTTTCCTTCCACCACCAATTCCTCCAATGCCGGAAGTGTGAGGACCCTGTTTATGGGGAAGCTGATGCCTCCGGAGAGGCGGAGGTAACGGAGGCTACGGGGGATGGGGACGTACACGTAAAACCACCGTCCGAAAGAGTTGGCTATGGATAATCGGGTTAGAGGGAATACATCCTCAACCAAGTCGGCGTAAAAGGGGCGGCGCGCTTCTTCCGACACTGTTGGCAAGGTCGGTTTGCCCATGTAGGTTGATACGAGGGACAACAGCGGCAGGTTGGTGTTTGGCTTCAAGATGAGGTTCCTGAGCATCTCTCGGAACCCGCGCTGCTCCAATCCTAGGAAACATCGTTGGACGACGTCAGAGTCGAATCGCCATTCGTACCAGTTGCGGTTGGGGTTGAGTAGAATGGCTGTTATCTCCTCCACAACTTCTCGCTGGAATTTGGCGCTATGAGCGGAAAATGTGTGCTCCCTGCGTCTGTCGTCGATGACTTCCAATAGCAATGGCGGTTTCGAAGGGCCTGCACGACGAAACCAGTTGTCGGTGAAGGAAACGAGGCCGTGAGGGAGAGAGGCGGGGCGGAGCGATCCAAAATCCAATCGTAGACTTGTCCAGAGGGTCGTGGTGCTGAGTGCAGTCTGATCCCAGTGTTTGGAAACGCAACGATACTGGGCGAGTTCGAAGGGGTCTGCAGCGGTAATCTGCGTGCCGTCCTTGTTCCTTGGGGCAACGGCATATGCTAAGATTTGGCATAGAATCTCTGGAGGCAGGTACCCATCCATGATCTTTCATCTAGGGTGCTCTATGGGACGGTGATGAGGTAAAGGAACGGGCACAGAATCTCTGACGAGGCGATGACCGCGGATGCTATAGCGCTTCGATCTTATCTTATCTACTGGGTAGCTTTGATCAAATGGCCAACTCTTCGAAGTTCTATGAGGTTTGGCGAATATGTATCGGCCAACATCGGTTAACCGATGGCTTCATGCCTGTGAGGACAGAGATTTGGGACACAGTTCCACGCCTGTGTTTGAAATGACACCGTTCATGAGAAGCTGGGATGGATCGTGGGTGAAGAGTGAATGGGAATCGGGACCAGCAAAGAAACGAGGGACCGCCGTGTTCATGCCAGATGAAAGACCGGAGAGTCCGAGGGAGAATGTTACAGGTGCACACATATAAATAGAGGGCGCACCATTGGTGAATGTCGACCACTGAACCCTGTCATTCGGGCTTCCCTCCTATTCAAGGACGACTGCAAGAGGTTTCATGCTCCTCCTTCATGGCACCTAGCACAACACGCAAGAGTCAGCACGTCGCGATTCACGATCCAAGTCGCCACCCTTATCTGTAAAGGAAGTCCGGTTACCCTGTGAGAAGCACACGCGGACACGAGGCCAAGTCGGAAACAGGACCAAATTCTGTGCGTTGCGACAGGCATTCAGAGCTCAGTGAAAGAAGCAAAACTCGATCACCGATAGCTCAGGATAGTACGTCTGCAGAGCGACCTGGTCATGAGGCAACGAGCCCTGCAGACCACATTTCGTCATCTTCGAGAAGATGCACCAGCAGATTTGAACACCGGCCAGGAGTCTGGAAAGGGGATGTATCCTCAACGGTAACGTTGCCTTGTCGTCCTACTCACCTTTCGCTCCGCGACGTTTTCCAATGGCGAATAGTGATCCCTCCATGTGCCCTCTCAGCTCACGGGCCACGGGTGCTTGTGTGCGCTCCCGGCTCGCAGGGCGAGAGGGTGGACCATGTAGCCTCGCGAGTGATCTGACTCCCGAGTAACGAACCGTAAAAGGAACCGTAAAGAAGCAATGACTTGTTCCCTAGTACCAAAGGAAAGGCAACCTCTACTTACCTTTAAACGATTTCCATGTTCGCAAGCGGCAACTCCACAACGCACTCGTGTCTGAACGAGCGCCTAATCATAAAGGGTAAGCACGTTCCGATAAGATGGTCCATTTCATGGCAACCCGATGGAAGCTTTCCTAGGATATGATAGATGTATATTGTCGTGGATCATGATGAATGATTGAAACTCACATCATATTGCCCACCATGCCCGTTAGCACCGACTGGAGCAAAAGCATGGCGGTCCTATCTTTAACACAGGCTGGGTAAACACACGCCGATATAGCAACGCCTCGTGCTGTTCGCAGCAAAGGGTGTCACGCCAGGTTTAGGTCAAGATGACCCTGGACCCTTGTTGGTAAAGGTGTAGAGATAATCGAAGGTCGCGAGCGCTGCTTTTGAATTGAGATATGAAACAAACGGGCGGGATTACCCAGGGCCTTGTACCTGATATCCGACAGTAAATACCGCGAAGAGCCCATAATCGCACTGGTAGATGAAACGGGGTGCGAAGTTCCAGAGAAGCAGGCGTTGAGTCGATCACCGATAGGTAGCAGGCATCCAAGGATAAGGTTCTAACGGTGTAAGCCCCTAGAAGGTCACGATAGGAGTCACCTTATGGACAAGCTCACCTCGAAAGACCTCTATGCTGGGAGGCGAACAAGAGATGGCATTCTATGTGGTGATATTCGACTGCACACTCGCAAGAGGCCTACCAAGGGCTTGGACCAGGGTTATGATCTGAAGAAGCGCGGATCAAGGACACACGGGTCGATAACGCTGCGGCAGGAAGGCGCACCAGACCTCAGAGTAGATATTCATAGATTCGTAGCCGAGTGGTTCACTGGCGAGATCCAAGGACCCTACGAGACACATAGCTGCATTGACGAGGTCCCTTCAGGTTCGAGAGGCCGAGATGGGTTTGAGCGAGGGAGTCATTTCCGATGCTACCTAAATGTTCGGAAGTTAGCAGTATTAACCTTTTTCATTTGAAAGATGGGACACTTTAAGGGAAGTGAACTGGTATGGTGGGACTAGGGGGATGGTCACCGCTATCCCATGTCATCATAATTGGGTTCTGGTTGCAAACGCTCGCAGTATCGTAAGTTGACTCGGTTCGTTCGAGTTCAGGTTGACAGTGGGGCCGGCATTGGGCCAGATACTGCTGCGACATAAGGAAAGTGTCAACTCGGATTAGCCAGTTCTCCCGAGACAAAGAGAACATGCCTGAATATTTCGAAGTTCCCATTCTAGTTCGGAAATGTCTTGGAGCCGGTGTTGGTTTGATTCAAATTTGGAGTGAACGTGTCATGAATCCAGTGCGCTGGTAGCAAACTGACGGCATTGCAAATTGCTTTGCACTGATGTGCGGAGTGAGGCGAGCTCTCCTTTCCATTACCACAGTTTGCATGATCGCGACTCGTAGAGTTGGGGGTTAGAAGAGCGAAAACGTCGCTCCTGGCGCGTAGCTGATTGATTGATTTGAATTTCAAGACCCCGGACGTGTCAACACGACTACACACGGAGATGACTATTGTTTCGTTAAAGACGGTACATGAATAGTTGGCAAGACTTCGGCATACCTCTTTCTCCCCATCAGCGTGCTTTGTCGTCAGAGCGAATGACGCCCGGGACTCCATACACACTCAGACTCCGAGAATCCGAAAGCAATGGACCGAAGAACGTTCAGAACCTAAATGTTGTTTCCATGTGCGCGTTACACGGGAACTACATGAAAAGAAGTCGACCAAAGCTTCTGTACGCTGCGCAGTTCTTGTCAGACTTTAGTGTGTCGCCCGTCGATAAGTCTGTTCATCTTTCTTTGATGGCGCATTTGAGGAGACAGATCCTGGGTAAACGGTGACTGAATTCGAGGAATTGGCACTATGCCCTAGCCGTCCGATGGAGGACGAGCGTGGCAGAAGCGGACACCAAGATTAAAGGAAGGGACAGAAGAAGCTGAGGAAAATCCGAATCGCGGACGCGTCCACGATTCCGACACGATCACATGATCAGGGCCTTGTACGTCCACGTGCCGCTTTCTCCTGCCTGAGTCTTCGAAAAGGGTCTGTTCCAAGGCCAAGACGACGACTAGGGCTTGTATTCCCTCCAACTGACTTGAACATAAATCAACTCTAAACAAGCCATCGCTGTCTATCGCAACTCCCTCTCGGCCAGCTCACGGAAAAGATCTTCCCTTGACAATCTAGGAAGCCCAGAACTTTGCTCGAGCCAATCTTTAACCATCTCGTGGCCTTCGTATTCGCTGCCAGTGTTACTCTCTGGGATGGAAGACTAGCTGAGCTCCAATGTCTGGATGCTCTGTCAACCCTGTCAGCGGACAACGACAAGCCATGCCGTCTGATTCTGTTACTCTTTGCACAATTGCATTTCTCTATCATATGGACACAGACATAGTCTAAATGTTCAGGCTATCTCTTTATATCCATTTGACAATGCGTCTCCTTTAAATGGCCTACTTGCGCGCTGTTCTAACTTCCCGACAGTCTCATGAAATCTCACGCTGACAATCTCTTTCGCGGAACGCGACACTGGGCTGACATTTCATGTTCTGATCTGGCTTCGATTCAGCATGTCGATGCTGAGCATGCGCGCTTCTCACTCTCGTCCTCCTCACCTGATTCCACAATTGAAGAAGCTTCTAACAACTTTCTAGTGAGAACATAAAAGATGAGTCAACTCCCGTCATCCATCACAGAGAAGTCAGACCACTAGCAGGCGAAGACAGGTATTTCATTACTATCGACATAGCTGACCACAGGCTGAGGTGATAAATCATCCTCTCCGATGGTGGAACCGAGAATGACATCGGAGATGGAGACAAGCTTGGGTCAAGTTCACTCTGGAGTTCGCTCCCATCGTCGACTCTGGCCGTTATACCGTGTATCGGACGAGTTTATGACATTCGACAAAACCCGTCGGCATGTATACGCTCTTCTCATGAAAATACAACAATTCACGATCCCACCGTAACGGAGTTCTGCTCGTAATTCTGTGAAAGTCGGGGTTGCGCTCCCAGGCGGTCGGCGGTTATACCATATCAGGAGAACAAAGCTGGTGATAGGCGGGAAACAATAAGATTTCCATTGTTGCTCGCTACACCGGTACGTCCATTTACTTCTGGTAAAGTTGAGATTGCTCAGGGTCGCTATTCTCCCAGATCGATCTTAAGGCTTTCAATTTGTCCAGAGCGTCAGGTAGGGATGACCTGATTCGACTCGCCATGGCGTTGATCTCACAAGCAGTTCTATTAATGACGAGGGTGAGTTGTAATGAAATCCACTCTCGTATCTAATCAGTATCAGGATTGATGGACATACTTCAGCACATGCGAGTGTATGAGCTTGGACTGATTTTGTAGGTCCCTGTCAATTATCAGGAAAGCTACCACTGATGGAAGACGACCGCGAGTCTTTTGTCCTTTCGCTGTGTGTACGTATACGCAAGTGACGAAAGGTAATACAGGCTGGATTCAGAGATAGAACTCCCATTGTTCTGCTGAGAACTCCTCGACAGGCCTAGCCGTAACTTGTATGATAGGGGCTTGGAGGGGCGAAACACACCGCCCTCAATTGACCATGAAACACTCTTACAAAAAGATCTCTCTCGGCTATTGGCAGAGGGATTTCTCAACATGAACCAGTCCAACTTGCATCTCGGTGGAGGCCACGCGAATTGCTGTACCTTGTCGCAGAGATTCAAGGCCACCGGAGACCATCGGAGCACCTCCTTTGAATGATTGGGCGTCAATCATTTTCCAAAACAAGAATCCCCCGACTTCCAATTTATCTTTTTCCAGGTGTTAAAGTTGAAGGTGACCCTTTCTTGAGATTTGCGAGGCTGGGTTGGACCGAATAACGTGGTCACGTCGCAAGCTTTGGGCAGGGAAACTTTGGTCTGTCGTCGATCCGTCGCCATTTGTGAGTGGACATCGTGACGACCGAGGCCTGCCTACCACAGCTCCTATCACCGCCATTGATCGTCGTCGGCGTTGGCGTACCTGTTGTCGGGAATAACAACGGCCCTATTGGGTGGCCATCTGTGATGCACGGAGCGCCGGTTTCCTATTCAGAACACCGTCGGTCAAGGAAAGGTGCTCAAGTCTGTAGGTGTATGCAAACCTTCTTGTTTGGAATGGTGTCCACGTTCAAATCAGTCGAGATAATCTAGTGGTAGTATAATCACCTATCTTCTAATGTGGTGATATATGGAAGCAGCACGTCGACCCATGTGGATGCGCACTCCAGTCTTTCTACCTCCAATCCATTGCATATATCTGCTCGAAGTTGGAAGCTAGCCCGTTGCTCTCAGCTCTGATCTACTTCCACCAATAAAAGGTTTGTCTACATGCTAGAAATACCTTACTGCGATAATCCCCAGAGTTGGATCGACGATTGGCATTGAAAATCCCGAAATTATCAATGATCTGAAGTCCCAACGTTCGAAGTTCTCGGGAAGAATGACGATACCCATTGCCTACAGAAAAAGGAAAACCACTTGAACCTTCGTAGCAAGTAGGAAAATGGCTTTCTCGAGCCAAAGTACAATTTCGAATTGCCTAGGCAAGTGAAGCCTCTGATGTCTGACCATTACAGAGTCTGCGCAGTCCTTTACATATCACGGTACCATCAACGGGATGTCAGCTGGTGTGCTCACCTACTCGAACGAGAAATCTTCCATTCTCTCGACTTTGATACCACCCGTGAATGTCTTTCATCTTATCCATTCCTCAGGATCGATGATATATGTGTGAGTAGACTTCAGCCCGAGCCAAATCCGATCGACTCGGGACACTCTCATCAGAAATGTGGGTGGTCTTGGCCTGAGTCAACTTCAGATATGAGATACACGTTGCTGAAAGAATCAGACCTCTCTCCCCCGGACCTTTGTCGCGATGCAAGCCTTAAACTTCCGTTGCCGTTCTGGTCGTTATCGAAATGAATGAAACCGCTTTGATTTTTGAAAGAGACTTCGCTTTCGTCACTCGGATTCTCTTCTTCTCCAAAATCAACGCACCTTTCATTTAACGAGTTTTAAGCGATCGGCATGAGAGAGAAAGCCTTTGTTTATTTCAATCCCCGCCCCTACTACTACCAAAGCTAACAACTACCGATACGTCTTTTCTATAGAACACAGTCAGAATCCTACGAAACCGGAAAGCAACATCATGCAGCGGAGACCTTTTGCAAGCCAGGGCCTAGGGCTAACGGAATCGATAGTGGAACCCATCGATGGGCACCTTGCGGGCGAGAGCGGGCGTACGCCCGCACTCGCCCCTTAGGTTGGCCTTTGAGGGCATACATCGGCGAGATACGCCTCGATTATGATCGATAGCCAAATTATGGAGTCATTGATAACAGGCCTCTCTCTTTGACCAACGTGTTTTTCGAACTCGGGGAAAGTCCTTCTGACTCGTACTCTGCTTCCGGGCATATGGATCCCGCTGTGTAATAGTGGGAGTCGGTTATTGAACCCACTTGAAAAGCAACAGACGAATCGGTTCAGTTAGTAACCTTGAATGTTCTACCATCGCTAAGCTTCTGTGAAAGGCGGGAAAGAGGCCCTTCTTGGGAGATGCGCCGCCGCCGACGCTGTTTCCAACTCCTGTCAAAAGAATTCGCGCCACGAGCACCTGACTCTCTAGCAGCTGCACAGACCCACCTTATGAGATACATTAAACTGCGCCTCAGAGGGGCTCTCGCCGGAAAAGGCCAAGTCTAGGAGTGTGGCGCACGGTTTCCCACTAATCTCCTGCCAACCAAAACTTCGCACCAAGGCGTCTATTACTATGGTACCCATTACGCCCACCGATTCGGTGTGGTTTTACCCAAACCTTGCTGCTCACACCACCCCCACCCATGACCACATACGGATTGTACACTGTAGAAGCATCGGCATATTTGCGTTCTGTAAAAACGAACTCGATTGAAGTGGGCGCCCGCACAGCTTTCACAGCTCGATCGCAACCCCGTACACAAGGTATCCACTGACTCTGAATCAGAAATGCCATGTAGCCTTTGTAAAGCTCAGAGGAAACCCCACGATCACTACCTCGTGCCTCGCTCGTTGTTCAGGCCCGACCCTGAAGCCTTACCTTAGATACGCGAATGTCGTGATTGGAAAAAGTTAATCCAAACTAAAAGTGAGTCAAAAACATAGTCACCCCGAATCGAGTGCCAGCCACGCGAAGAAACGAACCAGTGCAGGGTCAACGTGAAAGGGACATGCGCCACACTGCCAGCTCGAGCTTGGCCTCGAGGCGAACCGCCCCCCTCTACCCTGCCCTGAGTTTGGCCTTCCCTGAGAAAAGCCCATTGTTGTTCTCGCTGCTGGTTCCAGCTTGACGTATGCCGATGTAACCAAGTTCATGTTGAAAGGCACTAACCCTTTCATCTCCACCATGGTAAGGCTACCGCGAGGTCCCCAATTGTTCGTCGGAGTCCACCCCTTGCCTTTGAAGGCAACTTCCGTACCCTAGGATAGACACCAACATAGAAATGCCTCGCAGCTGCTGTAGAGGCTTGACGTCATCTATTCATGGAAATACAAGTACAGCTCAGAGGGGTTCGGGCTGAGTGGCTCAAATCACGGATCGACGCTCGCTCAAGTCCGAAATTACATTGGCAGTGGCACAGGACAATGGGGTGAAGAACATTCCGCTCGCAGTGGGAGTGCACGAGTCCTGTGGGGTCAACATTTTGTTATTCAGAAGCCTATATCGTCAGCTCCGTCCATGTCGAACGTTGTAGTTTGTATTTACGGCGGAGTTCCGATGCTCGACAAGCGAGAATAAAATCACAGCACCTCCTATCGCCTCAACATCTTCTCTTGAGATGGAGTAGATCAAAGCGTGTACTCTCAGCCTTCTTACTTCGAATGTAGACATCCAATCTTAGGAGCACCCACCTGAGTGAAAGCTGTGAAACGCTTCGATGATCGATGGTGGGAGTTTCTGATGGCGTATTGCTGCTGCACAGTCTTCATCCCTCTACCACTGTCAGTACGCTTCTGGATCTCCTGACAATCAGGTGGCATTGTACGTTACATCCTGTGTTTGAACACCCAGAAGCTCGTTTTCTGTCGCACAGCAGCCGCGTGCCTTACCATGAAGTGGTTGCTTCTCAAGATCATTAGCTTGATAAGCGCTCGATTGATGGATAGTCATAAGCGCCGGAACCGATTCGACTGCTGATGCGTACACATCGTATCGAGTCAATTTCAAACTCATGAAGCTGTAAAGTTGATCCATTTAATGAACGCAAACTGCTACCGCACTCGTACAGTAATGTGCGAAAAACATATGGTAAGCGATCCCGTTTCTGACTCTGCGAGTACTCAGTAGTGTCGTGTTCTCCGCACCGGGTAGCAAGGCTGATGATGACATGGCCGAGTCAAGAGTCTAGTGTTTTGAATGGCAATTCGAACTGAGATACTTGCGAGCCAGTGAACCCACAGAATCATCCGACGATGGGTCTGGGAATTCCGAGATGCACTACTCCGGGTGGGGCGGAGTAGACCAATTCACTTGAATCAGTTGACATTCGAAGCCACATCCTCCCCTCTCACAATAATACGTGACCTTATAAGGCGCTCCTACCCTTCCTTGAATTTGATGGAGATGATAGCAACAGCGGTCTTGTCGTCAGGTACATTCAGGCTCAGCGATTATCTATAGCCCGTTATTGTAACCACCCCAGTCTTGTGTGAACTCTCGTTTCTGGAAGACGACATAAGGAACGTCCAAAATTGCGAGAATCGTACGGACCTATATATGCCTCTCCAGTCATTTGATCCTGTTATTCTAAGAAGCCATTGAGTTCTGCGTTGTGACTGACTGCAACACAAATCTGTCCCGAGAACCTCGAAGATAAAGGGCGTCTCTAGATCCCTATCACTCCTTTAATTATACCTTTGCCCAAAGCGAGGTCTGCACACAGACAACCCGACGCCCTCGAGACAACTACAGCCTCCAACGCGAAGTTGGAGCTGGTTCCATCCCTCGGGGTCGGGAGAATCATAACAAGCCCACCGCAAAAGGGTAAGCATTCACAAATATCTGTATTCAGAAGATGGAAAGACTGAACATCAGATCTGATGATCAGGACTAGAGGGATGTTAGAGAAGAATCAAGGATGATGCGGGTAATTGAGATCGCCGTCCACCTCTCCAGCTGAGCATCTGAAGACGAGTTTAACGAGCGTTTTAACGCTCATCGATCCATGATCAAAACAGAGATGATGCTTGGTGTGGCGAGTGGCTTTTAAATGGTGATACCGCAGGGACGAGCGGGTCAAGCGGGACTCGGAAAGGGCTAGTAGCTCAACGCCTTACGCCAATATACGAAGATAAAATGAGAGATGTTCATATAGAATGCGTTCTTCTCGCTCGCGCTTCGGATCCCAAGCTATCCGTCGTACGCGCATGCTCTCTCCAAGTTCCCGAACATAGCTTATTTGAGGCGTCGATGACTACAGCAAGATGAGTAAATCACCAAGAATCCGGATATCTGCGTCTCCCTCTCAAACGTACCAACATCGTTTAGAGCAGTGCTCAGAGTACCTTCTGAGCTTTGAAATAAATGACCCAACGACCCCCTGACCATCCAAGTTCCTCCTAAGCGTCATCCGAACAACGTCGCCAAAAGCGCAGCTCTGCCCAACTAATAATAGATTGACGGGCGCTACTTGTTTTCGGAGCACTTTACAGCTTTGCGGGGCTTCTGATTCGACTCTGGCACGAGATGTGTCTGGTCGCTAAACGGTCCACCTCGCCTCACCTCACCTAGTCTAGCTGCATTATCCTAGTACAGCAGCACACCCTGAATCTTTGCATCCCCCTGTTCCAGCTTTAGTTTCACTCAGGGCTGGAAGCAAGTGGGTACAAGAGGAAGAGGTTGTAAGCGCTGGCCTGGTACTACTATATGTTTCAATTTCGAGATACCTGTTACACCACATGTTCCCTAATACAAGGACGCGTTTTCGCATCCTTCGAACGTACCTCATGGAGTGGCTACACCAGCAACACAGAGCAAGTACAGGTTCCACGCCTCGTGGCCTTACTGCTGTTCCCTCCTTGACCTTCTCGACCACAATGTCAACATCTTCATCACCCACCGCATGAACATGTGCTGTGTTTTCAGAGCCACGCATTGCGCATGCAAGAGGGCAGAGAGCAGTGGTACTTACTTAGAGTCATGACGGAACCACCTCATCGGACTCTGCAGACTCAGCACAGCAACAACAAGGCCGGAGGGATGAGTTTGTGCCGTGCGGTGTGAGTTTTGATGGCACAGCACAGCCCCGGCACAGATGGGCGCTTAACACCTTTTTTGGGGTTCCACGCCGAATTGAACTGGCTTGCTTTGGCGAACTTGGAGGGCGCGTTGGGCGCTCGAAGCGCGCATGTATCGCCCCGACGTACGCGCGTGAGCGGGGTTGATGAACCATGGGCCATGGCAGTGCTTAGCCTCGATGGACCCTGAGGTCTGAGTTGTGATTCAGTGCATTCGGGATTACCGTACTCGTTGCCCAGATATCGCGCTCGAGTCAGTGATACGTGTCGAATAACCTCGCGTCTGGGGGATTCCTCGTTTCCTTCGGTCGCCGGCGGCAGGAGGCAGGAGCTCTGATCGTGAGCGACCCTGATGTAAGGGCGGGCCTTACACGATCACGTGTAGTCATACCATCTCATTAGGCTGCCCGCCCGAGTAGTCGACATCTTATCATCTCTCTCTCTGTACGCGTACTCGACATACTGCTATAGAGACTCGATTCATACGCACTTGACACGCTAAGGCATAACACGAGTCCGGGTACAGACGGGTATACCCGTGGGTATATCCGTGGGAAAACCCATCTGTACCCGTACCCGCGGATACAGGTATGAATTTAGGACTTTTGCCGCAGGTACAGGTATACCCGCGGGTATTTGAAGCATGATAACTATGGAAAATAATGTATTGAATATCATAAAATCTATTGAAAGGGTATCCTGGTAACGGGTAACCCGTGGGTATACCCATGGGTACCTGCGGGTACCTGTCTCAAACGGGTTTTTGGTGACCCGCAGGCAAAAACCCGCGGGTAGTAGGTACGGGTACCCGTTTGAACAAATACCCGTGGATACGGGTATTGCTCTTGAACGTCACAGGTACCCGCCAAACGGGTGCGGGTATACCCGTACCCGTACTCGTGTTATGCCTTATGACACGCTGTGAGTGTTTACTGTTCTCCTGTTTCTTAAGGAGAACAGGTTTCCACTTTTTTTTGCGTATTTCCTACGAGTCTACACGCCAAACGGTTGGGCGTGGTAGTGACGCCTTGTGCGTTTGAACGATTAAGACGATTGGACGGTAGCCAAGCTACAACGACGATAGACGTATTAGAATGGTTGACCGCCTCGAACTGCGAGGACGAACCTTCGAACGAACGGTTCCGGTGCGTAAAGCACGGAACACCAGAAAGACGACGACGACGAACTCGCCTCAGCGAGATATTCTGACTCCTGACGATATTAATTCCATGGCGGGCGAGGAATTGCTCAAGGCGTGTGGGTTAATTCCCGCCGTCGAAGGCGAGACTTCGCTTTGCACGGAGTTCGATGACGATGAACCTTTACCCGAACTGTCTTCGATTATTGACGATTCTTCTGATGATGAAAGCGACGACGAATCCTTCGATGTTACCCCGCCTTTGACTGTCCAAGCTTACGTTGACTTTGACAATTGGGGTACTGACGCCAACGCTCAACAGAATTCGAAAATGTCGTACAACACCAGAATGGCATCGATCAAGGACAACGGGAAACATTTCCCAACCCTTACCGCTGGGAAGTGCACGATCGAGATCCTCGATAGGTTCCAAACCGCGTGCGAAAACAAGGCCATTCAGCGTGGCATCGAGGACGCCAACTTCGACGAGATCGCCGTATTCAACGAATGGATCCGCAAACTTATCGGCGTCGACAAGAAGATCGCCCGTCTTCGTGCACTCTCCAAGAAGCTCTTCGAAGCGGAGAGGGCTGCCAAGAAGCCACGCACGAACAACGCCGGCGGTTCTTCGGATGGCAACCGCACTGGTCGTCGCGCCGATTGGGTTCCTAACCTCACCGAAGACGAGAAGGACATCTTGGGTAGACATGGTGGTTGTTTCAAGTGTCGCCAATTCTATGCAGGTCATCGTTGGGCCACCTGCCCCAACGGGTATCCGTCCCTGAAGGATTACAAGAAGATCACCCCCCAGATGGCCGCTGATGCCAAGAAGAAACGCGACAACGCCACCAACAATACCTCCGCCTCTAACGGTAAAGCTGTCGCTGCTGTTTTGCCTTCCGACGACTTCGAATACGAAGATTCATCCTCCGAAGAATCGGGTGGACAGGACACCTCGGGAGAAATCTTGGAGGAGAACGCGGACGAGAACGACGATGATGTGAGTGACCCATATACGTCAATCCATTTGTTGTGGAAAGCCTGCATGGCTGGTACCTCCGACTTCCCGGAGGACGTACTGACTATGTTTGACACCGGTTGCCACACAGTCTTAATGGATTCCAAGCTCGCGACAAAACACCGTTTGAAGAGATACCCCATGAAGACGCCTTTACCTGTGAACCCCGCATTCATAACTTCCGACGACGCACAACCCTTTTCCTTGACACAGTTCGTAAAGCTTGAATTATGGTCCAATGACAATGTTTTCGTCTCCAAACGCTTCAAAGCTATCCTAGTCGACAACCTTTGCGTCGACATCTTGTTGGGTCTACCTTGGCTAGAGGCTCATAACATCATCATCGACTGCGCTAAACGTAAGTGCTTCGTTAAAGACGGTTATAACTTCGTAGTGCCACAACAGGTCCGTCGCCCAAAAGTTCTCCCTCGATCACCGAAGGAACGAACGCAGAAGCTCCGCGGCGATTGGAAAGTCATGCTCACTGAACTCAAACAAGTCTTGAAGCCAATCCGAGATCTGGTAGACCAGCGTTGGGAACGTCGGCCGAAGCAGCGATTTATCAAGTCAATGGTTGGCGCTATCAAG